CGAAACGAATATTTGATGTCTCCCCTAGAAATTTTCTTTGCCCCAAACAAATGAAAACCTACACGTGAGTTAGCATAGCACATTTTTTGTAATGTTGAGGGAGGGTTTAACATACCCTGGCTCGGTATACTTGTTGCAGTATACGTGCAGGGAACTGCCCAGACCCTTGGGACCACAGAAAAAGACACCAGCCTCGCCGGGACTGTGCAATTTCCTGATGCCGCGGAAGATCATGTCCCAGTTTGGTCGCCCAAAGTTGGTTGGACTCCTCAGACCTGTGATGGTGTCCTTGTCGGCGTTGGCGTCATTAATCATGATGTTTGTGGCATCGTCCGCCTTGATCTTGGCTGTCAAATATGTGTGGATTTCAATGCGGTGTTCAAGATCCTGGGCTTCAACCGCCAAAAGCAGTGACCGAAACCACTCAAACGAGCCAAAGTCACGGCAAATCCAGAAGAAGTACACCTTGGATAAACGAGTCTTCTTCTGCGGGTAGTTCATTCGGTACCAGATTGATTTGAGGATAGAAGCAAAAGGAGTGACGCCGATACCAGCACCAACGAGGATAGACACTTCGTATTTGAAAACATCCTCCGAGGCTGATCCAAAGGGTCCATCAATGTAGACTCGCGGCAAGACTCTTTGCAGCACAGGGTTGACACCGTGTTGGTCTCTATCAACGCCAACAACCTTGCTCGTGTCTGCCTTCCTGCCCCATTCACAGCCGAGGGCTTTGGAGACGGCCATCGTGAAGTCACCCTGGCATCTCATATGAATCGAAATGTAATCTTCCTCGGGGGCACTGGTGAGCGTGAACGGGTGATATTGCCACAGCGACACAGCAGGACAGCAGAAGAAGATGTACTGGCCAGCACGAGTTTTTGTGTTTTGTTTCTTGATTTGGATCTCACACACTTGACTCGGGTGCTGTATAACTTTTGAAATGTACGTCTTGTGTCGACCGCGTACCTCTCGAGCAATCCGCTCCGCCAAGTAGACGAAGCCGGAGTACATCCAATATTGCCAGAACACACCAATAGCCGAGGCGCCAATGTTGGTGCAGAAAGGGGCCACATCTGGTTGAATCATGCAGAAGGCACCGTGCAGGGACCAGAAGAAGAAAAAGAGGATGAACATGTGGTGAGTATACCAGAAACGCTCATAGTTTGCTCTCCGTGGCTTCTCCACAGACGTAATAACCATGCCCATCAGCGCGATGAGCATCACGTAGCCTGTCCAGCCAGGTCCAGAGGCGAAGTTGGCCAAAAGCCATCCGTATAAGCCTAGCTTGTTCTTGGCCGCAACCTGGGCAAAGTTGTTCCAGTGGGCTATCGTGTGAACCCATGAAAAGAAGACGATGGACCACGCCGTCGTAATGTGAAAGGTAATATTCTTGTCGAACTGAATAATTCCGTTAAGAGGAGTCTGGCGCAGGAGCGAGATCAGTGTTCGGCAAACCGGAAAGAGTATGATGCCGACGTCGACGTGTAAAACAACCGCAGACGCACGCGCAATGACAAATGTAAAGCCGAAAATATCTCGGGCGCCTTGCAAGCTGTCCTTCATGGAGTAGTGAACCGAGGCGAATGCGAATATCAGGGCGTGCGTGAGCATGAAGACAAAGACGAATCTGGTAATACATGTCAGCAAAACCTCACGTTGGCCGTCACCACTGCCTTTATATGTTCTACATCGACGCCCCTTTTCTCCTTCTCTCCTTGTGTACCACTCTTTCCGGGCATACGTACACTCGTCTGTAACCTTCATTAATCATCCAGCGATCAAACTTTTCTCTCGTCGATAGGTCCTGCTGTTTCTCCTGCGTCATCTCGCCCGAAAGCAACATTCTCGTGAGAGGGGTCCATCTCGACCGCTCCGAAGGCCGGTCAGAGACCCCAGAGTAATAGCTCATTGCAGTCGCCGTATTCTTATTCTGCTTTAGATTTCGAATATCCCAGATGCCGACAGATATTCCGCCCTTTTCAGATCAGATACAGCAATCGGTGCCAATCGAAACGCAGCAATGTCTCGGGTTATAGGATCAAATTGACCATATAGATTAACGGAGATATTGTACACGCTGGGTGTTTTGAATGGTATACTTCAGAGCCTGCTGAAATAGGGAACAAGGGAAAATAATATTAACGATTGTCGAGACGAGCAGATTATCAGGGTATTACTCGTGCAATAAAGAATTGTCATGTCTAAATGCTCATGTTAGTTGCACCTTGTCCATGGTAGCTGGTTGCACAGACTGCCGGGGGGCGGGAGTAAAGCTGGCGAAGAACATTGAAGGCACCGGAGGGGAAAGGGCAAAGTGCAGGCATCTTGCAATAAATGGGATTGGGGCAAGCCAAGGTGGCTGTTGCAGGTAGGTAGTCATGTCCACGGTACCATACTAGGAACCGGGATATGCTTGAAACACCCGGCGACAACCATGGAAGGGAGATCATACCAACTATTCAGATGTTTAATGCTCAAAAAGTTTGCGAATCAAACAAATCTGCCAAAGCATTCGGAATCGCAAAACTCGGGCGGCCAGGGGAGAACACTCAAGGAGCCAAATTCTGAAATAGCGGACGGAAGCCTAATAAACCAAAGTCGAGCTGACGATAACAGCACTGGCCGACGGCCCCATGGTTCGACGAGGCCGAGCACACGGCTCCAAAAATCCGGTGAGCCAAGCTCGGGTGGGCGGCTAGGAAACCTTCCTACGCCTAGCATCAGGACTTGCCGGCAGGTGATTGGACGCCCGCGCTCTTCAGAATCAGTGGAAGCCCACCTTGGCGTTGGATCTATGCGTCGCAATGTACCATCGATTGTTGCTTCTCTCCAGGGGCTTCCGTTCAGGACGCGCATCAACCTGCGACGACCAGGTTGTTGTGGGCTGTTCGCCGAGTAATAGATCAGATGGGTGCAATTTTCGAAACCCTTCTAAACCACTATAGCCCAGAACCACGATTCCTGCCATCGCGAAGAAGAGGGATTGAGGCTCCGCAGTCGTCACGACAGCATCTGAGGTTGAAGTGAAGCAATTCATCCCCAAGTGATGCCGTTCATTCCGGAAACATGGCCGACAATCTGTGAACAAACCCGCCTGGAACTTGCGCACAGGCACTGTCGATATTGGGCTGAGCGCACATGCAACATTTGGTGCCACCGTACTGTTTGTTGGTACATCGTACGTCAGCACCCGTTTCACCCCGTGGATAACAGGTGAAGCATCACAGCTTTGAGAAAGTGGGTTATGGCCCCATATCCCAAACGACAACGCCGCACCCGCACGTCTGCGGCCTCGTGGCATTGATCCAACATTCAGTACGGAGTAGAGGACTCCTCGATATTAATAATACTGTTACCATGGGACGACTGTTAGCAAAAGCTACGTGGTGTCAAATCTGGGCTGGTGAAACGTACCCTGTGACATAACTCGTCGCGTACACCCTTGGTGAAGCGCCACAAGTCCCAAACCCTCTTCTGTTACTGCCCAGTAAATGGTAGTCAGGCGGAATCGTCTTCCTCATCAGCCTTGATCGCGAAGCGCTGAGCATATCGAGGTCGTCCGAAACACCTTTTGACACCACCAGTGATGGTGAGCAATTCACAGGAATGTCTAGACGTGCACATGTATCCTGCTAATGGCCGTGGCTGCAACTGAGGTTACCCGGAAATAAGCTCGTCACAAGCAGCGCATTCTTGCCTCCTATCTACGTACTACTAGTAGTAACATCCCACATGGTGCGTCATGTCCGGAGATCTGGGCCCCGTCAGTCACGGCAGTCTTGACAAGTGTTGGTAACATACCTATCTGAGACTTTTTGACTGGGGTTTTTCTTCGGAAAAATAGGTCCTGTCATCTAGGCAATCTCCGGCTCGCGCGGTAGGAGATCTCCGTAGACATGGGACGGTTGTGATACCAGAGCCTCACCATCATCAATACATGAAGCGTACACAGGTTTCCAACTAAACCGATACGGCAATTGACGCGATGCTTGGGTCGGCTCATTCCGCGTAATAGTCGTCGATCCTGTCTTAAAACGAAGATTGCTCAATTCCGCTGCTAAAATCGTCGCATACATTTGATGCGAGCTTGAAGGGTTTGATTTGTTTGATTATTTCGGGATGGAAAACATAGGCGGTTTCTCACATGTGACGGGTTCGAGTCTTGGTCGAGCGGCTTGAAGCAGGAGCCAGGCTTAGCAGGAGCTGCCAAGGATACTTTCGAGCGTGACATCAGCATTGCTCTGCAATCTTTCGGGAATGTAACGCACTCCCAAAATGCTTTAGACGATCATGAATAAAAGGGCAACAAAATACAAACTCTGGGACTTTTCTAAAGTTTCTATCACTCGCAGCTTAGCAAAGTCGAGACACCTACGGCTGTTGATACTTTAGTTGAGTCACACCCTCCTGGGCAGCACAAAGCCGTAAGGCACAAAAGTCGTAGAAAGGTATCTGCAGGATACGCGAAACGGGCGCAGATGGGACAACTGATTAGCGCCTGTGACATGACAGACATGGTGAGCCCCATTGTTGCTATCAGTCCAGCTAAGACATCCAACAAGTCACTTCAATCACATGGTGCGTCCACATTTCGGCACAGAGGCACAAAGCGTAAAAGAGAGACATCCTATAATACGCTGCTCAGCACTAAATGCCATAAAAACACGTCAATGATGCAGAAGAAGAAAAACAAAAAGCCCAGCCGCATGATATCCCTTTAATAGCTGATCTGTTCTGTCTAGTCTGTCTTGCAACCCCTCGGACAAATCCTCGTTCCCTTGTCTCGTCGGATACAATTTGACTTGATGTATCCCGAGGCAAGGGCTCCTCACTCGTGTCGGACATGACCTGCTTCACATCTCGCTACAATCTGTGAAGCAACTTTGTCTGGAAATTTCCTCCTCACTGGTTATCATGCAAAAGAGAAAAAACGTCACTCTTCTCTTCCCCGCCCTCCTGAACATCATGGCTCAGACGAAGCCATAGTCGTCAGGATCCTAGACAGCATATTTTCGAGTCCATTCCCTAGCCGTAGCCTCGTATCGTGGTCGGTCGGTCTTGTATACATGAGCAATCTCAGGTACAAGAGGATCGTCAGGGTTGGGGTCGGTAAGCATGGAGCAAATGGAAAGAAGCACTATTAATGCAATTGTCAGCAGCTGCTTTCGTTCCTGAATTTGATAGGCCAGAAAAATACGAAATCATAACAATGCGTACCTTTAGAGATGGTGAGAGCAGGGCTCCATTGGTCTCGCAGGATGTCCAAGCAGATGCTGCCATTGGAGTTGATATTGGGGTGGTAGATGCGAGTGGTGAAGTTAACCTTTGGTGGCTTGAAAGGGTAGTCGGTAGGGAAATGGATAGCAAGGAAGAAGACACCACCGGAGTATGGTGAGTCGCCCTATTTAAATTAGTCAGCACTATACGTGTAGCAAGAGCGAAACAAAGCCGAGGTCTCTGGCAGTGTATATCAAAACGAGGTGCGTCCAAGGCACATAAATATGCCCTCATAGACTGTCGCTCGATGCCACGAAGTAACCGGATCCTGATGCTTGCACGTTCTACTCACGGGTCCCATGATCGTTGCTTGCCAGTGGAACTATCACATCGTTAGTCATTTCGCCCTGTAACACCCAGGGCCCAGATACCAGAGGGAAACTCAATATACACATACCAGGTCTTCGCCAACAGGGCCAGCAGAGCAAGACGACGGCGGATCACTGTAGAAAGGAAGTCAGCATTCTAGACTGGCCTCTCCCGCACCACGGAATGGCAACGGCAATGAAGAAGAAGAAAAACCACCCCAGCTATCCTCGAGAGGGCAGGACGGGACCTCCATTCTTTACAGAGGCCGCCGAGGTTATCGCAAGCATTGGGTATTGACTGTATTCTGACATTTTGGTCAGATAGCGCCCCGCTCCCAGGTATGCCCCACCTCACAGAATTGGGCTCCAAACGAGAGGCGGGTCATCAATCTTGTGAGGCTAGAGGAGGGGGAGAGCGAAGTAGAAAAAGAGGAAATATTTACCGGCCGAGATCAGTGAGCTCCTTGTTGATGCGCTTGAGAGCCATGGCTAAGGATTGTGATGAGTGTGTGTGCGAAGGCGTAGATCGCTGGTTGATGCAGATGCTGGAAAAAGTTCCGGTTAGTTGGTGGATAGAAGTAGGAGAGAGAAAAACGCGGGACAGGCGGTCGGAGGAGGCGAAAGCAGGCAGAATGACGCACTTCAACACAAGAACAACTCGGCGGGGTAAAATGTACCAAGGCAGACGTGACTCTCGTCGAGAGAGAAGAAAGGTGAACGGCGGTCGATAGTTTCAGTCGATGTCGAGCGGCGATGCTGGGGGATGGAAATTTGGTAGATGGGAAAAGTGCTCGTGTCTTGAAGAAGCAGTCGTCAGGGACGTGGTTGAATTTGGGTATGCAGTGTATGGAAGGAAAGAGAAACCACAGGGATCGGTCAGTGAGGTGGACGTTCTAAAAGAAGACAGGCAGCCTGGCCGGCTAGTCAACCAGTTAACCCGGCACCTGCACCAACATTGCACCAAGCACTGAACACCCGACAGAGTGGCCATGGACAGAGGCGGGCACACGGCACGGTGCACTGTTGACTGGGCACTTGCCCCATGCCCCCTTGGGCTGGCACCAGACCGCAGCTGGACGGGCTGAGGCATGAGAGACTGGACAGTCTGGGCACGGGGCAGCTGGGCCGAGCCAGAACGTTCGATTCGATTTGACCACCTGCGCACGCTCAAGCGCACTGAGCATTGGACCATGGAACATGGGAAGTGGCCAATGACGGCAAGGCTGTCCAGGTGGGTGAACAAGTGGGTCTGCAGGAGGAGAGCAAGGAGCACTTGAGCCACCACCACACACAACAGCACAGCAAACAGTTGACAACTTACTCACACCTCCCTCACAATGCTCTCATCCACCCACGCCACACAGGACAATTGTCAGCAGGCTGTGACAGATATCTTGATTCGGGAATAATTATGCACAGTTCGCCGCCCTGGCTGCGCTGTCGTCCTACTTGCCGCTGGCCAAGCACCCAGGCCAGTCAGAGTCGACACCGCCACCGTTTTCATTTGACGCCTGGCATTTTGATCGTGACTCATGGCGCCAACACGTCCCCGCTGGCATCTACCAAGGCACTATGTGTCCGTCGTTGGATGTTACTTGCTGACTGGGCCATGCTCGCGCCTTTCATTATAACAATGGCGTCTTTAGTAGTACTAATGCCGTGTCTCGTCTGTATGCCCGTGGACCTGGATGATTCGGGTGGGTGCCCTGGGCTTAATGTATTGGCAATGTCTCGGGAAGACCATGCAACTACGCTGACCCTAGGAATACCCGAATGGACACTTAGGCGCCATGAACAAAGAGATCTGTTCACCAGCGAAGCCCCTTGCGTCAAGACCAAACAATCCCCGGCATCCACGGGAATGAGAATGCCAAGTAAAACGCGGCCATTATCTAATAAGCAATTCATACCATGTCACCATGCCGCCTGACGCTCATCCTTTCTCAGGCTACTTTCACAATCTCTCTTGCCATATTGTGCCGCGCGACACCGCGTGCATGGCCAACTCCGATGGCCTAAGGATCTCATCCCATCAACGGTTCGGCGGGTCCGGTGAAAATCGGCGGGCAACCATTTTTATGGGGCTGGAGATATTGCGGCGGTGGCGTCGCGATTCGACATGGCTCCGGCTGCAACGCCTCACAAGTACTACGCATGTCAACCACAAGAATCGACCAGGGAGAGGGTTAGGGCTTGATGGGAGACCAGAAGAGTAAATGTTATCGACTCCCCCCGCGCATTATCTAATGCCCTTGCTGATGCATTGACTATCAAGTACGTAGGTACCTTGCAAAACATGACAAACCTCATCCCACTCCTGCTCGCCACCTCAAACATCAGCTAAACAAACGCCTGGATACCAGTGATAGCTCGTCCCAGGATAAGGCCTACAAAACTATTGTCAGCAAAGGAAAGTAGAAAGTCAGTCAAGGATAGAAGTCATAACATACTGTGAATGTCGCTCTGTCCCTCATATGTCTGCGTAACAAATAGGTTGGCCACATGGCGACCAATATGATACTCGTCGCTCACGGCATTACCGCCGAAAATCTCCTGCAGGATTCTAGCATTTCGTAGGGCGACATCGCAATTCTGTCTCTTGACCATGCTGATCATCTCAGGCGTTGCCTTGCCCTCGTCCTTGAGACGGCCAACCTGAATGGCAGCCAGGGTGCCATAGGCAGCGTCGGTAGTGGCATCTGCCAGCTTCTTCTGGATGAGCTGGTATTTGGCCAAAGGGTTCCCTTTGAACTGCTTGCGCTCCAGAGCATAAGTTCGTGCTCGGGCAATGCAGTCCTCCAAGGCACCGATGACGCCCATGGAAATACCATATCTAGCACTATTGAGGCAGCTGAAAGGCCCCTTCAGACCCTCAACATCAGGAAACATATTGGCCTCAGGCACAGGACATTCGTCCAACTGGATCATACCAGTTATGGAAGCGCGCAGGCCGTTCTTATCCTTGATTGCAGGGGTGGACAGGGTGCCAGGAGGGCAGTCCTTTCTCTCAACGAGGAAACCGCGAATCTTGCCCGTCTCTTGAAGCTTTGCCCACACTAAAAGGACATCGGCGATGGGGCTGTTTGTGATCCAGGTCTTGGCTCCACTGAGAGAGAAGTACCCCTTTTTGGTAGGGTGAGGCTTGGCGACGCTCTCCATGCTACCGGGATCACTGCCGTGGTTAGGCTCCGTGAGACCAAAGGCACCGAGTAGCTTGCCCTTGGCCATCTCAGGAAGGAATCTCTGCTTCTGCTCTTCAGTACCGAACTCGTAAATGCCGCCCATGACAAGTGACGACTGCACTGACATGCCAGATCGGTAGCCACTATCGACGCGTTCCACAGCCCGCGTGATCATACCACCAGCAACCGATGACACGCCAGCGCAGCCATAGCCGTCAATATTGGCGCCGAGAAGACCAAGCTCGCCCATTTCTTGAAGGATCTTGGGGTCATAGTGCTCATCGCGGTAGGCCTCTAAAGTTTTGTATTAGCAACGGCGGCTGTCTGGCATGTTATTGAGCTTGCATTGGAGTGCCGCGGCACCAGCAGCCAACACCATGAGGTTAGATCTCGGGACAGGCGACAACATACGCAAGACTCTAGGCATCATGCGCTCTTGGCAGTATCTCTCAGCCGTCTCTGCAATAGCAAGCTCCTCCTCGGTCAAGAGGTTCTTAGACGCAAGTGGGTCTTGCCAGTCAAAGGTAGTCTTTGGCGCTGAGGCAAAACTTCTGACAGCCATTGGCCGCCATGAAGCAGACGTTGTGCTTCTTGCAGCTGTTCGTAGACTGTGACGGAACATTTTGAAGATGAGGAACAATCCACACAGGGGGGGATAATGCGTGGATTGTGTTGTCCTATATTAAAGGGACGAATAAAGTGCGCGATGTAAGAGAGGAGAGGGTGGATCGTGGAGGTGTTGAGGAAGTTATGTTTTGTCTGAGCTACCCGTTGGACGTTGAATTCGGCAACTTCAAGTTATGCGATATCGCTGGCATCCGGCCCCGGTTTCTCCCCGCGACTAGCCAGGAACCCACTCATTCCACCGACGGAACCCGCGGAGGGACTCCACCGCGAATGCCCTGCTTCGGGGGCCTGAGAGCCCTGTAGCCTCGTGAGTCCATGCATGTGTCGCCCTCATGTCGCCTGGCCAGCGGCCAAGATTGAAACCGTACCCCCAGACTCCAGATGTCACGGCCTAAACCCCAGCCGCAGATCCACCGTTAACCCTTCCCCCAACCCCAAGCCCCATGGCCCTCCGGGCACCGACTCCCCGTTAACCGATCCCGGTTCTCGGCTCATTGCTCTCTTCGGATGCACATAACTCGGGTATTAGATGTAGTTGGCTGGTATACACTGCATAACTGCAACTGCATTCTCCCACCACCTTCTGGCCTTGTTTTCCATCCAACCACAGCTGATTCCGTTACCCAATCGAGTAGGAAGGCTTTGGCAAGTCAGCCATGAGACTGGCCAAAGGAGAAGGCTGTTTTGCCCGGCTTCGCTTAACTCCAGGTAGAGATGATGAATGATGTCGCGGGATTACGTGACACATACCAACCTGCGCCAATTTGGCAAGAAACAAATGCCCTTAGTTTGTATTGAGGTCTTGATATTCTAGGCATGCCTGAACTATGTGTAGACCCGATGCTGATAGCACGAAGAGACAATGACCTTGCCGATCACAGATGCCCGTCACCGTTTGCTTTTACCGCCCAGCGCATAATCATTCCTGTTCACCGTGATTTCGTGCCCTTTCACTTAACCTATCCAATTCCTCAGTAGCCAGCATCACACCAGCCACTGCTAGAGAATTTTTGGCTTCAGTGCCAAGTGGACTGTGATTTGATGAACTGGCAATATCGGACGAACTGCAAGCCTCTTGCGAGTCACGAGCTCGACGTCGTCGTTCTCTGCCTTTCGCAAACGTAGGGGTTTCGCTAAACGGCTGCGAGTATTGGTTTAGGCGATCTTGTCTTCTTCTCCATCCGTATTCTAGGCTTCGTCCAACAGCAAAGCGACGCCGCGGTCTCTCGGACAGAGGCAAGGATCTTGATACCCGACGGCCGGTGGCTTGTTTGCCGGGACCGTGCATCTCATTCTATGTGCATCATAAGCTTATAGCCCGACTTTTGTAGATTTGATTGTTGGAGATGCTGGGTAGCCCGTACGCACCTATTCGCTGCCGGCAAATTTGTGCAATTCAGGGCAAGAGATGGCACCGCGCTCTAGATGGCTTTTCGTAGAACCGTGGGCTCCTATCCGTGGCATTTTGAGAATTTGAAGTGACGTGGCTCGAGTCTGTTCTAGATCCATGCTGGTCGGCAAGGACATGTCATGTTGGTTCGAGCTTTGACCTCGGTCAGCTTGTGTAAGATAGCCGTAGAGGCTCGAAACAGCCCATCATTGGGCGGAAATTGAAGGGCGAACCTTGTCATGGCAGCTGAACTTGTCATATTCAATGTTAACAATATCGGCCAAGGGACAGAAGGAAGATGAAAGGATAAGAGTGCAGCATGGAGCATCCCAAATACAAATGTTGGTGAAGCGCTCCGGGACGAACATCAGCGTGAACTCTGGCGGAAACGACGACTACCCTGCATCGCCTTGAGTTGCACCTTCCACAGGAATTTCTAGTTACATACTTTATGTATATCCCCCCTGCGATGTCTACCCAAGTTATTCTACCGGTCGACACTTTGGTCGTCTTTACTCTTTATTCAAGTACTACCAGACGTGTTTTGTCATATTTACATACCAAGAAGTATCTCTCGTGCTCATTGTTGTAGTCACAACGCCTGGACCACGTTGCCATCCAATGTTTGGTTATGTGCGAATGGCCTTTTTTCAAGGCATACTTGGGACTTCAAGTGCACACGCAGCACACCTTGCATAGAGTCAAGATTGCAATGTGTTGAGCATTTCTGCCATGTGGTCCTTATCCTCAAGTCCAGAACCCCCCTTTCTTACCTACTACATGGCCCCTTACGTTGAAATGAGTATTTTGGCCTTTCGGCTTCGCGGCTGAAAGTGTTGCTGATGTTATTAGATGGAAAATAGGGATAATGGGGACGGAAGTCCGGATGCATAGAGTCTCGTATATTGGCACTGGGAGATTGCGGACGGAGTCGAGCCCTGGTCGTTGATATGCTTGCACATGTGGCTGGGCAGAAGGCATGCTGGCAATGGCGGCGAATAGCTACAGAGTGAGACAGCACCGCCTGGAGCCTCCAATCCTATCATCACGTTTTCGACCACCAGGCACGATTTATCCTGAATGTCTCAGGAGCTGTCATTGGCAATGTCGTCATCAAGATTCACTTGGGAGGTACATGGGATATGGTGACAGTACTAGTATCATGGGTATTACCGCCTCCCAGACATGGAACCTCACGCAAAACGGCAGCGTGTCAGCCAGCGCTTTAGTGCTTAGATAAGGGGGCCTGTGCAAGCTTCAGATATTGAGTGTGCTGCCTGGCGTCATCTTTGCTTGCTGCACGTCCTGCATACTCGTGCCGCCAAGCCTGAGGAAAGTGTGTATCTTTTGCTGTGCTGGGGTGAATTGCTCGACGGGCTCACTCTTTTTTGATGCTAGGTGCGCTGACGCCCCACCAAGTACCTGGCTATTAGGCTTTATATTTAACATATTGATATATACTGTTTAATAAGTAAATAAATTTTAGCATAAGTTACTAATATACATAAGAAGAGTTTAAATGTAATAAATAAGGAGTACGTAGTAGGGGGGTAAGCGCACCTAGCAAAAAGAGTGACCCCGCCGAGCAATTCACGTGCCGGGGCCACTCTAATCCCGATTCTCAGGACATGGACACGCGATGAGTAACCAGAAGGAAAGAACGCCAGCAGCGAGACGAAGAACATCAGCATCAAACAGTGATAAGCATTGGCAGAACAAAAAAAAAAGAAGAAGAAGAAACCGGTGCGAACAAGCAAAAAAAAACAACAACCATGCTGGTCTGTCCTACTTTGGGGGCCAGGTGCTGGGATTGACTTTGGTGGCGGAGCCGCAGGCCCAAGTGCCCCCTTCCACCTACATGTACATAGAAAGCTGTCAACTTGGCGAGGTATTCGGGAAACGCACCAGGCACACCTGGCAGCAGCTATTTCCAGCATAATGCCGTGCTTCTTGCTCAACCCCTTTGCTGGATATTCAAAGGCCGTAGCCGTGTCAGGCTGGGCCTTAGTGTTGAAGAGGGCAGGCTGGAGCCAATGCAGGTCTCCCGAGCAGCCACCAGCCCAACCTTGACGCTATGGCTTGGGACAGACATTGACGGCCCACCGATGCCAAGCCATGAGCTGTCAAAAGGGTTGCCGACGCTTCCAGATATCCTTCAGCTCTTGGCCGGGTATTAGAAGAGCTGTACAACGGTGGACGGTGAATGGCCAACGGCGAAGGCGCAGGGGAGAATCGAAGAGCTCTACTCCGTAATGAAGGCAAGGTCAGCTAGAGACTTCTCGGATGGGGGGATACTGTGAGCGACAAGCATCCGAGCCTCAATGTAATTTAATCGGCCAACATTCAAGGCTGTGCTTGCGCTGCCTTTTGTTGTTGTTGTTTTTTGCGTGGTCGTTCTCATTAATGCCCGTCAGCGACTAGTAGATCTAGGTATGTACTAATAACTGACAATGAATCCGAGTCCCACGAAATTCTCCATCCAGGTTCCACATTTGGGCACTTGGAGCACAAACGTCTCCCAAAGGCTCCCAAAGTCTCCCGGGTCTCCCAGGTCTCCCAGAAGATGCCAGGTCGGCCAGTCCTGGATTGACGAGTTGGCCCGAAATAACAAAGCTGGCTCAAGACGAGTCGGCCTGTCTCTAGCATCTCCACTGCCAGGTAACTAGGGAGCATTGGATAATTAATGGGTCGAGTGCGCAGCACCAGCGAGCGCTTGCGTTGACCGCGCTGACCTTGGCCCACTAGGCGGGTGAGCAGGGGCCACGCATGACGGGTGACGACCAACATTCAACTGCCAGGCGCCAAGTTGACAACACTGAACCACATTTCCGTCAGTCAGTTTTGCACCCAATCTCAACCTCAACTTGACCGTCACAAGCCACCAGCTACCTCTGCATTCGCGCCGCCAAGTCCTCGCTCAATCGCCTGGGCACTACCAATCAACAGCATCAGTATCTTCCTTGTCGAGATTGTCGCTAGATCGAAGCGTTTGCGAGACATCGCCCTGCGCACGGCTGGCTGGCGTCTCCCCAGAGCCACTTGCTGAGCGTTGTGTCGTGGTCGACAATCCACAATTTTCGCCCTTTATCACCTTTGTCACCGTCTTCACCAAGCTGCAAATTCACGCCATGTTAATTCTGTTGCGCCCCTAACAATACCGGTGTCCTTCAGATCTCACCGATAATCTTTCCATAATTTGGTCTGACCCTGACATTGGCTGGCTGTTGGCACTCGTCTACCGAGGTCGTCACCAGTTGTTGGAACACCGTCACTCGTCCGGCCCAGGCGAGCATGGACTGAGAGTACCATTGAATTGAATATACCAGTTCAACCAGTGAGGTACATCGGTTCTCCCCATCAGCCTTCTCTTTCTACCAGGGAATATTCAGTATACTTCTTTTGGTCCCTGTCTCAACAGGGAGATTGAGCGAAATGCCCTCCTTCCTCAACGACGATAACTCGCCCATCTTTTCTGCTGAAGCCGACCTTCTTAACCTTGACCCTAACAATCAATTTGGCCTCGAAATCGACAAAAAAAAGGCAAATGGGGTCTCGATAGCCCATACCCAGCCTGAACCCATCAACGAGAGCTTTGACGAGAGCTCCACTACATCCACGCACGACTCGGAGACATCGGACACGAACCATCTTCCTATGAATGGGAACAGCACAAGACCGACGAGCATGAGCTCGCTCGCTAACGGAATCAATGACTCTAGCGCGAATGATGCTTATGAAAAGTCCACCATCAAGGCACTGCCAAACGGCACTTTGGCTCTTCCCGATCGAACCGCTCCAAAGCCACCCGCATCGGGCGTTAATGGCAACTCAGCTTCGGAAACGACTTCGTCTTATCTACATCAAAATTCAACTGCTCTTGGCTCACCTGTCGTTGCGTACCAGCATCAATTTCATGACCACAAGCCTGCACCATGGGCCAACGGTGCAACCTTGACCCAGGACTCGGCACAAGCTTCAACCCCAGAATCTGACTTGAACGACAATGATGGCCAAACATCGCCTGTTGCAACACAGGTATTGCCAGTTTCTGAGCTTGTGCCACAAAAGTTTTCGCCACATCGATTTTCCTCACCTCCAGCATACCAATCAGGCGGCTCAGCATTGACCACCTCGCCGTCGGGACATCTTCAACCCCCACACGCTGGGTCTCTAAAGCAGAGACATACTCTCGAGATATCGAAGCCTCCTCCCGGCCGAGGATCCAAGGATGGGCTAGATGTCGCGCAAGCTAGTGGGCGATTCTCTCCGACTGTAGCTCCGATCGGACATCGCCGTGCTTCACTAAACCTAGCACGGAGGACAACTCGATCCATGCAGTCTGACGCACCTCGAGATGAAATTCTACCCGATGAGGATGCTATTCGCTGGGCCGAGGTCTATCGCCAGAAGCGGGCTAGTAAACGGAAGCGAAAAGAGGAGGAAGATGATGATCGCGTCTTGGTCGGCACCAAAGTTGACGAGAGCCATGCCAATTGGGTCACGGCTTATAACATGCTGACCGGGATCCGAGTGTCTGTCTCGAGAACAAACGCTAAGCTCGACCGAGAACTCACGGATGCCGACTTTGAAGCAAAGCAAAAGTCGACGTTCGACATGTAAGTTGATAGGCAACACTTCTCCTTGAACACAAAACGAAAGTAGTACTGATCCTCTCCATAGCACCGGCAACGAACTGGTCCCTTCTGCCAAATATGATTTCAAGTTTAAGGACTATGCTCCTTGGGTGTTCCGACATTTGCGTGCCCTGTTCCGTCTCGACCCCGCCGACTACCTCATGTCCTTGACTGGGAAATATATACTTTCCGAGCTCGGCTCTCCTGGCAAGAGCGGCAGTTTCTTTTACTTTTCCAGAGATTACAAATATATCATCAAGACGATTCATCATTCTGAGCATAAATTCCTGAGGAAAATTCTCAGGGACTACTTCAACCACATTCAAAACAACCCCAACACACTTCTTTCTCAGTTTTATGGCCTTCATCGGGTCAAGATGCCATATGGCAAGAAGATCCACTTTGTTGTCATGAATAACCTATTTCCACCTCACCGAGATATCCACACCACTTTCGACCTGAAGGGCTCAACTATTGGCAGAGACTACAGGGAGGACGATTTGGAAAAGAATCCTCGAGCAACGTTGAAGGATCTGAACTGGTTGAGACGACAACAGCACCTGGAGTTGGGTATCAGGAAGAAGCGGCTTTTCTTGGAGCAACTCCAGAAGGACGTTATTCTACTCAAAAGACTGCAAATTATGGATTATTCACTACTTATTGGTATTCACGACATATCACGCGGAAATGAGGAGAATTTACGTGACAAGACTCTACAGGTCTTTAATCCTGGCGGCGAGAAGACGACAGATGATGACCCGCCCTCAGTGCTTATGAGGACGCCGTCTAAGATGGAGAATGTCCGAAAAGCTCGAGAGCTAAGAGAAAAGATTCGCGCAGAGCGGCCAATTCCCATCGGTCAGGCGTTGGACAAGATGCCTGATGAGTTGAGAGACTTCCATACCCGGCCTGGGTTTGTTTTCAACCAGGATGATGGAGGCTTTCGAGCGACGCACGAAAACAATCAACCTGCAGATGAGATTTACTATTTGGGAGTAATTGACTGTCTTACACACGTAAGTATTGGGCAACACTAATCTGTCATGACCGAGACACTAACATATTTATGTGTTTAGTATGGAATGATCAAAAAGATTGAACATTTCTGGAAAGGCTTGTCACATGACCGGTCACAAATCTCGGCTTTGCCGCCAGAGCAATATGGCGACCGATTTTACAATTTCGTCGAGGGGATTACCATGTCAGCAGAGGAAGCTCGAAGGGAAGCTTTGCGAAGGGAACAGGAAGCGAACGAAGGGAGGGTGTCCGCCGACAAATCAGCAAAACGACACTCTGCACAGAGGTATAGCCATGGGGTTCCTCCAATGCCTGATCATCTCCCACCAGCCCCGCCAACGAGTGGTTCGTCAGCAGAAGTGCGGGAAACCATGCAGAAGGCATCAAAAGAAGCTAAAAGGACCGAATCGAGTGGTGTATTAGAAACAGATATACCAGACCGCGTTCTAACGACCGCCAGCTCTCCTGACAAGCGCGAGTCGTTTCCGCATGAACCGATCTTGCCAGTAGTTGAGGAAGCGGCTGAGGGTAGCCGTAATGACGGAGGGTCAGTCTGGGATAGGCCGAAGAACCTCAGAAACGGTAATACTATCCCTCCACCGCCAACCGGTCCTCCACCACCGACGCCCCCTAAAGAACGCCCACCGCCACCACCCCTAAAGTCCGATGGCCATGAGCCCGATGGCCAAGTCTTGCGACCGAGGCTTAGCAAGGAAAGCTTGAATAAAAACCTGCCCCCACTGCCCAAGGATGAGGAGACACAGGACACTGGCGTGCGCATGGTTTAGGTCACGGCGACGTTGCAATTCTGCTGCTTCCCAATAAACTTGGCCCGGGAATGACTTTCATTTATTTTCATTGCGTCAAGATTATCTTCTTCTTTACTTTATCCCCCCTTGGTATTTGTATTTTATGGCACAGCATGGCGCAGCATCATCATATTTTGACAACTGAAGCGAGCGAAATGGAAATTTTCAAAGAGGGTTTAGTCGACGTCGACACGAGATCGAGCGCAGGGTCAACAAAGCATTTGCATTCATGCAACTGAACTTCGGTGCCTGTCGACACCATTAACTGATATCAATATGAGGTTTTGTGAAACACGCGAGAGCATTCTGTAGGGGGGACGCTGTTTAATGCCGGTGAAGCATGGGGAGATTGGGTTTCAAGGAATGGCAGTAGAAGTAACCAGGAGATGAGAATATGTTGAACCCGTTCAGCTCCTTGTATTTTCTTTCTTACTTTTTGTCCTGTTTTCCCTTCTCTTTTGTTCTTTGTCTTGTTTCTGGCACAAAAAGACATGGATGATACCACTGACGCATCGGATGCTTGTCGCAATATATATGTTGCTCATTTGTCGCGTTTCCTTTGTCTTGAAGTTTTTTGGTAGTTACAGTATACAACTTGGTTGCATATCAGTCTTTTTATTTGCTTAATGGGCCGTGTAGAGTGTGATTGGAGGAGGAAGGCAAAGCTGCCACGGCGCCGCCGCACAGGAGACTCGCCCCACATTAGACAACCACATGCAGGGTTATTGAAGAGAGCTCTCATTTTCAATATGCCGCTTCCGCGTCAAGCATTGCAAGCAGCCTTGAATGAATGTTCACTCTTCCCATGAAGGGGCCCAGCCGGATGTCGCGGCGAAACATACCCCTGAGCAATTGAAAGATATGCTGCACTGGGATACGTTGCACCTATAGTCTCGACAGTCTGTCCAGCAGATATCGCGACTTCACTTGCCACGTCAGTGTGACCATGCCACTCCGAAATAAAGACTTTCAGACGAAAGAACCCTTCCGGCACGACGACAACGTGACACTCCACCACGCCGAAGGACCCTTCAGCTTCCTGAATCCAACAAGGGCCCATTTCCATCACGCAGGACTCTCTCCACCCCAGGAGAGCAATGGCGACAACACACCTCTTGGACAACCACCAAAACAAGTCAATTCCACTGTCCCTGCCGCATATGTCAAGTTTCTGTGGCGATCGCGAGACAACCGTAAGGGACGGCATCCTCTACTCGTTCAGCCAGCGTCGCCGGGTGAAGATGCGCCTTTTGTGACGCCAAGACGGACGTCGGATCCCAGGGAAGTTGTGAAGAACGTGGTCAGGACGTTTACGTATTTCCCTGTATGGGATATTTCGTGGTTGGTTGGTTTTATATTCACTTGGGGGAGTGTAGTCTGGGTTATCAACGTATGTTTATATATTTTTCGACCTGTACACTCGGCATCTGGTCATGGTGGTTGTGCGACTTTGAGTAGAGAGGGTTGACTGATATATATCCTAGGGCTTCTTTGCGTGGCTTCCACTGGTAGCACCTGAGACAGAGTTTCCCGGGGAGTCGTACTACGGCGGCGGGATAACTGCCTTCATCGGCGCCATTCTCTTTTTTGAAGTCGGCTCCATCTTGCTCATTTTCGAAGCTATCAATGCTAATAATACAGGCTGTTTTGGCTGGGCTCTCGAGCAATTGCTCCAGAATGGCAACGGCAAACCCAAGATACAAGTAGTTGCGGCTCGCAGCCATTGCCAACACCACCATCAGAATAAGCGCAACCTAGTGGGCAAGCCAAAAATGCCCCCTTCCACGCTACTCTCCCAGACATCTCAGAGTGTTGAACGCGTGAAACATTGGCAATGGTTTCCCTCGTGGTACGACCTGCGTACTCACTACCTCCACGAATTGGGTTTCCTCGCCGGCTCGGCCCAGCTCTTTGGTGCCACCGTGTTCGGCATCTCTGGCATTACCGCACTACCAGGCATAATCAACCATCTCACTCCACAGTGGCGGCTGAACGCGGCCTACTGGATTCCACAAGTCATTGGCGGCAGCGGGTTTGTCGTGAGTAGCACGCTGTACATGTTGGAGACGCAGAGCAAGTGGTGGAAGCCGGCACCGCATCTGCTGGGGTGGCATGTTGCGTTTTGGAATCTCATCGGAGCGTGTGGGTTCACCTTGTGTGGTGCCTTGGGGATGGCGCATGGGAATTCGGGGGCGCAGTATCAGGCTTCGCTAGCTACATTTTGGTAAGCGTTCGCAGGCGGTTGGGATTGAGTTTCAAAGGCAGTCTTCTAACAGTGCTGGTGATAGGGGCTCGTGGGCTTTCTTGATTGGGAGCTATTTACAGCTTTATGAGAGTTTGAATAAGCATCCTGTGGAGGAGGTTTCTGATATAGAGAAGGAATTCGCTACGAGGCAATAGGCTTGACATTTCAGGAAGTGAGGTTTTGATATTAACAGTGGAGTAGGATTATAATACAACAATTTCGATGAAGCCTCGCCAGGTTTCCAAGTCCCAAATCTAAATACACCAAGTCTATGCTTACCTCCCAATGCCCAGATCTAAGCCAATTATATTATATTCCCCGGACCTGTGAAGGCGACATATAAAGGAAGAGAGGGAAAAGGAGCCTTTAAAACACAACCGCCAACTTCCATCCCGTCCTGCGAATTCTTGCAATGAGAACCAAAAAGGTTCCCGCAAAGCAAAATACACCTGCAAACACCTTTACGCCCACCCAGTTCTTGTCATCTCCCAAAATGGCGCCACTAATAGGGTTCGTCGTCAACCCACCAATGGACGCAATAAAGAATATAATACCGGTCCTGAAGCCGATTTCCCGCAGCGGCGAAATCTGCGCAACCAGCGGCCCAATAAGCGACACGTACGCGCCGCTACAGAAACCAAACAGCGCCGCAAACGCAATGATGCCGCCAGTGCTGGAGCTCGGGATCCAGAGCGCAAGAACCCATATGCCCGTAAGGGCGCAAACCGTCACGAAAATGTTGTACCGGCCAATCTTGTCCCCCACGATTCCCGAAAACAACCGCCCAAAGAGACTTGCGGCGTTGAGGATCGACAGCAGGTACTGCACCAAGTTGGGGTCCACGCCAGCATCGAGCGCCTGGACGGGCAGATAGTCAATGGGCACGAAGATGCCAAACGTGAAGCAGAAGAAGCCCGCGCACAGGAATACAAAGTCGAACTCGGAAAAGGGCTTTGCGAGCTGCGCCTTGGTGAGCTTTTGCGGGCGCGGCGGATGGGCGGCGCGGATGGTGAGGTTGGCGACGATGAGGAGGGCCAGGATGAGGAATGCGCAGGTTCTCATGGCCCACGGGAAGCCGACTTGGCGGATGAGGCGCGAGACCATGATGGGGAAGATGACGCCGCCGAGGGAGGAGCCGGTTGCGAGAATGCCGAACGCCGCGCCGCGCTTCTTGTTGAACCAGCCGTGGATGACGTTGATTGCTGAGGTTTTGCCATGTTAGTTGGCTTTGACCGAGGGGGGGATCATTGGGTAGGAGGTAGTGGTTCACGTACATGGCTGGAAGATGGCAGAAACGCCAATGGCCGAGCAGACACCTTGAGCTAATAGGATTTGGTAGTATTGCGTCCCGAGGGAACACATCATGAGCCCAAAGACGTGGAGGACACTGCCGGCGAGGAGGAGTTGTCGAGGGCCATATCTATCGTAGAGCATGCCTACCGCGGGGCCCTACATGTTGTTAGTATTTTTTCTGTACTTGATGATGGCGCGGGCGTGACGGGTACGGACCAAGGCGTTCATGAAGAAGATTTGTAGTGACGGGATCCAAGAGATGGTGCTGGCCGAGTATGACGACAACATGTTGTGCTGGTAGTATTCCTGAAACGCTCCGACACCTAGCCAATGTCAGCATGTCGCCCGGTCCAAAGATGTCCGGATTTTGGGAGAAATCAGGTTACATACTGTTGATCCAGCCAAAACTGCAAAACGAGACACACCACGCCCCCAGAACAACCAGCCAAGCAACGGTGCCTCCATCAGCAACAACCGGTTCCTCGGGAGTAGGGGGGGCCTTTTCCTCGTCTGATTTGTCGCCAGGATACAGATTATTGGCGTCGGGCATGTCGTGCCCCTCACGTTGTGCAACGGTCATGGTAGATTGTGAACCACTAGAGGAGCCTTTCCTCTCACTCGAAGGCGCAGCCATGACGAAGCCTCAGTATCGTTGGAGGTGTGACGAGCTGAACAACGGGACACAAGTCACATGTGATGGAAACGCATTCACGGTTCGATCAAAATAAACTCGATCATGAGTGTCTCACAAGATGGGGAAAAATAGACGCGCCCAGCAGCCACATATCTTATATACTAGTACTACAAGGAGTCGTCTGTCCCCTGTGGGAATCAACATGCTGACACGCCGTTCTTCTGGCATGTTGAGAAGTCATAATCGGGGTTAAACGGGTCTCGCGGTTTCGGACATCCGACTCAAGAAAGAAGCTTGGTAAGCTCTGGCTCGTGGAAAGCTTGATCGTTGCCCTTGTAAAGGGGAGGATATGTGAACTAGCCCGATTTTCGACAATGGCTTGCCGGCCAATGGGCTGTTCGGTGATTCGGCGCTCGGGGGTAGCAGGGGTTTACAGGGAGTGGGGCCAGCCAGTAGGGCTGAGCGTTCGGTCCTCGGCGCGGTATATAGCCACCGAGGCCGACCTCTCGTGCTCCCTCGACATGAACCTATTCCTATTCCTTCAGTCCCTCTTGCAGAGCACACGCGCCGGGCACAAGCTGCTAACTCCAGACAGATGTCGAGCCACTCCCCCTCGCCTGAGACACCAGAGCGTTCTCAAACGCCAGCCTCGGTCTCCTCGGCGGCGCCCGTGCAAAGATCCTGTGCCACTTGTCGTCGACGCAAGGTCCGCTGCGACAAGAAGCGCCCTTGCACGCCGTGTTCTCGCGGCGGCCACGCATGTTCCTATCCGCCCAAGGAGCCGAGAGCGCCCAGGGTGCGCAAGGCTACCATTAATGACGTTGCAACGAGGATATCGAGGCTGGAGGAGACGCTGACGTCCATTCCTGCGCGAGAGGCATCGCACCCGCATGCCCGCTTTCCGGCCTCGCCAAAAACGGTTATTGCTGGTCCGCATGCAAGCCCCTTCAGCACAGGAGGCGTTGGGCACGAGACTTCGCCGGCGGCAGTTGGCAGTCCCCACCCCGGAGGGGAGATATTGTTGGAGAAGGGCTCGTCGGCGCAGTACTTCAACGAGGTTCTCGTCTCTCGTGTTGTTGGGCAGGTATGTGGAGTGTCGGCTCGCTTCTCAGGCTCGTTGTGGAGGTCTATCTAGGTTGGTTTTAACCGAAATGCGTAGGAGAGCGATGTCCGTACTGCCCTCGCAACACCGAGGACAGATGAAGTGGCCCAGGCACATGTCCCATCGCCCTTCAATCCCATGGGAATACTGTCAACGCCCCTACCGTCCCATCCACCTTCAAGTTACCACCCTTCCAAATATACCGCTGTGCAGCTATGGATGGTCTTTGTGGACAATGTCGACTGCCTCTTCAAAATTCTCCACATTCCGACTTCGGAAGTTTTAGTCTACACGGTGATTAACAACCCAGAAACAGCTTCACCTGAAGCATTGGCATTGTGCTACGCCGTATACTACGCCTCGACTGTCGCTCTCGATGAGAGGGAGGACTGCCCACGGCTTCTAGGGGAGTCCTGGATGAGTGCCCTGCACCGGTACAAAGCCGGACTCGAACAGAGTTTCGCCCAGGCAGATTTGCTGGAGAACCCTACCGTCGTATTGCTACAGGCCATGGCAATCTACCTTGTATGTCATCACATCATTTCTTCCTACCCTCACTCGCGTTCTAACTCGCGCGCCCACCAGAGCGCAGTACGAGTCCACAACACGGGCCGCTCCGTCTGGACCTTCAATGGCCTAGCCATAAGAATCGCGCAATCCATCGGTCTCCACCGTGATGGCACGAAACTCGGCCTCTCGCCGTTCGAGTCCGAAATCCGCCGCCGTCTGTGGTGGTACCTACTGGGTCGTGATGGCCGGGTTGCCGAAGATCTCGGCCTGCTCGACCTTCCCACGCCTAATGTCACAATGTCTGGTGGTGCTGAGCTCCCACTCAACCTCGAAGACAATGATCTGGATCCGAACATGAAGGACCTCCCACCACCCCGCAAAGGCTGGACTCGCATCCTCTCATCCCTCGCCAACATTCGCATTTGCCAAACATGGGCTGACCTCCTCCAACTATCATGGTCCAACCCTTCGACCCCCCCGCCTTTCGAGGCTCGAGATCGCATCGTCGCCAAATTAGTAGAAACCGTCGAGACCCTTATCAAAGAATGCAACCCCGTCATTCCCATGCAAAGACTCACACTCATAACTTGTCGCTTCATTGTCCGCAAATTGGACTTTGTCACGCGCCAGCAGTGGGAGGCTCACCACCATCCGGAACAACAGGAGCTTTTGGCGACAGAGGAAACCCTCCTCGAGGCACTTGGCTTGTTTGAAGAAGGACAGCACTTACTGAAGGATGAGCTGCTGCGTCCGTATACCTGGTCGGTGCGATCATACCCGCAGTATCACTTGATGCTGTTTATTCTGTGGAACATATGCCTGCGCCCGAGAAGGTCTTGCGCCCTTCGGGCCTTCAAATCTGTAGAAGAATACGTCAAGGTGATGGAGAAGACGGGTACAGCTGTCTTTCGGGGACCCAAGTGGACGATTTTCAAGGCATTAATGGCCCGCGCCGCGGCGTCTATACCACGGGATGGTTGTGAGAAAGGAGGAAGTCAGTTGCCAATGAGTGAGGTGCCTGCGAGCGCTGGTCTTGATCAAGGACTCGGAAGCGGCGTCATGCCGGGGTCGACAACCCGCAAATTTGTCGAGATGAACGATGCAGGAATGTTCGAGGACATGCAGCACGTGCCTGACTGGAGCACGCTGCTACAAGGCTTTTTGCAAGAAGAGTCCAATTTTTCAGTCATGGTGTGAAATAGAATTTTACGACATGCCCCCCAGACAAGGTACATGGTTATGGCTACACTGGAAACTGGTGGGATTTAGAGAGACAAAGAATTCCAGATACGATGTGCTGGCAGGGTAAGGAACTTTTTGAGACGGAGCCGAAGACAAGCAAGTGAGAAAGGGGTTTCCACCACCAACGTCGTCAGATCCCTGCTTCTCAGATATCCAGCTGCAAGTAGAACCTTGCACTGGATGATCAAGGCTATCAAGCAATTTAACTGAGGAACACCAACCTCTCAGCGGCCCGTGCCGTCCGTGGATCGTGATCGCGAGTCTCGGAATGACTGGCCTTCCCTGCGGAGGATGACGAGGCGGTGGGAAAACAAAAGACAAATTTTCAACGGCCAGAAATTTCAAGGATCACTTCATGGTCTGTGTCGTTCACCTGACTGTAAAGCCTTGGCTGAACTGGCTAGGACGCGGTACAAGTCAACCCTCTTTAGCCCCGATGGTCCAAGATGACCGCATATTACAGGCGCAGCCCGGATTTCCCGTACGGGGGGAAAGGAACTTCTGTAAAGCGGCTGACACGCATGGATGATTGGTTTCAAGCTACTGCTCCATACGTAGACCATCGCATTCCACCTGATTCGGTTCACCCCTTGGCTGAAATACGACTTTAGATGCACGTTAGCCATTGGCCATCAAAGGCGAATCGAATCATGGATATGTTGGGCATCAGCAGCAACAGAGGTATTTGAATAGTATCTCTTCGTAGCCATTCAAATCTCGTGCCGTAGGACGTTGGTCTTCCTGGCCTCCTTTCGAATCGAGTCATTATTTCCTTGCAGCTGATGCCTGCAGCCAGTGGAGGGAAATGCATCTTGTTCACTCGGTCGTGGTTTCTTTCTGGCTTGCCGCAATTTTCGTAGGGTACAGGCTTTTCCTGAAATGGTATCAGTATCGGAGACCCCGACAGCTCGGTTGTGAGGCAGCAAACAAATATCCGCATCGCCTTCCGTGGATATTAGACCCGTCAGGTAAAGATCTACAGCGCAAGAGGTTTGAGGCCCTTGTGTTAGGCAAATACAACCAGTTTTACCAGGAAAAGTTTGCTCAATATGGTCGAACAATCGAAGAACGGTCCCCAGCTGGAAAGACCATTGCCACTATGGACTCGCACAACTTTCGCGCTATGCTTGCTGCCAACTTCGAAGACTATGATAAACAAACCATTCGGATCACACCTATTCTGAGACTCATCGGCCATGGGATATTTACCAAGGATGGACCGGCTTGGAAACACTCACGAGATGCGCTCAAACCCTTGTTCTTGCGCGCAGAGCTGAGCGATGTTCATCGCTTCAAGAAACATGTTGACCGCATGCTTTCCTTGATACCCCGCGATGGAAGCACTGTCGATTTGAAGCCCCTTATCTGCAGGCTGGTGAGTGTTTCTATGATTTTCCAAGCTTGGATCTTTCTCTTTGACAGTTTGACAGCCTATCGCTATAGTTATGGGCGAGTGCACTGATTGCCTCTTAGTTTCTGGATAGCGGGACGGAATTCATTTTTGGGGAATCTTTCAATTCACTAGATCGAAATGCTACCCAAGGAGATGAGTTGATGGAAGCCTTCTCTCAGGCGCTGATAGGTACGACCAAACGCCGCCATGCCTTTGCGGCCCTCGGGTCTCTATTCAATGACACAGTAGATGAGAATATCGACAAGATCCATGCTTTTGTGGACCGTCAAGTCTCTCGTGCACTAGCAGCGGCTTCCCAACCGAACCCGCTAGACGAGAAGAAAAGGGGTGGCCAGTCGAATTCGCGATATGTGCTCCTTGATGAGATGGCAAAGCGGATCCGGAAGCCAATGACTCTAAGATACGAGATGATGAACATTTTCTTGCCGGCGTTCGAGAGCACCGCAGTTGTGCTCTCCAATACCCTCTTTCATCTTGCTCGCAACCCAGATCTCTGGACAGAGCTTCGAAAGCAGGCGATTGCTCTAGGCGACCAAAACCTAAGCTTTGAGCTTCTGAGATCGCTCTCTCTCTTCCGATACACCGTACTGGAAGCCTTGCGGCTGCACGGATCAACCGGACGGCTAAGCCGAACGGCGATTCGGGACACAGTCCTCCCCAGAGGCGGAGGACCGCAAGGCCGCAGCCCGGTATTTGTACCCAAGGGCACTGTGGTTTCGCTTGATCTTTACGCCCATCTTCATGATGCAGAAGTTTGGGGTGATGACACCGATGTTTTCCGGCCGAGTCGATTTGAGGGTAGGGCGCCGAAATGGGAATTTGTGCCATTTTCGGGCGGCCCAAGGATATGTCCAGCACGGCAACAGATCATCACACAATCCGTTTACTTGTTAGTTAGGCTAGCACAGGAATTTGCCGAGGTGGAAAACCGCGATCCGTGTATGGAATTTGTAGAGAGAGTCAAGATCTTCACGGAAAGCGCAGGCGGCGTCAAGGTGGCGCTGCATGAAACGCAGTCGATACATATAGCTGCCAAGTAGAGCAACGGTGACAAATAAACAGAAGAGGCAGGATACAAAAAAACACAATATCGAAAACGGTCATTATGCGCGGTACACGAAACCCCCTTTACAGATACTATTACTTGATCGAGTCGGATGCTCTAGGGTAACAGGGTGAGTATGGAGTCAGGTACTCGCTACTCCGTACGATAGCAGGCTGCTCTTGCCTCTGAAGCTGTTGGAAACAAGAGACCTTAGCCAATCACCTTTGCCAACCGTCTACGTCATTGGCGATGGCTCGCCCCTCCTGCCCCGCGATTTGGCTGCGTGGCCTGGCGGGCTTCCGGGCTGCTCAGTGGGGGACATGGAGGAACACGGCAATTTACAGTTGAGTGGGCACCTGCCCCAAGTGTTGCTCTGCTCTGTCCGGTGCTCCGTGCCCTGTGCTTGGAGCGCTTATGCAAGGCGCGATGCCGGACTGGTGGACTGGTGGACTGACTGGTCCCATGCATCCACGCCAAGTCGTAATACGTACAAGCCAGGCCAGGCAGCCAGTCGCACCTGCTCATGGTCGTCTTCACAAGTCGTTCATAACTGGCCCAAGACCTGAAGTCTGAAACGCCGCAACTGTTCTCCGTAGAATGCGCTCGACTGAACAACTCGGAAGCGGGTCTCCTCCTTCATATTCCATCTGCTCACGACTACTAGGCGCACAGGTTGAATCCATCATCGCTCAACCACGATTATCCGAACCATTGACCTGGCTGCCTCGCATTAATCGACGACTATCGCGCCATTGTCGACGCGACCGCGTAACCATCGCAGCGTCCTTGGGACGGACGGCGCAGCACCCGCTGCCCAAGGCTCATCGTCTCCCGTCTCCTCAGCCTTTGCACACTCATCCTGCAACTCGGTCAACATATAGTCTCCCGTCCAACACCAGACACCACCATGTCGCAAGGCTCGCACCCGACTCTCATCAATCTGCCCCCGCCGGGGTCGAATCCCGAAACACCATCTGAGATGCCGTATGCAGCCCATTTTGCAGTCCACCGTCAACATCGCACTTCTTAGCGTCACTTTGTCGCGGTCGATTCAGAGTTGGCTAACAGTCCACTGTGGTGTAGAGGGACACCCACTAGCACGACGACGTCACTATCCGCGCTGTCTACGACTGCCATAAAAGACGGCCATCGAGGCCACTTTGCTTCTGGCCCTCTTGGCCGCGGGCATCAGCATAATCCGTCCACCACCAGCCTCGAGGCTGAACGAGCCGATCGGATATCGCGCTTGGCTGGGCTTGAGCGAGTATCGACACTTCGCGCCGGCCCTGTGGCTGCCGGGGAAGGAGGAGGAGGGGGAGCAAGAGGAAGAGCATCTTCCATTTCTCCCCAAACCACTCCTACATCGACAACTGGTGGAGGGTTTCCGCCAAACTTCCCGACCACACACAACCTGACCCCTTCATACTTCGATAGCAATGGCCAACCCGTGGCAGTCACCAAGATGAGCACGGTTGGCTCAGCAAGCGCCACAGAGAGTCACGTTGGCGATGATACCCGGACGACTGCCGGCGAGCGCGACGAGGATATGTTTAGCACCGACACCAACTACCGGGAAGCTGACTCGGTAGCCAGCATGGGCGCCGAACCCGATGCCATGGACGAAGACATGGACATGATGGCGACTCGATCTGTTGGTGGTTACGAGGATAGGATGAGTGACGACGGGTCCGCGTCGCTTGTGGGATTCGGCGAAGGCGCTGGCAGCACCGTCTCTGGCCCCATTTACCACCGTCGTGCTCCCCCAGGCGCGTCTGCAGCACACCAAGCCTGGAACCTGGAGCGAACAAACTCGGGAATGAGCGACTATCGTAGGGACAGAGACACCATGATGAGCGGAGGCGATACACCCATGAGCGCCTCTGCCATCCAGGAAAGACGAGATGCTCGGATGATGGATGGAGTTGCTGCTGATGCTCCACACCATGGAATGCTCACGGAACAAGACAACTTTGTGGATACTACCTTCCGTGGGCCTCTGCCTACAGGCAGACACCCTACTACCAGGGAGACCGCGGAGAGAATTGTTCAGCAGCTGGATAGGGGTGAGGCTAGAGCAGGTTCATCCGGTCTCGGGAGCCCGGGGGTGGGAGGGCAGTCTCTTGGGAAACTCTACTTTGAAGGAGATAAGCGAGACGATTGAAGTGGAGATTTTTTGAGCACAGTGGCATCCCGGGGCTTGGAAGGCAGAGTTGCGTCGCTACCGACTGATGAGAACAAGCCCGTCACAATTAAGGGAGTCAGTCAGTCATGTTGAGGTCCGTGTCTTGGTTGCTTCAGTACTAGCGAGTGTTTGTTTGGTATTCCCGGCGCATGTGCAACGGCCTGATGGAAATATATTGGAATGATGCTGTATTTTGCTTGTGTGTCAGTTGGCAGAGTATTATTCAATAGGCTTTCAAATCTGATGAATTGACAAGGCGGCCAAGCCCAGCGCCAGCCGCTGGTCTGGTCACCGCGTGAGTCCCCTTGACCGATTTACTTTTATACCCGTCACGTCGTGGTTCCATCATTACAATTATCGTTGTTTTGCCCACTAAGGTTCTTGGATACTTAATCCGAAGCAAACCATTGGCCGAAACGTGTCTGCTCGTGGCTGTCCTGACCGTCAGGGTACCCGGCCCAGCCTGGCTGTCGTAGTACGTCAACAACACCTCATTCATCTAAGCCGGCTGCACTCGAAAGGAACCCAGCATGTCAACTAGACAAGACGAGAAAATGCCTCTTCCGCCTCGGATCGCGCGAGCAAGAAGGGACGCCCGCGCAAAAAAGGCAAAGGCGTTCCTGAACAAGACTGTTCCCCTGGTCCTGCAATCCAATGCCCGCGCGAGAAGAGGAGTAGAAGCAGCCTGTCTCGTCGTCGATCCTCCCAAGTGCAACTCCTCCCAGGAAGCTGTCCGGCGTGACGGACCCTCCGGAAAGACTTTAGCAACAGATGCCGGGCCCGAGCCGTCGACTCTGGCTATCCGCATCACCCTCCGGGTTACGGATACCCTCGAAGCAGCATCCCGGCTTATGCCTCGCGTGGCCGTCCTCAACATGGCTAGTCCCTTGCGCCCTGGCGGTGGCATTTTGACCGGTGCCACGTCGCAGGAGGAATGCCTCTGCGGGCGTACGACGCTATATCCTTCTCTGCGGGAGGATTTCTACCGTCTCCCCGATGTAGGAGGCGTGTATACGCCCGATGTGCTTGTTGTCAGGAGCTGGGATGCACAGGGCGATGATCTCCCCGTCTCGAAGAGGTTTTTCGTGGATGTGGTCACAGCGGCCATGTTGCGGATGCCGGATGTGGAGGGGAATGTGTACGTGGAAGATAAGGATAAGGAAATAGTCCTCAGGAAGATGAGAGCTGTGATGAGGATGGTTAAAGGAAGGGGAGTTGACAGGCTCGTGCTGGGGGCTTGGGGATGCGGTGCGTATGGAAATCCAGTCAGAGAAATCGCGAGAGCGTGGAAGAAGGTCTTGTGTGGAAGAAAAGGGAAGGACAAAGATGATGGAGAGGGATGGGATGGTTTGGAGGTTGTGTTTGCCATCAAGGACCGCAGAATGGCAGACATATTTGCGACTGAGTTTGGAGGTGGACTGATTGTTGAGGAGAATGATGCCGAAGAAGAAGCTGAGGAAGTGTAACAGTAAGGCTTCGAGTCAGCCGTACATATGTTATAACAATCACGTTAGGAGTACTTGGAATTAAGGCCGTTAACAATTTGTTTCATTCATCAAGAAGATCGTTGGAAACACGAGATGCAGCGCCTGCCGCCCTTGAGCCTGTGGTATAAAAGCTTGATCCGGGTAACAAGGGATGGCAATAGCGGTATGAAGTGGGAAACAAGAGACCGAGATATCTGGCCACTCGGGTAGGTAAAATGAAAAAAAAAAGATGAAAGAAAAAAAGTAAGTAACAAGAAGTAATCGCGTGAACTGCTTGTGCTGTCCAAATGAGTTTCGAATACATCGGTATAGACAGACGCTCTCGTTGCATGCCAACCAGCCGCTAGTTAAAACAAACCACAACGCCAGCCCTGAACAGTATGATCCAAATGCCCCCAGGTCATCGCCACCAGCATCTGGAAACCGCTAGTGCCTGTTACCCATAAGAGTTCGCTTCAATGTGAATGCAAATGCCTCCCGCCGCCCGTTGCCGGTGACAATTGCCAACCCGCCGGAAAACAAAGCCCCCTCGCTCCCGAAAAGAGAGATGTTTGTGAAAACAGAGATCTTTTCTTCTGGATGAAATTTGATTTGTCTCACATAGCCACCCAGCCCAGATCTTGTACGCCTGTGCGTATGTAAACGTATAAATGAGTACTTGTCGACAGCGAGGACTCCATGGATTCATGCGAGAAGTTCCAGGAGATTGTGCCGAAAAAAAAAAGACTTATCAGAAAAGAAAAGGCAGAAATACAGATTGTAGAATCAGATGCAATGGCCCAAAGTGCTTCAGGTATGCTTGAGGCAAACGACTGACATGATGCTCATGTGACTGTACGCTATACTCATGCATATGTTGCCACGTCAGCAGTCGACATCACTTCCGTGTTCGTATATTTGAGTGGTACGGTGAAATGAATCAATCATCTCAAAGTCCGTTGTCAGGCACAGAGGAAATCTAGCCCAAGTCTCTTTGCAATGAATTGCCAATCCCACACGGACACCCAGTCACCTTGATCCATCAGAGACCAGACTTCCTCTAGCAGCTCCATCACGCGATCAGAGCTTCGTAGTCCTGTGTATCCACGAATAACTTTGATGGCCGTTCGAATTCGGCTGCGTTGGGTGCTGTCGAAACAAGCAGTGCCAATGACAGTGCAAGGTATTAATAGAAGTGTCTGAGCTGGATCACACGGCTTGAAGGACTCAAGAATGGCTAGTGATTCTTCCACTGCTAAAGTAATCCGACGATCATCCTGCGCCGGTCTTCTTGCTGGCGGAGGGGACGATTGTTTGTGACCGTCTTGGCACTCTTCACCGACTAGTGGAATTGTGTCCTGCTCATGCATTGAGCTGGTACGTGAGGGATTCCGTGAGGATGGGCAACTTTGTGCTGTATGGGATCCTGTTAGTGATGTCAGGTTAGACAATATCGCGGACGAGGACGTCGACGAGCCAACGCTGGCAACCATTGAGGCTCGTCGTTGCAAGTGGCCCGTGTTGTGCTGCGATGAAGTTACAGGCAATGTCATAAACGTAGAACGTCTTGATGGTGTTGTTGATGGCGGATATATTGTCCGGAAGAGATACACCCACATCATTTGCTTGTACAGCGGCCCAACTCTATGGCGGCTGTCTCCAAGTGGCCATCGAGGGACCCACTCTCTAATGGCCGCGTCAATTTCGGCCGCACGATACAAGCTGGTGTAGTCGACAACAGGGTCTACTGACGCGGCTACGTTTGCTCTGATCACATTTCGCAGCGTAGTGATCTGTGAAAGGCATCGGAATAACCCGTCCCCAACCCCGATCAGTCGAGGTGGATGGATCTGGGATGGAGGCCCCGAGGAGTCTGTAGACAAGCGACTTGAGTTGGCTCCGGAATGCCATAAAAGGTCGTCAGCGTATATGTGATACTGAAAGAACTCGGTTATAAACGTATGAAATGTCTTGTTTTCTGGCGGTGAGTGTTGGATTAGGGTCTGATATGCTTGCAGATGGACCCGATGCTCGCCTCTAGGATTTCCTTCGGCTCTCGTCTGAAGGAGCAGACAGAGTATTTGTCCGTATCGAGCGGCAAGCACCGTGTCATGTGCTGGGTCCTCCTTGGGTACAGGGTTCTCCATGTCTTTGTAAAGTCTCCTCAATGCCTCATCGTGATGATAGTCGCCTCTTTGTTGTAAAGACTCCGGGGTTACGGCAGAGTTATCTTGAAGTATTTTGGCTCCATATGGCGAGTCTAGGTCGATATGTTTGCTGCTTACAGCCAGAATGGAGTGCATCAACCCCTGATGCTGATTTGCAAGTGGCAGGATAATATCTTTGAAAGCGTTTTTAGCCTCGCCTTCAACTGTCAGTACGTTGCTGAGATGGTTGATATAATGTTTCCAAAATATCATGTCCTCTGCTGTCTCTACCCCATGAAAAATTGGCTGCATTGTGATAATAGGCTGGCACTCATGTCGCATACGCTCTGGCAATGGCATTAGCTTGGAGGAATCGTTAAAGATGCGTTTTTCATCCGACTCGTTTCGTCATTTACCTTCTTCAGCTTTTTCTTTGCCGCTCTTCCATATTTGTTTTTCGTGATAGCCCTCACAAACCACTGCGTTCTTCTCACAATTCATGCCTACGAGAAAGTCAGACAAGTTAGCAGGGCCGTATGCTCAGGGTAAAACAACAACAACAGCAAGCCAGCAGCGCCTTACATCGTGGTTTGGCTTCATCGCATTTCTTCTTTCTCTTCCTGCAAGTAATGCATCCCGTTTTGGACCGCCCCTTTGTGACTTTATTCACATTCACAGCTTGTGGTTGAGGGTGTTTTCTCGGCCTGCCGCGTGGTCGCTTTTGCTTGATTTCAGAGTTATGCTGCAGTGCGATTTGTTGTATTGGCGTCAACGGAGCTACTGTCACGTCCCCTAATTTGATATCGTCATCGTTTGGTTCCAGTTTCGGGGCTGTCATGACTTCATCCTGAGCGTGCTCCCAGGTCTCCCAAGTCACTTCATTATCTCCCTCATCCTGGTCCACATATCCTATACTCCAAGAGTCGGTGCATGACGAGGATGCTGAATGCGCGGTTGTTGGAACCGATGAACTGTCCAAGCTGGTGTCGACCCCCGAGCTCACCGGCGAAAGCTGCCCAGTCTGAACTGGCCTTGACAAGGGAGCGCCCTTCCAAGCTGCTTCTGTTGGTGAAGGAGATGGTAAAACCACTCCCTCCCATGCGCCATCATCGGATGACATACCTCTATCGCTTGCCCATAGCGTCTCCCCGTCCGTCACTAGAGTCAAGTGTTTTTCCATTGCTCATCAATAGCGATGACATGCCAACTGGTAATGTGTACAACGAATCTTGTTTCCAAGCTGTGTACTGTGAAAAGTAGACTGTTATAACTAACGGTTTGTACAGCTTTCGAAAGTCAAGCGACCGAAGCGCCTGTGGAGTTATATTGCTACTTGAATGCGGGAGAATGATATGTGCATGGTTTCATGTGGGTTTCCTGGCTGTGTATCCTGACCAAGGAACGCGGTCTGGCGTGGCTTGAGGTTGGCTAGGCTGGCAGACAAGCCAGCGACGGCTGCTGATTGAAGCTGTTGCAGGCAGAGACAGGTGATGTGAGTGGTGATCACCCGCGAGGGAGGAAATGGTATGGAGGGAATACTTGGAGGGGTTGAGCTTGGTGGTGGTCAGGTCTTATTTGTCAGGCAACGTGAGGGCCAGTTCTGGAGACAGACTATGCAGAGGAGGTTCCAGGAGTCCCCATGCTTCTGCAATTTGATCATGTCAGATCCCCGTGAGTGTTGTCCACCAGGTGTGTGTGATCCCCCACATCCACCTCGTCTCTCATGCTCCAATCCGTGGTATTCTGCGCTCGGAAACCCAGTCCAAGACGCAGGGTGAGATTGGTGGTGGCTTCAGGGAGTAAATGATCCAGCAATGACTGTCTGCCAAGACATTCCCGTAAAGTGCGATACAAGACCGATGTGCGTGGTTGCTACCGTGGATGCAACCGTGGGGACAAAACACGGAGGCCTAGTCATCTGTCCGTGGTGTTGGAAGACCTGGTGGTATCTGGACAGGGCCGACCATCTCCACCGCAGAAGCCACAGCGACGATTTGCCTCCTAGCGCAACTTGAATCCTTTCCACAACTCTCTGAGGTACATTGAGGTACTTAACGGTGTGAAGGGTTTGGATGATCCTTGTTCAAGATTCTCTGAACCAACAACGGGCGTTGGTACGGGCCTTGACCAATCAATCACGACTTCAGTTTCCAGCCCCAGGAGGCCCAACCCAGAGGCCTGGCGAGGGTCCGAGACGTTGCTGATGATAACTGACAGGAACAAGGTGGTGAGCCGACAGACAATGGAGACACAAGCCTCTCAACCCGTCTACTTTTGGAAGGGAGAGCAACGTCCAGACTCCGGGAAAGAGGCAAGCTGCCACGTGCAGCATCAGCTTGTTACAGACAGCCCTGATTACTTGACCCAAGCCACTCGGTAGACTTCAAACAAGCAATTGTTTGTTGACCAAAATATGAAATACTGTACTTGTCAGCCACACGGACACGGGCATGCTTGGATTAGGGGACCTAAGGTGGGCCAGCATGCTGTGGCTGCCTCCATTGAACTGTAGTGTCCTGCATCATGATATCATGGCTTGGCGACAAGAGAAGTATGTACATATGTACAGTATGCCATGGACGCAGGTAAGGCGTGGATTGCCGACCGTTATGCATCGATAGATGGCCTTAATTGTCTGAATGCCCTTCCAGGTGCCGGCCACCTCCTGACTACTCCAAAGGCAAATCAGCCTGTAAGAGTACAAAGACCCTTCACCGTACTGCACCTGCAATACTCCGTGAGTCGTACGTAGTAGCAACAACGAACTGGCGTAGGTCTCAATCGGACTCTTGTTGGTCTTGGACTGAACTCGGCATATGGAAGCTGGGTCGCATGTGCGGTCTCCAGAATCAGTCTCCTGTACTCCGTACGGAGAACATGGTGTTGGTTGGGGCCGGGCTGAGTTGCCCAACAGTGCACTCCGTATTATTTGGATTGGAATACGGAGTGCGATGTGACGAGAATGTTTGACCATCGCCACTGACTCGGCGAAGAACCAGCAATACATACATTTTTGCATGAATGAAGCGACCGTGGCAGACAACTTTGGGTGGACGAGCAGGGGAAGAGGTTGGGAGGCTTGATGGTGAGTAGAAATTACCGATGCAGACGAGGCCAAGCAGGTGGTGATGGTTCCCCGCTCCGCCGAACACCATCGTGCCTTCCCTGCTCAACTATCCATGTCGTTTCATTCTCATGGCTACCACACTTTTTTTGGGAGTCCTTTTGTTGAAAATTCTCTATTTCACCATGCACAATATCAGCTGCGACGGTACTATATTGCGCCATATTGGTTTCTGAGTCATCCACAAGGCAACTGACAGTCGGCGTGCCGTCTCGGGAAATTGCATCATGTCTCGCCGCCAGAATACACGAGTCCAGACCACATTCATCGATGCATTGACGAAAGCTGGAGCAAAAGGAATTTGACCAAGCCTTGATCAACGGAATTTCACACATGTTACGGCAGTACTCCACGATATCCTGCAATACACTGGCTTGGGTCTAATGACAGACAGGATATCCGATCTCTAGCAGAATGGTGATGGGTCAAGCTAGTATTGACTGCCAAGTAGACTTACTGTCATCAGTGTTACAGTATCCACCGGAAATCTGCAGCAGTTCATACTGGGATAATCTGGCTTCCTCAAAGAGCTTGGCCTTAGATTGTGTCTGCCCAGAGACCAGATGAGGTTCGCCTTCTCCGCCCTCTCTCAGGCGATCCGGCATTATCGCATCGGTGGATGACGTTTTGTTTCCTTGACGGGCAACGCGGACTAAATACTATTGACTTTGGCGTACCATTGTCGGCAATCTGAGGCACAAAGGGTCACCGACTCGACCCAACGTGCTCGACAATGTCGGTGACGAGCTGTCTTTCATTGGGGTTGGCCGAGTCACCACCCCTGTACACCATATAACTTGGCCACTCAGTTCAGTCTAGTTCAATCAGCGTCTTCGTCTCATCCGTCAATTGCAACCCCCACCGAAAACTGTGAGGGCCAGGCCCTGCCTGTGACTGTCATGATAACAGCAGCTCGGCCCCGATTCCTTCTGGATACCACGAACTCGGCCGATGCGGAAGCGAGCAGTCAACGAGTAGGCCCTGAAAACGAAAGCACAGAGCTCCTGGAAGCCGCTGCTTTATATCAGCATTCCGTTGTGCCAAAGCTGGAGATTGCCTGGTAGATTTCTGCCCCTAGGCCAGTGCTCAGAGTGAGACATGCTTGGTGCGGAGGCTTTATCCCAGATTCCGCGTGAACAACCAGCCCGTCGTACTACCGGACACACTGACATCGGGTTTCCCATTCTGGCAATAGCCGTTCGCTGATGAGGCAAACCAACCAACCCCTCACGTCTAGGCTTTCATTACATCCCGACCGAGTATGCAAGGTAAATGCCCCGAGATTTGATGTGCAGATACAAAGGCATACGCTCGTCTGTGCAAACACACCCAAGTAAACAGTTGCCTGCATGGAGAAGGGCAAGGGCACAAAGACGTCCTCGAAAAGATGACAAATCCGTTACATGGCCACGAAGAGCAGGCGGTAACTGCCGCAACAGCTCCTCGGAATGAACCACATACCACCATTGTGTATACTGGACGGACAGAAACAGCGACGGTGCTGCGCCAGAAATACCGTGCGAGTTCCAATGGAGTACCCGTCTGAACAATTTCGAGCCCGACTTCAATATCACAGGGAACCTTGGCCCGAGGACTCACCACCGAACCAACGCAAAACCCCACCAATTTCAAATGCAAAATAACGCAATCCCGCCCCCAAGCTACTCTGGGTTTAGCGGTCCAGGATGTTGAGCTCCCGTAGGGAAGGAAAATGTGACAGATGACGGGTACTTCGAGATACTTGAGGCACTGACATTGAGATCCGCCAATCAAATCTGCCAGTCATCTACAATAGTCAATGGTCAGTGCGAGGCTGCCCGCCAGAGTCTTCTGCAGTGGTGCGCCTATCAACCAACGTAACCGGGAATCATCACGAACCGCGCCGACTAAATTTCGGGTCTGGTTGTGTTGTCTGCCCGTTAGCTCCGAGTAAGACAACATATATGTACATATATTCGCAAATCTACCAACTTCTCAGCAATGGAGCTAAGACACTATCACAAGTTGGCCAAGGCCACATGCTCATGACCAACGAACATGACTAGACCAACAATTCTTCGTTCTGTACAAGCCAAAACGACAGAATGCGTCTACCATTACTTCTCTTAAACATACACTGCGATATAAGCAAGTTTTTTACTCATTTTCGAGCAATGGATATCCCACCCAACGTACCGGGTCGACTCAACGCATTGTGTGTAAGTCGCCGGAGAAACCGATTTTAGAGTTTAAGGTCGGGAACGAGGCTCAAGCTGCCCACTGTTAATTACTTGGCCGTGCCGTCCCGCGTCGAGCCCGTTTGGCGTGTGCTACTATTGTCCTTTGGTGTCGCTATCCTCGCAAATGGCACAGACTGCTCTGTAACTGGCTGGTTCAACGCCGGCTTTGGTACGTGGGTAGGAAGATGGACTCGACGGGCACTCCTAGGGTTGGCCACTCTTACAGGGCAGCTGCCCGGGCATTCAGGCTGCCTGGCAACCTCCGAGGTGACATGTTTCTCGATGAACACCGGCCAAACGTGTTGCCGACGCCTAATAGGCCAGCTCGTCGAGTCAATTGTGATGCCGGTGTCCTGGCATGACCTCGAAATGCCAGTTATAATTCATGGTGCTTCACGTACATATGATCGACTTCACTAAGATTGCCGGCCCCGGCCGGTGCATGCGATGATCGGAGACTGCTGCATAACAGGGATTAAATGACCCAAATTGCACCTTTTCAGTGGTTCCCTGCAGCTTCTCCAGCATTCGACTGCACCAACCACGAGTTTGAGGGTATTTTTAAAGTGCATGCAAAGCCTGGGTGGACTGAGATGGGCCAATACAAAGCACTTTGATGTCGTTCTGGATGCGCAAATCTACAAGGTCTTTCCTGCGTCAGCATATCCATTCAGAACCCATGAACTAGAATTCTCTGATGAGGGATAGTAGTAGAAGAATATCCTTGACAAAGTATCAAGCCAGTGGAGCTATCACAACACCGCTTGTCACAGCCCCTGCTGCATCCGCATTCTGTCATGGGCTGACAATCTTGAAAAACGGCCCTCGGAAATCCAGGCATTTGACGGTGTGGTGTACCTAGGCAATGGACAGGTGGGCAGGCTATCATCGGGAATGAATGGGCCAGTTTTGAGTGCAGGCGCCTGAAAGTGCGGTGAAGTGTGGCGTCCTGGTTATGACGATATTGGCAAAAGGTTGCCGTCACATGCTCATCGAATTCGCGACGACGTATTTAGTGGTCATAGTATCAACGCCTCTCTATCGCTACACCACGACCCAGAGTATTCCGACTCTTTGGAGCTAAGCAGCGAGGCAGGTCAGCGCTACGCGGCCGTTGGTGCCGAGTTGCCACTGCTAATGAGGGCATTTCTACGACGTCAATTTTAGAAAAACGCAAAAAATCAGTATACTTAGTTGGCGACCACAGTACCGCAAAAAACACGATGCCAAGTACACTTCTCCCGTTGCTAGTACATAGTTGATGGAGCATATAAAGTAGCTTATTCACAGCCTTCATGTCATGACAAGCGAGCCGGGGGGATTTGAGTTCATCTCAACTTTATGGAACAACCAAGTCGAAAGGGTGGGTGGGCACAGGCAATGTCGAACATCCCTTTTTGAAGTCGCAGACATGATAAGCACCCCCCAGAGGGTAAGCAACTTCTGGTATTGGTGTGCCTTGTAGCTCATGCTGCCTCACCCCCCTCGCGCGTTCCGTTCGACGCATGCTCGGGCTAGAGAAAGTCTCGCTTGTTGAACATGAAGTGGTATCTGCCTACGGAGTGTTGATACAAAATCTGCTTCATTTGCCGCCAAAGGAAGCCAGGGGTGCCACCTCCTCACCGTTGCTGTTGGCACGGGTTTGGTGAAGAAGATGACAAAACTCGAGTTGCGCCCGCAGACGGTCAAAGGACCAGCTTGTGCTCGCGGCGGCCAGCCACCATGACGCCTTTAGGACGTTGCAGGCAACTTGAGCCGGGCGGGTTGATGTTGGGCTTTTTTCGTCTTTTCCTTGATCGAAACATATGCTGCCGGGTGGCTTGCGCCGATGATGTCAAACAGCGGCTTGGAAGAATGTAGTAACCCAGTGCCCCTTACACCGTCTCTCTTCAGGCGGGTTCTGGGCAGCTCACCCACTCGCCATTCGAGTACAACTTCTAAATTCATGGCAGGCTGGTTCCGGCTCGGCCCTAAAAAACTTTACTACTAGTACTACATTGTACATACACGAGTTCAAGCTAGCTGGGATGAAGGCGGTGGGCAACTGGACAGCCACCCTTGGGGCGGCGCCGATGGACTCTGTTAATATTGCATCGTTGCTATGACTTGCACACAACGGGCAACCCCTTCTGCGACCGATACGGCTGCTGCTTATTAGCTCGGACAAGTCTGGTAGTTACCTCTCACATCTGACAGTGGTCGGAACCAGATCGCCTACTTGATCGCCCTCTTGCAGGCGGACAAATATGGGGACTACTACTTAAAACCTTGATAAGTAGCCGCGGCGTTATTGCTAGTGACTTCCACAGAGGCTCATGTATTCCATGCCACGGGGTAAGTATTTTGGACCTCGTTTCCATCGTCGGGCAGTACCGCTGCGACGGTGGCCGAGCACACCACTGTCTGATATCTGGACAGGGGTGAACCACATATGTTTCTTCCGGGATGCCAGTTCGAGAAAGAACCTTGACTATCCCCTGGTTACTCGGGCCTCAAATGTGACCTAACTACAACACGACTGGTCCATGTGGTCGGCGACGTGCTTAGACAGCCAGTAGGAAATGAAGGCATTGTACGGAGTACTCCATACGTACGGAGCTCGGAGTAGCAACAGGTAGTTATTTGGTTCTTTTACTTCTTTACTTCATTGCCCGGCAGGAGATGCCGACACATTACAGTTTTGACGCCCATGGCTCAGCTGAAGGTTGGATCCCATTTTTGCCGGCCGGGGAAAGCAGAAGAGCCTCGCACTTTAGCGGACGAGTCATTATGCTTTCCCTTCTGTGTACTCCGTACTCCGTACACCACCTCTGCTAATTACCCAGGACCCTGCGCTCTTTCGTAATTCCACAAACAAGCTTCGTTTCTGACGCAGATATACTACTGTACATAAGTTCTAGACTGACAAGCAATCCTTGGCCCTTTACATGGATCCAAACGGGCCGCCAGAGCATGTGTGTGTCGTCTCCACCGTCAACCATGTAAATCCACTTCTATCCGCGCCCCCAATGAGCTGGCTCACTACCACTTCTTTCCAGCATTCGAAGCATACATATTACATACATGCATCCGTACGTTCTGATCTCCAGCGCGGTACACCATTTCATTGGTCTTGTGCCTTCCGCTTCTGCCTCGAGATACCAGTACCTACAGCCTACACGTGGCGGGATGGAGGGCCACGGCCATTGTACCTTGCAGTCGAACACCATGATAATCCAGAAAGTCATCATGCAGTTTGGTATTCCGCGCTCCGCACGCTCTTCAGATTCCCGACATCTCTGTGCCATCGATCCGCTGTGGGGGGGTCCGAGTGTCTGCACCTTGCCGACGTGCACGTTTGTCTCTTGATAGCAGTGCCCGACGTGCCTGTCTGTGCCTAGTACATGTAGTTGTCCAGTCCGTAGTTACAGGCCCGGTTGCTGTTTCACCTGAGACGGCGCCATCTTCAGCTTCAACTTGTCTCGAATCCCAGCAATGCTGCTGGTGCTGGTCGTGTAGGAATAGCTGCCTGCCGAAGCGACTCTCGGGTGCTGTTCTTGAACCTGCGTCTCCAACATTGACGGTTGACTGTAAACACTGGCACTTTCGTCCTGCAACTCCACGTGATCCCGACTGCTCCCGGGGTCTCGGGGCGCCTTCTCGTTGGTACTAGATGCATTTGCGACGGGGGCTTGGAATTCTGCAGCGCTGCTGCCCGATGATCCGCTTCGAATGTGCCGAGAGAATAGACTGCCAAGCCTGGAAGGTTTAGGAACACAGGATTGCTTTTGCGCGTCGCATGATTGGTTTGGCCGGGGAGTGATGGAGAGGATAGAGTCGCGTTTGTTTGCCACCGACGCGAGTCGTGACGTTGTATCGAATATTTGTAATGCTAATGCTGTAGATTTATCTGATATACCGCACGTTTTGGCGGGTTTCCTAAACGGGTAATTTAGAGGTAGTGTGCTAATATCTGGCGGCCGGCTGGAATGAATGCGTTGATTGCTGGCCGGTGATGGCTGGGGAAGTAACGTGAACGCCTCGTGGCTCTTGACTTTGTTTAAAGCGAAGCTGGAGCTGTACCAGTGCACCCCACGATGTTTAGAACCCAATGTCTTGGTTGCAGATTGATTGGCGCTGGTAGGGGGGGCGGTTCCGTCATTGGAATGTTTCGTACGGTTCCTCCTGCTCCGCATATATGTCTTGAGGAGATCAAAAGACTGCTCCTCGTGGATTTCATCTCTACTAGTATCAGCAAATAGATCCGACTCTTCATGCTCGTGACCCAATGTAGGGGAATCCGGAATGGGGGTGGGTAAAGTCAGTTTCTCCTGAGATGTTGACGAAGAATGGTGACGCCCTTGTGTGAAGGGGTCATTTTCAAGATATCGTGCATATAGGACCGGCGACATGAGACTATCCCTTGCGTACCGGGTACTTGAACCTGAACTAACAGTTCGCGAGTGAGTGGGCGTGTTGGTTCTGGCATCAAATGAGTGGTGCTGAGGACTTGAATATCGCTTCCAGTCCAGGGAACTAGTCCTTAGGCCTCTTCGATCAGCCAGCCCCTGAGGGGATCGTCGTGGGCCGAACAAGATTCCGGGACTAGGCGCCTCATTTGGCCTCAGTGAGATGTCTTCCATAGTAGCGTCGCCGATGATTGAGGCACACATGGATTGGATTCCTCCCGGTCTCAGGCCGTCCTCCATTCGCGGATGCTGTGCTCCGCTCGTCGATACCAGCCGTGATATTGGCGATAAATTAGTATCTGAGCACGGAATCTTGACACACAAACGGAAGCGAGGATCAGGCGTGTCGGGGGGTTGACCTGGGGAGATTGCCTTGTTTTGGAATCTAGGAGCCGGTGGTTGGTAAGTTCTTGGCAACAAAATTGGAAGAGAGCCTTGTGTGAGTTCGGTACTCTCGTTTAGGGGTGAATTTGCATCTTGCGAAAGCGACACATGCGCATTGTGGAAGGTCGTTCGTTCAGTGTCCGCAGAGTGTGATGATGGTTTATGATCTGTTTGAGATGTAGAAGGCATTGTAACTTTCAGCATTCCTTTGTGTTTTGACAATGCCAGCCTCTTCGCGGTATGCTTGACTGGCTTTCCCAGAGCTTGCGTATCATCCCCGCTGTTGTCGTCGCTATCAGAATTGTACTAGAAATTTCGACTTGAACGCTTCTTGACGAGGATGACGCCTGGTCGCTTCATTTCGTCTGACGCCGGTTTTTGATCTTGGAAAAGTGGATGGATATGAAATTCTGAACAATCGAGATCATCTGGAGTGGGAGAGTCAAGTGAAAAGGCGGCAATACTCTTCTTCGCGGCTGACAGCTCATGCCCGGGCATGTCTTCGAGGAGTGGATTGGTATTCTGAGATGCAATGAGGCCCGTGAGAGTTGGTGACGAAGTATGTCTCGAATTGGAAGATGTTCTTGCGACAGTGCTGGTCTTAACCGCGATGGTATTCCAAGAACGGTAAGCTGTTTGGACTATTCCATGGATCTCTGAGCCGTTCGATAAAGGTACTTTTAACCACGTCGGTGGACTGTCATCACGAGCCTCTTCGATCTGGCGGAAAATTATGAAGCATAGTTCCTCAAACTTCTGGAATTCTTCAGCATACTTGACCATGCTGTTTCGACAAATCTCGTAGCTGGGAATGCTACACGGTGAAGTAAAGTTGACCTTGAACGATTGTTCATTGTCCTGTAGCATCTTGTTCGGTCTCATCAGGTGCTCATAAATACAAAGTCGTATTTCACCTCGTAAGTTTACTATATCAGATGAAGGTTCGACTTCATCTTCATCTTTTCCACACGCTTTGAAATTTGGAGGGAACAGCGCATTCAACCGGGCCATGATCTTTGCTGCTTGGTCCCTATCTATGTTGTTTTGCGGTAGAGAGTCTACCATACACTAAAATGACGCATTTGTCAGTAACAGCGGTTTGTTGCAACAAGCAAGATGGGGCGGGATGCTAACATGTGCGCGAAAATAAAGTTGAAGAGACGAATATGTTTCGCTTGCTGCGCCATGCTTCTTGATCAACAGGGAGATATGGTCCTTCAGCAACCCACCGTCTATTACTTGTTTTGCGGAAGCTGCAAGCCGTTTGCGATGGATTTCAATCTGCTCAAGCATAGCCAATACTTCGAATGTCTGAATATGATCTAGTCGTCCATCTTTTGTTCGTTCGAATACGCCCTTGATAGTGCCGAGTTTTTTACGAGAGTTAGGCATAGCGGACGGTGGGAGCGGACTTGATTCATCTTTGTAAAGTTGACGGTGAAGGTCGTCGTTATCAAACGCCTTGAGTTTCTTCTGGATGGCTTCAACGAAACCGACTTGTCCGGGACCGAGACCGAGGCTATCGACATTGACGAGATCGGTTAGGTGCTTGAATCCGGAGGAGAGCCACCACTCCTCCAAATGCCCTATTGATTCAATCATGGCAACTTTCCATAAAACCGAATGGGTGGCTGCGTTTTGGCTTGGACTGGAAGTTCGAGCGTCGGCGCGTCGATATATACGGACGTCAAGGTTTCACACATACATTCCCATTGTCCATACACAAGTCCATAAAAGCAAACTTGACAAAGCAAAGAGGAGGCACGGTAGACGATGGGGGATTGCATCACGTGTCAAGCCATACTGTGTTCTACGAGGACTGTCCTCACTTCTTACTCACATCGGGTTCAGTTTGCATCGTGAATCCTTTGCACCAGGCGAGACAAAAAATCACTGCTTCTGACTGCCCTGGATGTTGCGCGACTACCGGCCGCAGTGGAGCGGAATGATTCACTGAAGGCATTTTGAAAGAAGATTGTAGATTAAAGGGTGATGAAAAAGACAATCGTTTTTGTCTGCTCGTTTTGTACTGCGTTTCGGCGTAAAGCCCAGTGCTTCTGTATGGAGTCATAATCAGATTGCAAACACAAAGTCTAAAACAAAGGAAGGAGAATGGGCAAACCCAATCGTCGTTGTCACGTGTCAAGCACAGCCGTCGACACTCAGACCAGGCATCTATCTGCTCCGTACCTGTCTCTTAATATTTCGGCAAAGAGCTTGAGGGTTTCATGTTTTGCGACACTGGTGCATCAACCACGTCTTTATGTCGCCTTTGATATCAACGATATTTTAGGTCTGGCGACGTCATTCGACGACGACTCTTGAAGCCTTCAATGAAAAGTGCCGTCACTCACAACATTGCATTGAGCCTCCTGCGCAGCTGAAACTCCCACCCGACGCTGTGGACTCTGGCTGCCCAGAGCCGGGTCGGGCCCACAATAATGACAAGAATAAGGCCCCAGGTCCAGCATCCCTTGCCATGTCTCCACCGTTGCGAGGCCGCCGACAGGAACCGACCGTCGCCAACGTCGGGCAGCTGGGACTAATAAACTTTGTCTTGTGGAATAGGGTCCCGAGTCACTTTGAAGTTTTGGCCTGTTCGCAAGAGCCACGAGGAGGCCACCTCCCAAACACGCCATGGTCCCGGGATTGCTTGATCTTGACCACCTCAGACATCCCATGATTTGGACAGCAACCGCCTGGGCTTCAGGAAGCAATTGAACCCATTTGCTGCTGACCAGGCGCCGACTTGTCGCTCATTGGCGCGTCACAATGCAGGCAATGCGGCCTGGCCTCCGCGCAACATGGCCATTCTCCGGGTCGAATGTTGCTAGGCACACTCGAATTGGACACGCCGCCTCATGCTCACGGCTTTTTTCGACGTATGGCCCCAGAAACAGTGGTAGGAATAATTGCAACTCATGCTCAACCACGAGCAGCTGCCATATTCACACCCTTACATGAAGCGCAAGGACTAATTAATACTTCATAGCTCAAGATGCCCCCCCAAACGAAAATAATAGCAGCGGAAATGCCAAGTCGGACGAGTCGTCCATCTTCTCCAAAATGGGGGAATCCGCAGCCACCACATTCGCCTCAATATTCGTCTTGGGAGTAGGATTCGCAGGAGCGGGGTATCTTTACCATAAATCCTATAAAATGCTCGTTCTCAAGAAAATGACTCGAGCCTTTGAACCTGGGGATCCTGTATTGGAGTTGGCCGCGGTGGGCAAAGACGTTCCTCATAGCCACCCTCCCGGCGAGGAACATTGGGTGCGCCGCCCGGAACAAGAACATATCGATCGTATCATCACTGGTCAGGAGGTTGGCCATTACTACTTCATATTGGGCGAAAAGGGTTCCGGGAAAAGTAGCATGCTCATCGAAGCAATGCGCAAGATAGATGGCGATGGTGTCGCCATGTTCGAGGCCCATGCGGACCCGGAGATTGTGAGGATACGGCTGGGGAAAGCGCTCGACTATGAATTTCATGAGGACTACATCGGCGGGTACTTTAGCGAGAAAGGGCCGCGTGACATGGGAGCTCTTTTGGATATTGAGCGTGCGATGAATAAGCTGGAAAAAGTGGCCATGAAGCTATTCCGTATAAGAAAGAAGCCTCTGGTTGTCATTGTCAATCAGATGCACCTTTTACGAAATGACGATGTTGGTCGAAATCTTATCGAGCTTTTACAACAACGCGCCGAACAGTGGGCCGCCGCTGGGTTGGTGACTATGGTGTTCAACTCGGATGATTACTGGGTCTACGAACGGCTGAAGCTACTATCCACTAGAATGGAAGTGTTGCCTGTGACGGATTTGCCGAAGAAGCAAGCCATTCAGGCTCTGCAAAGATATCGCATTCGCTATTTTGGAGAAAAGATGACCCAGGAACAGCTTGACGATGTATATGACCGCGTTGGAGGACGATTAAGTTTCCTGAACCGTGTGGCAAAGAGCCATGATATGTTGGCCACGTGCGAAGGGATCAAGGACATTGAGAAGAAATGGTTCCTCAATCAATGCTGGATCATGGGAACCGAAATGGATGACGATGTTATGGATCAACAAAAGTGGGCGGTAAGTTTCTCGACGTTTCTCCCCTTTCAAAATACCCAGAGAAGGCAGTAGTACTGACAGAAACTGGAGGCTGCCGCTATGGTTTTAGCACATGCCCTTGTTGAGAAGGAAGAGAGCATGACAAGCACATATGATCCTGTTGTAGGCCACATCCTACCTACGTATCCTTTCCATATCGCGCAAGAGATCATGACACGATGCGACTTTATCAGAGATCTAGACAGCTTGAATCTATTCACGATTACGAATCAAGCAGACGTACGAGCTAGCAGCGTGCCGATGCACCGGGCTTTCCGGGAGATTTGTAGCCAACCAGGTTTCAAGGAGCATTTGGATAATACCATTGAAAGGATTGCCGCTATTGAGAGCTTAGGCCGGACCAGGGAACTGGTGGCCAAAGACTTGGTTCTTGGTGGGCAATATGACATTCAGCAGGAGCGCAACAAAGTCACGGTGAGGTTGAAGATGCCCGAGGAGGAGGAGAAGGACAATTAATTGCATTCAAACAGCTAGTGGTAGACGGTGTATGCATGGACGCAGCACTTGCGGAATGTTTTTCTCATGTCATGGTGTATTTATATGTATGAATAAAAGAATGACTGATGTCGATATTGGATATTGTGACAAGGTGTGTGTGTTCCCAATACAATCATTGTGCACTTCGTTCTAGGCATGGCATGTTGGTTTCAGGGTGAGCGCAACTAAATGGGGGCCTGACATCTCAGGCAACAAACAATTGGCAAACGCCAGATGTTGACCCAGAGAGCTTGACGCGCCTCCAATTTGAGCGCCCCCACAGCCAAGCTTGTCTCCAAGCGCAAACCCAGTCTGCACTGATGTCTGCGCACAGCAAATGGCCCAACTTTCGTCTTGCATCCACATTGTGATCATTGATGGGATCGCAGCCTGACGGGCCTGCAACGACGAGATCCGGCCGCCACTCCCTGCAGAAAGAATATCAACACCAGCAGGATCGAACCGTGGACGACGACCAATACGATTCTCGTCGCAGCGCAGCTCACACAGCAATGTCGGACGTAGACGATTACTCCATCACTGGCTCAGACAACGCCGCAGACGTTGGCGAGCTGCCTGGAGTTGATGAGGACTTTGGAGCCATAGAAATGTTCGATAGCAATGCCGCGCCTTCCACCTTCTCCTCGCAGGCCCCAGTAGCGGTCATGGCAGAAGAAGCTCCCCTGGAAGCATCACCCAGGAAATCGAAGCGAGATAAAAAGGGCAAGCGAGACAGGAAGCGGAAATCGTCCCAGGAAGATGATGTCGCTACTTCGCCAATCCCGGAAGAAGAGGACTCGTCCAGGAAACAGAGAAAACCGAAGAGAAAGTCGACCAAGGGTGCGGAAATTTTGGACAGTCAGCCGACTCAGCATGAGCCAATTGAACCCTCAGAGGATACGCCCTGGGGCCAGTTGCAGGAGGAGGAAGCGGCCGCATTATCCAAGACACGGAGGAAGCGCAAGCTGTCGGATACTGTAGATGGTAAAGGCCGGAAGAAGAAACGATCTCATGATCAGGAACCTGAGAGTCAAGATGATGAGGCAGGTTCTTCGAATCTCCTCCGCAAAAGGAAAGAGCAACGCGGTGATTTGGAAAGTGCCATATATGAAGATGATGAGCCGGAGTCTGACACGCAAGAATCGCCCACCGTCGCCCACCTACGTCGACGAAGCCAATCACGAGAAGCTCGCTCTAGAGAGAATAGTGTTCCCAGCGAAAGCCAAATGGATGTTGACCCGGGGGCTGAGGACCGCACAAAGACTGCTGTGGCCGCATTGGCTGAAGCAGACGGCGATGTCGAGCGCTTGGCGCGTGAGGCCTTGGACGAGCACCATATTGGACAGCAGGCATTGGAAGAAGGGCAAAACGTAGATCAGGATCCAGACATGTCTAATCAGTATCCACAAGAGCCGTTGAATGCTAGCTTGGAGAGCATGGTTGAGGCCGAGCTACCGATTGCGAAGTCGAAAAAATCCCGATCCACTCGGAAGAAGGCCAAGCCAACCTACTTTGAGCAGGATCCCATCCCGGATATTGTGAGTGAGGACGAAGGCAACAGGAATGCTTGGGAAGAGTCGCCTTCGCCGTCTGCTGCAATGCCAAAGGCTCGAAGAGTGAAACGGGCGGCTAAGAAGGAATCTCGTGGCCGCAAGCCGAAGAGGGCAAAACTTTCACAGTCCATGCGTGGTGGCTCGGCAGATGCAGATGATGCCTTCGCACAGGCTTCTGGGCAGCCACGAAACCGTTTGACTGGTTTCAAACAAGGTCGATTCACTGACGCTGAACTTGCTCGCATAGCTCGAGCAATAGAGAGTTACCGGGCTGACCATGACATAACACAGCAAGAAGTGAACGAAGTGAGTAATTACTATGCTCATCGACTTTTGTTATTACTGCTAACTGTTGGTTCAGCTCATTCATGCTCCTGGTGGAACCACAGCCGGAGACACTCATGCGCAACTTTGGTCTCGAATCTTTGCTGAATGCCCTGACCGTCATCGACAAAAAGTTATCAATATTACTCGCAAGAAGTTTCACAACTTTGTTGCCCGTGGAACATGGACTCCAGATCAAGAAACTGAATTGGCAGAACTCATTCAACGGCACGGGACGAAATGGTCCTATCTTGGGAGCCTTATCAACAGGCACCCCGAGGATCTTCGAGACCGTTACCGTAACTACATTGTCTGCGGCCAGAACCAGCGAAAGGATACTTGGGATGAAGAAGAAGAAGCTCGCCTTACTCAGCACATCATTGAGTCTATGATAGTAATCGACCAATTGCGAGCCAGCCAGCCATCCAAAACCCTGTTGCAGAAGAGCTATGAAGAGCTTATAGATTGGCAGAACATTAGTGAGCTCATGGGCCGCACCCGAAGTCGGCTGCAATGCATTACGAAGTGGAAATCACTCAATATTCGGATCAATGGCAAGGATCATCTTGTTTCCAGTCAGCCTGATTCCCAAATCTCGTTTAGGCTTGAAAAGGCCCGACGGCAAATTTCTGCAATGCCTGTTGAGGAACGATATCGTCTTGTTATGGCGGTTCATGCTACCGCGGTTGGCGCAGATGTCAAAATTCCCTGGCAAAGACTCGTGGACAAGCCGTTCCGAAACCAGTGGCACCGCTATACCCAGATGCTTCTCTGGCGACGTTTGAAGCAGACTGTGCCCAATTGGGAAACTACCAGTGTGCGAGATTGTGCGCAATATCTAATCGATCAGTACAACCAAACGGGCGATCTTCCCGAAGTGCCAGACGAACTGTTTGATGATGCAGACGAGATGCAGTACATGCAAGCCATGGCTCCGGTTCCCTCAGCACCCGGTACGCAGGACGACGAGCGGGGCCAAGTCAGCACAGAGTTTATCACAGAGTCCGATGCCGAAAGTGATCACGCCGAGCCCAATGGAGAGACGACTCAGTTGGAAGGAGAAGAACAACCAGGAGAGCAAGCACATGAAGACGTGGAGATGGAGATCGATCCCGCCTTGGCTGACGTTGCCCAGCCACCAAAGTCAACTCCCACCAAAAAGACCTCTGGCAAAAGTCCAGGATCTCGGAAGAGGACCCGGAAATCTGCTGCTGCTGTAGAGGATTCCACCGAAGACACACGGCAAGAATCACAAGAACCACGGCAGACAGAAGAGGACAATGCAGACGCCGACGTCGAACAGTTCCACGAGAAAACGACGCCGAGAAAGCTCAAGTCCTATCGAGGCAAGAAGGCTGTGCGGCACTCGTCACCACCCGCAAGCGATGCTGACAGTGTTATGGATGACATGCAAGATCTGCCCGCGCGGGTTGCTGTCGCCTAAGCGAGGTGATGGGTAAAAACAGGGAGAGCTTATTGGATGATTTTGATTATGATGAACAGAATTCGTGGCGGCCCTTTGTCTTGGCCTTTTTCTCCTTTTAACTGGTTCTGGAAAGCTGTTCTACAACTGCTTCCCAGTAGGGCACGCACGACGCAGCTTTTTGCAGTGAGCTTTGTTTTATTGTACAAGTGCCTATACACCTTGATGATTTTTTGTCTAGGCAAAGCTTTCTTTTCTTGTGTCACAACGGAACTATGTAGTTAAATGCCAGTAGTATGCTTACAAGTCACAGCTGTAGCCATCGTAAGGGAACATGGAAGTCGGGGATGTAGGGAAAAGCGCCGAGTGGTAGCGATCGATGATGCTGCTGCTGCAGGGCAACCTGAAGAGTATACGGAGAGGTACCTGGGTATTCTGAGCGAGTATTTTTACATGTACCTAGGTAGGTTTTTAACCACGTGCAGAACAAAATCATTGATAGTACAAATTCGTGTAAGGAGTACTTCCTGCTGGAACTGGTAGGCCGGTGTGCCGGCGCCATGATTGATTGTCTTCCAACAGTGAGTGTTCTGTGGCTCAACGTGGAGCGTTTCGCTGGGCTGTCGGCCTGCGCTGCAGAGGCGCCACTCCGAAACCCCTGACCATGCATCAGCATGCATTTCGCTTGCATGATGGGGCCACTGGTGGCAGAAGTCAGTCCAGTCCCTTGGGACCGCCGTGGTCTGTTTGCGGCTGCATCGATTGATGTCAGTTTTCGCTCAACATCCCTGAGGACCGACCAGATCAGACCCCAGACAGCTCTGCCGCGAGGTGGGCGAATGCGATGCGCTCCTTCGGAGCAACTGCTTGTTATGAGGAAGGTGCCGCTTGGGCATCTCCTGCCTGTCGTCTCTGGTTCATGCATGCCAACATCGAAATCTCCCACTAGTCTGGATTTGAGGAGGCGGGTAGCTTGCCATAGCCGTGCGTCCATTCTGACATTTTCATCCACCTGACTGGCCGCCTCCATTCACGACAAACGGCAAGCAAACAGGTGTATCGGGACCACTTTGCATCGGGACCCAAGCAAAGACTCTTGGCTTCTCCGAACCCCCTCCATCGTAAGGAATCACCTTTGGTGAGCCCAGTTGGTTCGAGGTGACGGGCAACTTTGATACCATAAAACCCTGATAGTCTGCGCAGAACATCACTGCACATTTACTTCACCATCTTTCCTACCCTTGATTGCTATTGGGAATTCGACAGTTGTACCCTGGTCGAGGACACAGCGTCTGCGGTATGCTCACACATTGTATTGGCTGAGAAATTGCTTCACTGTCGCTGGCTCCCGCAACGGGGCCACACAATCTCACCATGAGTGCTCACACCCACGTCGTTCTCAACCTCGTACAAGTAAATCCAGCCATCGCCGGTCTAGCAACGATTTCAATACTCATACTAAGCATAATCGTTCTATTCGGCGGCTCTGCGTCAAAACACCGACATGGCAGCATCTCACCGCCGTCAATGCCAGCTTACTGGCTCCCCTTCTTCGCACATGCCTTCCAGTTCTTCTTTAACCAGGACGGATTCCTTGCAAGTCTCAAGAAGCGATATCCCGAGGGTATCTTTTCGCTCAGCATGCTAGGCAAGAGACACCACGTCATTCACGATCCCTCCATCATGATCAACATTTGGAATCGGCCACGCTGCTCATCAGGAGAGAAATGGACCGCAGCCCGCGCCCTGACGAAAAGCTTCGGCCTTCGCAAGCAAGACCAGATCACCTACAGCAACCTTGCACACGAGACACCAGATCTGTTCAAACACATGTTATCCGAGCCTGGTCTAAGCGAATTCGTGAACGGCATCGTCGACCATGTAAAAGATCACATTGCCGAATTTGTCACCTTTAATCCATCCGCAGCCGACCAGACCGATTGGGAGAGGTCTGCCAAGGTTGACGTGGTGCGAAGTTCAAAAGGCGACGAGTTTGTCGAAGCTGATTTGATGTCGTTGGTGCGTAATTTTGTCGCCAAAACTGCAAATCCTGCGCTCTTTGGAACCGACTTTGTCGAAAACTTCCCCGACTTTTGGGACTTGTTATGGTTGTTGGACGATGGCTTCCTTTCTCTTGCCACAGGCTTACCAGGATGGATACCCTGGCCAAAGATGCAGCGCGCAAAAGCCGCCAGACGACGGATGATTGCGAAAGCTCGTGAGTTTGAAGAGGCCATGGATAAATATTTGGATGGAGAGGACCCGGGAATCAAATGGCAAGATATGGACAATGCCAGCACCTTTGTTAAATCACGCATCAGCTTGTATCGAAAACATGGCCTCTCTGTAGAAGCACGAGCTAGTTGTGACGTTGCCCTGGCTTGGACAATGAACGCGAATGCAAACCAGCTGACATCATGGTTGCTTTTCGAGCTGTACAGAGATCCCGTTCTTCTCGAGACGGTACGCGAGGAGATTGCCCCTTTTGTCCAGGTTGCCCAGCCCCAAAATGAATTTGGTTCGGCGGTATGGATCGCACCCGAACTTGAGAAGCTCGACATGGACGGCCTCATCAATCAGTGTCCGCATCTCAAAGCCGCTTACGTTGAAACCATGCGCGTCTACACTGGCGTCTGGATAGTCAAGTGGCTAGGGGAAGACGTGGTCGTGGAGCCAAAGGGCAAAAATACGGAATCATATTTCCTCGAGAAGGGACACATGGCTCACATAGCACATGAAATGCACCAGTTTGACCCAACCTACTTCCCAAATCCCAAGGAGTGGCACCACGATAGGTTCTTGAAACACACGGAGGACACTGGTCGTCCCAACTTACAAGTCGTGGAGATGGGTACCCTAAGGCCCTTTGGTAAGTTGCCCGGTTTGGCTAATGGTAATTTCTTAAACGGCACTGGCTAATTCAAAATAGGCGCCGGTCCAACTATGTGCAAGGGACGTGCAATCGCGCTCCGCGAAATGCTCTTTTATGCGGCCATGGTGCTCTCATTCTATGACATGGTTCCTCCTGAGGGGAAGAGTTGGGAAGAGCCAGAGCTGTCTAAACGAGCCGTTACGAAACATCCGACAAAACCCATCAAGGTGTGGATAAAGAGGAGGAATGTAAGCTCATAAGCTGGTGGGAAAGAGATTTGACTGAGGAGGATGGATATTGTGCCATGTTGGGGTCACACTGGGCTTTGTATCTGCATTATTATTTGAGGCGACGAGGCGGCAATTTGATCATGAGCGAGCGCTCCGTGTGTACAAGGCATAGCAATATTTTCAATGCAATGCGGTGTGTTCTTTCAATAAATACCTCGGTATCGTACTTTCTGGGCCAAATGGGAAGGTTGACTGTCCAATAGTTCCGGCCTCATTAAAAAGACTCATCATGCCTGAGGCTGGAATTCTGACGCCATAGCTTCCAATGCTGGCGCACCAGGGTTCACCCACCGCACTTTGATCGCGTCCACCTTGAGAGCTTTTGTCCAAACTCAGCTGCGTCACGACACGAATATAAAAATAGGAGTCGGCTGTTATGCCAACACTCGTCAACCAAACAGCCTCTCTACCGTCGTCTATGGTATCGGTTACGGTTACTCTTGGCCTTCTTTGCTGCAAAAACCCATCCGGCCGAGACACTCCAATTCACCCCGCCATTTGGAGCCGCACCCCAAGTCTCCCAACCACATGCACAATGATTGCAACCACCTAGGCAGATGACAATGATACCCCGATTATTACACCGTTCGTCGCTGCTTTGTCCCCGGTGCAGCTTGTCCCAAGCTCAAACTCGTCCGGTATGGCTCCCACAACGACCAATTGCCTCGACGCGATGCCTCCGAACGTCGGCCACCCGTCGTGAACAGCCAAAGAAGACGGAACCCGCGACGAAGCCGTCTGCCATACTATCCCAGGCAACGCCGGCCGCCAAGGCAGCGCCCAAGAATAATGACCCCCTTGCCATGGCCGACAAGTCGGCGACGGAGCAGCGCAAGGCTGACTGGGCCATTATGAAGGAAATGTCGCGCTACCTCTGGCCAAAGGACAGCTTCGGCACAAAGATCCGCGTGGGACTGGCGGTATCGCTGCTCATTGGGGCCAAGTTGTTGAACGTCCAGGTGCCCTTCTACTTCAAGAGCATTGTCGACTCCATGAACATTGATTTCGCGGCTGTCGGTGGCACCGCTGCCGCCGTCGCAGGAAGCATGATCGTCGCCTATGGCGCTGCGAGAATAGGGGCCACAGTCTTCCAAGAGGTCAGAAATGCGGTATTTGCGTCTGTTGCGCAAAAGGCCATCCGGAGCGTTGCGCGCAATGTGTTTGATCACTTGCTCCGGCTGGATCTGAGCTTTCACCTCTCCAAACAAACCGGTGGCCTAACGCGAGCCATCGATAGAGGCACCAAGGGCATCAGCTTTTTGCTGACGAGCATGGTGTTCCACCTTATACCCACCGCCTTGGAAATCAGCCTAGTCTGCGGTATTCTCACATGGCAGTACGGCGCAAAGTTTGCTGCTATTACGGCATTGACCATGGTGGGCTACACTGCCTTCACAATCTGGACCACGGCTTGGAGGACAAAGTTCCGAAGGCAGGCGAACGCTGCGGACAACAAAGCCTCCACCGTGGCTGTGGATTCGTTGATCAACTACGAGGCTGTCAAGTATTTCAACAATGAGAAGTTCGAGGTGGCGCGTTATGACAAGGCCCTCGGGGAGTATGAGAAGAGCTCCATCAAGGTGGCTACATCGCTGGCCTTTCTCAACAGCGGGCAGAATATCATCTTCTCGTCGGCCTTGACTGCCATGATGTACTTCGCTGCGGATGGAGTGGCCAGCGGTTCGTTGACGGTGGGCGATCTCGTAATGGTGAACCAGCTCGTCTTTCAGCTTTCTGTGCCGCTCAACTTTCTGGGATCTGTGTACAGAGAGCTGCGCCAGTCGCTGCTTGACATGGAGACCCTTTTCAACCTTCAAAAGGTCAATGTCAGTATTGCCGAGAAGCCTGATGCCAAGGACCTCGTCCTAGCGCGCGGAGGAGAAATCAAGTTCCAGGACGTGACATTCGGATACCACCCCGACCGCCCCATCCTGAAGAACCTGTCTGTTACCATTCCCGCCGGGAAAAAAGTAGCCGTCGTCGGACCCAGCGGCTGCGGCAAATCCACCCTCCTCCGCCTCCTCTTTCGCTCTTACGACGTCCAGGACGGTCGGATCCTAATCGACGACCAGGATATCCGCGACGTAAAGCTCGACTCTCTCCGCAAGTCAATTGGTGTCGTGCCCCAGGACACACCACTGTTCAACGACACTGTCGAGCACAATATCCGCTACGGCTCCATTGATGCCTCCCACGAAGAAGTGGTCGCGGCGGCTAAACGGGCTCGCATCCATGACATTATCGAAAAGTTCCCTGATGGATATAGCACCAAAGTCGGCGAGCGAGGCATGATGATCTCAGGCGGTGAGAAGCAGCGTCTGGCCATGAGCCGGCTGCTGCTCAAGGATCCGCCGCTTCTCTTCTTTGACGAGGCTACAAGCGCGCTGGATACGCATACGGAGCAGGCGCTCATGATTAATATCAACGGAATTCTGCGAGAAAAGGGCCGTACAAGCGTCTTTGTTGCACATCGGCTACGCACAATCTTTGACTCGGATTTGATTATCGTGCTGAAGGATGGGAAGGTGGCGGAGATGGGGACGCATAGGGAGCTGATTGACCGTGCTGGAGTATACTCGGAGCTGTGGAGCGGTGAGTTTTGGAAAGCCTCCTCGATGAGTGAAGATTTGACGCTAACTAGTTGCAGCACAAGAAATGTTGTTCAATGAGGACGGTAGTGAAGTTGAGGAGACCAAGGAACAGAGAGAGCAGGTGGCGGCGCTGAAACAGTCTTCGACTCGGAAATAGATGTAGCCAATATACCAACCAAATGTAATGTGCATTTACACCAACACTACAAGCTTCCACACAGAAACCAGCGTCTCCGTGTCTGGATATCTACTCTGGCAGGCACATGCCACACCATCTTGAAAGCCCTCCGAGTTTTGTACCCGGAAGCAACTTGAGTATGTTGAGCCCTCATACTGGCTGCCGTGCGGTCACCACCAGCCCCCCATTCTGGGTTGGCACAAACTCAGGCAATAAATAGCATGCGCAAGACGTGGAAAACGCCAATAGTGCGATGGAGCAGGAAGCGTAAACACGAGGCTGCTTCCGTCGGGAATGCATCGGCCACAACCCGGTATACTATCCCAATCATTGATAGATACAAAGGGCCTCGGTGCTTGCGCTAGCAATCCAAACTACGGGCACCTTGGCATCGGCGGCGGTCCTCATCGGAATACATTCGCTGATGGTATATCAATGGTCAATTAGTGGCTGGCCAAATGCGCGATCTGTACTGGACCTCGTACGTGCTCGCAGCGAAGCCGTGCAGCGATCAAGATTGGGTGTACTACGGCCACACACTCACGCTCGCACTCTGCATCTGGACGCACTGCTACAAAGCCCTCCGGCTTTTTGGTCTTTGTCTGAAAATCATCGGCGTGGGGATCCCCCCCTCGACGGCCGTCGCGCAAACGAACAACACGACCTCAATGGTCATCTCCATGGTCATGGTCGGGGCCGGCGGTGCCTTTTCCGTGGTGGGATCCCGCGTCGCTCCTCAGGCCGCCGGGCCTCATCAGGACGTTGCCATTGCCATTTCCCGCGCCTGTTGGCATTGATAGTCTGCCCACCAAGGAGGATGAAACGGAGTGGGAGCCCGCGCAGAGTACGAAGAACACCTTCATAAAGTTCTAGGCCGGGAAAATAAACAACCCAAGGAGTCGAGGCCACGAGCCAGCATCCCAAAATTGGAAGAACACCAGCGCCGGGTGCTGTCGTGTGTATCTATATTAGTCCTCCATTTCAAATCAGGATTCACGACGCAGTATTATTCCGAACCAGCTCTTCCAGCGCTTCAACTGCGGCATCTGCGCCCCCTAGCCTACTAAGCTCATCCCCCATCTCCCTCGCGCGGGATCTGTAGCCCTCATCCCCCAATATCGCATAAGCGGCTTGTCTGACACTCTCCACATCCGGGCTATCGGTCTTGAGGTCAATGCCGAGCCCTGAATAGGCCACTCTTGCCGCGGTGTCCCTCTTGTCCTCCGACTGACCGGCACACAGCAACGGCACCCCGTGGGACAATGCCTGCGTGATACTCCCGTACCCGCCGTTGGTGATGAGCAGCGCCAGCCGCGGGAGGAGAAGGTCATACGGCAGCCACGCCGCGTGGTAGACATTCTCGGTCCGCCTCGTTCTCGACCGGATCTCCGCCTCATAAGGCGATACCACGACGAGAGCGAGGCCATCGTCATGCTGGAGCGCCTCGATGGACGGGATAACAAGCGAAGCCGGGTCCATAGCCAGAGTCCCCTGCGTTATGCCTACGATGGTCTTGTTCTGGCTTGACAAGCCGGACCACCACGACGGCAGCCTCGACAGCTCGGTGCCCGTCTGCGTGACCAGCGGTCCCACAAACACGGTGTGTTTCCGGTGAGCAGCCGTGTTTGGCAGCTGGTTGAATTCGAGCTCCAAAGACGACGCCTGGACGTGCAAGTGCGGGCTGTACGCCGACTCCTCCAGCGGCTCGCCGAGACGGAGACCGGGCAGCCCGAGCGCCCGCCTCTGCCGGTTCGTAGCAGGGCGCAGGAACAGCGGTGCTTGTACAAAGCGGCCGGCAAGCTGGCTCGCGGCGTTGGTGAGCCACCGGGCCCAGGAGGCCGGGGGCGCGGCGCCCGAAGCCGCCAACGGGGCATCCAGCGCGGACGTGTACAGCGGGATGACCCCCAGCGTTGCGTATGTGGGTATTTCGCCGAGTTGGCAGAGCGCCCGCGCTCCCTGGGGGAGGACGTCTACCAGCAGCACGTCTGCGTCGAGGGCGGCCAGCGCGGCGCGGTAGTCGGCTACCTGGGCGAGAAGACGGCGGTCGAGGCCGCTCCGGGGTTGGTCGAACAGGCCCGTTTTGTGGGCTTTGATGAGAGGAGAGTCGAGGGCGGCAATGGCCTTGGTTGGGATGAAGTTGGCGCCTGATGCGAGCACGCGGGCTTCGTTGTCCGGGTTGCTTAGCCAGAGGACGGTGTGGCCGTGGGCGACGAGGGCCTGGGCGACGGCTTGCATGGGGTACGTGTGGCCGGCTGGGAAGTGGGAGTGGAGGATGATCTTCATGGCTTCACGGCGTGGCGGCGCCGCTGGTGCTGCGACGAGGTGCTGCTGCTGAGGTTGAAGATGGGGTTGAGGTTGAGGTTGAGGTTGAGGGTGCGGAAGTGGGACGATGATGGGTGGTGGTGCATGGATTTGAGTCGATGCGAGACGGTCTAATGTCTCTTGTTTGACATGATTTAAGGGGTGGATTGTTTGAGAAATAAATTCTGGTATATTTACTGGGTGCTATTCTTGATGTGATGTTTCTGGTGGGAGTTTTCTTTTTTTCTTTACAACAGAGCATAAATAGCCAATGTTTGCGGAGTTGCTGTCGATGTCCTCACATAAACTTTTTGAAGCAAGGTGCAGCTGACCGACCAGATAGACAAACACGACAAGAAAAAGAAATTCACCAAGATGATATAAATCTATTGCAACTACATAGCAACATCTAGAGTAAAAACTGACTCAAGGCCTCTACCGAGGATAATTATTGAAGACGGGCCACTACAGCAGCTTCACTCGAATTTAAACACGGCTTCTGCTCTATGTACTTATATACCATCAGTCAACCAATCATCTAACCAATGGTTATTACAGTCTGGCATGAGACATTGGCCTGTCGATTAAAATACACAGACCAGCGACACCACAGCACCATGGTACTTAATGTAAAGTATAACCTGGTCTGATGGCCAGATAATACCCTTGCCCGGTTATATACCAAGCATTGTTCCCTGCCACCGACACATGTATGTTCTGCACACCTCGTCTACGCCCTATCATCTCATTTCTCTCATTTTCAATTTATTTCACTTAGTATTTAATTTTTTATTGTAGATGCCCCCCTCCCCGGCACACTTCATCCGCAGAGTGCATCCATCAGCAAACCTAAGCTTTGCTAGTCTCACACGAGTTTCGCCGCAAGGCTCTCTCAAAGAAACTCAATCTCAATTCCAACTCCGGTACTTTGCACTCTTTTTCAAGATAACCTCCCGAGTTGCCTTTATGCAAATGGCCGCTCGATCCGAATCCCGCGATCCTTTGGGACAGAAACAATGACTACTAGTACAATGCACCCTAGTAATGCACCCCCGTACGACGTTTCTCGATTCTGGATCAACCAAGGCTCCTGGCTCAAAAACGAAAAACACCAACCACGGGGGATGAACCGAGGTTACCCAATAACTAACGCGCTGCGTGCCCAACTTCTCTCCGTCTAGTCTCTCGACAGTCCTTCTATATTTGCACGTGCCCATCGGTAACACACCGCCATCCGCCGCAGCATCTCATCTGCATCGCACGAGATTCGCGAGTGTCAAAAGCTGCTGGGTTGCATCCCGTTTGCCTTGCCACCACTGAAGCAGAGCAGGCGGGATCATACCCTTACGACATTCCATGATAACACTACGTGACACTACGTGACACCATGTGGAGTTTTCTGTGTCCCGATATCCTCCATCGGGAGACATTGACTTGCATCGTGTCATGTTGAGTCTGAATTTGCGCATTGCCGCAGGCCTCGATCCGAAAAATCCGGTGTCTTCACTCCATCGCCATGAGTAAGCTTGTCCTTGCTCTTGCTGGGCCAATACCATACGTACAAACATACATATCGACATCATACAGACGTCCATGCCTAGTGCCAAGATTGCTGCGTCGCGCTTCCATACGCAACGACGGCCGTGTTCGTGTTACCTCCACCTTTGGTGCAAAGACTGTCCGTGTGATACTCGTATGCGCAGCCGTGTGACATTGTGTTGTGTAGGCACGTCCAAGTTACAGGGAAGAGGTGCAGAGAGTCTGCGCTGCATGCTGTTGTTCATGCGCTGTGATGCGGCTCGGCAGTCGGAATCGGGGCTGGACCAATATGAGTACCAATCGTCCTCGAGGCACAAGTAGTTTCTTCAAAGATGCCAGAGTATTGTATGCTGGGGTGTGTGCGCGCGAATATAGACATTGGTCTTCTACAACACCACATCTTCCTATCCGAGCATATCAAACCGGCGAACCGTAAACTCCCGCGCTTCCATAACTTCTCCATGAAACAAACACAACAGTGCTGGAGTTGCTGTGAATAGTAGTACTAGTACATTCTTAATTAAGCTTTGTTGCCCACTTCCACTCAACTCACACCTTGTTGGTCCATATCGAAAACCCGCCCGTCGAGTACATACATAGACGCTGTCTATTTCTTTCCAACAGGAGACGAACCAGGATGAACCCTGCAGTGGGTGAATGAGAAACCAATCGTCTTAGCGCCCCATCCGCGTGGTCGACGAGAACAGACGGGCTGGAGATGGAGAACCATTGTCAGAGAACCAGCTGGCCAAGGTTCGGCTGCCCCCTGCCCATCTTTGCTATCATGGGTAAGGGTGTTTTGGTCAACGGGGAGGAAGTCGACGATGAAGAGGGCTTCTTGTTCTGTACAGAGTAAGTTACCACTAATTACAGATGCCGCTAGCTCGCGCACGGGTCTGGAATCAGGAAGAGGCCAGGATAGAGAGAGGGACATGAACGTCCAGATCTGTGGTCCCGGCCCCAAACTTTAGCTGGATGCCATTAACCAACAACCTTCACCCAAGGCAAGGCACCATCCAGCCCATACATACTCCGTAGAGTGGGAGCCTCTTTACACCCAAAAGCCATCTAGAAAAAGAGATTGGGTTGCGTCGCCGCAGCGCGTGATTCTTGCCGCCTTCAAAACTCGGGACGGCCTCGTATTCCTGCAGCCCGACACCATTCGCACATTCGACAAAAAGCCACACGTCAAGCAACAAATGCGGCGTCGACAGTTCAAAAAGTCGACGAGGTTCTGGCCAAACAAACGTAAGCTCCGCCGATGAGGAGTGACGTGATAATTACCGCTCTCAACTCCGGCATTCCAGTGCCGTTCTCAACCACAAAGGGGAACAGCATGTGCGCGCCACGAAAGCGGCCATGAGCCTGGAGGCTGGTTCAATATTACTAAGGACAGATACACGCCGTCTTGTAAACAATCTATTTCCGTCCGTCAATCCACTTATGCGCCAGGCACCTCGGCACGGCACCAACGCCGATTTGTGGCGTCAATAAATGCACTTCTGTGGAAAGTGGCAAGTGGATAGATGTTGGTGTTGGGGGACGTGCGCGAATCCCAATTTCGGCTCTGTTTTCAATCGTGTCTGTTCTCCCTGTGCCGATTCATTAAAGGACAGAAGCGTTTCCGGACTCCGATGGTGCCTGGTGTTTCTGCGAGGGTCCTGGAATTTTCTTATCTGCCGACGGATTTGCAACATGACATGCAGAGACAACGCCACGATAGCCTAGATGTAGGGTTCGACCATGTCTCTGGCACACGTTTGGCTGCGGCTGCAGCATCGAAGACAAACCCCCAAACAATACAGAGTGCAGAGCGCCTTGGACGGGCGGCCCCTGAGACCTTTGGCCATGTAACTCTGTGATTTCGGTGTGTTGAACAAAAGTTCAACAAACGCCCATGTGAAGATTGGGGAAATTGATGCAGAGAGCTGCAAAGGGCCATTATCGCAGAAGAGAGCAACAGAGGTTACAAATCAATGGCTAGTCAGCCAGCTAGCCAACACTCACATGTAGCAAGAGTCAACCGTTGTATCGGGCGCCTCCTCACTTCATGTATGTATGCTTGTTTCTCTCCAGCGTACGTGACCGAAGCGCAGCCAAGATCGGCGTTTGCAGGATCATAGCCACGATCAATCAATCAACGCTCTCACTGCTCTCATCGCCCCCCAAGTGCATATGCATTGCATACCGCATACTGCATACCGCAATTCCATCTGTGACTGTGTCAACGTTGATTCTGCGCTGTACGAATACTTAGTCAGCCGAGTGGACTGAGTTTTCCTCAAACGTGATGAAGCAGCAATGGTTGGCGATAATCCCGTCCCAGCCCGTGCTTTTCTTTATGTATGTATTGTTTGCTTTTTCTGTTTCTGCCTCCTCTTTGTCGGCTGCGGGTGACGCCATGCCCTCCACCTCTCAACCGTCAACCAAGACCTCTTTACTTTAGGTCGCCAGGGGTCCGCGACGCCCTAACGCAGACTACTAGACTGTTGTCGCCAATCCTCGCCCTTCAAACAGCCATCTGCCTTCAAAGAGCCCTGGTAGCACTGCGCAGCTTCGCTCACACTAGCCTGACCCTGTCAGCCTGCGTCCTTGTTTGCTGGCTGGTTCCAAGCTTGGGTACCCACGTCGATAGTGCTGCTACCCATCCATGCCGTTCTTCGCGTTGGCTTTGAGTGTGGTTGGTGTGGGAACGTGGGACAGCTATGACGATGCCGGAAGCTAGCACTCCGTCGATAGGTATGTATGTATGTATATGATTTTTTTTGTTGATTTCGTTTTGAATGAGGTGGCTGAACAGATTCTAATCGAAGATCTCAAGGGATAGGCACGGAATAAAGCTGCTGCCAAGGCTTGTAAAATCAAGGCTCATCATGAGCACGATATAGCTAGAGCAAAGCAGCCTTCCTTCATCATCATGATACGGGCCAGCCAGAATGACTTGTCGCCATGTCTCCCATTTTTGGCCGGGGGAGGCACAAGACAATGCCACATAAGCCTTGCAAAAAGAATTGATAAGGCACTCGGTCTCGGTGTCAAACGATTGATGTTGAGGCGTGGTAAGCATGTCTCAAAGTGCCCGAATATTTATCAAACGAAACTTTGATTGAGTGAGATCCAGACCCATCATCATACAATAGATTGATTAACCCGTCATGGAGCAACACCCGGCCTAGGATTCGGAGTATGTTCTTGTTGGATTCTGTACGAGAGTCGTATCACAAGCCACGTTCGGATACGCATTCGTTGTATCTTGGCACGGGAAATCAATCTGATGGCTCGAGACATGTCGCCGCTCGAGAAAGTCCTGATTGTTTTCATATGCCTTCCGGAGTTCGGAGTTGGAGATAATGAGCATCTCCAAAAGGCAATTGCATTGCATTTATACTACGGAGTACTGCTTACCAGCAGACTTGGCAATGGTGATGTCGATGCGTAATTCATTGGCTTCTCCCCACCACATGGTGCATTTCGTGTTGGACAATCAGCGCTTGACCTTGGATCATTCCCTGGTCGAGTCCCGGTCAGGTCTCCGTTTCGTCCCCGCCGGGTGCTGGATAACTGTGGATACAAATGAATTGATGGCAATCGTCGCTCTGCCTGTGCATCCGTCATCGCGCTCGTCACGCTTATCAGGCTCGTTACGCCGATGTGCTTTGGCTGCTTTGGCTGGTTTAGAGGCGAGGTGTTTGCTTTCGGCGGAGGCAAATTGTTTCGAGCAACATGTGCATGTGCAGTTGGTGCTGGCTGGATACACGCCCATGCCTTCCTAAAACACTCAATGTCGGTCGTGGTTGCCGCCTTTGTCACTGGAGGGAAGCTGAGCTGTCCTGTCCTCCATGTCCAGTCCGCAAGACTAGTTCCTTGATCGTAGCTGTCCATCGTCTTTCCAGATGCCCGCACACCCTCCGTCCAGTTGCCCAAGTCTCAAGTATTAGCACTCACACCCCAAATCGCCGTCACTCGAGAACCCATGCCCATGCTCGATGGACTGTGCCGACTTGCCCATCATGGTCTTGCCCTCTTGGCCTTGATGCCTGCACCATCGACCCTCTACCACTCCACTTGCACTTCTACCTGCATCTCCTCTGGCCATCAGCCTCGCTCGCCTTTTCAAACCTCTTCCCCTCTCTATCACCAGGTTGCATTTCTTGCTTCCAATTGCATCTGGCTGGCTCGGGACTAGGATTGTAATTTCCCTCTGCTTTGATTGCCGTGTCCCTCGGTCAACATTTGAGCCACTCCCCCCTCCCTGTTTGCGACATTCAGCATTCCTGGCGTGAACCGCGACCGGACGCCTGAACGAGACACTAGTTCAGTCGCTCATTCACACATGTGTCGTCTTTGTCCACAACCAAACCAGAGCAACTGCACGTTTCCGTCCAAGACGAAGACGACGAAGACGACTTAAACAAGCCGGACACATGCACATGACCTCGACCCCGAACTAATACCTTCGAATACCATCGTCGTGGTTGTCGAGCCCTTTTAGCCTGCGTTCCCAAGCTTGGACTGCTTTTGGGTTGTTGCTGCTTTTGCTCTTGCTTGCTTTTTGCCTTCTTTGGCACTTCTCTTACTCTCGCTGTCTCAACTCTTCCACTCGCTTTCTTGCCCCCCCGAATACATCTAACGCATTGCCACGGACTCTTGTTTTTGCACCGGCTTCCTTCACTCTCTTCGAACCGAACGCATTTGGCTCCCTGAGACGAGAAAAAAATACCGTTGGCATCGTTTACTCGACTGAGCCGGTCACTCAACGACGCGCCCGTTGTTTCCAAGGTGCATCAACTGGAACTATTTGCATCATCTGATTTCTAATTCTTGTCGCCCTGGTTGGACAAACGCGGTCGGACCGGCTGAGATCGGGGCCATTCGAACAATTGTTCCCGAACTCTGGCGGCTGCACAACAATTGATTCTTTCCAGTCTCAGTGTTGTCTTGAGTCTTGTTATGGCCGCGATCTGCTGAGCAGAATCCTAGCGTCTGGCGTACTATGTGATGATCTCGTCATCACATCTTTGTCTCGCTTGTGATATCTGTACACTGTCCAAGTGAGTGGCCATTGCCCACATGCAAAGTCTGTAGAGTACACGGGATTCTTTGCTCGCCTGCCTCGTATATGTATGCCTCGGAAGCTAACTTCAGCAGTTAGATTCTTATCGTTGTTTAGTCGCAAAATTGTGTCACAATGCCGTCTCTCAACTTGACAGGCGCCCGCGGCGTGGCTCGCCTGCTCCTCATGACTGCCTCTCTGGTTAGTCTTGCCGATGCGATTGACGTCGATATTTGTGCAAGTCTCAACACCGCCGACATGAATAGGAGTACGTTTCATTGACCTCATTCAACCTGAAGCCGGCATGACAAAACTAACCTGAGCTAGACCTCAGCGTGTTCCAGACAAATGGGCTTTGCCATGATCTCTGCACACCACAGGGTTTTGTCTATGCCATCACACAATCCAACAGCTGCTGGTGTTCCAACTACACACCTGCAAAGTCAGCACAGGTCGCAACGTCTAAGTGCAGCTTGGGCTGCCCTGGCTACCCAGACGAAAAGTGTGGTGGTCCTGGTGTGTACGGCTATGTGTTCCTCAATATTGCTCAGCCTTCAGGCACCAAAGGAGCAGGATCTAGTACTACAAGCGAGGTAAGTTCCCCAGTATCATTTCATTGTCCTGCATACTTGTATTTCCCTGTCGCCCGCGTCTATTCCGTATTGAATTTCACATGCCGTTTTCTGCACCCCTCTGTCATCCAACTCATTTCTCCTTGCATGACCCTGTCATTTACCCCACGGCGAGCGACCTTTTGCAATACCTTGTCCACCTTTCTCGCAGTCCTTCATGCCATTAATCAAGTGTTGCTTGTTGTCCTTTCATGTCTTTGCAAGTCTCGTTATATTGCATCTGGCGTTTCTGGCAAGGCAAATCCGCATTTGTGTCTGTTTCAGGCCAATTTGATGGTATTGGTGACTGAGACCGGGCAGGGTAAACCATCATCTACTTCTACTCCTAGCTCTTCGCCCATGACGTCGAGTAGCAGTATCAGTAGCAGCAGCAGCAGCAGCAGCATTTCTTCCACTGTAGGGCCTCATCCCCCCCCCAACCAATCGAAATTCCATGCCCCTGACCACACGCCCAATCACCCCCCTTTGCCCACTATATCTCCTGACCCTAACGGCCTACCCCCTAGACCTCGAGTTCGCTAAGAACTCCCACGACGCAATCGATGATACTGACCCCATCCCAGTCGACCGAAGCTACGTCCAAGCCGACTTCGGCCATATCTACATTGACTGCTGACGGGACAGTCAAGACGGTCACAATAATACCTACAGAAACTGGACATACCGCAGGCGACAACCAAGGCGCCTCGGTCCAGGACAGCGGATTGAATACCGGCGGCATCGTTGGAATCGTAGTTGGTGTTGTTGGTGGAATTTTAGTTTTGGCCGGTCTCATTATATTCTTCTACCTCCGACGGAAGAAGCAACAACAAGAAAATGACTATCAAGACGACCCAAGCATACGTGGTAGCTCGTCGGGGATGATGGGCTCCGGCCGTCCGGAAATGTCGCGTGCCCCTGGCTCACCGGGTAGTACCGGCAATAGGAGCAGCACCTTGCAGATTGACCCTCGTATGGATCCTTTCCAGCAGACTCTATACGCACGCAGCGGCAGTCGCGAGAGTGTCAACACACTGCGCGATGACCATGACTACTCCAGAAGGATCCAGCAACCGAAGGTGTTAAGAACCACGAATCCCGACCCCGCATAGATTAGGAAATCGAAATTGATGCTGCACCCGGGCTTTCAGCATCCGGCATAACTCGAGGGATTTTTTTCTCTGTTTTTTTCTTGGACACTTTAGACGACACAGAATGTGACGAAGCATGTTACATTACTTCGCTCCTCATAAACAAAATCGAATTGCCCTGTTTCTCACACGAGGAGGGAATTTGCATATAGGCATATTTTCCAAGATACCAGGATGGCGTTGTTGTTCTTTTGAGGGCGGAAATTATGGCATCAGATGAGGATGACTCGTGGTGTTGACTGCGCAACTGCGCAACTGATGAATAGACCGACGGCTGCATAGGCGTGGATTTTGCGCAAAATGTTTCAAGACGGAGGCCAGCGGAGGATGTTGAATACGTGATATGATACAACTGCGGGAATTTGTGTCGTGGATTCATCACAATGGGTGTTGATTGCGCCCAGTTCTCCTCTGCCACGGGAAGAGATGGACCACACCCCCGTTTTCGGGAGTGCCTCCAGGTCAGATGAGGACATGCTGCATGTGCAGCCTTGGTTTTGTACATACAACATTGCGTTATGATACGGATACAGCGTAACAGCTCTTATGAAATTCGGTGCGGTAACGCCAGGATATATTATTTTTCTTCTTGGTTTTATGATACTGGCAGCGCATTGCATCAGAGCCACTGGAATAGGAAAGCAATTGGACATTTTTTTTCATCCTGATCACTCCCCCCTTATGGTCACAGATTGATGATAAATCACTTGTAGGATATGCAATTACTACTCGAGTTGCTAGACAGTGACTGCTTCGCTGATGGTAGGTAGATGTCTGGCAGCACCAAAACGTCGCTGGGAGCGTAAACTGAAGCGTTTCGTGAGCTATCCCGAGAAAGCGTCTGGCCGTAAGTGCAAGTCGAGAGGCCCCTAATGTGCAGATTAGGATACGATGATACATACATTGAATTTGGGCATCAAATGAATAAATTATGAGCAGCCAACGCCACTGCCGAATGCAGCTACTCGGTACAGTACCTCGCAATGTTGTCGCCGAGATGTTCAAGTCAGAAATGCTTGATTGGTGCAAGAGGTCAGTAGCCTCCTTCCGCATGGAGGACCTAGAAGAAGGTGCTTCCGGGCATTGAATATGATTCTTTCCCTCGACCATGGGCTTAATGTTTAATTGCATAGCAGCAGTGAATAACCCCGCCAGGGCCCAGGGGACATGTGTACTGTCTTGCCGGTTGTCAGCCAGTTGACGGACGGTTAGCGAGCAGCGACAAAAACGGATGAGCACCAGGCAATGTTGGCATTCGAGGCTCACGAGATGGCAACTCAGCTGAGTAAGACAGCAGTGATTATTTTTTCCTCCCAGCGAAATGCTGGATTTTCTTTGTTGAATGATATTCAGAGGGCGATGATAGTGCCTGAATTCACAACACCAACCCCCTTTTCCACCCCAAAGGTCCCAAGTGTGCATCTGATGGTCACAAAACAAATTTTTACTTACCGCAAACTGAGGCATTAGGAGACATGGCCGCATCAGAGACTTACTATGCCGGAATGGTATCGACTGTGAGATTTGGTACTATGAAAATATCTTTCTTATGGCAACTAAGCATCTTATCGTCAGTGTGTTAGAAATGCTTCCTTCCTATGTTGCTCTCATCTAATAATTAATTTGTCAGCAATGCTAAATACCCTTCGAACCGCTAAGCATCGCTACGGCTTTGCGCTTTTTCAATGCTTCTCCCGCCTCCTTCTATCCGCCCAGCGTGCCCTCATAACTTTCAAGAGTGCCCAAGCTATGAGCCTATATGCTACAATACATGCCGCCATACACGCAACATTGACAACCGGGTCGACATTAAAGTTGTACAAATCCAGCACCTCTTCACCTGTCTCGATGGGACAGCTTCCGCCCGGTAGCCGCTGCTCACTACTGCATGTAAACTTGATATGTCGAAACGAGTACGGAGCCACAGACCGGGTCGCGTATCGAATGGGGGACAGGTAATTGACCGCCTTGAACAAATCCGGCATGTTGATGGAAAGCAAGCCGGACATGGAGTTTGCCACAGAGAGCAAGATACCCATGATGTTGACTGCGAAGCCTGTATGTCCGAAAAGGGTATTGAACATGATTCCTAGGCTCTCTCCACAAGATACCACGCCGAAGCAGGCAAACACGCAGGCGAAGTACATGGTAACTGTTCTCGGAAGTCCAATTGCAAAGGTGCCCAAGACGCCAAATAGGAGACAACTAATGATTTCGAAGGGGACTTCGATTAATGTGTATGAGGCGAGGAAGGCCTCGACGCTATACACGCCGTCGTCATCCTCGCGGTAAAAGACGTCTCGTTCATTCGGATACACGGCGACATTTTGCAGCATGCCTACAAAGTAAAATGCTCCAATCTGCTGGACGAAGCCTATGCGGTTTTGAATGGCGTAGTAATCGTTGCCTACCGGTGCAAAGAAGAGCGTGAAGACGGCTGCGAGTCCGACAACCTGCATGGTGCGTGCCATGATGAGCCGCGGCTGTCTCCGAGTGTTGATGACGGCTCGCTCAAGCAGAAGTGGTAACGCTATGAAGATTGATGCACGTTTGCGCACGAGGGCTCCTAATTCCGCAGGCGTAGATACCTTGGCCTTGTTGAAAGACCGTCGAGTTGGCGGCGCTTGCGAGCCACTTGATGCTTGGCCCTCTCCTGCGGTGGCCAAGATACCTTTCGTCGTTGGCTTTTTCTCTTCACCATTCACATCCTCAATGGGAAATCCATGCAGCTTCTCGCTTGGCTCGTCCGCCTCTTGGATTTCAGATAGCCGCCGGTTCACCGTGTTGTCCAGTTCATCCGATCCGCCAGCGCTCCAGCATTCGATCAAAGTCTGTACTCGCGCACGACTCTCTGCTTCGCGATCATCCTGTTGAAGATCTATGGTAATCATATCCAGCGCAAAGTCTGCTGGGTTCGTGTGCTGGGGGCACTCGTATCCATGTCTGCCAAAGTATCCCAGCATTTGCTTCGCGGAGCCCGCATATGCCGGGAACCCTCCTCTTGCAAGAAGAAGCACGTTCCCAAAGTGTTTGAATAGGTCCGATCGAGCTTGATGTATAGTCAAGATGAGCGTCCGCCCCTCGTTCGCCAGCCCTTCCAGCACTTCCATGATGGAACTTGCGGTAAAAGCGTCCAAGCCAGAAGTTGGCTCGTCAAGAAGTAAGATTCGAGGATCCGTGAGAACTTGAACAGCAATGGAGACACGACGCTTTTCACCGCCGGAAATGCCCTTGATCATGTCGCTGCCAATCACGTTGTTGGCACAGTCCTTGAGGCCCATTTTCATAAGCACGTCTTCGGCGCGACGGTATTTCTCCTCGGTGCTCATAAAAGAAGGGAGCCGGAGTCCGGCAGCAAATCGCAAGGTCTCGCGTACCGTCAGGGACGGAAGCAGGGCGTCATCGTCTTGACAGACGTAGGAACAGACGGATCGAATGACCGAGTCGGAAGGCACGGCGCCGTTGAAGGTCAATCTTCCAGACGGCCGGTATTTGGTTCCGACCGAGTTTCGCAGTCGCAGAGCCATGGCGTTGAGAAGCGATGTCTTCCCACTTCCCGATGGACCCATGATGACGTTCAACACGCCCGCCTTGAACGTGGTTGAGACCGGATTTAAGATTGTCTTTCGGGGTAGCTTCTTGCCATGTATGTTTCTCTTGTCGAGGCCCAGGGCAAAGTCGTCGAGGCGCAGGTCGATGGCTCGGACTTCTGAAATAGACTGGGCTGTCATCTTCTCTTTGCCAGCGGACAAATCCGTGTCTGATGAACGTGCGCGGGCAATGGTCATTTCGACTTTTAGGAAGTGCAGTCCGAAGACGGATAGGCTGATAAAGAAGACTATGAAGGACGTGAGAATGATGATGGGGCGAGCTACCCAGTGGCCAGGAAAACCAAGCGATGCCATCACATAGTCACCGCTGTACTGGTTACAAGCTGGGTTCGATTGACCCCCTGGGAGGGGGCAGTCATAGAAATTGCCCTCGAATTCGTTTCCCGCGTATGCGCTGAAAGCGTAGAACTGTGGCAACAGTTAGCTGAATGTGGTAACGCAACGATGGCCAAGACTCACATTGTAGGCTGTCCACTTGATCCATCTGACATAGACGGGTATGGTGTTCACCTGAACAAACATTCCACAGGCAATGCTTTGAATCGTGTAGGCAAGATTGGCAATCAGACTCGCGCCGGCAAAGTGTCTGACTGCCACGACGCAGGTCATTGCACAACAAACAGACACATAGTGGTTGGCAAGGGTGATTGCGAAGAATATAAAGAACTTGCTCACTGTCCGCTCAAACCCAGCCAGGAAGTACACCAGCACAGAGAAGAGAAACGGCACCGGAAGATCCTCCGTGGGTAGTCTGGCCAGTCGCCTCGAGAGAACATACGGCAAGGCGTCGACACAATTGTCTGACGACTCTCTGTCGAATATCGGGATGTCGATGGTCATGCGGTACACCTCGAAGAGAAGTATCAAGTATCCCTGCAGACCGGCCGCCGTATAGAGCCCGCCCTCCCTGGATCTAATTCCGGCCTGGTCACGAGCGAGGTCGAAGAAAATGTAGCCCGTGACAATGCCCATGAGCACTGCTTCGATTATGGCAGCGGCCATGCCCAACGGGTCACGGTACGTCACCTTGAGGGTACGGTCCGTCAAGACTTGCAGCTGGCGAAGGAAGCTGGCATGGGTTTTCGCAAGGGAGCTTTGTTTACGGTTCCTGTTGTCGACAACTTGGAGGAGTGGCGGGTAGCGTTGGGCGCTCTCTTCTGCCCAGGCTGCCTTGAGGCCACGAACTCTGGCAATAGTATCAGCTTCAAGCTCGGGAGTCCGGTTATCGACAGCCGCAATGTCAATGATAAACTCGGCCGGGTTGACAAACGGCGGTAACGGGAACCCTTGGCTCGTGAACCAGGAAAGACAGTCCAGAATAGGACCTGCGTATACTGGACCGCCTTTGGACAATACCACCAAGTTGTCAAACAGGTTCCAAATCTCGGAGCGAGGTTGGTGAATGGTTGTAATGACTGTCCGGCCCTTTTGCGCAAGGGCCTTTAGAGTCCGCACAAGTTGAAAGGCGCTCGTAGCATCAAGCCCAGTCGTCGGTTCGTCCAAGAATAAAACAGAGGGATTGGCGAGGAGTTGCACACCAATGCTGACCCGTCTCTTCTCCCCACCAGAGCACCCTCGATATTGACTGTTGCCAATTCTGGTGTTTGCGCATTCCTTCAGTCCCAGCTCGCGAATGACCTCTTCAACAACACGACGTCGGTCCTGAGCAGACGTGGTCGAGGGAAGCCGGAGCGCCGCAGAATAATGGAGAGTCTCTCGCACAGTCAAGGTCGGGAGCAGAGTGTCCTGCTGCATGACGTAGGCGTGGCGGATGTTATGGACACCCATTTGACTGTTAAACACCACATGGCCCTTCTGATTTAGCCTTGGGCTGATGATGCGCTCGGCCATGGTGTTGAGCAGCGTCGTCTTTCCAGAACCACTTCCGCCGATGATGGCTGTTAGCGTTCCCGGCTGGAGATCGGCAGCAACAGACTCGAGAAGATGCTTGATACGCGGCGTGGTGTTGAACTTGGCATCGAATAAGTCCTGGTATGTAGCCGGTTCGAGCCACGACGGCGCTGTGTTCACCGACACGGAAAGGTCTCGAATCCGAACGTCCACGGCGGCGACATCGTCAAGAGACAGGTTGCCTGCGCCAGATACTGAAAAGCGTCTCTCATCAACACCAATTTCGTCTTTCTTATGGATTGAAGCCGTATTCACAGATGCTGGCTTTTCTGCTTTCTCCGCGTCAGACGTGGTCGACATGGTGTCTGGCAGATAGTCGGAGCCGGCGGTAGCCATGGCCAACTACCGTCAGCGTCGAGGCCGCCGTCTGCGCGGTGTTGACTTGTTATCGAACAGCAAACAATCTATGCTAGATGGCAAGTCGAAGACACATTGGTCCCGGGGCAGGCCCAAGGCCTTTAGTAATTCTTTAGTTCGGTCGGATTTTCCGTTTTGGGAACCCAATGGCCAACAAACTCCGCCGGCACCATTCCCAGTAGAAGTGTGACAACGACTGACCGACTCGATCAGAGTGATGAGACATGTGTGGTCGGTTTCTACATGTATTTACATGTTGCCTCGTCGTACAGCAAGGGTATACAAGGTTTTGTCAATGACATTGGTCACGATACGAAGTAGTTATGAAGCAACTCATTATACAGCCAAGGACAAACTGGAGTTGTTGCTAGACTCGGTCCACTTCGTCATTGCAAACCCCTCATGAGAAGGTCCAGGATTGGATCGTTATAACTTACCAGGATAGCAGGCCAACAAGACCCGCCCCTGCGATTTTCTTCGGGGACTCAGGCGAAGAGCCCTTTGACAGAGCTAATCTCGGCTAGAAGCTCAGCAACACTTGGCATTGACTTTGGGCCGGGTCTGGCTGCACCCGAAAGGCTAAAAATCCGCAGCGGTTCACTATCGGCCATGAAATTCTAACTTCTGGGGGTTCCGAGGGTTCCAGCCGAATGCTACGTCAAGTTCAAGGTTCCAGCCATGTGGCCTCTTTTCTGGAAACCAAGGTACATGACTAGATCCCAGGCGCCATATACATGTATGTATGTGTGATATATGGCCTGTCCTCGCCAACTTGCGGCAAACATTGAGTTGCTGCTGTACACGGAGCAGCTTCATCAAAGAGAGAAAACAGCTTTATGGATTTGAGACATGGGCGGTGGCGCTGGAACAAGCAAGTAATAATCTCACATCATCTGGCCAAGACCTGCAAGCCACCCAAACTTGGGTCCAATAGAAAGGTTGGGATGGCTGCCTCGCATTGAAAGCTGGAAGCGAAGCCCAGAAGCAACTTCGGCTACAGGGCCACGAGGGCAAAGGGCATCGATGGTCATCAGTCCCGCACGTATATGCACGGCTCATGCAGCAAACTCCGCTCAGAACACGGCATTCTCCTCTCCGACGGCCGGTCTGTTCTGCCGACTGGCAGCGTGCAGCGAAAATGGCACGCGCTGTGACGATTGCTGGGCAATTGCCCTGTGGTGCCGCCTACATTCGTTGACGGGTAACCGGGGTTAGGGTTTTCTGTAGTTCTCGACTGGTATAAGTTGCTGCCATTTCCACCAAAATCACCGACCATTCTACGCGCCGGCAGCAGCAAAGTCATTGCGCTCCATGATACTGACGGACGTACAAGTGGCGAGGACTTTTTTTGGCCGTATCCGACTTTAATGGATGAGAAAGCCAACCATGGCCGTACCCAGCACGACTCGACGTGTAGGGTAAGAAAAGATCAACTCCAGCCGCAATTTTCAAAGCCAAGTTTGACTCATGCCCCAATCCGAACAAAATTCACGGACGGTGCTAGTCTTGTCTATATCGTCGCAAGCGTATGCCGCCCTCGAGCTACAATGCCAGAAGACATCGCACAGAAAAACAGCTGTGCCATTTCACCTCCACGTTTGGAATCGATAGCGTCTGGGAAATCAGCCCGTGAATTCGCCACAACCAATAAATAGCAGCTGCCTTTGGACGTGATGACTTTGCCCGCTGTATACTTGGCCCAGCCACCAGTGGCTTTGTCGCGGAAGACTTGGCTCGAACTACCGATACCAAGAGCAAAGATTTTTGCAAACTTCCACCAGTAATAATCTGATGTCGCGTCATCTTATACCGAAAAAGCAGCGGGGTTCAGACCGCTTTACGCCTTTCAAGTGGCACACCCCGGATTCCCGTGGCTTGGGAATCTGGGGATCCCCACGTTTCGGGAACAAGGCCGGGAACTGTGACGCCGGCCCCGTCGTTTTTCATTACCCGACGGATGTCTTGGACATTGCAGAAGTATAAATGCGCGCCGGTCTCATGGTAGTCGATACCATGCGGATGCCGCCTGAGGCGACTTGAGACCATTTACCGCTGCAGGGCCAAGACAATGGATGCCGAAAAATGTAACCAGCTCGACAAGGGTGGAGATTATATCCAACATGAACTCAAACTTCCAAAAGTAGAAACCGTCAACCATCCTGACCCGAGCTTGTACATCGAAGCTTTGGAACGGTACCCCAGCGATGACTCTATCGACAAAGCTGCCGAGAGGCGCCTCGTTCGGAAGTTGGACATGAGGATTCTACCTTTATTGGGCATCTGCTACTTCTTCTACGTACGTGTTCCTGCAGTTGCGCAAAATCTGGCCTTTTCAACAAAAGACCGCGTGCTGACATGTCTCGGCCTGAAAACAGTATGTTGACAAGACCACCCTCTCCTACGCCGCCATCTTCGGCCTCAAAGAAGACCTCAACCTCCAAGGCACCCAGTATTCCTGGCTCAGCAGTTGCTTCTACTTTGGCTGGCTGGTCTGGGCCATTCCGTCCAACCTTCTCATGCAGCGCAGCCCACCAGCACATTACCTCGCGTTCAACATCTTCATGTGGGGAGCTCTCCTGATGCTTCAAGCAGTGGTACGCAACTTTGGCAGCCTGCTTGCCCTTCGCGTACTATCAGGTGCCTTTGAGGCCATTGCCGACCCGGCCTTTATGCTCATCACGTCCATGTACTATACTCGCGCGGAACAGCCGTCGCGAATCTCGGCCTGGTACGCATGGAACGGTATCGGCGTAGCTGGCGGCGGTCTGCTCGGTACGCCATACAAACATACTGACCAGCAGCTCTTGAAAGCCGGACAGCTAACAAGCATGTAGGCTACGCAATCGGCCACATCAAAGGAGCCCTAGCACCCTGGCGCTACGAATTCATCATCATCGGCGCCCTCTGCGCCTTCTGGGGCATTGTCCTCTGTCTCATGCTGCCCAACTCCCCCCGCACCATCTGGGGCTTCTCGCACGACGAGAAACTGATGATGATTGCGCGCATCAGGCGCAACCAAACAGGCATCGAGCAGCGACGGGTAAACTGGGCCCAGATCAAGGAGGCCTACCTGGATTACAAGACGTGGCTGTTCACGCTCCTCGGCTTCGTTGCGAACATCCCCAACGGCGGCATCTCCAACTTTTCAACGCTCGTCATCAAGGGCCTGGGATTCGACACGTTCCGAACCGCCCTTTTGGGGATCCCGCAAGGCGCCCTTGTTGTGGTTTGGATTGCCCTCGGCGCCGTAGCGAACAAGTACATGCCCGCGAATAGCAGGACGGTAGTTTGCGCCGCCTTCATGCTGCCCACCATTGCCGGTGCGCTGGGCTTCTTGCTCGCGCCGACGGATGCCTACGTCGGGCGACTCATTTGCTTGTCAGTGTCTTCTTTCCACTTCTGCGAACTACAAAAAAAACCCGTTGTAGCCGTGCACTAACTCTCGGCTAGTTACCTGACTGGCTCGTATCAGGCCTCGTTTGTCATTTCGCTGTCTCTGATAACGTCGAATACCGGCGGCCAGTCCAAGAAGATGATTGTCTCGGGAATGATTTGGTTCGGCGCGTGCATCGGCAACATTGCCGGCCCCTTTTTCTACAAGTCGGACCAAGCACCGTCGTACAGACTCGGCATCGGCTCCCTCCTCGTGGCCAACTGCGTAGAACTCTTGCTGTTTTTCGTCTTCAGATATGCGTTTATTTGGGAGAATCGCCGCAAAGAAAAGATTCGGGACGTGTTGCGGGAGAATGGGCAGCTCTTGGAGACGCTTAATGTCACGGCGTTTCAAGACATTACGGACAAGGAGAATCCCAATTTTGTATATGTATATTGAGTCCAAGGATGTGGAGGTGGCTGCGTGAGTCGCCAGCCATTCTGGCAGTTTGAGCATGCTTTCACAAACAATAGTGGCTCGCGCATCGGAAGCACCAGACATGGCATCGCAAATATAGTCGCGGTGTTCAATTTCTTTTCTCCCTTACAGCAATGAGAGATGTCTATCTAATGTATTTACAGGGTGAGCTTGACAGAAAAGATGCCTCGCTCAATGCTATTGACAAGAATATGGCCGCTCTGGAAGTAAGGGTAGACGGACCAGGCACCCTTGAAGACTGTCTCGCCACCCACGGCGTCATCCTCGGGGCGCACGTCGAAGAAGGCGACCTCCTCGAAGCCGGCGCCGGTGTTGTCCTGGGCAACAGAGGTGACGTTGACGACACGCAGGCCGGATGCGTAGTTGGACATGTAAGACAGCCCGTCGATGACGTACTGGTTGTGGTCGATGGCCTTGGCGGGACTCTTGTAGTAGCCGGTAAAGACGGGCTTGGACAAGTCGGCGGCATCAACAATGTACGTGGTGGTGCGGCCGTCGGCGGCGGCGCCGTTTTGCCTCTGCTCGTCGAGCTCGTCGTCGAGCAGCAGGTACCGGTGGTCAGGGCCCGTCGTCCACCCCTGATGAGTGTACGTGGCGCCCTGGTAGGGGGTGCGGGACAGAATCTTGGGAGACGAGCGGACGGAAAGATCGTAGATGGTGAGGGTGTCTTCGTTGTAGCCAAAGCAAATCTCCTTGCCCTTGTGTGCCGTGTCTGGGCCGTTGTACGTCACGCACTGCGCGTCGTGAACGTAGCCGTCGTCACCGGCACACCCAACGTCCTTGGGGTTCTTGGGATCAGACACGTCGACCATCCACAGGCCTGCTTTGCATTTGCCGTTGCGGGCGGTGCCAACGGCGTAAATGATGTTGTTCTCTTCGTGGGCCACAATGTTGTGGCTGCTGCCGAAGCCGTTAAAGTGCGCGGCCAAGTCTTTCTTGACGTCAAAGGTGGGCGGGTTCTTGGGATCGACCGTCAGGAGCTTGGTCAGGTCAAAGATCTGAAGGCCGTGGTTGGGAGCCTCGGAGCCGATGTAGACGTGGTCACCAATGACTTTCATGTCGCGCCAGGTAGAGCTGTCGGTCTGCGTGGGAAGCCGTCCCAAGCTGACGAGGCTGCCGTCCTTTAGAATCTCGACAAAGGCAGATCCGTCGGTTTGACCGACAATACCAAACTCTCTGCCGGTGGAAGACGTCCAGCCTATCAATGAGAGAGCTGGTCAGCAACCAAGTTCCTGACAAAGCAAATCGGGGCTATGTAGCCCGCGAGGGAAATTGTCATGTTTTCAAGATGGACAAGCGAGAGAAAAACTTACCCCAGACATCATTGCCGGCACGAGTTTGACTGCCCAGGTCCTCGTGGCGCAGGAAACCCTTTAGATCGACGCTCTTGCATGAGTACTCGCCGGCTTTGCCATTGGAGCAAGGGGAGGCAAGCTGGAGTTTGTAGCGGCCTTCGTCGAAGACACCCTTTGCAATATCCTGCTCCCGCTCTGCAATCTTGACGCTCTTCATCTCCTCCATGGAAACGGCCAGGGGGGCGTCAACAGCCGCCAGGCTCTGGGCATTGGGGGCAATAAAACGCTCCGCCGTGCTGGTGCTGGCCAGCATGGCAAGGATGACGGACCTTGCGGATGCCTTCATGATGAAACTGCCAATGGACTATGGAGTAAAGGGGGTGGAAGCCACAATGAGAGTGTTTGAGCACGATATGAGCAAGAATTCACTAGCTTGAAGAGTCGACAACAGACTCTTTATACCTCGTCCTCGCCGTACTTAAGGCTCCATGAGTTTCCAACCTGCTCCTTTCGGTCCGCCTACACTCTCCGGAGACAAATCGACTAGACCCGACGGTATTCCGCACTTTTGCTTCTCTACTTTGACAAAAAGTCCATGAACCGCAATGGCCTGCAGCGGCGTCTTGTCTTGGTAAATTAACCGGCGAACCGCAGAAAGAATTCGAGCCTTGGCCGATGGACTATCCAGGAAGGTTGCAACGAGAACTCTCATCGCGCTGCCCAAGGGGAAGATATGGAAAAAGTGGAATACCATGTTGTGAGCCACTTGACCAGATCTGCACAGCAAAAGGTCCGCGTGTCGAACTTGTTTCATGGCTGGAGATGTTGGGGATGGGCGCACAAGGAGGGCGGATTCGGGCCACGACAAGACACGAAAGGGCACACCGTGATCTCGTATGTATATCGAGGCTAAAAGGCTCCGCTCCAAATGCCAAGCCGGCCCGTGTCCATACAGTATAAGAGATAAACGGCCCGTTGGCGATAGAGTTCGCAATCGTGACGGTGGTTGACGACAGCGGGCCGGACCCTCTCTCTCATCTCTGATCTCTCACAAAGATGCATAGATGAAAAAAAGACGAAATGAACTGGACGCTTGGATGGCTCCATCGCCCTATCCCGAGGAGGCAGCTGCGATGGGACATGGACGTTGCCAAGGCCGGACGCCTTGATAAGGTTCAAGGTGTGAGTTGTAACTTGTCGGCCTGCCTGTTTCTGCCAAGTCAGTCAACTCGTCTGGGTTGCGGTGGAGACGCTACCCCAGGCTTTAAGTCGTTTACGGCTTTGTGGTTACGTGACTACCAGACATGTAAGGTTCAAGGTTAAAATCAAAGTGGTGGGAATTAAATGCCCCATGACTGGACTTCTGGAGCGATTGGTGGATCTTCCAAGTTCCAAGCTCCATGTTGCAGAGACGCACCGTCTCGAGTCTCTGACTCTTGAGTATGGACTATGAAGGTCGTCAACTGGTGCCTCGTCGACGGTCGTTCCTTCTCTCTCGACCGAGACTGGCTACTCCCGGGCTCATGTTGCAGGGAACAGGAAAGTGCACAGCCATATGATGAAAGCTGCGGCTTCCTTTTCGGCCATGTTGATTGCATTGAATGAGCTAGTGTACATGCGTGGAATCGGCCCTCGTTTATGTTGCATTGAGCCGCCACCCAGCATCTCGGCCAAAGTCGCCTCATGAGCTGGCATTTACCATCGGAGCCTGCAGGAGTTACATTGTCTCAGATACAAAAGTCATTCACGTGAGCACGCAATGCGCTCATTTCGAGCGCTACACGTACACAGCCAGCAATCTTCGTATGCCTTGGTCATGGTCAAGACTCAAGACCACCATCACGCCTTCAACTCGGCAATACCATTTATCGGATGAGTATGCGCCGTGGACTGCTACGGGAGAGGGGGGCCGGTGCTATTACGTACAGACACCAGCGAAGATGGATGCCAAGGCAACGACGGTCTTAGCCGCTGCTCCCGAAATGGACCATTTCGACATGTTTGCCGAAAGTCTCGATGAGGTTTTTATCAAGGTGTCGATAGCGCAACTATCCCTGGCCATCACCGACATTATCACCATGGCGTCTGTACACAGCCATGCCACCGCCTGCTGCGGCGTGACGTATTGCACAAACCAGCAGCCATTGTCGCCCTAAAAACGACTTTGCAATTGGCCGGATGACGCTGGCCGTGACTAAGAAGATGGTATATTGAATAATGGAAGAACCCAGGTGGAGCAGACAGTCCTAAATGCCCAATATGGCTGGATTCGGAAGCAATCCGAACAGGTCCATGGACGTTTTCCAACTCGGCGATGATGACAGGGGCTACTAGCAGGACCAGCGAGCAAGGAGAATGGTAGGTTATTAAGCCAAACAAACCATGAATGAAACGAAAAGAGGTTGAAACATGAAGAGCATTTATCGTGATTAGTAACATGACACACATGTGCATAATGTCTGACCCTTCCCGGACATGTCTTTCCGACTAGCGCCCTACCTGAAGCTCAATGGCAATGTCATAACAAGTGGAATTCAAAGGGCACATATAAAAATCCAGAAATTCTCCCTAAACCACAACGTGGCAGTAGTTTGGCAGTTGGCAGCCGCATGTGTATCATGTGGGTGATGCCGACCCAAGTTGTTCCCAAATAGCACAGGGAACAGCGCTTGCCGTCGCATTGTTCGGCATCAGTACAGTATGACTTGACCGTCTCGACGTATCTGTTGAACCCGATTTTTTCTCATGTTGGCCTTGTAACAAATTTACTATTCTACGAAGACACGGCAACCAGGGCAGCCTGATTTTGCTACTACTTGTGCCAGCCGCTGCGGTGCTCTGTTTGTTACCCTAAAGACTGCACAGACAACTGCATATATTCGCATCATCTGTGAAATACATGCCTCCCATTCAAAAAGCAAATCTGTGAATTTGCGTTTATGAGTGCTAAATACACTTGGGCTGCAAGTACGGCATGTCCATGCCGCCTGTTACTACCGTCACTGGGAATTGGACTGAATTCTGGCTGTCCGCGTAGTGTTAGTGCTCACTATCCTCGCGTTTCGGTTCCAGGACGACGCAAATTTAAGAATTAACCATGGATTTTGGCTCTGGCTTTCATATTACCATGCATTCCAGTTATCGCGGACTAGGGTATTTTGGTCACCGAGTAATCTTACTCAATCTCGCCATGTAAGCCACGAGGTTACTGTAGTCACGTCGAAATGCCCCCAAGATGACCATCTATCATATCCGAATAGGAGAAAACTATAATCTTTGCCATATCCAGCTTATTGGGCATTGCCGTAGCAGATGCGCGTGGGAAAAGTATCAAGCACCCGACGCGCACTGCAATCCGAGTCGGCGCAAATCTTACATGCTACAACCCAAGTCGGTGCAAATGATCATCCGGATTTATAACCCTCGTCGTCGTCGTCCGACGCGCATCTTCCAACGCAGGAAGAACCTTGAATTAAACGAGCAAAAGCTAGAACAAAAAAATTAAATTGGTGGAGGCTTAGTCCGTTCTGACGTAGGCTCACCGTTAAAAACTCGTCAGCAACTACCAAAACGAGGCTTGGTGGCTGCCTCCTGTCAGAGCATCCGTAGGGCTGGAAAGCTTCGATCAGAGGGGACCCGCCAACCAGGAACGATGTCGAGACGCACATGTGCATGCATGTTGTAGAAGCTGACGACTCCATGTTCCCATCTTGCCATGGGTTTCGTGGAGCAAGGGTCAATTGGTGGCGTCCAGCGAGCACGTTGCCACGGTGGAGCCTAACTGCCGCCAGACCCATCCTTTCCGTCTAATGTGGCCATTCATATGCTGCCGAGACCACGCGTTTCCCTATTCAGATAGCTAAGCGAAAGCGAAGCCAAGAAGAATATTACTCCTTTGGGAACTTGATTCGACAGGGCAGCGTCAAGGGTTTGGGTTTGCTCCAAGCGAAAGCGAGCATGTTTTGATGCATCATGATTCCCGACGAGGCTTTGCTTCGCATTGATGGCGCGTCTGCGCGTGCACATCGTGAAAGTTGTAGGGCTTGACCGTCGAGTCATGGAGCATAACGATGCAGCAACAACGGCCTGGCCGAACGCCCCCGACATGGAGCTTATACGCGTGCCCGTTGAGCTCTCCAAGAGAGCAACAGGTACGACGCCTATTATATATTCCATGAACCGCCTCCAGATATTCCCACTGGACAAAGAATAGCACCAGACGCGTCAAGAAAACCCGCCACACCAAAACTACCAGGCGACCAGCCACCTTCTCCCTCGAAGCCGTTCCCAGCCAGGCCTCTCATACCAAAGCCTCAACATCTCGACATGTCGTCCTCCGATCTACCAGACCACCGGATCAGCTTTGGCCCCGACGCCAACTGCACGCTCTCCACATGTCCCATCGAAGCCAGCGTCTACCAGTACCGTCCATCGCTGCCCGCAAACTCCGTCTTGCTCGCCCTCTTCGCCCTCGCCCTCGCCGTCCACGCCGTGCTCGGCATCCGCCGCCGAACCTGGGGCTTCATGGCCTTCATGATAGTCGGGTGCCTCGTCGAGATTGTCGGGTACGCAGCCCGCATCCTCCTGTACAAGAACCCGTTCGACTTCATCGCCTTCCTCATCCAAATCATCTTCATCACCACCGGGCCCGTCTTCTACACGGCCGCCATCTACGTGACGCTGTCCAAGACGTGAGTCCCTGCCATCCATCTCTCTACATCATTCCACCTCGCTGAGACCCTTTGCCCGCGCTGCCCCTGTAGCATCAACTACCTCGCGCCGCAGCTTTCTCGGTTCAACCCCAAGTTCTTCTACTGGATCTTCATCCCTGCCGATCTGGTATGCCTCGCGCTGCAGGCCGCGGGCGGCGCGCTGTCCACTCAGACCAAGGGGTCGAGCGATACGGGAGTCAACATCACAATGGCGGGCTTGGTGCTGCAAGTCGTTGTGATTTTCGTCTTTGTCGTTGCCTTTGCAGACTACATGGTGCGGTATACTCGGCATCCCGGCACGCAGGCCCTGACGCCGAGAGTGCGGCTGTTCCTGTCCTTTCTGGGACTGGCAGTCGTCCTGATTTTGGGCCGGTCCGTCTACCGAGCGTACGAGTTGAGCAAGGGCTACCGGGGCTCGGATCTGATTACGGACGAGGGGTTGTTTATTGGTCTTGAGGGAGTGTAAGTGCACGACACCGACTGGGGGCTGTTGTAACTTGGGAGACTTGTTGGCTAACCCTGGTGTAGGCTGATTATTATTGCCGCATTCGCGTTGTGTGTTGGGCATCCAGGGCTGTTGTTCAGCCCCAAGGCGAATGTTGCTGGATCGAATTCTGCATCAGATGTTGAAAAGCAAGTGGCCGGGATCTAAAGTATGTGTGGGAGAGGAATGGATGGGTACGAAAAAGGCCAGGCTTGGGGGCTTGGCATCTGGCCCCTTTTATTTTGTATCTAGACATGCCCGGGCAAACAATAGATTAACATCACATTCGTCTCTTCTCGCTAGCAATTTTCTTGGCAACTTATACAATCATTAAACCGTCCATGTATACATTTTTATTCACCGACATGCTTCTCAGAGTCCTTGAACGCAGGCAGCTTGAATAGCCGCCTCGCATTATCCCTTCCAATCTTGGCCTTGTCGACCAAATTGATGGGCACGCCGTCGTACCAATCACACGCATCGGCAAAACACTCGAACGGATAGTCGATGGAGAACAGGATGCGATCGGCCCCAACCTCGGCCATGCAAAACTGCAGAGTCGTCGTGGAGAAGTGTCCGCTGGTGGTGATCCAGATGTTCTGCTGGAAGTACTCCCGGATGGTCTTCTTGCAGTCCAGGCCCAGCGGCTTCTTGACGTCCTCGAACCAGTGGTTGATGCGCCACATGTCGAAGGGGATGTGCTCTCCCAGGTGGCCCAGGACAACCTGCAGTTTGGGGTGGCGGTCAAAGACGCCGTTGGTCACCATGCCCAGGACGTGAAGGGACACGCCTTGGGCGAAGCTGAGAGGGGGGCCGATGAGCCACTTGCGCTTCGCCCAGAGCTTTTCGTGGAGCGAGCCAGTGGGATTACGCGGGTGCAGGTAGAAGGGGACGTCGAGCTCCTCGACGGTTGACCAGAAGACGTCCCATTCGGGGCCGTCGTAGAAGATCATGTCATCTTCGCCGGCCCGTTGAGTGTCGTTGACGAGGGCGCCCTTGAAGCCGTATTGGGTGACGCAGCGCTTGAGCTCGGTGGCTGCTTCTTGGGGGTTGTGCATGGAGAGGGTGCTAGTCATGTTTAGCTTTGTCGAGACTTTCTTTCAATTCAATCCCCAATCAACGGTCCATGACTTGGGCTGATATGGAGAGGGAGAGAAGGACTTACGCAAAGGCTCCAAATCGATCGGGGTGAGTCTTAATGGCAGCAGCAACATAATCGTTAATCTCTACGGCCAGAGCCTGAGCCTCCTTGGGGTCTGAGACGTCTTGTACTCCGGGAGCAGTGTATGAGAGAATCGTATAGCCAACCCCATGCTTGTCCATGTACTTGATGCGGATATCAGTAATGTCCGTCATCTCGGCGGCATGCTTGTCTGGGTTCACGGCAAACAGGGAAGCCCACCATCTCGTCTTCTCATGAAGGCGAGGGAGGGCGAAAGCCTCCTCAAGAGCAACCTTTCCGTGCATTTCTGGAAACAAGGGCAAGAGCAATTGGATTGCTAAAAATATGTAGACTGGGTGAGGCAGCAGCTACAAAAGCACAGGAACCAGAAGGGCACGAATCTTTATAGCTGGGTCCATGTTTTCTCGGCCTAAAGCAGCTCCGATGCCGACGCCGGGCCAGGACGGCAGTACTGCATTAGATGTTTCAACCAAGGATGCATGAGCGTTCAACGGGCATTTTGGGCGTCGTGTAAGCGACCACACCTGTTTGAACCTGACGTGGAGGGGATGAATGATGAGTGTGGGATTGTGACGGCACTGGGAAGCTGCGAAATCGAGGGGGCGTCGCGGGGCATCGCGGAGCACAGACCCACTCGCGCGTCGTACCAGACAGTATCCGCCAGCCAATGCGGGGCATTTTGTACGGCAGGCCGCGTGGAAAATACGGTGCGACTATGAGCGGCAAGCACGGCTGACGATGGGAGCCGCGGTGGTTGAACTGTCAATCACTGCCGTCGCACCAACCCTAACCCTGACCCATCTTAACAACCGACAGGCACCCAAAGCACAGTGACGCGCAAAATCCGACGGCCACACGCGCTCCGGCCACGAGACAGGTGGTAAGTAGCTTGTGGTTGAACTCTCCAAGTATTTGAACTAACTACGATATTTGTCAAAAAGTGACATGTAAAGGGCGTTACAAAGAGACTCGATTAATAATTCGATTCGTGCTTCCGATGTTGGCTATGTCGCACCGCTGCCTTCGGAATATCGAGTTGTGGATACATCAAAGCGGCCCAAAGTCCAGCTCCCGGGCGACCCGGCCTCGGATGATTCCCGTGATGGTAACAAACTGAAGCGCTCATCAAGACGAGAGTCCTCCTGGCCCCCAAGCTCCATTGGAACACTCGTCTCTGTCGGTACCATCAACAAACACCTGCACCATGGCCAATTCATACCAAGCCCTCTACCCAGGCGACATGGCCGTCTCGCCGGAAATCGTCCAGTTCTTTGAGGACTTTTACCGTATATCAGACATTCCCGGAGAACACGATCAATACGTCGATCAATTCACACAGGATGCCATCTTCATTCTCGCTTCCAAAAAGTCACATGGGAAACAAGGTTTGTCCCCCCATTTCCTCCAGCAGCATCGACTGCATCTAAATCATGCCCAGAAATCCTGGCCACAAGAATCGGCATGTGGTCCGCAGTAGCGTCTCGCAAACACACCGTCCACAAGGTGTTTCCTTTTTCTAACGAGTCCAATGAATTCATGCTGTACGGATCTGTGGCCCTTGGATTGCGCAACGGTGCGCACGCGGATGTGGATTGGGCTGCGAGAGCAGACATTGTCAAGTCCGCGGATGGTAAATGGAGGATGAAGTTTTATCAGGTTTACCTAGTACGTTGACTGCCGCGGCCACAATCTAGGCCAGTCTTGTTTCTTTGTACTCACTCGTGACACAGGACACGGGGGCGATTACATCACCCGCCAAATCGTAGAACAAGAAGTACAGGTATATGGGCGATGCTCAAAACCTGAGTGTATACGAATTTGTTTCTTTTATGCTTGAGATGCTTGACCAGTGCTACGAACAGCTTCAGCAAAGGCGCCTACCAAATCTTCCACTTCCGGCGCCGCCTCAATGCAATGCCAATGTCCAACGTCAGCCAGTATCTCGATTCGTTTTTTGAGTCCGGCCTCAACTCCCCAACTGCGAATATTTCAGAAAAACGGCCCTACAAAGTCGCATCCCAGGGAGCCACGAGCGTGTACGTACCTGTTCAGAATGTCCTGGGACCCGGTGAGCGGAGCGGTTTTGTCATGCGAGCCAGCAATGATAAGTAGTGGACACTTGATGTCCTCGTACCGCGGCCGTTTTGCGTTTGCAATTGTTCGACAGAGCGACTTGTATCCCTCTCCTGTCTGGGCCAGCAAGAGGGCTCGGATAAAGGCCTTCTGTGTAGTTGTTGCTTTGGGACCTGTAGCCGCGAACGGAACCACGTTTGCTACGCCTTCCATCCCCTCTGCGGGCAACATCAATATTAGAAAGGCATGTTGGGAAAGAATTCGTCGACTTGTGCTCAGTTCTTACCATTCTCGACAAGCTTAATGCGCGCGTCGAATACATCTGCCAATGCCGCTGAAGGATTCACAGGCCCGATAAGGATGACTCCCAAGATGTCCAAGCGAAGAGCTAATTCACTAGCTATTATAGCTCCCATGGAATGTCCAACGACAACGATGCGTTTCACATCAAGCTCGAGGGCTGCGATGAGAGCCACTGCCGCGCCGCATATTGCTTCCCCGTCGCTGTCGCCCCCCCTGTATGGCGATGAGGCACTTCCTACATGAGGTCAATTTACACCATGTTGCGGGAAGATACAATGACATTGTTGAGGCGGCATACCTGGAGTATCAAATGCGAGGCACGAGAAGCCCTTCTGTACCAAGCCTGGAATAATCGACGCGTAGAATGAATTGCTCGACCCCAGCCCATGGATGAGGAGCAAAATTGGCCCCTCGCCTGCCGGACTCCAGCTGTAATACAAGTCTTGATTGTTAATTTGAATCGCAGGCATCTTTACTTTCAAAACTCAGAGGCGGGTCTGCGACAGCATTTCAACCGCTTCAACCGAAGACGTCTGGTTCGATTAATAATAACTCGAGCCGAAGCAAGGCGCCGGCGTAACAGCACGTCCCCAGCTCCAACAATAGTACCGACATCATGACATGCAGTATCATCCGATTGAGTTTCTGCTGTGGAGCTTGTCGGAAGAAACTCGACCCCATCGGAACTTGGGCATCTCACAGAGTCACAGCCACGTCAACGTGCGCAACACCATGTAATTGTACACCAATAATCCGACCCTCGCAAGTCACAGCCTGTGGTTCGCCAAGAAATCCCCAGGCACATTATTTATCAGGCAACGAAACTACGGGCCCAGGCGACATGTAGCCGTCTGAAAATTTAACTTTCCCGGCCCATTACTTGCAAGTTGAAACCGTTGACCTTTACCAATCATAACCGATCACCACCAACACCGCGGCCAAAGAGAACCCCGACGACACACGCCTAGCCATGGGCTCCAAACACACCCCGTACAGCTCTATAGCCGAGACGTCCAGAATCCTGGATTTTCTACTGCCCTTGTTCGACCATGTTTCCCTCCCGGCACAGGCGAGAAATAAGCGTGCAAATGTGCGCTTCACAGGCACCAGAGACCAGCCATATTTCCCCATCCCCTTTAAAGAAACCGAGCTCGCAGCTGCACTAAAAGCCGTAGAGGGATGCGTGGCCTCCGCCCTGGCAGATGAGAAATTCGGCCAGGAACAACGGGACAGACGGATCGTCGTGGACCAGGAGAAGACGACGGCATTCTTGTTCCAGACTTACCTGGCGAGAGTCGGGGGACTAGGAAAGCTAGACAAGGGAGTCCGGGCGCTTCTGAAAGGTGAGAAGGGAGCGCGAGCGGCCAAGAAGCCGCGTCAAGTTTTGAGCTCAAGCTGAGGGAGAGGCCCAGACACCGACCTGCTGCAGGCGCAGTCCAACCCGTACCGGCGCATGTCGGCGAATCTGTACGAGACCGCCGAAAGGGGCGAGTACTATCACATCCACGGATCTCTGGAGGCGTCGACCACGCTGAAAATGATTGGGCTGGAGCCGCACCGTCCGGACCTGGAGTCGCATCAGGACATTGTCAACACGATCGAGCCGGCGGTGAGGAAGCACACCGTCGAGCAGCTGGAGGCGATGAATGCCCGGCACCGTCAAGCTGGCGTCAAGGCGTTTCGGCACGACGAGTTTCTGCAGACTCCGCACGTGAGTGTACTGGCGTCGCCGTGTCTTGTTCTTACATGTGCCGCGGGTGCTGACGACGGCCGCAGGGCAGAGAAAACTGGTCACTGCCGCCCTGGTCGGTCGAGAGCCTGGAGACGAGCACGCCCAGGGTGCCGCTGCCGAGCACCGGCGACAGGAGGATACTGTCGGGCATCAAGGTCCTGGACCTGTGCCGCATCATCGCGGGCCCGACCATCGCGCGGATCCTGGGCGAGTACGGCGCAGAGGTGCTCAAGGTGACGAGCCCGAATCTGAGCGACGTGCCGTTCTTCCAGGTCGACGGAAACATGGGAAAGCGCACCGCGGCGCTGGATCTCAAAACGCCAGGGGGCCGGCGGGCGTTCGAGGAGCTGTTGAGGGATGTCGACGTCGTCGTCGACGGATACCGGCCCGGCGCCATGGAGAGGCTCGGCTACGGACCGAAGGTCCTGGCGGACATGGCGGCCCGGCGAGGCAGAGGCGTCGTGTACGTCAACGAGAACTGCTTCGGGTACAAGGGCGAATGGGCAGGCCGGCCGGGCTGGCAGCAAATCGCCGACTGTGTAAGTCGGCCCATCCCCCTTCGAGTCTTGGGCCTCACGGCACTGACAACACGCAGGTCACGGGCGTCGCGTGGGAGCAAGGGCGCTTCATGGGCCTGGACGAGCCCGTTGTTCCGCCGTTTCCCATCTCCGACTACGGCGCCGGCTGCATCGCCGCCATCGCCGCCTTGACGGGCCTGTATCACCGCGCGACAAGGGGCGGGTCATGGCACGGCATGGCCTCTCTGTTACACTACGATCTGCTCCTGTTCAAGGTCGGCCTGCTCCCGCGGCACGTCCAGGAGGAGCTCCGACGACAGGCCGGGCCCGAGTTTCTCGGCTTGCGCCACGCCCACAGCGTCGAGCAGATTTCGGGCACGGCTCTGAGACGCATGCGGCAGCTGTTTCCCGAGTTTGTAGATGACGCCAGGTACTTGGACCACTGGTATGCGGAGGGATACAAGGCGAATGTATCTGTGGTTTTGCCCGTGGTGGAGATTGAGGGCTTGGATATCAGTTTTCAGAGGGCGAGTCGGCCCAATGGAAGCAATGAGGCGAGTTGGGATGGTGGCGACGGCGGTGAGGAAGGGGATTGTAGAATAGCGGCCAGTTAGGTATTTTACGTGATGGCGGTTACGCCTAGGATAAATGTGTTTGGCCAGCTACGAATTGGCGGTAGTCATGACTTGATTCAATGTCAATGGCAAACAACTTGTGCCAGACGTAGCAATACGGATTGGCCAGTGAGGTGCTTGCTATTTACAATGGATCATGTCCGTATGCTATCTCTTTAGCTGCCCAATGGCTCGTGGAGACTCGCTTACCTAAGAAAATTGTATGGCAGAAGAGACCTCACGAGCCATTGCTTCGATCTTGGCCCTATTAATGTCTTGATCCACATTTTGCTTTGCTCAAGTTAAACTTAACCTTGAACATGCTGGCCACCGGATTCGAATGCTGCCGACAGACAACCCGCAAAACACAAGCGGGCGGGTGAAGCACCGCACCTGGACACCAGTGCCATTGCCCCCAGGTCACATCCGATGCCATCGGAACATGTCAAGCGGCGTTTCCCCAACTTTGGTGGCGCCACCTGCAACTTTGTGGGGTTTGCCGACGCATCGCGCCCGAGTCAGGGGACATGACTGCGACATCTGGACCCTCATCGAGCCAGAACATACATACCGACCGAGGCTGCTTCTGTCCGGTTGCTTTGATCAATGACGCCTGTGATTAGTCGTCGCTGTGTAATGGATGACTGACGGGCAGCTCGGGTCTTTGGCAAACGCAGTGGTCTGATGGCAACGGCAACCCCAGCTTTCTATAACCATCCCCGCAAAGTTCAAACCATTGATCCGATATAAAGGACACAATCGTCCGCAAGCTCAAGCCGGCCCAGCTCTTGCTTACAATTTCCTTGCGCTGCATTGGCCCACATCAAAACGACTTCCCAAGTTCCTGTTACACCACGGTGACCACGCCGTGATATCAGATACACCATACCACACACCACATCCATGTCGTCCAACCAACAAAACGGCGCCGTCTTGGGCCGAGAATTCACCCAGAATGTCATTGACGCCATGGGGCCCAAGACGAGCCCTCGGCTGCGGCAGGTTATGGGCGCCCTGATCTCGCACATCCACGACTTTGCGCGCGAGGTGCAGCTCACCACCGACGAGTGGATGGCCGGCGTCGAGCTGATTAACGAGGCAGGGCGCATGAGCAACGACAGGCGCAACGAGGGACAGCTGCTCTGCGACGTCATCGGCCTGGAATCGTACGTCTTTCATTTCACGAATCAATTGATCAATCCCATCCATGCTAACGGCTAACCTCACCCCAGCCTCGTCGACGACATCACCTTCACCACCGCCATCCACAGCGCCAACGGCCTCACGGCATCTGCAATCCTCGGCCCCTTCTGGAGACACGACACACCGCACAGGGACAACGGCACCACCATCACCTTTGACACGCCGCCCGACGGACAGGTCGTCTACATGCACGGCAAGGTGACCGACGTCACGACTGGGAAGCCGCTGCAGAATGCCTCCGTCGACGTCTGGCAAGCATCCACCAACGGTAATACCACTTGACCTTGTCCCTTCTCTCCCATCCGCCTCAGACCGCCAACTTACACGCGTAGGCCTTTACGAGCAGCAAGACGACGACCAGAAGGAGCACAATCTCCGCGGCGTCTTCCACACCGACGCCGAGGGCTGCTACTCCTTCTACTGCCTCCGTCCGACGCCCTACCCGGTGCCCATGGACGGGCCTGCGGGAAAGCTGCTCGGCATGATGGACCGCCAAGTGTTTCGCCCTGCGCACATTCACCTCATGGTATGTATCATGTACCCTCGCTCCTTGCGCCTGCGCCTGCGCCGCTGGGAACGAGAAGAATCTCGTCATCTAATGCGAAAGAGCAGGTCCAACAAGAGGGCTACAAGTCCTTGACTACCCAGATCTTCGACCACAAGTGCAAATACCTCGACAAGGACTCCGTGTTTGCCGTCAAGGACGAGCTCAAGGTCGAGTTTGTGCCGCGAAAGGGCGACCCGCAAGCCCCCCTCGAGCTGGAGTACAATATTACGCTGGCAAAGACGTCTTGAGGGAGGTGGAGGGAGGGCAGACAGGTTGCCGTGTGTCAACAAAATGCAAGGGGGATAAATTGCTGTGCAACGAGAGCGCCTTCTTTTTCGAAGTCATGGAACGCGTGGGAACCGGGCAGACTGTAACGTTAGCGATGAATTCATCTTCTTTCCATTCGGGCGGCATTGCCCCTGACATTGTCATGTTTTTTTCTTTCCAACTTGAGAGGCGTATAGTAGCTCAAAAAAGCGAGGGATCCGACAAAATAGCCAAAAACTCTCGTGAATACTATAGATGTATGCTACTTTTCGTCAACACCAGACAGTCCGGCCATCCGAGATGCCTTGCAAACAGTCTACACATTCAGCAACATCATTGCAAGGCCGCAATCAGGGCAACCACAACATGCAGAACTTGGACGTAAATTTATAAACAATCTGCTGTTATGGCTATGCAAAACATGTCATGCAGAAAATGACTCCCTTTTCAATCTCATGCCCCAACAACCACACCACTCGGCAACTCCAACCCTATCGGCAACCCATCCACAAACCTTTCCGTGTACGCCTCCCCTCTTCTCTGAGCAAGATGCTGCTCAATATCCTTGTACATGTCATACCTGCATGTTCCAGTTAGCCCAGACCCTCAAACACAGGCCACATCCAGTCAGACTTACGTGTTCATCTCCTCAATTGTCAGAATCTTCTTAGGGTCCTCCACCTTGTACGTCGTGGTAGACTTGTTGACGGAGAACCCTGGTTTCCAATTAGCACCACTGCCCCAAACCATCGCCGATGCCAAGCTTCAGTAAAGCAAAAAGAAAAAAAAAACATACCGATTCTCTCGTTAATGTTATACGCCGCCTTTGCAGCAGCAGCCTGCACCCTCGTCACCCTCGGCAGCCGCACTGCGTCATACACAGCCAGGGCCTCGGCGATGCTGCCCCCAAAGTGGTCCCTGTCAAACAAGATACCCAGCGCGGCGGCATCCTCAATGGCCATGCAAGCGCCCTGGCTCTGGTGCGGCATCATCGGGTGGCCCGCGTCCCCCAGGAGACACACGCTGCCCCTGTGAATGTACGGATACGGGTCGTGAATCCACAGCCTCCAGGGCCGAATCTCCCTCCCGATCTCGAGGTGCCTGAACACCTGGCGGTCCAGCTCGGGATACGGGCTGAGCAGCTCCTCGACGGGGCGGTCGGCCCCTCCCCAGGTCTGGCTGGCATAGTCGCCCTGCTCGCGCGGGAAGAAGCAGTAGTACGACAGGAGCCTGCCGTCGTTGCACGGGGACAGCACGATCTTATCCCACTTGCCCTCCTGGCCGCCCCAGTACTCGAGCGCGCTGTGCTGCGAGTAGTCGACGAGCCCGAGCCTGACGGCCTCTTCCGTCGTCACATTGACATGGAGGCAGCTCTGCTCCGAGGGGCGCTTCTCGGGACGAATGCCAATGGCGCTCCGGACCGCCGAGCCGATTCCATCCGCGCCGATGACGACGTCGTGATGCGCCGTGACGCCGTTGTCAAACGCGATTATTCCAGCCTCCACATCAACGTTTTTACACTCAAAGAGCTCATGTTAGTCAAGGCTTCTTTTGAGGAAATTATTCCAGGCTTGCCAAGAAGGATAAAGAGAAAGAAACTAACCTTGTGATTGACGAGTAGCTTCGCCGGCGTGCCCTCCCCTTCCTCTCCCAACGCACTGTCCTTCAACATGGAGTGCATGTACTGCCGATGAAACATGTTGTAGACGTACCCCCATCTCTCCTCGTAGTCCTCCAAATCATACACGCTTACAGGCTCGCCCGTCTTCCAGTCCCTGTTGATCAGCTTCTTGAGGACGACGGGGTCGCCCTTGGCAACATCGACCTTCCACTCGTGCAGCCATCTCGTGCCGTTGGCGGCGCAAGACACGGAGGCTCCCACCTCTCCCGCAAAATCAGACTTCTCATATATGGTTACGGCGTGGCCGGCGCGGCGAAGGGCAATGGCGACCGACATGCCGCCTATGCCGCCGCCGATGACGCCGACGTCTAGCCTTCGCCAGCCTGGAGTGTCTCTGGATCCCATGGTAAATGGCGTATTGTGAATAGGGTGCACCGTGAAAATGAATGATGGGCAAGGCAAATCGTCTTTTATGAAATGGTAAATCAATGTGATGAGTGCAAGTGAATATGTCTTATTCTTGGTTGACCCCAAGGGAATCCGGTTGAAATAAAACGCTGAAATTATCAGTCAGATTCATTGCTCGTCACATGAACCACTATATAGCCACAGAATGAGCCTATAGGTCGGCACTGAGGGCTGAGGCTGTTAAACTCTGTCCGCAAGGAATGTTGTGTGTGTATGTGTGTGACATCGTGTGGGATTGCGGCTTCTGTCGCCGCGGTGCATTACCCGCCGCGTCGGCTACGTACCGCCATCGAAAAATGTTGGTGCCACAACGTACATCCGCCGTGCTGACGGCATCTTACCCGTAAAAAAGGCAAATCGGGGCAATTGTGTAAACCGCCCTTATCCGTAGGCAAGGATATCGAAATTGGTCGGTGAGATGGTCGGAGACGGGAGTTCGGAAGCGTGGGCCGCATTCGACGGCTTAGACGTCCATTGCAAATTGCCGCGATGCACATAAACTACGCCCATGCATTTGTAGACGCTTAATATTGTGGCCGACGCCCCGTAAATAATCATCTGTAAACATGTCTGATAGATGACTCCAGTACAAAATTGGCGGAACTGCACAGGCTACAATACATTCCACGTGTGTTTCGCGGACCAGCCAACGCCTCGCTCTTAATCAATGATGCCCTGCCAAGGTCAAGGAACAAACGGAAAGTTATCCCACTGTGATATGTCCAGACTATCCCAACCCAGAAACACTTCTTGTCCTGGATCAGCAGGCGTCCTGTTGTCACTGAGCCAGTTCCCTGCATTTTCTGCGAATGGGGGAATGAGGCCGCCGGCTAAAGGTGTAAGTCGTCCTTGGTCATCTCGAGGGCTGTCCGAGACCGGCTCCTTCGCTTCTTGCAGAGTGAATATTTTGGACACGTATCTGCTGCGTCCTGTTGAAGCGACATTCTGCCTTTGTTTAGAGATGGCGTTGGACAGTAAAGTCAATATCTCGTAGTAATGCCCCGCTTGTGGACTCTGCGTAGCCAGAAAGTTAAGTATGTCCCTTGCGCCAGCAAACGCAGCGTCAATGTCGAATTCAATAGAACGCTTTGCGAAAATTTCGAATCCCAACACTAATCCTGCAGCGAATACCAAGGCTCTACCGATTAGTTAGCCAAGCTACACAGTATGCCAAGTGCAAGAGCTTACTTCATGATACACATATTCCCGTACAAAATATCCACTTTCCTAGCATCCATACAAGTCTGGATCAGATAAACAGCGGCATCCAGACATGCGGAAGCTAATTGGGACTGGACAAGCCCCCCGCTTGCGGGAGGTGCTGTCAGGGTCGATATGAGGATTGGCCGTGTAACGAGAGTAACGGCAAAGTAGTATAAACACGAGACATGGACGCTTCCGATGGCTCCTTTGGTATAATTTGAGCCAGACAATGCGCCGCCCTTTGCAGGTGATCGGAGGCAGCTAGGTAGACTTCGTGACCAGGATTCAATTTCGTTGAGGAGATTTTCAACGACAGACGTGGATATTTCCTTTCGCTCGTACAATATGTCAACTATACCATTAATAATCGACACAATCTGGTGCGAGGCAATGAGGCGGGCCATTTCATCCGTCTGCTCCGTTTCAGAGGCATGATCGAGTATAGTATTGATATCGGAACTTAATCCTGCGGTAGCTGCGGGCCGGCCCAAGATTGCGTTGACAAGCATGTCAACAATGCGCAGGCTGAGCCAAATTCGAATGCTTTTCTCTCATTAGTGAATTCGCACTGTGAGTTTTCGGTTCCAGAAACCCACCGTTTGTTATCCTCCAGGTCATTCAAGTCTTGGTACGATTCTTGGCTATGCAAGCCCAGAGCCACCGCGGCTCGGGTAGCAATTCCCAGATACATAAACGCAGCATTCCGGCGGCATTCACCTAGGAGGTAAAACGCCATAAGCAAAAACGACCTCACAACGTCAATATCTGGGTCTTCCAGCAGGCCCTGGAACGCTTGAGACTGAGCCTGTCTGAAGTAGCCTTGTCCGATGTCACGAGCACTGGCGGCGGATTTGCACTGAGCGCCAATAGAAATAACCATGCCCAAGGCCGCTCGCTTTTGCGGGCTGAATGACGAGTCGTCAGCGAGCATGAAATATTCCTCAATTTCAGTGGGCGCAAATATGTCAATGAATCCCTCGGTCTAGGCATATCGTGCTGTCAGTTAGCGCCATCAACCTCAGCTGCCGATGCTCCGGGTCTCACCTACCACAGCGCGGTAACATTGAGAGTAGAGAAGTTTGGTCTCAACATCCAACTCTGGAAGGGTGGACGGTGGAAGATTCCGCATGGAACTTGGCGACTCTTTCTCAAGCATGGTGTCACTCTTCTCATTGTGCGAGAATTGAGAGGGCCCAATCTGGTCCGCGACAATGGACCGAACAAGCTGCAAAAATGACAAGGAAGCAGCACCTCCGATGTATACTAGCACAGCATTTAGCAGTTGTTGTCGATTTAAGGGTTGAAGATGAAATCATACCTCGCTCTCCGCGCAAATTGAAGAGCATTCTGGAATGTGGATTGCCAGATACCGAGGAGGCGTCCGAAGCACCGTGTCGTCGACGCTCCGGACTCTCTGGGCCCTCGAGGCTAGGTCGTGAATCCGATGGTGATAAGGGTCGGAAAGATGATGTATCTGGCCCCTTCCTTCTGCCCTTGCCGTCGACATTCAAGATTGGAAGTTGAGCGGATGGAGTGCATCTAGGGCCGCCCGTCTCGAGATCCAACATGCCACTCTGCGCTTCGAGCCCGACCCTGTGAGGCTGCGTGTCACACGGTAGTCTCGGGCCATCGGATACAGCCTGGTTTCTTGAACCTCGTGGTCGCAAGGCAATAATGCACTGAGATCCAACACCGCGACGAAGACAATAAGAACAAGGAGCCGTGCCGCTGCACTTCTTCTTGGCGTCTCGGCAAAAGTTGCAGGCTTCAGCGGCACGACGCCGTTGGCTAGGGAGGACTTTGGGACGAGGCATGGTTCTGCCGTCCGCACGGCGACTAGCCGACGATGATCCGGGCTACATGCGCAGTCGTGATGTTGCAAAATTTGGTGAGGGAGGTTCAACCGAGTTAAAACTTGCCATTAACAAGCCAGGAAGCCAGGAAGCCAGGGGACCAGGATTCTTCCCCGCGGCCACTATCTGATACCGGACATGCTGGTGGGCTCAAAAGTTCCGATGTCCGATAACAACGGGGCAACGGCCAGGGGCCCAGGACCAGGGCAGTACTGGGGTGTGCGCAAGCGTCGGCACCGGGTCCAGTGACTCCAGTCAATCGTTGATAAGTGCCGCCCGGGGAAGGTGCAACCAACCACAGGAGCCGACACAATCCAATTTGACGTCATGTTTTCCACAATACAGCGGAAAGTGTAAATGGTTTGTTATTTACTTTTTTTCTTTTCCATGAAAAGAAGCCTAGTAAGCCCTTCTGTGCATGGCCTTGACAAAGAAGGAGATTGGTAACACAGTCTATTGCAGAATACGTTTGCCCAACAAGAAGCACCTACTAATATACCACAACATATGTACCTGATCTGGCCGGTTTTTGCCTCCCACTGCGATTAGATAAAAATTACCGCACGGGTTGGAATAACCCTGGTGCGGCTCCGCTGTGGTATCTTCCATACCAGACTCCGCGTCTAGATTGATATCCGTGTAAGGGCCGCGCCGCCAAGAGGCCAGCCAGGACACCTGGAATCGCCAGTACCACCCTGCCATAGTGCCTCCGATATGGTGGTTACGGCCAGGCCCCTAAGTGCTCTATCCGGGAGCTAGCTGAGTGATGATGGGCCAGACAAGTACGTACAATGCCACTACTCCGAATGCCACTGCTCTGAATGCCACTGCTCCAAGGCTAACTAACCAAGCACAAGATAGTTGTACGGTCCGTGACTGAATATGATCTGTCCTGAGAAGAAGTATATACCAATAGACTAGAATATACCAAGGTATATTCTAGTATACGTGATACAGTGGCTCTAGTCGTTATACGACCGTCTACTATACCTGATGATATCGAAAATGAGAACCTTGCCCGGGAAGTCTGAGATGACCGTACCGAGCCTCAAGGCGTCCGGCTCGGGGTAGTGCCATTCAATGTAGTCGCAGGACCTGTCATTCATGCCCACGATGGAACGTTCGAGGGGTCCTGCAGCCGCTTCAACGGGCAGGACGCCCACAGACGCAGAAAGGTGCGACACGTATAGGTAGCTATTGTCGTTTGGCCTGAAATTGGTAATTTCGAAATGCTCCTCAATAGCCTTCCACTTGTCATCCAGATGGTTGACGTCCTTGACGATCCATTCGTCCTGCAGGATCATCTGGGGTCCGTTCCACTCGATGCCGTACTTCCAGGGCGGGGTTGACGGGAACTCCTGTAGGAACAAGATCTTGCCGCGCAGTTGGGCGACCGAGGGAATCGGCATGGAGGTGTTGTATGCAAACCAGTGCTTCTTGGCGCGCTCCTTGATGAAGTAGTAGTTGTTGAAGGTATCCTCAAAGACCTCCTGGAAGGTCATGTTATTGTTGCCAAGGGGCGCGCCTTCTTCCTTGAGGCGCATGATGATCCACTCCCGAGGATAGGTATCGAGCCAGTCGTAGATGGTGAGGAGGATGCGCTCGAAGGTGACGCCGGTTGGTTCGTCGCCGTGAAAGGTGGTCAGTATGTTGTCTTTGACGCGAGCGCGGATGTCAATATAGCGAATTCCGGCGTATATTTGCGTCTTGAGGTCCCAGTTTTGGCATTGCAGCGTAGAATTGGAAATGGTGTAGGTCATGGTGTCATGTGTTCCGGGGATGCTCAAGCTGGAGATGTTCATGACGTCTGGGAGCGACGACACCCAATCTGGCCAGTATGATATGTCGGCGTCAAAACTACAGCGCGACCGGAACTCCTTGTAGCTTTGGCCGTTGACGCGGTGCGGCGAGAGGTACGACCCCAGGCCTAGCATCATGTAGAGGAGCAGCAGCATTGTGAAGGTGCCGGACAGGACGATGAGGAGTATGAGCAAAGACGGCAACCGCGGTTGACGACGTCCCAAGAGAGGGAGACGGGTTTTGAAGAGGGCCGGAAGCTTATATGTAGTTGAAATAGCCATGGCACAGGGAGGGATGAAGTACAAAAGAGAATGACAGAGAGAAGCTTTGACGGGAAATATGCGGACTGTAACGTTTGAACTCTGTCTGCATAGGCGCAGCGCTAGCTGGGCATTCCAAGATGCTACGCTGCGCGGCGGCTCGACACGTGCACCGCCATCCAAGGTGTAATTGGAGGTTTAAGTTTGAACAGGCGGGGGGGTTTGGTACAACCATACATCTGGTAGGTTTGGCACACCAGACATGTACCAGACGGCATTGCGACCAGCGCTGATCATACATTGTCCGGGTGACTCGGGTCCAATTTAGCGACCTTGTGGCAGAATGTATTTGCCTATCAATGAATATGCTTGAATATACCAAGGTAATAAATATGAAGCGCGATAGCAAGGTACCTAGGCACGTACCAACTTACTGCGTACTTGCTTCTAAGAAGTACTTAAGGACCTAATAGCCAGTACACCCACTGTACATCAACTCAATGGTATTGACATGTCAAGTACTTAGTACTTATTGCCTCCTACCAGACTGGACCATCAAATACTAAGCTCCCCCCATGCCGCACTAAAGCTATTAACATCAGTACCTAAGAGACAAGGCATGAGAACATTGAAATCCAAATTTAACCACAAGTAGTATAAAGATAAACTTTCCTTTTATAGTTTATGTCTTAAAATGGAAATACTCCGAGAAAGTTACCGAACCATTGGCATTGATTACAAGACATCTGGGTAATTTCGCTCGCGCTAACCTAGAGTACATACGCATCAGTAGAGCAACATTTGAACAAATCTGTCGCAGCTATCGCCTGAAAAAAAAACACCGTATGGCACTATTTGCTGTATTTACCACTCGTGCATTATGGGGAATTCCGGCTCTAGTGACAAGTATGAAGCAGCCGCACTTGAGGTGTCAGGCTCTGGCTCTGCTCAAGTTGGTGTAATTCATCTACTTTATTCATATTTTGTGAAGAAACGCTGCATCAACATCACCGTCGGCTAAAACGGCAACTGGCCCCTTGCCGATTCACATCTAAAAAATCGAAATACAAGTATCCCCGCGATTGTGCCGTGTCCCTCGAGCCTGATATTCACTAAACACCATGCAAAGTCGACCCGATGTGGTCATTCGAGTCGAGTCGTTCGCCTGGTGGGTCCAAGTTGTAGTTACCTCGGCGTATCCAACATGGAAGCCAGAAGGAACAACCGACATTAAATAACTTGATTGAACCAGTTGACGGCTTCCCCTCTCTACAGCTACCCCTACAGCCACCGGGAAAAGGCCGCCACACTATTCGCAACCATCCAAGGGTAAGAAATCACCAAAAACCAGCATCGCAATGCCCTCCAGACCGTCCTTCAACGACCTGCCCCTCCGAAAGGACGGCCCTCCAGGCAATGCTTGGGGCCTCTTCGGGCCAGACGACCAGTGCGGCAGGCTCAACCTTCTCACGCCAGAGACCACGGCCAATGCGGCTCGCGAGATTGTCGACGGAGTGCGCATCTCAACTGACCGGTACCTGGACAGCATGGCGCCTCCCTGCTTTGGCCGCCGTCCCCTGGAGCATACTCTGCTGCACAAGGCCCCGATGACCGTGACTGACGACGAATTGGTGCTCAACACGCAGAGCAGTTCGCAGTGGGACGGGCTGCGGCACTACGGCTATCAGAAGGAGAAGGTGTATTTCAACGGCAAGTCGCAGCAAGACATCTCAAGCTCGAATGTAAATGGAATTCACGGTATGGCCTGCGTCTCTCTCGCATACACAACAAAAGCATACAAGTACTCACTGCTAACGAACCTGCAAGCATGGGTTGAAAACGGGGGGATCGTAGGCCGCGGCGTTCTTCTGGACTATGCTGCCTGGGCAGACGCAAATGGGGTCCAAATTACACCATTCGAAACTGTTTCATTCCCGGTGTCCACGTTGGAAAAAGTTGCTGCTGCCCAAGGAACATCCTTTAAAGAAGGCGATATTCTCTTTATCCGCACCGGCTGGACGAGGGGGTACCAAAAGCTCTCAGCCGGGGACAAGGCCGCAGTCGCTGCTAAACACCCCCCTCCGTCTATTGGCGTCGAATCTTCCGAGGAAACTCTCCGATGGCTGTGGGACAAGGGGTTTGCTGCGATTGCGGGTGACCATCCGGCCATGGAGGCGTGGCCCTGCCAGAATCTCGACTTTCAACTGCACCAATGGGTGCTGGCGGGCTGGGGCATGCCGATTGGGGAGTTATTTGACTTGGAGAGACTGAGTGAGGAGTGTAGCAAGAGGAATAGATGGACTTTCTTTTTCAGCAGCATGCCTCTCAAGGTGAGCAGCTTCATTGTTGAATGTAGATTGGGTGCTGACATTGATAGGTTCCCGGCGGTGTGGCCAGTCCACCAAATGGCGTGGCTATACTTTGATGGTTAGCCAAGAGGAAATAGTGTACTCACTGTTGATCTCATGGTAGTTAGTTGGTTTGCATCTGAGTCGATAATATCCCTCATGTGAAACGTTGCTCTGTGAAATGTTGCACAAATGTATATAATAGTTACGTGGTCTGCCATGCCACGTCTTCTCCCTCCATGCGCATGCCATCATGGCACAAGACCAGCATCCCTCTCTGATACCTCCTTGCCGGGACACCACTTGTCCTGCAGCTCCTTGTCGAGAGTCTTTCCAATTACATCCTTGTCCCACCACTCGCCCCAACTCGTCAAGAAAATGCGACCTGAATCCTCTGGAAAGTCACTACGAGACAATGCCGCGATAACGCTCTGTGCACCCTCGGGCACCGACTTGGCATCAGGCAAATTCGGGGGAATCTGGAAGCCTGAACCGCGCCCAAGGCCAGTGTTGGGAATCAGTCCCGGCGAAACAGCCACAACGTCACACTGGCCCTTGAGCTGGCGACGCCACCAATGCGCTCCGAGTAGTTGGGTGAATTTGCTGCCGGCATAGACAGAGTAGCCGTCGGCTCCGGAACCATTGGCAAGCCTTGCTTCAAGGACGGCTGTTCATTGTCAACTTCCCAAGCGTCGCGCCGAGTAGGACAAAGGTAGGCTGATCAAGAGACGTACCAGGATCTTCAACATTGCGAATAGCACCAGAAGAAACGACGACAATTCGCGCCTTGGAGGCAACAAGCTTCTCGCGAAGCAAGTGCGTCAAATAATGCTGAGCTGAAGCCAATGTTTAGCTACCAAGGCCGATGCAGCCCAAAGTAGATGCACAAAGACTTACAAAAGTGGTTCACAACAGCCGCCTCGCACCACTTCCCAGGAGACTCCTTGTCCGCAGGTTTGAACATGCCGGCGTTCAGGAGCAAATAATCAATCTTGCCGCCGCCGACACTGTCCAGCGCCTGCTGAGCAAAAGCCTTGACCGTTTTCAAGTTGGCCAACTCGAGGGGCAGTACGGCCACGGCATTGGCCGTCTTGTCGTACTGAAGACGGGCAACGGCATCACTGGCGGCTTTGATGTCTCGCGCTCCAAGGATGACTTTGTAAGGAGTGGCCTGCTCCAGGAGCTGTTTCAGCACTTCCAGGCCCTGATATCCGCGTTAGTCTGCATTCAAGTGTATCAGGGAGCATTCCCACACCTACAATGCCCGAGGAGAGGCCTGTGGCGACGATGGTCTTTGCAACAGAAGCCATTGTGTGGTGATTTAGCGGCCAGTGGTGGTTTCGTGGCCTGTTGGGAGATTTTATACTTTTGGTCCAGGTGGTCAGCAACTGGTCATGATGTCACGGTGTACGCCAATGGCGTTGGTCCATTGCCGTGTTTAGCGAGACTTGAATCTCAGCTGACGGCTTACTCCGCATTCATGGGAGGTGATGCTCAGGGCGAATACATAAACTCCTGCGGCAGCGGGGTTAAACGGAAATAAGACGGAGAGGTTAGGTAAAGAAGCTTTGCTGGACATCTCAGAAGCACTTGCGGGGAAGACGATGGTTTGTCTTGTAGGAGCATGGCTATGTAATCAAATCACAAGTGTGATGCGACTAAATTGCAGATGGTTTAGTTCAGGCCTGGTTGATTAAAATCTTCCATACGCGTGGGAACTACAGAAAGCACAACTTGTTGTCCGGTTTGGCCATTGGCTCCCATAGATGGCAGTTTACTCTCACGATGTCTGTTCACCAGACTTCATCAAGCAATGATGAAGTACGCGCAATTTACACTCTACACCCTCATTCAAGCGTCAAACTCTTCAAATGCTCTCCGCAGTTGCCTCCTCACCAACAGCTCCGGGCTATCATCGTCCCCTCGCAAGATGGCCTCCAAGCCCAAAACACCATTACACCGGGCCATGATGACGCCCTTGCACACGATATCCGCCTCGTATCCCGCCCTTTTCGCCACCCGGGCTGCCATCCTGGCACCAACAGCCACCGCCAGCCCGGAAACCTCAACCGACGGACAGCCAACCCGGGCATCGCTCCAGTCAATCACGCCCGTAACCCGACCGGCCGCGTCGAGAAACACATGTTCCCCCTTGGGTCTGCATGTGTCAGCACTTTCCTCACGCTGCTGCCAGGCTGAACATGCCAGGGGGCGTCCAGCTTCTCCAGCGAAATGACCTCGTCCAACTCCATCAACTGTCGCCTCCTCCTTAAAACGTCCAAAGCCGCCGTCGCACGACCGCGCAGTTCATCCAAATCCGCCTCCTCGCCCTCCGGAACGCCAATGCCCAGGGCGTCACCAACACGCACGCCTCCTAGGCCGACCAAGAACGCTACCAAATCATCCTCGGTGCTCTTCGTCACTCCCCGAGGGTCCGATTCCACAGACACACCCTTCGCCTTGTGGTACAAAGCGTACTGCCGGCCGTGGGGGTTCCAAACCCCGACGTCAATACACGGCGGGACAAGGGGTGCGAGTTCATCATTTCTTAGCAGCAGCTCAAGCAGTCTCCTCTCTCGGAGCAGCGGCTCTTCGCCGCTGCCCTGGTCGGCCGGAACCCGGAGGACGAGGGCGTCGTTTACCGTCCAGACGAGATGATCGCCGCCTTCGCTGCAGCGGCGGATGTCCAGCGGCGGCGGGACACGACGGAGAGATTGGACGAGGACGAGGGCTTCCGAATCCGAGACGCGTAGTTTGCCCATTCTGCTGCTGTTGTTTTTGCGCTACTGACCTCTTTATCAAGATCGCCGTCTGGTCTGGATCCATGGCCTTTTTGTCATGTTTGTAATGGGAATTCAGGGCATTAAACCGGTCGGCGATGGGCAGAGCATTTGAGGCGTGTAAGTGCATTGGCCGGGTGAGTCAGACGGCAGCGGCCATCATGGCCATCCTGTTGCAGCCAGGCGTTTTACGGCGAGCCACAGCAAAGATGGCTTGAACGGGGCCTTACTTGATGGCAACAAGCAATAGTATTCATGTTGAACGTCTTGCGGCCCGAGTTTGTGGCACTGAGCTGGTCCATGGGCACGTCCATGTCGCTGCATTCAATTCATGGCCGTTGATGGCCCCCGCATGGCCACCCACCACTTTACTTGATCTTCTCGCCAGGGTAGCTGCCGAGTTCTGATACAGCAAGAGATCAATGCCCTCTGTTGTACGGCTGTGGACTTGTGACGTGACGCGAGGCCCAAGTTAGAGTTAGCCAAAGTAGTCCTGCCGCAGAAACCGCCATAGAATGCCCGTCTGAAGAATGAAGCGAATGATGAAAGCCCATATGAATGCACACGGGTGCTACTTGTACAAGCCTGCGTTGTCCATATGCACAGGCAAGAAGGGCAATGAATATCTCAATCAGACATGGCTCTTCAACATTACCATTACTCCGTACACTAAATCCTCTAGTATTGGAAAGACAGCGTCGCCTACCTAGTCGCTTCCCGTAGTGGTCTTTAAAGGCATCAACACAATTTGCAGCATCAAACCACCTTGTTTTTCGCGACGAGGTTGTTAGGGCTGCAGGTGCGCTGGGCTTGAATTTTCATCAAAGCATTACTGAATTCGAAACTGTAAAGGGGAAACGAAGGAGTTTGTATTATATATATCTCATTATTCATGCCCAGTCGTGACTGTTGTGGGAGAAGAAGGAAATAAATCAGAGTTGCCACCAACACCGTAGGGCCCGAAATGTACAAGCACTTGACAAGGTATCCAAGCCGTTCATAGTGCTATGGAAGCGAGAAGTGGCCACAGGCTAGCCATGTTTGCATGTCTTCCAACTTCTACTTCTATGCAGAAACTGAACTTCGCTCAATCTCGAATAATTGAGGTACGAGATCGTCTAGACAGTCTTCCAATCCTCTCCATTTCAGCCCAAATACTCTCTCAGCATCACTGGCGTCGACTCCAAAATGAGTGTGCTTCTCTCGCTTGCCAGGTTCACCGACTGGGATCTTCTCAGCATATTTTGAAGTCACCTTCCGGCTCACATCGGCGAGTTCTTGGTTGCAATAGACGCCCTGGCAAAGCATGTAACGGCCGCCGCCCGCCTCGGGTACAAGGAGCGCTTTAACATGAGCCTCGGCTACATCTCGCACATCAACCCAACACGGGCCCTTTGTAGGAGGGACGGGTTGGTTTTTGCCAGCAGAGACGACAGACCATACCATAAGGTTGCTCGTGTTGACCTCCTGGATGGACTTTGGCGTCGATCCAGGCAGGAAAGGACCAAAGACCATTGTGGGACAAAGGCTGACTAGATCGAATGCAGGTTTCCTCTCGGAGATGAAACTCCATGCAGCTTTCTCGGCAGCCGTCTTGCTGGCTCGGTAGGCGGTAGGCGCATTGGAGGCATTAACACCATCCTCGTAGGTAAGCGGACTCCAATCTTTAGAAGTATATGTCTTTTCTGGGGATGGCCCAGCGGCAGCGTCATATATACACGCAAAGCTGTTGGTGTGAACGACTCGCTTAATGCTTGGTATTTGAGTTGCGGCCTCAAGGATTGCGGTAGAACCAAGTACGGCGGGAATCATGAGTTCGGTCTCGAAATTACTGGCGTTGTAGTGGAATGGCGCGGCAAGATGAAAAACTGCGCTCGGCTTCAAGTTATCGAAAGCCTTGAGGTAACAATCTGATGAAGTAATGTCGTCGACAACGACTAGTTGCAGGCCGGGGTGTGACTTGTGTGCCTCCTTTACTGGGTCGATTTTAGATGCTGACCTGACGGTGCCAACAACATTATAGCCCTGGTTGAGCAACGCTGCAATACAATGTTGAGCAATAAAGCCATTGGCACCAGTGACAATAACTGTCGCAGGAGGGCTAATAGGTGAGGCGATTTTGGAAGGCATAGTTGATTCGTGTCGTACGCCGAATGAATTTGTCGTTTGAACACCTTGTCTCGATAGTCTCTCCCTGGAGTATCACGACATACGTCCATACCTCAAGAGGATACCCAGACCTTTAAGTGTGAAATAGAACGGCCAGAAACCGGACAGAGGCCGCAGGACAACAAGTCATGTCCAGAAACCCCAGCCAGCTCTGCGGAGCCAAGGGATCTGTTTTTCGGAAGAAAAATAAGCGCAACATTCTGCTAGCTCCAGTCCGGCGGATACTCTGCTGGAGCAAAAGCGTGGCGTCCTCGCCATTGCCAACTGGGTCGTTTCCAGAACAGTGACTAATGATATCGTAGGAGTTAGGGTACCAACAGGAAATTTGGTTGTAGCGAGGTAACTACTGCTGAGAAGCAGCGAAAAGGTCCCCGAGCTGTCAACTTGCCTGGACTTTTCGCCCTGGTGGATGCCTCGAGTTTCTGGCTGCTTAATCCCTGACTGCAGCCGTCGCAATTGCAAGTGCTGTCTGGTGTTAAGTGGGGAGCATTTATACCCAGCATTGGCTATTCGTGTTTGTCATTGAGTTTATGTTTATGTTTGCACCAGTCAGTTTCAGTGGTTGGGTTCCCTAGGAATGGCCAGGTCGTTTCTCCATCCATGTCAAACACATATTGCGACCCGAAGGTCCGGCTCAACGCGAAACCAGGTTTGTTGTTGGCTGCTTCGTCTGTATATGAGCTCCAACGTTGTAGCTCCGGAAATACTCTCCGGGCTGCGTTGAGACGACACCGAATAGGCAATGAAACGACCCCGGGTTGGCAAATTGAAGAGAATTACAAACACAGAATCCTATTAGGGGAAGAATCGATTTCTACATCGGACTCTCCCGGTGGTGAATGGCTCTTCTCTTCAACAATTGGCGGGATTCGCCGTCGCGAGAGCAACAGGCACAGCCATGCTGGAGCTGTCCAAGTTGTCGCGGGCCATTTCGACGACTGAAAACTGATGACAAGAGCATTTGGCAATCAAGGCGTCGCCAATAGAGGCCCCGTCATGACGCTCCGTGCCCTTCAGCGCATACCTCAGCAGGGTGCTGTGGCGCTGCGCCGCGCCGCCAAACTTTAGAAGCCATGGTTTAGGGCTCTTCTCTTCCGACGGGAAGCATCAATACAACAAGAACAATAGTCTTTACCATGGATGAGCAGTCAAAGTTGAAACCATGTGATCCCGTGAGATCGTATGGTCCGTATGCGCGGCTGTGTACTTTGACAGTTGCCTGTTGCCGATCGGCGTTGACGCCAAGTAGCAACGAGAGCTTAGTAGTTAAGATACCCGCTGAGCATGATGCCGCGGGAGATCAAAAGTACTGGACGCCTTCGGAGTCAATCAACGCCGCCAGGTGGTCGGATACGATACCTTGTCCACAAACTGTATTGAAACGGCCAAGTTCCGATAAGCACCATGAGATAGGGTCCTCGCAAACGTTGCAGCGAATAATGTTGCCTGGATTGTTCCGTCATCTCCCCGATTCAAGAATTCGAGTCGCTTGCTTCATCTGTTCCAGTCAAGCGGTCGTAGCAACCCAGACCCTATTTCACGTCCGCGGCAACATGACATAATGCCGAAAACTGTGCCAACATACTGTGCTGGTTTCTATTGGCTGTTTCTATGCGACGATTGCTTTGTTTGTCTCCTGGAAGTTGTTGATTTCGCAGCCGGCGGATCATGGAAGTGCGTCGTGATGCATCGGAACAAACTCTGCTTAATGCCGCCGTCGGCCGATGTCTGAACTCTGTGTGATGCATGGGGGCAAGGAGAGTGAGTCTTGGATGCCAGCCGAGAGCAAATTGTTGTCGACAAGCTGCGCGCACTTTGTTGATCTCGGAATGGTGAGATTGTCCGGGCGAACATTGAAGCTGCCCAGCCAGAGAGCAGAAGCCAGAGCACCGCCGAGCAGGAGCCCCCTCCATCCTAAAGTGCTACCTCATGCCGCCCTTGCCTGCTGGGCCGTCAATCAGAAGGAGGCCGCGGAAGGTTTGAGGCGACGCGCCTGCCCCGTCGCAAACATGATGTGGATCGACCGCACCGCTGCCAGAGAGAGAGGCTCGGATCTCCCCAGCACCCAAGGAAAGGCTCAAATCCCCGCCAGACGTTTCCATGTTCCATTCGCGCAGGCCACAACCGACTAGTTGGCACTCGAATGTCAATGCTGCCCGACAGCCACACCACTCAGCATAGCATACAGCATACGGTTGGAGCTCAGAAGTATTGATTCGACTCGACCTGGTGCTTATTTCTCTTGCAGTATATGCATATGCAGTTACACGCCGCGAGAGGCTCGCGGACACCTGGCGGCCACATCGACCATGCAAATTGTGCATCATGGACAATGATCTGATAATTCGATTTTCTGCCATTGCTTGCGGTGTATCAATACCGACGGAGACCACGCCCGGCGCCCCGACTTCCGGCAGGGCTGATGCGATGACCGGCGCATAGAGCTGCGGAAAGGGGTTCCGTGACTTGAACATCGTCGAGAACAAAGCAGGGGTTGTCGTGTCCCAAACACCAGACATGTGCATGTCATTGGCATCCTATTTTTGCAGTCCGGTCTAGTCTTTTACAGATGAAACACGACGTGGTGACAAGGCCAATGCGGCCGTGGGCTCTCTCCATTTACAGAGAAACACAAGTAGATGATCGACGACATGGCCATAGTCGGCTTGTATTAATTACTATCAATGGGGCCAACCCCCGCGAAAGACACACGCACAGGCCCGTACTGATGAGCCGTCGCGAAGCTCAAGGATTCAAGTTGGATTCACATGTTGAAAGCTTCTCATGACCTCCACGATGGAAAATCTCGAATCGTCTTATGCATATCATAGCACCAGTAGTCGTTCATCATCTCCACCACCGCGGGAATTTCAATAGCATAGCCCTCAGACAAAGGACGGATCCCAAAAAAGTAAAATCATGCGTACCCATGACAATGTAACGAATATCCCATCCCGGAGCCAATCATCCTTTGTTAGTACACGTACCGGAACGCCGGGTTCGTCCTATCCGTCATCGCCTCTTCTTCCTCAACACGGACACGAATCTCTCCCCTATCGATGGCCTCTGCCTCGGCAATCCTCACCGCCTCTGTCTGTCTGTTGCGCCATCCGTAAAGCAACCTCAGGAGGATGGTCACGAGCATGGCGCCTCCGCAGACACCAAACACGGTAATCTTGGCCGGAAGATACCGCGGCGCATTCTCCTTGCGGAACGTCTGCGGCCCGATAATGTTGGCAATGGAAAAGCAAATAGCGACGGCGGCATTTGTTGCCACCTTCTTGGTGTAGCCCTGGGTGTTGGCACCCACGAGGGCGTAGATGAGAGCCAACGGGGCGACGTCAAAGTTGATGAGATAGATGCCCGCAAGAGCTCCCGCCTGGGAGTGCGAGTAGAACGACATGAGGCCCGCCCCAATGAGAGTCGGCACCAGGAGCAAAATGATGGCCAGCCAGCGGGGGAAGTTGTACAGAATGGCAAACGTCCCCGCGAGCGTGGCGGAGACGGATACGACGCCCGAAGGCATGTTGAGGAGGGCCGCCGTCTTGGGCTTATACCCGAACCCGGCAATCAGCGTCGCCGAGAAGGTGGTAATGATGCCAGAGGGAATGACGATGAGGATCGTATTGAGGCAGAGCAGCCATACCTGCAGGTCAGTCGCCGCTTCAAGTATGTCGCGGGCCCGGAATACCTTCTTGCCGTTGCCAGACTGATCCCTCGAAAGGGCTTCTTTGACGAGCAATTTCTCACCGTCGCTGAGGAATTTGGCCTTGTCAATACTTTGAGGCATGGCAAACGTCACAGCCGCGCCCACGGCCAGGTTAAACGCGCCGACAGAAACAAACATGATGCGCCAACTTTCAAACGACGAAGTGGCAGAGCCGTGCTGCGCGGCCCAAGACACCAGGCCGCCCAGGGTTTGACCAACCCCCAAGCCGCAGTACCATATCCCCGTGCGTGGAGTGGCCTGCCGCCTCGTATACCACTGGGACGTGATCATGATGAGAGCCGGGGTGATGACGGCCTCAAACATGCCGAGGAGCGTGCGGACGGCCGTCACGCCGGCAAAGCTCTGCGTGGCAGCGGTGCAGCAGATGGTCACGCCCCAAAGAAGAACGTTGATGCCGAGAACCTTGGTCACAGGGAAGCGTTGGATGAGGTAGCCCTGGGGGAACTCGGCCACGGCATAGCCGATAAAGAAGGCGGTTGCCATCCACGAGAAGTCGTTGCCGTCCCTGAACTCGAGACTCTTGGAGATGCCCATGATGTTGGCATAGTTGATGAGCACCTTGTCAAGAAACTGGAGGAAGTAGCAGAGGAACATGAGCGGCATGATGGCCCAGTCGATCTTGCGGACGGCACGCCGAAGCCGTTGGCCAGAGGCGTCCTCGACCACAGACTGGCTCGAAGCCTCGCAGCTCGACGCCTCCTTATCCAGCGTCTTGCTATCCATGGCCACGCGGTGGTGTTATCTGGATGCCGTGTTTGTTCAGAAATTCAGAATGGTCGAATCTTGTCGGATGTCAAGATGAAGAGTCGGTTGCTGTTGCAGCTTTTGATCAAGGACACCGATCCCAAGTGCCGACGATGGCAAAACTGGCCCTTGCCAGAAGTCTCAAGACAAACACGGTCGATGAGGGATCGCGCCGGCGCTATATACAGAATTGTCTTGCCCAACCCAGCAGTTTGCAGCAGGGTTAAAAGGGAGCTGAGAGATAAGACGGCAAAAAGCCACCACTGGCAAACGTATCGCGACGCTTCGGTGCCGATTCCCTGCCGACCTCGTAGCTTGCCCGTCGCGTAGCGCCAAAGATGCGCATCGCGCTCCGGACTCGACAGAGAAATGTCTACAGCCAAAAGCTCATGTCACGAGAGTTCCGCCACAAAAGCCACCAGCCATTTCTGCCGGCTACACTTCTTCCCCGGATTTTCGCCTCGCCCCGAACCCACCTAAAGTTGTCGGAACTTGGTGGCTTGTCACTATTCCCACACATCCGAAGACTACAGACGGGACAAAAATACTCACGATATGCCCCAGAGATTGGGCGGCCCCAGATCCGGGGGAGGAGCCTATCTCCTCTCCCCGTAGCCCACAGGCAGCAGAATCTCCCCCGTCGCGTGGCAGCAAGGCCCGCGGTTCCGTCGTCGATGATGGCTTGTGCCCATGCCATGTCTTGGTTCGACTTGGAAGGGCTCTTGACAGCTCGACCCACGCAACGCCCAGCCGGTTACGGAGCATGATATCATGATTCGGAAATGACACGCCTGCAATGTACGCAGTAAAGCACTGAAACGTAGGCCCACGGCGATCTACCCTCTTCAAATGAAACCTTTTCCACGTTGCCGTCTTCAACCCCAAAGATGCCACCGACACCCCGTCACTCGGCCCGTCATGCCGCCGTCGGATCGAGAAACGTCCCTGGCGTCGGTACTGACTACCGTGTGCGCTACTCCATCCTTTGACATTATTGTGGCCCGTGTGGCTCCGCGGACCGCCTCATCATCATGCGCACAACCTGGCGACGGAGACGAGGCCCAAGGCTTATCTTAGAGATTACATGGAGCGTGATCGCATGGCACCCTGATGGATACACAAATAGCCGATTTTAGCTTTCCCCTCCTCCCCAAGCGAGCCCAAGGTGGCCTTTTCCTCTTTCCTGCCCCAAGTCTACAAACTAAGAGCGTGTTAGTCTGGTGTAAACCGCACCTCTTCTCCTCCCTGGCGAGGTGAACTCGTATCCGACAAGGTCGAAGCGACGAGGCGCGCGCGCGCACCGCCATAAGATCCGGCCCGAAGGCTTCTGTCTAACGGAAACAGTCTCCTGATTCCTATCAAGGACATCAGTCGTTTCCGCCGACTGCCCACCCGTCACACCGCTCTTCATCATCCCACGAGCATGGCCTCACTATAAGACAGTCGAGAAGGACATCAAGGAAAGTTACTTTATTCTTCTTTTTTTCGAACCAAGCACACCGGGTTGTTCAAACCCCCTCAATTCATCAAGTCAAGAAACATACCCCTCTTCAACTCCCACATTTGACCAAAACATACGCTACGGTCGCCATCACAAAAGCAAAAACCTTTTGCCAAGGGTCCATCAAGGGCAAAGACGCATCATTTTGAGACGCCAAGAAAACACTATCGAAGAAAACCGGTCCTTCGGATCTAGCAGCCATGCCGAGCTCCGTTGATCCCAAACACGACCCTTACGACATCGCCATTGTCGGCTCTGGATTAGGAGGCCTCTCGGCAGCCGTTGCTTTGCGACGAGCAGGACACAACGTCACCATTTATGAGAGATATGACTTCGGCGGTGAGGTCGGCGCATCACTCTCCTGCGCATCGAATGGATCTCGGTTCCTACAAGAATGGCAAGTCGACATCGCCAAAGCCAGACCCGTCATCCTCAAGAGCCTGATTCGACATGACTGGAAGACTGGCCAAGTGTCTGGGACATATCCTCTTGGAGACTATCGCGAGCGCTTCGGAACAGATTATAACAACTTCCACCGCATTGATCTTCACCAACACTTGAAGCACGTGGCTACAACTGAAGGCGGCAAAGGAACCCCTGCCCAGCTCAAGGTCTGGCACAAGGCCGTAGATTTGGACCCTATTGCTGGAAAGATTGTCTTCGAGAATGGTGTGGTTGCTACACATGATCTTGTTGTGTGCGCTGATGGGATCCGAAGCCAGATGCGAGAGAAACTTGGGGTTATCCCGCACATCGCACCGTCGGCTTCCTGCTGCTACCGATGCATCATCCATGCCGACAAGCTTCGGGAGCTCGGCTTGCACGGGTTTGCTGAAAATAGTGCCATTGAATTCTGGGGGGGCGACGGCATTGACAAGATCGTCATGAGTGCTTGTTCTGACCATGACGTCGTCAGCTGCTACTGCTTCTATCCCGCAGAGAAAAATGACTTGAAAGAAGATGGGTGGGACATCTCAACAACAGGAGAGAACCTGGCGGCAACCTTTCCTGAGCTGGACGAAAGGCTTCTCACCTTGTTCCGCAATGCCGAGGACATCAAAATGTGGCGACTCTATGACCATGACCAGTACCCATATTGGGTCAAAGGAAAATGCTGCCTCTTGGGCGATGCGGCGCATCCCATGATGCCAGACCAGTCGCAAGGCGCTTGTATGGCCATAGAAGACGCTGGAGCTCTTGGGATTCTCTTCGCACCCAAGTATGCCGATTTAGACGTGACCGAGAAGCTTCGTCTATACGAGCTGGAACGGAAGCCTCGCGCTTCTCGAGTCCAAGACAGCAGTCGACGAGCAAGACTAGACCTCACAGAGCGCATTGGTTGGAGCAGTGCCAATGACAGGCCCGGCAAGTTGACAATTGAAGAAGTATGTGGCTATGATATGCATGCTCATGTGGCCGAGTTGGTTAAGGAGACCAAAGCAGCCGGCTAGTGTGGGCTGGCGTCGGGTTTCCGGTCCATCCGTTCCATATATTTTTATCGTCAAATTTTGTAATAAATCGCAAATAGCGTAAATGGGTACGGCAAGGCATGTTGAGTCATTTCCACGGTGCTCAGGGTGCTCCCTAGAAAACCACTAGTCCGTGCATCTCGTAGTATCGGATTCGCGCCCAGTTCACAATTGCCCCTGTGCCTTCTGATTGATCTCTCCTCGACCAGACACGTTCTACCAGGTCTCTGGCATTATAGACGTAGCCAAACCCACACGTTCGTTCCATGACCAAAAGCCGGTCTTGGATTATTACGCGATGCTCTAGCTTCCAACACGATCCACCGGCCATAACCAGAGGGAAGAGAATGCACGATTCCAGAGGGCTGCCGTAGCGAATCTTTTGCACGCACTCGAGAATACCATCAACATACTTGCCGACTTTCGGATCGGTCAACTCGTAGCCTTCAACAATCTGGTGAAGTCGCAGGCGAATGGCGTACTCAAAGGCAAGAGTAGCGTGTAATACATCCTCTGTGGCTGGCGTAAGTGTAGAAACGGCCCTTGACATGCCGCCGTATTCGTAAGACCAATTGTTGATCCGATGCTCAATTTCGCTGGCATGTCGTCGGAACGCGGTTTCGGAAGCTTGGTCTACCCTGGTACTTCGGAGCTCAGCCAATGTGTTGATGCGGTCTACTAAATGGAACAGTTCTTTGGGAATGCCGTAGACTGCAGAGTCGTCTTCATCAGGAGTGGAAGACCAAGTATCAAGGGCATGAGCTTCGGCAGCCTCGGTTCCCATGAGAGGAGGCCTGCATGTTGATGTCGTGGCAGCAGAATCCAAGAATCTGGCTAGGCGAAGCAGGAACTTGTAATGACCTGTGAGAATATCGCCCTGTTGTTTCCGTAGGGCGATTAATAAGCGCTTCGCGCCTTTCAGGTGGAGTTTCCAACCCTCACTGGTGCCGTCAAACAATTCCGTCATGCACAATAGTAAACTGCTCACTAGTGCGATATCCGCGCTAGTTGTATCGACATGAGGCAGAAGCCCTGCTAGAGCCTGAGTCGCTTTGCTCTTGTGCAAAAGACCGCGATCACCCATGGCAGGTTGAAGCTTCCGCCAATGATTTGCAGAAAGCGCCAAAATACAATGAAGGACCAGGTCATTCGACTGAGCCATTGGTAACAGATAGCTATTGTACGGGTTTTCCGTAGAAGCCCGGCGAGACAGTATTGAAGACACAATAGTAGAATAGTGATTCAGCAGAGCCCTGTCCTGAGGCGCACTCAATTGAGGCATGAGTTGTGGCACATAGATCGATAGCGACTGCGATGGAGGTGCTGAATCTATCGAAGCCGTCGGACTGCCATTGCTGATGGGTGTGATTGATTCGAGCCAGGCCGGAGGCGATGCCGACATATCCCATGACAGCTTCTGAGGGGGCATATCCGGGGTAAGTTCTCCAATGATTCCCGAGGTGACGGGCATCGTGGAAGAAGATGGCATTGCCATGGATGACGTCGCCACCGTCATTATCGCAGTCTGCTCAACTGGTTGGTTGAAGTTGGCGTAGTTGGAGTAGCCCAATTGTGAGTTGTGACTCGCATGGCTGTACTGGCTTTGATTGTCGAAACTGCCATGTCTTTCGCTGCTTGAACTCGATGCGCTGGGGCTTTTTCGAACAGGTATGTCCCGAATTACCGCTTCTGGTAGCTGGCTTATTATGCTTGAGGATGGAATAGGCTCGACGATGCCGTCGTCGCAGTTGGAATCCTCCTTCACGGCCTCATCTGCGAACCCAGACCCGGGTTTGGGCTTGCCGTGTCGTTCTGGAGGCCAGGCGCAATCGAGACAGAGACGCCGGCAGTCACCGCAGCGAGGCTTGGTCTCGTCGCACTTCTTCTTGCGGCGCTTGCACATTAAGCAGCCCGTCTGCACTCTTCTTATCCTAGCCTTGGGCACGTCGCCATGAGTGTCATCGGTGGTGATACCAGCGGCATTTCGGGGGCGGCATGGCAAGCTGAGTCGGACGCATCGCGCGCAGGGCAAACTGCCATCGCAGGCTTGCTTGATCTGCGCGCAACGATGACAAACAGGACGGCTCTCCGAACCCATATTGGAGTATGCTCTCGTGGTTGCTACAGCCCGGCGAGAAAGCGGTCGCCAGATCTTGAAGTCGTAATGAATTGAGATGCCGGCGGGCCGCCGGAAGTGATTTTCTGTGTGGCCAAAAAACGGAACGTTGTCGGCTAATCTTTTGTAGCGAAATCCGAGATCCGTAAACGCGCGCGAGCTCGTCCAAGGCTGTGCTTAGATGAGGAAAGACCGAGTCTGAGATGTACAATTAGCACTGAATGAGGGACACAGAGAAGAGAGATCTCAGATGTTACCTAGCGTCGTGGGACATCTGATGATGGGGGGACAGCCGCGTCGTCGATTTGGGTGGAGCGACAACGAGTCCGGAGAGCTGTGAGACGGATAAGAGGCCAAGACTGAAGACCTACATAAAGGAGGGGGGCAGGGATCCCAGCAGCGGGTGATAGTGGCGGCACCAATCCGATTTGGGGTAGGAGCACTGGGTTACCTCTCAGTCCTCGCCCAGCTCTTTTGGCCTGGTCGGGGGGACTGTGGACTATTCAAAGTTAGAAGCAGCCTGTGACCCCTCAATGTGCCCGTGTACACAGGCTGCGATGCTGAGAGATGTGGAATGTGTATATCGTTGCAAACCTGACAGTGGGGGGTGCGCAACGGCGAAAGAGACGAAGAGACGACGAGACCGAGGTGCAGAGTTCCTTCTGGCGTCTGGTGTCTGTCCGGGCTTGAGCAACCAGCTCCAAAAACACTTCGAGACTCACGGCAGTTTTGACGAGCATGCTTTGGAAGGAGCATGCTCATCAGTCACCAGGATTCCGTGGCTTTGGCCGCCACCTTGCTGCTCATGTGTGACATCAATTGATACCAGACATTGTCGATCAACCAGACTTGTTCCTATCGGTTTCTAGTAACTACTGCTTACGGGGACCAGCGGTATGACCCGACTGACCTGGGTGATCCCGTTCTGGCAATGACCTCCGGCTTGGTGCTGACTTGCTCTTTCCAACGCAATACTTCCCCAACGGAAGGTCTGGTGGCAGTTACGGAGTACACATGCACGGGCCAATCGTCAACATCGGACTGGAGCCAGCTTTTGGAAGTTCCTACAGCCTTGTATCAGGAGTACCAGACTCTGTACGGAGTATGTATTCCATGTTCGGAGCAGTGAACTCATCTCAAGATCCATGCTCCCTGCTGACATTGCAGTCTTCCATCCACTGCCAACCAGGCTAAACCGAGATGTCGTCCTGGTTGGCGGCTGCGCGACCAGGACAGGCCTTGAGCGAGAGACATCCTTGCCGCCATGGACTGTTCACGCTCCATCGTGGCTCGACAACAGAGCGCCACCGGATCAAATCATGTCCTTGGTTACGGAGTACGGAGTAGATGGTAGGTTAGTTTGTTGGCCGATTCAACTGTTGACCCGGTGCGATGGAGGCGCTAGCACACATCACCAAAGTATCCAGGCATTAAACATGGAGCAGGCGACCAACTTCACTGTACCGAGTATTGCAAGTAAGCTTGCCTGTCCTCTGTACCGCTTTGATTGAAGGATTCATGGTGTAATTTGCCAACCTGTTTCGTTTATTAATATCGTGACAGGATCAAAATCACGCAGCAAGCATGGTGTCGCTAGGGGTTGGCCCGGGCTCTCGGGAAAACCCCCCAAGATGGACTCCAGTGCCTTGGCCGACGACGCCATGCTCTCGCTCTTCGGCATAAGGATTTACGCCAGTGGAAACCCCTTTTGCCTCCTTGGGAAAGTGGTTTGCGACTGCTCATCGATATGAACCTTTGGAAGCTGCCAACGCCATGTCCGAGCAACAGCGGCTCCAGGGGTGCCGGGAACGTCTAGTCTGCAACCTTTGGCTTTGCCTGTCTGCGTTCCGTTGGAGATAAAGTGGCCTTGATCGGCCAACAGATATACGGAGTACAATAGTACATATGGCGGATGGCGCAAACGCATCACGCAACAATCTACGACATCCCAATGATTCAGCTTTAAGCCCCGAGGCATCCTACGCTATCATATCCGCAACCAAAAGGCCTCCCAAAAGCAGCAAGTGTGGAAACCTTCACTGAGAACGCAGCAGCGTCCCTCGCAGCGATACTGCACGCTCTGTGAGAATAGGATGCCGAATTTCGGGTGCGCGACGAATCTACGGAGTAACACACAGTCAAAACAGTCGCACAATAGGCGCTGCTAGCCATGTTCTTTTTTTTTTTGGCGCTGCAAATTCAGAGACACAGCTAGGACTTTGGTTGGGCGTTGGGCATAGCTATGGAGTACTCCGTACTAGTGTGCGATTAGTTGGTTAATCGGTTCCATAGGAGGACTAGTTATGCGACGAACAAGCGTATCATTTCCATCCTCGTCCCTGCTTCTTCCCAGGCTCTTAACCAGGCCGTCTCTGACACACGTCGGCGCCAGTCGGAGCACGCCCTCACGGTCACTAATTTGTTACTGACGAGGTTTCATCCTGCTTTATCCACTTAATTCCCAGCTGTGCTGGAAAACTTCGAACGCAACACCCATATGCACATATCTCCTCTCCCTGCTACCCTGGACAGCTTCCTAGTAGTGACCTTGAAAGGACGGGAGCGGGGTGGCTGTTGTAGCGTGTGGGGCGCGATTCTTGGACCCTCGGAGGGGCCACGAAGACCAAATGAACTACGGAGTACATACTTAAGTACATACATATGTATGTACTAGTGCTAGAACCTTAGTAACGATCGGACGATTTCTTAGCTTCAATGTCGGGACTCGAAGCTGCACTAACAGTGCATTGTGGTTTCGTCTCTTAGAAAATTATCTCTCTTTGCCTCCCGATACGCAGCACGACAAGCCAAGTCCTTTTACCTATGGCCGATGACAACAATGGAAATTGTGATGGCCAGTGACGAAAGCCAAAAGTTATAAACGGAGTACTCATAAACTATCGTATTACAGCAAACTTTGCAGGCCGTTGGGCCGTTGCTGGGTCCAACTCAAGGATCTCATGTCAAACAGATATTACGGCTGCCAATGGCCGTGTCTGTTTTTTCGCCCCCAACCACCATGCCATTGGCGCAGGTCCCCTTCTCTCAGTCATGAAGTGCCAGTCGAATTTCTCTGGCCGTCTTGTCGATAAACTGGCTGGCTTGCCAGAGATCCTTGTCCATGTGCATAAATGGGTGTGGCACACCGGGAAACCGTTTCAGAGTGACCTCAACACCATTCTCGACCAATTTGCGTGCATAGTGCTCCCCTTCATCGCGTAATGGATCTGCTCCCGCAGTGTAGATGACGGTTTTGGCTAGGTCCTTGAAATTGGGAGCATCTAGAAGATTGGCAAACCACCCAACCTTTTCTCGTGCAGCCTTATGCTCCTTGGGGTCGGCGGGGAGAGACGACCACTTGAGCTTATCAAACCAAGCCAAACGGCCCCAGTTGAGCGTGGGTGCCATTTCATTCTCCTGCATGGAGGGGAAGGGGGACTCAGCGGCGGACGAGTATTGTGAAAGATCGTCGATGACGGGAGTTCCCACAGCCACCAGCTTGAGGGGAATGGGATTGGGCTTATTGTCTCGTGCGAGGTGAGCGAGCGCGAGAGCTATAAAACCTCCTGCTGAGACACCTCCTAATGAGATGCTTTCGGGCATGATGTTGAAATCTCGGGCACCGTGGGCGTGGATATACTTGAGGGCGGCGAAGCTGTCAGTAATACCGACAGGGAAGGGGTGCTCTGGAACAAGCCGGTAGGCTACGTCGATGACAACGACGTTGGCCTTCTTGCAGATATGCTTGCAGATATGAGCCTCGGTGTCAAGGTCTCCAAGGCCCCAGCCACCGCCATGGTAGTCGATATGAACAGGCCACGGGCCCTTGGTGTCTGGTTCGTAGACTCGAATATCGAGGTTGGCGCCGCTCCCGTCGTCGAGGGGAATTTGGCGATCGTATATGCGTCCCACGTCCGGGGCTGGACCGGTACCGTAGCTGTACAGCACCGAATACTTGGACCGTAGCACTGCGAGATCAATTGGCTTCAAGGGGGTATTGGCGACGTTGTCGTTGTACAGCTTCTCAAACACGGGGTCGAGTTTGCCTGCCATGGAGGGGTGAATTGGCTGCAGAGCCTCGTGTTTGGCATCGGTGCTCGACATTTTAACCGTTGGTGGCACTCAGGATGAGTGTTGCGATGCGTGGGATTGTGACTACGCAGTGTTGGATTCGAACAGAAGATTGCGTGAGACTGCCGAGCAGAGAAGACGAGGGTGGATGCGTGTAATAAAGAAGACAATTGCGGCAACGGCGTCCTTCAACCTGAGAAGTTCTCACCGCGGATTGCCCTACAGAGTTCACAGACTGTTCTGACAAACCCTGTGGTTGTGGTGCACATGTCTGGTGGGCTTTTACATTGGCCAGCATGTACATGTGCACTGTACGGACTTTTCCAGTACATGTATGGAGTCCGGACTGACTCTTCGGATGCTGGGCGCCAGTCTGCGGGGCAGCGCGGGTACTTTGCGAGTCCGTTCCGTCGTTGCCGTCGCTAATCAAGTTGACGTCGGAAGATACAATTGGGGAGTGCGAGTCCTGAAAGAATGGTTCCGACGCTGTAATTAGGCCCGTTTCAAAACACAGTGTATTCCAGTCAGTGCATGATTGAAGATTCAAGGCCTGAAGCTTATCCGCGGCCAGAGAAGACCCCTCCTCGCGTGCTCGGCAGATGTCTCTAGATGCGACGGTGACGGCCCGTCCTTGACAACATGGACCGATGTGTGGGCGCATCGTGTTTCTATCCCCGCCAAACTGAAGTCCCTCCCTAAGTAATGCAGGATATGGCCCAGTATGTATGTACCAATCCGACTGACACGATTACCGTGCACAAAAGGGAGACGGACGAGACGGATTGATTGATGTAGTCTGGTGCTACAGGCAAACGGCCGCATCGCGTTTCGAAAATTTCGGCCTTATAAATCACCCAAAAGGTTGAAAAAGTAAGGAAAAGATGGTGTTGGGACAAATCACAACCTGTTGCAAATCGCTGCCCCAACAGCATTACGCAAGTTCGGCTCTGATACGTGCTCTCTAAGCTAAACAAGTGCGAGATTCATCATATCGTGTTTTTCGGATAATAATATATATATCAGTACAGCTCGTGGTACATGGCGTGATGTCGTATTCTCATGAAGAATGGTGTTTGTTCAGGGGTGGTGATGAGGTTGGTGTTGCGGCATCTGGTGTTCTCGTGCCCGACTCTGGGCATAATGCACCGCTCGCGATAGCGGATGTATTGCATAGGGGTAACGAATGATGAGGGGAGGAAGAAGATGTTCCCGTTATCGTTTCCTCTCCCGTAAGCGAGGTGTGTTGATGGGGGGTAAAATGCACTGGAGCGGGCACTTCTAGAGTGTCTCTACGTACCCTCTGTCTGCCTCTGTTTCCACCGGACGCAGTTGGTAGAGAAGCGACAGCATGTAGCTCATGTGAGCTGGGCTCGCTAACTGGTAGAGTGCTTACACGCTGTCGGAAAGCTCCAGGTCCAGAGGCTACTGGTGAGGCCGATCGCGACAGATGCGGTAGTGGCGATTTATCGCGGGACGTACGCAGGCCATCAAGCGCGTGGCCAGACGGTCCATCTTCATTGAAGCTGCTTGCTCTTGAGCGAGATGCGTAAACCGCACGAGTGCCATCAGGCTGTAGTCGTTGGCTGTAAATTTCCTTTACTCGGTTTAGATCGCGATTTCTTTCCCTTTCTCCTGGGATTTCCGGAAAGTCGAGAGCCGGGCCGTCTCTGAACTTTGAAAGGTCAAATGAGCCTTGTGTTGCTGTGCCTAGGGTTTGACCAACAGAAGTCAAAAACTCTGCTACCCTATGGCGACTCCCTGCTTCCATAGTCCCAGTGATTGAAGCGGTGGTTGTTTGTCCAGTAACGGCATGCTTTATCGTTGCAAAGCTGTATCGTTTTGAAGGTGCTCCTTCCCGTGTGTCCATCTCGTGAAGAGAGCCGGACGTTGTTGACGAAGGATGGTGTATTCCCGAGAAAGATTCTATTACGGGTGGCGGTGGTGAATGATCCACAGCCCTGCGCATGCTTTCAGAGTCTCTGCTACTTGGAACTTGGCTTGTTGGTCTAAGAATCCCGGATTCTGGTAACGGGTGATGGGAACATTTACACTGGCACTCCTCCACCACAGAATGAGTGCCATTCCCGACTTCTTCCAGATCTGCTGCCAAGAGGAGATATAACGAGCCGGCAATGGCAAGCCCTGTACCAACAATTGGCCCCCATTGACCTGTTAGGATGTGGGAAATAGTTAGTGGGTGTTATCTATTACAGGGTACGGAGATCCTAGAGAGAAGTGAAGGAGGTTTGATTCTTACCAATGCTTGCCATTGGTTCATTCTCATACCTCACTTGACGGCTGAAAAAGTTTGTTTCTCCAATAATCAAAATCGCCAGTCCAGCGCCTGCAAAAATAGGGACTATTGCCACGCTTATAAAAATTCGAATAGTCTCATTAACTCTGTTCATCTTGCCCACAGTGGCTCCATTGGTGCCCTGAATGGGCTTATCGAGGCGCAAATCGGTATTGGGTCCGAATCCGAATCTCGACTTGAAATTAATCTCCAATATCTTATCCATCATGGATGCCAACCACAGAATAGCGTGAACACAGCATGCTGCACTTAGGAGTGTTGCGGTGCCAAATGTAAGCTTGTCCGGGGCTGGGATCACATATTTGTTGTTTGCCGCACCCCCCCGCATTGGCGATTGCGGTCCAGTCGTGTCGGTACAATTCATTCCACATTGCGGCTGTTTGTCATAGGGAAAGTCTTCGGCGCTTGCTGGGATGGGAATTCCATTGTATACCCCAGAGCAGGTAATAGACCTAGCTCTGTAAAACTCGACGGTTAAGCTTAGCAATCCTAGATTAAGGGACATCTCATTAGCTCACACGATAGATTCTGGAGAAGATCCCGGCATGCGGACCAGGAGCTAACATCGACAAAACTTGCCTGATAGAATGAGTCCTGCCCATAAAAAGATGGTATTTCGACCAGGGTCATAGAAATACGTCCTTGACAACCTGACGGTAACGGGGGCTGCCAAGATGCCAATGGCACAAAGTTGGAAAGCACCATAGATGTCCATATCAACAGCACCTTGTAAGAATTTGCCCGTCAGCTATATGTGTTTTCTATCATCAAGACGGCCAGTAGAGACCATTTGGGACACACACGCACACATCAAGAGACGCGCACATACCGTCTCGGTGGAATGCTGCTAGTGCAATGCCATGAAGGGCAGCCACCGCTGGCAACAGCAAAGCCGCTGCAATACAGGCATTTTTGATCCATTCTGACTTGCGCGCGAGGACACATGCGGCTATGAGAACATAGTATCTGTCAAATAAGGTTAAAACCCCAGGACCGATAATTCATGGCCGAGACGGGAAGTGCCTGGGCCATGCCATATGGAGAAGTCACTTACAAGATTCGAGAGCCTGGCCCATATTGGCCAGATACAGGCCAGGCACAGACAACCTCTATTCCAGGCTCAGTTGAATTCGAATCGTTTCTTGCAAAGAGATAGTTTGATGTCGCCAAAGCGTCGCTGACAATTCGGCTCATGAGTTGGGCGGAAGACACAGCGGGCATGAGCACCCACGCCTTATAAAAGTCGGAGGCTGGGTCTTAAAATGAGACAACGTACGCCGTAGGTACGGAGCGATAAAATGGAATAAGTGCCTGCATGAAAACTAACCGCTGGTGGTGGCCGTGTCAGGAAGGCGCACGATTGCTTTAAAGACGATAGTTCACGAGGATTTGTCCACCAAGGCCAGAAATCGGCTAGCCAGCTCGAATCCTGTGTCATCTTTAGGGGCACAAATCAGTTGTCCTTGCTCTTTTTTTTTTTGCATGCGATTGATGAGGCTGACCATCTCCGTTGGTCACCAAAAGGCTTCAGTTGTCATTTCTCACTGTAGGACAAAGAATCCACCACAGCCAACGAGCATCGTGTGGCTGCTGATGTGACCTGCAATCGAGCAAAACTGACGAATTGTGGCCGCCGGGTGATGGGCGCTGATGGCAACGGTCTGAGGTAAACACAGCCATCCTGTTGAAACCCGTGACACCATAGGCCAGGCAGCAGAATAACGGTCGAATTAGGGCGGGTTTGGCGAACAGAGCAGCAGCATGGGAAAAAAATTCGTGAGAAAATGGTCAGTGCTGGTGGACTCAATAAACGAAGGCGGTCTCTTGTGAGGCTCAGTCGGCCCCTGCTGCCAGCAGTGACGTTCCCATGTTTTGTCCAACACTGGTGGTGATAAAAATATTCACATCCGGATCAGTTGAAACAGAATGCAAACCAGACTTGACGTAACGCTGCCCAGTTCCCCAGAGTGGTGGCGCTCTGTACTCATTGCTCCTTGCTCATTGCAAGGGAGGAAAGGCAAGTGCCATTCGCCCGTACACCCACTGCACCTTCCTTCTGCCAACCACGTCACGAGTCTCTTTGTTCTATATTTTCGGGGCTACCAACCTCGATCTCGACCCTTGGAAATATTGAATTCAAACCGCACAACTGCCATTCTCTGTGTCTTGCCTGTTTGAAGGGGTCTCAGCGACCCAAGAACAGGAACGCAACAGCGGCAATGTTGGCCGTTTTTGTCTTGCTGTTTAGCTCTCTGCTTTCTATGCATGCTAGGCCTGACCCCAGCCTGTGTTCGGTTTAAATACATTCGATGCCCTAGGCGCTTCGGCTCGGCCTCAAGAACAGCATTGAAGAGTGCATCGTCTTCCAATGACTGGCCATTGACCTGTGCCTGCTTGCAGTACGTTTGCACGCATTCTTGGTCTTCACTCTCACCGCTCAAATTTGTGAGTTTTCCAAACTGCAGCGTACCGGGCCATGTCGGCCCCTTGCCCTACCTCAATCTGCTTGCAACATACTTAAGTAGGTATGCAGAGGCTGTTGCCGAGTCGCGAAAACGCAAAAGATTCCATTATAACTTGCCAAGACAAGGGGCTACGACCAACTAACTAGCCTTAAACAGGAGCCATACTGTTTCTTGCGCTTTCTTCATTTTTAATATTTTTGTTTTTCGCATTTCCTTGCACTGTTTTGCTTTGCAACGGCAAGTGCTATTATCCCAGATTTCGTCGATAGACCGAAATCGAGCGTGTGAAGTGAGAGACCAATACGCTGGTAGATTCATATAGAATATCTTCCACCTCGCGAGGACTTGACTTACTTCCGCTTCCCTTTTTTTCTACTACGCAAGACATGGAAGGCATGGACGACGACGTTTCACTAAACACGGACCAGATCCGCGACTGGCGATCCATCATGACACTAATCGTCTTTATTCTCACCAGTATGTAAATGTCATGATACTAAATGCGTGTTGCACGCGATCTCGCCTTACCTAGACCTGACTCAACTCTTTCTAGATATCAATGTGTTGTTTCCATTTCACATACCGATTTTAGTGCCAAGAATGGCCTGGAATGCGCTGGTAAATGCTTTGAGCTATGTCAGGATCATACCACCGAGGAACGCTACTTTTCCATATGACGCAGACGACGACAATGACAATGGCAAGGTCAAGCCTTATGTACGGCTCAATTTTCCCATGAATTTTGTCACCGCGCCGTTGATAGCAGACCTTTTCCTGCTCGCTATTCTGGCCATTGGGCGCAAAGAGGTGCATGACGGGATCCTGGGAGCCGATCATATCTCGCCCATTGATATTATGGCCTTCTTTATCACCTTGGCATACATCGCTATTTCTATCGACGCGTCGGGTTTAATTCGTTATCTTGCTTTCAAGGTCCTGCAATGGGGAGGCAAAGTTGGGCATCGACTCTTCTTCTTCCTCTACTCCTTCTTCTTTCTTATCGGCAGCTTCATCGGCAATGACCCGATTGTCCTCTCTGGCACAGCCTTCCTCGCCTACATGACAAGAGTTTCTAGCAACATTGTCCATCCTCGGGCTTGGATTCACACCCAGTTTGCTGTTGCAAATATTGCTTCAGCAATTCTCGTCTCTTCCAACCCCACAAACCTGGTCCTTGCCGGAGCCTTTCAAATCAGGTTTATCAACTACACAGCGAATATGATTGTTCCAGTGGTAGTGACTGCTGTTGTGCTCTTCCCCTTCCTCCTGTACATTGTCTTCGCAAACGAGGCTTTGATCCCATATTCCATCGAAATGCACGAACTGCCGCCAGAGGCTAGAACCAAGAAACCCGTCAACCCCAACATTCCACACGCACGTGGACCGATGGAAGAGGACGAGAACAGTACGTCCAATGACGAACAGACCAAAGTCTTATCATTGGAGGAAATTATGAATCCATTCTTGGACAAGGGCGGCGCGGCCTTTGGCGCTGTCATCATGGCCGCAACACTCATCACTGTCCTGGTTATCAATGCTGTTAGCACCGGCACCGAAGCTCATCCTGTTTTCTGGGTAACACTGCCAGCAGCATTCGTAATGTTTTGCTGGGACATTGGTTTTGGTTGGTTTCATCGTGCCGAAACCAGACAAATCGCTCGCAGGGGCCGGCTGGAACTTGAGACTGCACGAGAAGAGCGGGCTCTGCGAGAAAGAGACCAGGCGAGGTTCTCGGAGACGAACGCAGCTACTGAGAACGCACATACTTATGAGCTTAAAGAGCCCCTTTCCAAATCTGGAAATGCAGCTGGTACAATGGGTGGAAAGCCGATGTTACCTTCACCTCCTGCAATCCTTGTGTCCCAAAATACTGATGGGGCAACGATTGCTACCAGTTCCGAATCCGAATCCATTACTTCACAGCCAGTCCCAGCAGCTGAGAATGCTACAGATAAACACATTTCAAATGGCGAAAAGACTGCAAAATTCCAAAACACTAAACTCGACCGTACGACATCTGTAACCCCGTCCCCTAACTTGTTCATTTCGTCATCCAGCGGGGAAGTTGGTGAAGATGGACGAGATTCACGAGATCTGCCTTTTACAAAAGAAAGTGGCCCTGCTACACTGACTTCACTTTCGAAAAATGGGCTTAGATGGTGCCGGGAAACATTCCCTACAGCAGCGGCTGTCATACTACATTTGCCGTTTGCTCTGGTCCCTTTCGCATTCTCAATGTTTGTGCTTGTCCAAGCACTAGTCACCAAAGGCTGGATTCCTGTTTTTGCACACGGTTGGGATCACTGGGTGAAGAAGACGGGAACTGTTGGTGCTATTGGTGGTATGGGTTTCCTGTCCGTAGTGCTATGCAATGTACGTTTTGCCCACATTCTCTTCGTGTCCCTGTTGTTAATCTGATACTGACTTTGCGTAGTTTGCTGGCACGAACATTGGTACGACCATCTTGTTATCCCGAGTCATTCAAGCGTGGCAGAAGATCAATATTGTAAATCAGACCGACATCAGTGATCGCACATTTTGGGCCACCGTGTACAGCATGGCAATTGGAGTAAATTACGGCGCATTTAGCACTGCGTTCAGCGCATCTCTCGCGGGGCTTCTTTGGAGGGATATCTTGTCTCGCAAGCATATTCACGTTCAGAGACTCGAATTCGCCCGCGTCAATCTCCCAATTATTGCAATCGCCATGATTGTGGGCTGCGCAGTTCTGACTGGGCAAGTATACATTGTGCGAAGCGATAAGCCGTACAATCATACCTAGACGACGGTATTCTCATACAAGTTTTGGGTGCATCAGTAGAATAGCCAGAAGAACCTCGGAGTCGCCATTTTGGTTAGGATATGGTATTTGTTGGATAAAGGAACCATATATAGCATTAGCATGGTATAAAATTTGGTTTGACGTGAATTTTGTGGCATAATGGGGGCTACAGCAGTAGGTATACGAATACAATGAGTTACGACCCGAATTCGAAGCGTGGCCTGCATGAACATTGGATCACTTCACTTGAGCGAGATGCCAGACAGAGACATTGAGTGGGGTGCATTACGCCAAAATGAATGACATGACGAAACATATCACTGTATAAGGAACCAGATGGCCTCAGGGCATGGCAAAAGTTGTTGGCCTATGTCCAGAGGCACCAAGCGGTGTGTGCTGGGGGAGAAGCCGCGGTGATAACGACAGGTAGCTCGCCTATTTGTCTCGATCTTCCAAATCGGCCGGCTTCAAGCCCAAGAAAGCACACCGACTTGTCTGAATACTACTAAACTGAAAAATCGAGACTCATCGCAACCTGAAGACCCAATATGACCGACGCACATGTGGTGGTAAACAACAAACGCCCCGAGGGCAATATCATCCCGGGAGAGACGTTTCGAAAAGTAACCGACCTCGCGCCTTCCTCGAAAGACCTGAAGAATGGCGAAGTTCTTGTCGAAGTTTTGCTGATTTCTTTGGAGCCAGCGATGCGAGGATGGCTCAAGGGTACGTTACCTTGAAGGGCTGCAGCAAAATCTTCCAGACAGAGGAGCAGTTGCATCCCAGACGGTCAAGGTTGACAGTTCTACTATTCCTTCTTATTCAGAAACGAGATCATATCTGCCTTCAGTCGAAACTGGGGACACTATGCGTAGCTTTTCGGCCGCCCGTGTCATTGCGACCAGGAGCAACCGGGTAAGTGGCTGGGCCGAATATGCCATTGTACCCGAGGGACTGTTTGGGCCAGCTTCAACCCTACCCAGAGTCAGCGAGACACACCAGCTCTTGTCCATGTGCGGCTTGACGGGGATGACGGCGGGGGTGGGAATGACACAAGTCGGAGAGCCGAAATCCTGGACATGTGTCTTGGGCAGGCTAACCAGGGGCTCGTGTCGTCGAATGCGGCATGATCACGCAGCACAAGCGTGGAGAAAAGCATTTGAACCTGACAAACTACTACAAAGTGATTCGACGCGGGTCAAGATTCTGGGATTTGTCGTCACGGATCACACTGAGCTGTGGCCTTGAGCTCGGGAAGAAACGGCACACTAGGTTAGGCAGGGCAAGCTGAAGAGTGATGTGGCCATTGTCTATGGGTGGTTGGATATTGTTAATCAGGCTCTTGTGAGTCTGTATACTGGGTGCAGTACCAAAAGCCGCTCATTAGAGTGAAGGACGTGTGTGTCTGAGCCTCGTAAAGAGCTTTGCTGGTCACAGAATACAGTCTTTTTGCATAACACAGACAGTCCAAAGTAGAATGAGCAATGACCATGTTTCTCTTTCTCGATTATTCCTCTCAATCAAAATACAATCTGGGCACTACCACAAAGCCACTGTGATTCCGGGAGTATCACGGAAAGCTCGCCGGCGCCGCAGCCGCCTCATCGGCCAACTCGGCAATCGTGCGGAACTTGAGGCCTCGAAAGAACTTCTCCCGGTGCCTCTGGGCCTTTTCCCAAGGAAACATCAATGACTCTGAGTGGCCCCAGATTTCAAAAATAGCCGCCGTGGTACTCTCCTCGCTCTCCCTGGCGATGTACTGCCTGATACTGCTCGCCAGCGACTTGCTCTTGACGGTATACGCTGGATCCCGGGCCGTGATAAACTCACTCAGCTGTTTCCAAGTGCGCTGCTCGCCAGACAGATAGGTGTACTGGTCCCACTCGTGACGATCGTGCTGCAGAAGCATAATCGTCGCACGAGCAGTGTCGCGCACCGACGTGAAGTTGACGAGCTGGCTCCCCTTCCCATAGAGCGTGAACTCCTTGTCCTTGTAGTTCTGGGGCCACATCTCCCCAATGTCAACTAGGTAGCGCTGTTTGGCGGGATACACGTAGTCTGCGTACCACCCGGGGCATATCGCACTCCAACTCACTTCCTTCTGGGCCCCCAACGCCCGAAGCGTGGGCTGTAGCTCGTCGGCCCATTCGAGTGGCTCGTCGGGGAACCCTTCGAGATTACCGGACCATGCGGACGGGATAAAGCGCTTGCATCTGGGTGAAGTCTGGCACGCTTGGAGAATAGCTTTGTGGACGGTGGTGAAGTTGGGGACGCCGGCGCGGATGGTGCAAATCACGGCGTCGCAGTCATTGAGGATGCTGGTCAGGCTTGAGACTGAGTAGTCGGATACGTGTTGGGAGATGCCGAGTTTGTCGAGGTGGTCCTTCTTGGAGCGGGAGATGGTTATGACTTCGTGGCCCTGAGCACGGAGCTCCTCGATGAAGTAGCGGGCGAGATCGCCGGCGGCCACGATGGCAACCTTCATGTTGGTGTTGGAAGTTGAGATGATGACTAGTATGAATTGTGTGCTCCTTGCGGTCGATGCGTATGGGTCATTTCGTGGCGCCGCCGGGGACTCGGGATTCTATTTAAGCTTCTTTGGACAGGCGTCACGGCCCTCGGCATTATTAATTGGGCTCGAATCATCGAGGCAGGGCGCCTTGGCACTTGACGGGATTCCGTCGAGATGAAGGATATTGACCAAATACAGTTAGACAAACCGGGGAAGCGCTGGCATGTAATGCGGAGTTTAGGCAGCCATGAATGCTTTCAGTGTAGATGTCAACGTGTCTTCAAGTCGAGAGAGCGGGAGCTGGCGTAATGGAAGCCCGAGCACATCTTGTTGCAACATGAAAGGAAAAACAGGAGATGTGTCAAATTAAGACGTCCACTTGTAGGAGGCCTCTCCTTTTGGCCGAGTCGTTAAAATACATGTTCCTGATGGACTCGTTGCGCAACGAAACAAGTAGTCACTGCTCTGGCATGTGAGATGCGTCTACGTCGATACAAGGTTTTGGAGGTATCAAAGTCATCAGGGTTATATTACAAATTGTATCTTGTCTACAGTCCCCGCGGCCCTGCCAAGCCTATTGATTGATAATATCACCAACTTTGACATCAGTAGGGCGCGCAAAGCATATGTGGCGAGGCAAAGCTGTCGTACCGCGCATCACACAAGTAGGTGCTCGATTTAATTCTCTTTTGTTTCCGGCATGCTGTTATGCTTTTTCCACAGACAAAACACTGCTGAGAGCAAGTGATGGTGCGATTAATCAAGTTGGTTCGACACAGGAGTTTCCGAAAAGGTCCAAATTATCACGCCAACTGACCTCGGGGAGAATTGAGGGATATGCTAGCCAAAAGCCATTTTGGCGACAGATGCAAGTCCTTGGTCCTAATCGGTGGGATATTCCCGTGGAGGGCAAACTACCTGATCAGATCAGGGGCCTGACTATCGCGCTCTATACTATGATATCAATGATATTACAGTAATATATTCGTGGGTACTATTTGGTGAACACGGCAAATATATTCTGTCACAAACTGGCATTTGAACCTCGATGGCGCACCGCTTGATGCTAACATTCGAAGCTCTGGAAACCAACGCCTCACCAATCACCAGCTCTCGCCAGCAAGTCAAGTTGACAGATTGACGGTGACCCCTGTCAACCAGATGCATGTCTTGGGGCTAATTTAGCGCAAATAGCGGGGTTCTGTAGTCTTTCGACAAGTTGACGGTTATCCGGTCCGGTCCGGTCCAATAAATTTGAGAAACCATCATGTAATAAGTATGCCATTTGTGAAAACAAACATGTCAACATTTCTGCCGCACGCACACCACAGTACACGAGTCAAAGCAAATAATGCACACATCAACTATAATAAAGCAAAACCGTCTTTGTTTCTTCTTTGTCTTGTTAAACGCTTCGCTTCCTGGCGCACCACTGGCCATGCCAATTGAGTTTCGGAATGGCCACCGCAGATGAAGCCGACATCGCCGCCACGCCCATGGCATCCTCCGAAAAGGATGACGCGATAGCCATGGTAGGCGAGGAGAAGCATGCCATTGACCCTGCGGTCGAGGCGAGAGTCGTTCGCAAGATTGACATGTTTCTGATGCCAACCATGGTACTTGGATGTGTGTACAAACATCACCCACCCCCCAAGCAGACGACAGAGGACGAGAAACCGTTGCTAACCAACCCTCTCAGACGGGCTCGTATATTACGACAAGGCCATACTCGGCTCCGCGGTTCTTTTCGGCATGACCCGAGATCTGGACCTCTTCATCACCGACAATGCAACATCTCCGCCGACAGTCGACACGCGGCGCCTCAGCTGGGCCACGTCCCTCTTCTACTTTGGCATGCTCGCCGGGCTGTACCCCATGACATACGCCCTGCAGCGCTTCAACATGGGCCGAATGCTGGGAGTCATTGTCATTCTCTGGGGGGCCATATGCATGCTCACCGCGGCCGTGACCTCGTGGCGGGGACTCTACGTCCAGCGCTTCTCGCTGGGCTTCGTCGAGAGCATCGTGCCCACGGGCTTCATGTGCATCGTCTCCAGCTACTACACGCAGTCGGAGCAGTCTGCCCGCCAGAGCTGGTGGTACAGCAGCAACGGCTCCTTCGTCCTCGTCGGCGGCGGCCTGAACTACGCCTTCGCCCACGTCGCCGGCGGCGCCCTGCGCCCGTGGCAGTACATCTACCTGCTGGCCGGCGCGCTGACCCTGCTCTTCGGGTGCCTGTGCTTCGCGATCCCCAGCTCCCCCGTGTCGGCGTGGTTCCTCACGCCCGAGGAGCGCTTCGCGGCCGTGGAGCGCCTCCGCCACGGCCAGACCGGCCTGCGCTGCGCGAGGTTCAAGCCGTCGCAAGTCAGGGAGGCCGCTGCCGACGCCAAGGTCTGGCTCGTCGCCTTGATCATGGCCGCGACGTATACCGTCAACGGCGCCGTCAGCGGCTTCGGCCCCCTCATCGTCTCGACCTTTGGATGGTCCGCCCTGCAGTCCGTCCTGCTGCAGTTCCCGCTCGGGGCGCTCTGCGCCGTCGTCATCGTGGCCACGGGCTGCCTTGGCTCCCGCTTCCCCAACGCCCGTATCGCCATGCTCGTCGCGTGCTGCCTCCCCGTCATCGCTGGCTGCGCGCTCATCTGGAAGAGCGAGTGGACGCACCACGCGGCCGCGCCTGTCGTCGGATATACAATCACCGGCTTCTTCGGCGGCACTGCTAGTCTCACCATCTCCATTGGGATGTCCAACGTCGCTGGCCACACCAAGAAGAGCTTCATGGCGGCCACGACCTTTGTCGCCTATTGCGTGGGCAACATTGTCGGCCCGCAGCTGGTTTGGTCTGAGACCAGGGAGGACCATTATCCCGCCCTGTGGTCGGGCTTGATTATATGGTAAGGTTTTTTTTCTCTCTCTTTGCCTTGCGCCGCCATCAGCCCGTCCCTGACCGCGTGACAGCTATGTGATTTGCATTCTTGCCGCGGCCGCATTGTACCTGGTTTTGTTTCGGGCAAATAAGAAGAACATGGCCGTCCCAGAGGATGAGACAGAGCGGGCTAAGCTTGCTTTTCAGGATTTAACAGACAAGCAGAACCCGTACTTTCGCTATGTTTACTAGCGCGCGAGCCTTGAGGGAGCCTTGAGGGTAGGGATGCCGCCATGTTGGAGGCGCCACGGATCCCCAATTGGCTGTTGGTGGGCATTGCAGTTTCACATTGCCTGCTTCTCCGCTCAGCATGAATGCCCTATTCATCCCATGTCCCTACAATACGGGTAGGGACAGGGATTGAACATTTGGACCATTATGTAAGGGATGTGTTTCTCGGGCGATTGCCTTGTAACCGTGAGACACGGCATAATTCCTTCAAATGCTCCGAAGTTTAAGAGCTGTACGGTTGACTCCATGCTGTGGTATGTATGCGTTTCATCATTTAAATCCGTGTGTCTATGTACTCTAATGTCTATATAGAAGGGAAAGATGCCGTAGCTCGTGTAGTGAATTGAAACCCGCCCGGCCAAGTGAGTCGCCGAGGCCAAAGTATGAAGAATCCCCCGTACCTCTCAAAAATATATTCGCACACATATGTCATTCAATGTCGTAACCGCTCCGTTCAACATCATCCGCCGCAATGGCGTTCAAAATACCCGGCTGACGCTGGGTCCAACCCAATGCACCTGCTCACAGGTCCTCTCATTCCTCCAGCTTTTGATGCGGTCCTCGACCCATCCACTCTGATACTGTACCCACTTTCCTTGGGCCTGTGTATCAAGTTCGTATTCGGGCAACGTCTCTCGCTTTCCATCGTCCAGGAAATATTCCGGGTTTCGAGGCGCTCCATACCTCACTGACCTCATGAGAATACATTTCTTCTCATCACCTCCTCGCCAGCTCCACTGAAGACAGTCATCCTGGCTTCGGCAGTATTGCTCGCAGGCCCCGGAGCCACTCACAGATGCTTCACCAGGCGGTTGCCAGCTGTCCCAGTCTCCGTTATCCCAATTCTCAAGAGTGCTAGGCTCGCCGGGATGTCGAAGACGCCACAAATCGGAGTATAGCATGGGGCGCTATTGCCATTCAGCAAGCTGTATAGGAGGATGGGTCGCTGGGTTTCACTTCACTTACATGCAGTTGTCGTTGCCCAAACTCCCAGTGCCACAAGTCAATCATGTCTTTCGGAGTCGTCTTGTGCAGCGTCATGACCGGCTGGCACCAGTACGAATCGCTGAACGGAATGCCATGAAGGGGGTGGGGATTGAACATCGGCCAGTATCCTTGCAGCTGAATAGTGACGTTCCAGAGAGCCCATCCGAGCACGCTGTCGCCGCAGCACTCCCCGGCCACAAGGTCTTGCCATTTCTCCGTGACATGAGAGTCGACATAGTGGCCATTGGCGTCTGTCTCGCGATGTAATAGCGCCTTGATTGCGCCTCTGCTCAAAACCAAACCGGGTCCGCCATTAGCGAACCAGGTTTCGACGTCTTGCTCATCGTCATGCCGGCCGGGGGATGGTGAGCCCATGTAGATGGGGGTGTCGGGGTCGAAGCTTTGGAGGAACCGGAAGACATTGTCCCAGAATATATACGTATCAGCTTCGTAGAAAAAGTAAAAGGCCTTGTCGGGTTTGGCTAGCCAGGCTCGTTCAACCATGGGCAGAAACTTGTACTTGTCGAGAATCCAGCCATCGATTGCCGTCTGCGTCTCCTCGTTCAGAGTGCCATTGTTCCGCATTTCCTTTTGCGCCGTGTAGTTTCGGAAGCTGGGGTTGCTGTCTAGGTTGTAGTAGTCCGCAGGTAAATCGACGAGCACGTCAATCGCTTGGTGGCCATGAACCACCTCGTCCAGGTCCGAGATGACCAACAAGTCGTCCGTGTTGAAACACGACGAGACGGAGCTGAAGCTTGCATCGAGTCTTTCTTTATTTTCGCTGTGGCCAATCTTCAGAACAGGCTGGACATGGTTGAGAAGATATCTGGGGAAGGAGGCGCACAGGTCGTGCCTGCTCATTCCTGCCGGGTCGTCAAAGGTCACGGGGGAGAAGCGGCTGGCCGACTTGAACGAGTAGGCGGCGGGCCCCGTGTGCTGGCGATGGAATGGCAATACGCTCTCTGCTCGGTCATACATATGGCGAGTAAGCATGATCCCAACGGTCATCAGAAGCGCCAGCACGAGCACCATGGTGCGCGCAAGTCGCTTGGTAAGCATCAAGCCCATCCGCCGTGGTTCGACCGGGCCTCGGAGGATCGCCATGGTTGTCAACGCGGCATCGCAAACACAGTCGGCGACCACCAGAGATCAAACAACACCACGAGACGGTGCCGTGACTCTGACGAGATGATTCAAAAGGGGCAAATCGGCCAAGGAGACGGATGAGAGCAAGTAGCAGAGTAGGATGGGTGCAAAGCTTGGATTTATGGGTAGCGCTAGTTGCGCTACTACGGTATATAACAAGCCTCCCATGACGCCCGGACCGATCAGCAAAGACAACAAGAGTTCCACTTGAAAACTAGTCTGAATTTGCGATGGAGAATCTCCACATACTTTGATGTTGGCAAGGTTGGGTGACCCCGGATCGGGGGTTTTACTGATGATCAATCCGACTCAAGGGCGAGAGGCACCCATCACCGAGGGGGGGAGCTGTTTTGCTTTCACGGCGCCGATGCCTGTACGAGAGCAACCACATGGCGATCCTAGCTCCGGACTGGATCTGTGGCTCAGTGGCTGACCTACGGAGTAGAGAATTGGACACATGGCGGATCTCAATGGCCATGGTAGGTTAATCCCCAAAGTTTTTGAGATACTTCCCTCTCCAGCATTTCGCCATACTGTGGTGCATGCGAAGGCCATTCTTTGGTCACCACGCAAGGTTCACGGTGCCAGAAGCCACCTGCTTTTAATTGGACAATTCAACCTAGCTTTGGCTATTTATACCCTTTTTCGAAATGGAAGAAACAACGTCGAGTCTAAGGGGTCTCTTTGACAGGTTGCACGCGCCATTGGCTACCTGGCACGAACAGATGGAGGCAACGGTCTCATGAAACCCCAGTCCGTAATTGAGGAGCTGAGCGATCTCACCTCTAAAATTGATAAGTAAACAATCATCTCGACTGGAGTGGGCCAGCATGTGAGTTCCTCATGAGCAGCCAACACTATCCCGAACACCAACTGACCTGAAGTAGCAAATGTGGGTAGCACAGCACTACATATGTACACGTGGAGAGAGCCTCGATCGTTTGCCACGACTTTAGTCACCGTCAGAGTGGCTACGCTCTCCTTACTTCCGCTGCTGAAACTTGGGTTGCTCACTTTTGTAAAGCCCAAATAATGGATGAAGCTACTATTATACTCTCGGCACGGAGAATCTGTAAGCCTAATTCTACGGCCTACTCTGTATGGTTTAGAATTTATTGGACGACAACAGACATGACGCATACTGAGTTCTTGACCGATCTTATAGTGGCACCAGTTTGTGGCTATCGAGCCGTTAGAGGAGGACGCGGATATTGAGACAAAGTACAGCCTGTACGGCCGGACACGGCTGGCGTGGGCCACTGGGGAAGGCCATGAGGCCGTTGTTCAGTTGCTTCTCGAGAAGGGAACTGATGTCAATGCGAGAGACATAGACGGCCAGATCCCTTTTTTTGGCTAGCCGCCGCGAAGAGCCACGAGGCTATTGTGCGGCTGCTCATTAAAGAGGGGGCTGATATCTATATAAAAGATAAGCACGGCCGGACGCCCCTGATGCTGGCCGCCCGGGGGGACAGCACGGCCATCGTACAGCTGCTGCTCGAGAACGGCGCTGATATCATAGGCAAAGGACAGCAAACATAATCGGACGCCATTATCATGGGCCGCCGATAGAGGGCACGAAGCTGTGGTTAGGCTGCTGCTCGAAAAGGGTGCCGATCTCGAGGCGGAATCGTGAAAGCTATATTCGGACACAATTGTTGTTCGACTCAGCGCTGGCATGAGGCCATTATACGGCTGTTCCAATGTCAAGGCCCAATAGAACGCTGTCACAAGGCACATGAGGAAAATTGGAAGAATGAACATGAATACAGGTAAAGTATGGCGAAAATCGGTTCAAGTTCAGCACCCACCTCATGAACCCAACAGAAAGCCTAATATAACAGCACTGTCAGACTGCACGTATTAACATAACCAACGACGGTCACTGATGCACCTAACGTTGCCGAGTTCCATGAGGTTGGACATGTATCGGCTCAAGGTTGGTCCCCTTGTGCGAGTTTTGTGAGAAGATGCTGAGAACCAGCGACCAACTTTTCTAGAAACCAACTATCAAGGGTTTGCAACTATAACAACTCTCTTCGGCTCATAATGGCTGATGCTATGCTAGGTGAGTCCTATTCTACGTCGTAAAAACCCTATATTAATACCCCCAGGCCCCAGCATTGTCATGCGTCTTCACTCGCTTTGATCTTGCACACCCGGACCCTGTTCAAACCCTCTCTATCAATGGTTAATGATTATCAGGTTGGCAGTTCCACAGGATGCAAAGACGGCCTCCCATATTCAGAAGCCGGCAATTCGCTGGGTCCCCAGCCCCCAGTGCGACGATTACTATACTTGTAGCCGTTCACTCCAGGAGTCTCGGCGCTTTCCAGGGGAACTGGTAGGTTTGGAGACGGGCTGCAATTATATCGGTTGGATCTGCTTCTTCTCAGAAGATATATGGCTGCAAGGCCAAAAATACAGAGTACGGCAATTCCTCCGATAACTCCCCCTGTAATGGTCCCAATAGTGTTGGGGGATGAATCCGCCTTGACGCCGTCACTATCGCCTCCGCGTGAGCTGCCGCTTTTCGATGTTGCCGCAGCCGAATCTGTGTTTGCATTTGCCTGGGAGGACTGCGCCGTGGTTCGCGACGCGATTGTCCACGAGGATGGCTGTGCCGAACTTGCCGTCGATGTGTTTACAGAGGCCGGTTTTGAAGATCCACCAGACGTCTTTGAAACATTGTTTGTGTTGGTGGGAGTAGCCTGGGCCGTTGGCGATGCAAGATAATGCATCGTCGTGGGAGTGCCTCCACAAGCATAGTATGTGTACGTCTGATCAACGCCAAACGTCAGGGCTGCAAACGAGCAGAACTTCTGTGTTTCACTTGGGCAGGCACTGTCAGTAACACGCAGCATCCATCTCGGGTAGCAAAGAGGGCCGTCTTACCAGGTAAATGTCGTCAACTGGGAATTGTCACCGTTCCCGCATCCACCTGAGCAGGAGTGGCTGTCTACGCAAAACCCCTGCAGGCCGCAGTCGGTAGCAGCAATCACTGTTGTTGGGCAGAACCCCCATAGGCCATTGACGGTATCGACGCGGCAGTTGAATCCGGACTCGGCGGTGCGAAATTTCTTGGGGTCGCCGTCTTGGTAGCCACAAGTCGACATTTCAGTCTGGTGGACGAGTCGCTTCCCGAGGGCTGATGCGGCCCGATGTGACAGGGTAGCTGTAGGTCTGGGAAGCGAAAAGTGACGATTCCAGGCATGTCCTTCATTGAATTGAATGAAGGCAAGGGTAGCAGAGAGAAGTGGACGTCCGTATGGAGCCATGGCCCGTTGTGTTGTGTTGCCAGCCTCAGCTCTGTTCTTCACCAAGGCGATACTGCTAGCTGGTATGAGTTGAAGTCCAAAAGAAGCAAGTATCGGAAGAAGAATAGAGCACGGCAAGAAAAGCAACAAAGGGCGGGGGAAAGTTGTGATAAACGCCAGCGTCCATCGTCAAGATGGGCGCACGGGGCGACATGTCGTCCGGCCTCGCAGACAGACATGATGCCTCTGGCAGGCGGCAACATGTAAAATAATCGTCGGAATCGTGTGTTTGTTGGTTCTAGCACTTGAGATGTCAGGCCGGCGGCTATTCCCTCTCAACGTATGGCGCAGGTGGGATGGCGGCGTTTCAAATGGCCGGTGCGTGGCCAATAGCGAAACCAGTTGCAGATTGGTTTCAATGTTTATGTACACATCATCAACCAACAGCAGCAGCACCGACCATGGCCACTTTGGCCACTTTGGCCACCATGGCTCGGTGTGCATGGATGACCCCTTTAATTGTTGGCTTCGGGCCTTTTTCGTCCTCTTCCAGCTTTGCAATGCGGCTCTTGGCGTTTTGCTACGCCTCAGCAGGCCGTAGACGACGTGCTCAACATGAAAAGACGGCTTGTGCTGCTGGCGATTGCCTCGATATCCTTGTTTTTCGTTGCCACGACGCTGTACCTTGGGAGAGACCAATTTGCCTGGCCGTTGCTTCCAAATGACGGGAGACACAAGACTCCAGAGGAGCCAGTGTTGGAACAGGTTGCTAATGGTACGTATGGCTTCACATGATTAAGCCCCGGCACTCCGCGCAAGCAACGTTAACCAGTGCCATTTTCCATCTTGTCTAGGAACCGTGTTGCCGTCCGCAACGATTACACAGTATATAGAGGCAATTTTGAATCCTTGGTCTTCCGAGTTGCCAACCCTCGAATGCCCTGCGATCAACACAACCCGGTACGATGCGCTACGGGACGGCGACTTCTCAACCGCCACCACTAGATATTTCTTTGCCCTGAACCTGCGGCAAACCCTCCCCTTATTGCCTCGTCTGATGGGCAGCATAGTCGAGGCAATTCGATTCCTTGGGCCCGAGCACTGCGCCCTGTCGATTGTCGAGGGACACTCCCCCGACGGCACTGCCGATGTGCTCGCTGCACTTGGGCCAGCTCTCAAGAGCATGGGCACCCCATATTACTTTGCATCGTCCGAAATCGACCCAAGCAAGGGCGAGCGGATAGTCGGCCTCGCCGCGCTGCGGAATCTGGCTCTGGCGCCGCTCTTTACTCTTCCCGGCAAAGCGGCCGAGGACGCGACCGTCGTCTTCCTCAACGACGTGTCGGCGTGTCCCGAAGACATCCTCGAGCTGCTTCACCAGAAGCGAGCCACGGGCGCCGACATGACGTGCGCCATGGACTGGACATATGTCGGCCGCGACCCGACATTCTACGACGTCTGGGTCGCACGCAACATATATGGCGACTCGTTTTTCAACATCCCGCCGGACGGAAGCTGGGACTCAGCGTGGAATCTCTTCTGGAACGCCGAAGAGACCCGCGCTCGCTTCTTTGACCGGCGCCCGTTCCAGGTCTTCTCCTGTTGGAACGGCGCGGTTGCGTTTACAGCCCAGCCCATCTTGCAAAAGACGGTGCGCTTCAGGGCCGCAGACGGGGCGGCGGGCGAATGCGAGCAGGGCGAACCTCAGCTCTTCTGTAAGGATTTGTGGTTCAGGGGCTACCGCAAGATTGCTGTGGTGCCTTCCGTCAACTTGGAGTACTCGGTTGAAAAGGGGAGGATGATCAAAGCGGCCAAGGGCTTCACGGGCGATGCCGTGTCGAGGCAAGATGCTTCCGGGGACATGATTGACTGGCGGCCTGATCCCCCGGAGAAGGTGAAGTGCATGCCTTCTTGGGACAACCAGTTTTGGCAGTGGTGGAACGAGACTTTGAAGCGATAGGTCCAACCGGGGCAGAGGACTCTGTGTATAGGTCAGTAGTGTCAGTACTTGTTCGTTTTTTGTTTCTTGGGTTAGTCTGTACATGGAATTGCCAAGATGTCTTGATGTAATGTGGCGCATGGATGATGGCGATTTGTTGAGACAATTGGCGGCGGATATCCTTTGGCTGTCTCTAGATTGTTGGTCGTAAGTAGATCATTGTACTCACTCTGGCGAGGGCTCATCAGGAAACCAATTGGCACATTTTCGAAATGATGCCGGGGCCAATCTCATCACACGGCACAGTTCTTCCCGCCCTCTCCTGCATGCATGTCCGTCGGATATTAGACACGTCTGGATAAACTCCACCACGCTACCGTGATGGAAGCCGTGATTTTTGTCTCGCCCCCGATTGGCCCGGCAATATCGAGCGATGGCGTATTGGAGCCGACGGGACGGACGCAGCCCTGAGGTGACATCGTGGATCAGAAACAACCTCCATTGTCCGGAACATTGCCCGATGTTATATATCCCCGCGGCGGCTTTGTCGATGCGCCTCGAGCCGTATTCATCTTGGCCATTTCTACACCCATTGCCCCGCGCAACATAACGAGGGGATGGCAAGTCCATGGCCTTGTGACAACCTCTGTTCGTTCAGCTGCATAAGGGTTTTGGGAGTCTGCTTCGTACGGAGGGGATTCTATAAATTGGAGAGTTTTGATTTCCCCTCCATTGTGTAGCCCTTTGGTCTTGCCCGACAGCCAGACAACACCTTACTCTGTGCATTGGCAGTGCTCGAGACAAGCGCACCAATAGTTGAATCTTGTGTGACGTACTCCGTACGCTTGATCCGTCGTACGAACTTGTACCTAGTTGGTTGGGAAGGTGACTTGTCCAACACATTGGCCTAGCTTTCTACCGGCTGCTTGTCGTCCTCGAAGCGCCGCGCTATCTTGAGGTTTGTTTGGGAACAACGACTTCCAACACCCAGAACACAACTGGCATTGCCAAACACCGAATACCCATCATTTTGCATCGTCCCAGGTATGAAGCAGCGTGCCATGAAGCCGAATTCCTGGTCCAAGAAGCTGTCGTGGCTGGGGTACGTCGCGGGCACCCTGGCGAGAAATGTACCACACGAGCCATCGGTGCGTTTTGCTGTTCTTGCTTCTGGTTTCGCGCCTCGATTCTAACTTGGACTTGAAAGGGAAAACTTCCCACTCTTGGGTGGAACTCTTGGAACGCGTACCGTTGCGATATCAATGAGCAGCATTTCCTCGATGCTGCCCAGGCACTGGTCGACACTGGCCTGCGCGATGCCGGTTACAACTATGTAAACAGTCAGTGGGCCTTGCGACCCTGGTTTTGGTTACCGGCAGCGACTGACTTGGCTTGTAGTTGATGACTGCTGGTCTGAACGGACTGGCCGTGTGAATGGCCATATTGCGGTCAACAAGACCCGTTTCCCAGATGGCATCGACGGGCTTGCCAACAAGATTCACGACATGAAGCTCAAGCTTGGCATTTACAGCAGTACACAGCTCCCATGCCTTCCGGTGGTCTCCTCCCTCTACAGCTCAAGGCCAAGTGACTGACGTGATACATAGCGGCTGGCACCCTGACCTGTGCCGGATACCCGGCCAGCTTGGGATATGAAGATGTCGATGCCGCCGACTTTGCCAAATGGGGAGTTGATTGTAAGCTGAGCACAACCTCCAATCCATCATCTGACATGAACACGCTAACCGTCTCCGAGACCTGAAATAGTAAGTCCTCAAGTGCTCCCTCTCTCACAGTAACAGCACGCACTGTCGTTGTCGTACGCCATGGACTAAACCGCAACTCACACAGCGACAACTGCTACATCCCCGAGCAATGGCAAGACGAGTACATCTACTGCGAGGAAGACGGGGCCCAGATCGGCCCAAACGGCACCTGCAGCCGCAGCCAGAACCCGAGGCTCGCGCCGGACGGCTACGACTGGAGCAAGTCCAAGTCGGCGGAGCGCTTCAACCGCATGCGCGACGCGCTCGCCAGGCAGGACCGCGAGATCCTCTACAGCCTCTGCATCTGGGGCACCGCCGACGTCACCTCCTGGGGCCACGGCACGGCGACGAGCTGGCGCATGAGCGGCGACATCAGCCCCCGCTGGCGCTCCGTCACGCACATCCTCAACATGAACTCGTTCAAGATGGGCGCCGTCGGCTTCCACGCCCACAACGACGCCGACATGCTCGAGGTGGGCAACGGGGACCTGACGCCCGCCGAGGCGCGCTCGCACTTTGCCCTCTGGGCGGCCATGAAGTCGCCGCTGCTGATCGGGACGGACCTGCGCCGCCTGGGCCGCCGCGACCTCGACCTGCTCGCGAACAGGCGCCTGCTGGCGTTTCACCAGGACGCCGGGCACGGCGGGCCGGCGGCGCCGTATAAGTGGGGGGTTAATCCCGACTGGACGTACAACAGCACCCATCCGGCGGAGTATTGGGCCGGGCCGTCGACGGGGGGGCACCTGGTGCTGATGCTGAACACGCTCGAGGCCACGGTGCGGAAGACGGCGGCGTGGTGGGAGATTCCGGGTCTGGGTGGTGGCAGGTATCGCGTGACGGAGGTGTGGTCTGGCGAGGACCTGGGCTGCTTGGACGAGTATGCGGTTGATGTGGCTTCTCATGACACGGCGGCTGTTTTGGTCGGTCCGAGGTGCTGAAGCCTAGTGTTGTATGTGTGTAGTTGGGAGGATGAAGATGAGGTCTGGTTTGGGTAATACGGGCGGTGTCTTGTTTCATGGGCACTTGTGAATCATTGTGTCTCATATATGACGTTGGAGTGGCAGATATAACTCCTCGATATGAGTATTAAACTGCGCTAACAAACTATACGTGCGAATGCGCCAGTATTAACACATTTACGGTCACTACTTGCTTGCTAACACAGCTGCCTGAACCTGAAACATTTACGAATAAGTTATTACTTTAATTTTTTGATGAATCTTTTACCACATCATCGATGGAAGATTGAGTGGCGGCACCTCTGGCACGGTAGTATAGTATGCCAGCTTGTCATCATGCTTCCTCCTTCCTACCACCATGACTGGATTTTAAAGTCTAATCGCAGTACTGTCATGTTTGACGAAAGGAACTACTGTGAAAAAAACGACGAGTACTGCAGGACCACTCCAGAGACCCCAGCAGAGCAGGCATGTAGGCTGCGGACGTTGTGATGCCACCGCACGAGCCGGATGGCTTATTCAAGGTTGTGTGCGGTTGCTAAAGCTTACAGCCACAAACCACCACGAGTGTGTATTAACCCGGGGGCAGCCATGTCAGCTCCACCCAATCATGTTTGTTGTTATTTTAAGCAAGGATGCCCCAAAATTGGCAGGGTGCTCAGTTGTGACCGAGTTCCTTTTCTTGCGCTGCTGCATGAAATTCGCCTCGCTAACAATATTGCAACATGAAACGAGACTAAAGCTGGGATAAATTGCATCAACTGCTGTCGAATACAATGTGTTTTACTATTCTGTGTTTAGTCTCGCAGGGCATGTCCCACGGAAGAGAGACTTCTTTTTGGTGTATCATCGTGTGAAATAACCCTCACAGCAGCCACCTTGCTAGATATCGCACACATGGTTTGAGAATGATAACCCATGAGTGTAGCAGTTACATGGGCTGCACATATATGGATACATTTTCGAAAGGCAGTGCCTACCAGACACGTGACAAACCGAATACTATACTCTATTTTAAGCAGCGAGTCCATCCATCCCTGCTACCCAGAACCTATCTTGGTACGCAGCTTGATTAATAAACTTTAAAAGTCAAATCTAGACCGTCCACTTTCCAAGGGACTTCCAGCCCTAAACGCCAACAAAGCTGAAGTCCCGTGGGATACAGCCTGCCTGTAAGCCTGGCACTCTGCGCGGGCAGCCCATCGTGAAACATGGGACGAAGCCAGGTATTTGGATATAAGACGCAAGGCTAGCACACAATATTATAGCCAAACACGTAATCTATACGACGTAAGCCTTATTCGGATAGTTCCAACTGCATGACGAGACCTCCGCAAGCATCCCTACAATGTTGGTGCTTGAGCAGTCCAAGATTGGCGCGGCCTCGATCGTTGCCGCCGGTGCCTGTGCCCACGCTCGCGCCCATGCCCCAAGCCAAACCGAGAACGAGCTTGGTCCTCCCCCGACAACTCCTCCAGTAGCTTTGACACAGTTCTCGGGGCTTTTTGGACGCCAGGCGGCGCCCAAGACTTGTGGATATGTCTCCGGTGTAGACCGTAGGTCATAATGAACAGATACGGCAGTTACCAGACTTTGTCCAGTTGGCACGCTGACGACTTTTAAGCGCTGACTTGCGCCTCGGGACCCTATACATGTCTCTACAATACGAGACGCAGCGTCCAGGGTTGTTGTACCGATCGATATTGCACCCTTCCCACGGCATGCGTGTCGTACGATTCTCCCTCCCCAACAGACGCGGAGACGGTGTATTGGTAAGAAAGACGGCGCGCTTGCAGGGGGACAAGTCGCTGATTCTTGTGAAATAGCAGAAACTCGGCCAAGCCTTCCTGCCTGACCCTCTCCTTTGTCGACGACCCATGTTCCGGGTGCACGTGGTTCGCCTGCTCCACGACGGACGGAACAAGACCGGTCTACAATACTCGGCCGCCCAGCACAACTACCACCTCAGCTTCTACAAGCACTACGTCGGCGTCGGCGCCAAGTACGGTGCTGCCGCCGGAGAATCCCACGCCCGTGGGCGCGATTATCGGAGGCGTAGTCGGAGGAGTCGGTGAGTTCCAGAGCGCACACGTGCCAAGGTCAACCCCTGACAGATGCCGGAAGAAGAAGATGATGCTGACTCTTGCCGACTGCTCAGCCGCTTTGGCTTTGGTAGGCGGCTCCATGTCATTCCTACTGCGTCGCTGGAGGCAAAAGCCGCCGGCTCCGACCGCTCAGCCCCAACCGTCGCTGGCATTTGCTCCGGGAGCAGAATTCGGCAGTGGCCCGGCCCATGGGTACCCAGGCAGCATTGCGAAACAGGAGGCCGCCGACATGACGGGCTCCAACTCCAACACCGGTCTGTACGCATCTTCGCCTTCGTCGCCGGCGCCGGCGTCGGTTTACTCCCCTGGGTACATGGATCAGCAGATTGTGCCGCAGCCTCCGTTCCGGGCGCAGCAAGTCTGGTACCCGTTTCCTGTGCATGAGGTGCTTACCACGAGGGCTGAGCGGCAGGTCCAGGAGTTGCCGGGGTTATGAAAGGGTGTATATGTGATTTGGCTGGAAGTTGGCATGCATTGGTGGTGGCTGACGTTGAGTTGACGGCACGTTGGAACTTGGAACTCGGCAGTAACCAGAGCTGGCTGCCGCTTTCGCTTTACCTCTTGAATGTGATATACATGCAAGGTTATTTTGAAGTATTGAATGAATTAAAAACTTGATACTTTCCGGTAATTAATGAGTAAAAAGTGGCCTATACCATTTACGTGTAGCATCGGGAACGGGGTGAAATACCAGACGCATGTAGTCAAGTCAAGCCCGGTGTTATTGCCGAGAGCCGGCCGAAGGCCACAGCTCGCCGCAGGCGGCCCCCGGCAGGGCCCCCGGAGGGGCTCAAATAGGCTTAGCTCTCTTGGCTTTGCCTACCCCTAGGTCAACATTTCGCCGGCACCAGAGTCTTATACAGAGTGCTCATAATATTAAATCCGAGGCACTGCATCGCTCCAATTCACGAGACAGAATTCTCAGGCAGTTTTGTTCCGGCCACAGCCTCGGAGCCTGTGGCGCAATTAGCGTTATCAGATCAATCAGATAACGCGCCAGCCCCACATCTTCATTGTCGCCAAGCCTCAGCCCCGGTCTCGCAGCGGACAATTGGGGACCGTCGAGCAAAACGCTCGGTGATTTCGACCCCAAGCACGCCAGCGCGGCCATGGCCACGCCTCGGACGGAGATCGGGGCGGATCCAGGCTCGGCCTTGCCATGGAGTCCCCCGGCTGCCCGTGGATCCGAGCTGAAAACGACCCCTGGGGCACTGGCCATGTATATGAAGAGAGCGACGGCCAGTGTTTTTTCCTTCTCCAAACCTCGACTATCTTGTCCCCCTCTGACTTTACCCCTCTCCTCATCTCGGTTCCACGAACCGCCGGCCGCAATGCTCGCCAAGCTGGGGCTGTACGCCCGCGCCTTCGGCTACATCCTCGTCGTGCTCGGCCAAGAGCTCAGCTACCTCTTCAACAGGGCCGTGGTGCGCCGCCGCGCCCAGTTCTTCGGGAGCACGCCGGCCGACGGGCGCGACCGCACCATTGTCATTGTCGGCGCCTCGTTTGCCGGACACCACGTCGCTCGCCTGGTGGCCGGCCAGCTGCCGCCGCGGAGCCGCTACCGGGTCGTCGTCGTCGAGCCCAATAGCCATTTCCAGTTCACGTGGGTGCTGCCGCGGTTCTGCGTCGTCAAGGGCCACGAGCACAAGGCCTTTATCCCGTACGGCAAATACGTCGAGTGCCTGCCCGGCGTGCTGGAGTGGGTTCAGGACCGCGCGGCGAGCGTCGACGGGACCCATGTGCGGCTGGAGAAGAGCGGCGAGTCCATCAGGTACGATTACCTTGTTGTCGCGACGGGGTCGGGCGTCAGGACCGGGCTGCCGTCGCGGGTGAATGCCGCCGAGAAGAGGGTCGGCGTCGCGCTGCTTCGCGGGATTCAGTCGGGCATCGAGGCGGCACAGACGGTGGTGGTTGTGGGCGGCGGCGCGGCGGGCGTCGAGGTTGCCGCTGATGCCAAGGATTTGTACCCCGACAAGAGGATTGTTCTCGTTCACTCGAGGGCGGCGGTGATGCATCGCTTCGGCAAGAGGTTGCAGGACGAGGCGCTCGAGGGGCTGACGAGGCTGGGCGTCGAGGTTGTTCTTGAGGATAGGGTCGTGGACGAGGATTCCGCGGCCAAGAAGGTGACGTTGCGGTCGGGGAGAGAAATTCCATGCGACCTTTTTGTAAGCTATTTTCCTGCTCGCGGGTACATGTCTGAAACGCGCACGTGTGCTTACCACGTTTGATACAACCAGCTCAACTGCACGGGACAGTCGCCGTGCTCGGAACTCCTCAGCTCCTTGTCGCCACAATCGATTTCCACAAACGGATACATCAAGGTTAAGCCGACGCTCCAGATAGCTGATGACGAGTGTCCCAATGTCTATGCTTGTGGAGAAGTTGCCGATACCGAGACGCCGTGTCCTAATGCCCGCTCTGCGATGCGTCAAGCAGCCACCGTGGCCAAGAATATTTTGAGCGTTGTTGATGGGAAGCAGCCCAAACACGTGTACAGGCATCACTGGGTTGACACGTTTATTAAGCTTACCCTTGGCCTGGTGAGCAGAAACCAACGAACCGTGACTTTATAGCGAAGCTGACTTGTGTTTAGGACCGTTCCGCAACATTTATTGGCGACGGACATTCCGACTTGATGTTCAAGTCTCAGGACAAGGATGTCACGTTGATGGTCAAATCCACCTGGGCAAGAATGGGGCTGAAGCCGTTTGAGGATGAGTACGACGAGGACGATTCAGGCGCAAAGGTCAAGGCATGAGAGTTGAATGACAAGGTTATAAGCTTTTTAACATCGTTCTTGGTAACGATGCCGCATCATATATACACCGCTCGTGCTTAAACAAATCGAGAGACCCAGACGTCCATGGTTCTAACCTTTTCACCATTCAGTAGCCCAACCGCGCCAACGACGGCCTCCCTTGCCGACAGAAGCGTAGTTTTCAGCGTCACATCCGTAATGTACTTGTCAATCTCCTCCAGGAACCACCTGCTCTTCACCGTCCCGGTTTCCCACGACCCATCCAGGAGCGCCACGCCCGGGACGTGAACCTCTTCCTTGTCCAGAGCCCAGCCGCCCCTGGCAGCCGCGTCCTTGATGCTCAGCGGGCCCAACAGGCAGCGGATGTTGGCCTCGCTCGTCTTGTTGTGCGCCTCGAGCGCCGCGCGCGCAACGGCAGCCATGACATGAGGCACGGCAGCCCTCTCCCTGGCCGTCAGCGCATACTCTGCCACCAGGAGCCCGGCGGCGCGGCCCCTCAGCGCGGCGAGCATCTCGCCCAGCGTGTCCGGCCCGTCAAAGTACCAGATGCAGTGGGCCAGCACGACGAAATCCCACCTCGTGCCGGGGTTCTCAGCGAGGAACTGGACCGGCTCCGCGTGGTACCAGGTGATCCGGTCCCCTACAGGACCGGCAGACAGGTGCGCCTGCGCCTGGGCGAGCGTGACGGGCGCGCCGTAGTCGGGAGGCCCGGGATCGACGGCATCAACGTGGCCCTCGGGGCCGACGGCCTCGGCGAGCACCGCGGTGCAAGTGCCCTGGCCGCAGCCGATTTCGAGAACCCTGCTGCCCTGACGTATTTGCCACGAATTCACCAGCCCGATGCGGTGTTCTGCCTGGCCGGTTTCGACGGCCAAGTGGTTGGGGTCGTCGAGGATGGCGTACGAGGCGATCTTGCCGGCGGCTTCGGCGGCGAGGGGTGTAAACGACGGCATGGTGGGTTGGCTTCTATTCTACAGCCCTCCTGGCGTTGGCGAGGATTCCGCGCTCATGTAGCTATACGATTGCCTTGTATGTGTCCAACGTCTTGCCCGCGTGTGGATGAGTGGTGACTCATGGACGGTGGAGTTGAACTCTCCGCGGTTGGCCTGGACAAGTTTTCAAATGTTCAGCTGCTCAAGGTCGACGCTAGGCCTGCAAACCAGAGAAAATACACTAGTTGGCCAATAAAGCAGGCTCTGGCTATTCTGCTGTTGCGTCAGACTGTGACTGGAATGAATATTATTAAAATAGGTTACTTATAATAGGTATAAATTATATTAATTAGTACTACTTTAACTTTTAAGTGTAGTATAGGTTAACCCGCTTGTCTTGTGGCGGATCGCAACCGACTAGTTAGGCAGAAGAGTAAAAATAGACTAGCGCGATTATGGCCGCAAAATTCCCAAATAGCAAAGCTAGGCGGACCCGAAGCTGCGCGCAGATAAACCTAGCGAGGCGTATAAAATTGAGGAGAGGCAAGAAGCTGATCGGTGACCTCCAGAAACGGCACCATCAGAGAGCGGCAAATAGCTGCCGGAAACGTGCCTCGCTGAATATGCCGCTGCTATAACGACAAGGTACGTGTAGTAATAGTACAGCTGCGCGCAATGCGGTACTTTTTGACGATATATAGTTCTAGGACTTTCTTATTAATACCTCGAGGTAAAGTTAGTCTTTATACCTTAGTAATAAATATCTAATTTGTTTTGTTATTTGATAGTTGCCGTTCATTAATAGCCGCCTTGCGTGATGCGCAGTATGGCAATTGCGATTCGGTACAGCCAAAGCTCTTTTTCTATTGTATCGGCTAGAGATGGCAAATGCTGCCCCAAGATACAAGTTGCTCCGTCTAAGCAAGTATAGGATGAGAGTATTCTCCCGGGCAATAATATTCTGACGTATTTATTTCCTATATAATACATAATTCCACTCTACATGTAGGAAATTAAAAAGTTGTTACACGGAAATCGCCCTGTTACACAAGAGCTACGGTCACGGGATTAAGGCAGAAGGCCCTCACCGACTTCTTGTATTTAAAGACGTCTTTGGCGACTGAGGCCTTAAGGAAAACCAAGGACCTTTGATGCCAAAGACTGTTATTAGATGAGTTGAGCTATTGCTCCAAGCCCTCTTTCCGAGCCCTTGTCACAATCGGAATACCGTAGGTGCCTTGATATACATGTTAAATGTCTCGCGAAGTCCAAAAGGTCAAACAGCAATAGCTTCCGAGTCCAGCCAGAGTCCGTGGTCGTACTCGAAGTGCATCGCAGACGCTAGTTTCTTAATAGACTGGTAGACAAACTTGCCGTACGTATCGAGGATATATGATGTGCTTTCTAGACTGATATTATTTCCATGGAAGAAGTTAGGCAAGATATCAAACATGTTGACTATTTCAACTTTAACCGCAGGTCCATTAATATTATTAGGGGGTGCATCCCGGCGGCTGAAAGTACTGTGACAAGCGTTCAATTCGGAAGGCTTGGAGCCAAAAGGCTTAATTTAGTAATAATCTCGAAGGGTCTCTAAGGTCTAAAGTTACTATAAAAGAAAAAGAAAATAGCTATTTTATATATATAAAGGAATACTTAGGCCTAGAGCTTTTACTTAGGTATATATTAAAGCTATATAATTAATAAGTCCTGCATCAGTAAAGCCCCTTTATTGGGCGTCACGATCTGTTGGGCCTTTTCCGTGTAACAAGTACGCCCACATGGCTGCAGCTGTCTATTATTTCTTGGAAGCTCTTCTTCTCACTAGAGTCGGAGACTATAGCATAAAAATCGACTTCAGCATAATCGATGCAGAGACACATCGATGCTTGATCGATGGAAATCGACTGCGAGAGAAACGTGGCCGTCTAGACGAGTCGCAAGTTGGCCTTCTATTAGCAAATAGGTAATACAATAGCATATAAACGTCGAAAGAAACACGGCATATTTCAGACTTTCAAGGTCCGTAATACCCTGTTTAGAGAGGACGGGGATTGGATCGCTCGTATTGAGAGCCTCTAAGCGGCCTTGATAGTTGTCGGGCTGTCAATTACGGAGTCGGACCGGAGAGAACAAAGCTGCTTTCTGCTGCTAACTTCATGGTTTCCGAAATGCTCTTATTGGCATGAAGAAGTTATCAGTGAGTGTTACACGAAAAAGGGCCAACAGATTGTAAAGCCTAATAAAGGGGCTTTACTGATATAAAACTTATTAGTTTCACAGCTAAAATATATACCTAGGTAAGAACTTTAGGCTTAGGCGTTTCTTTTATATAAATAAGATAGTTACTCTTCTCTTCTTTTCTTATAGTAACTCTAGACCTTGGAGACCCTTTGAGATTATTATTAAATTGAGCCCTTTTGGCTCTAAGCCTTCATACTGAACCCTTGTCACACTGAGGCTGACGACAAGAAACGATACTCCGGCGCAGGCAACTATAGTTTGTAGTAGCGCATGCCCCAAACTAAATTGAATAGTTGTCAGCTTCAAGTTTCTAAGTAAGCTGTCTCTGTACCCCACGGAAATACCAAGTACCTTGTATATACGTTTTTAGTGTAGTAAAGCCGCATTTCTAGGACAGTCACGTCAGCCCAGAAAATCTCGCGAAATAGTTGAGATTCGTCCAAGGTTTAACAGGTTGCAACCATCTTAATCCGCTTAAAATTAGATGGAGGCAAGGTCGGACCTGCAGAGAAGGGTGGGACTAGGGGCGACGAAGGGTATGCATTTAACTAAAAACGTCAATGGCCGACACGAAACCAAGTATATATACCCTGCACTGTTGTCTCATCCGAAACGGCCAGCATTGAACGCACCAGTCAGCGATCATGAACAAGCCTGCCAAAATAATGCAACTTGCGGCGGTATAGGGAAGGGAAGGATGTGTCAACTAATTCGCGCCCATGTCGACCTGGTAACCCGGCGGAATTGTTAGACGGGCCTCACACTTTGGCATGGGGGCCTGACTCTTGCGCGGGCCTGGGGACGCTGGGACAGAATTCCGTTTCATTTTGTTTTGGGTTTCAAAAGGCGCTCCCTTGTTAGTCATACAAGTCGAGTACTTTGAGTCATGGCGAGAAATGAACTGATATTGTTGCTACGTGGCAACTGGAACATGACGCCCAAAACTAAAATGGCCAGTGAAGAGTCATGCTGGGCTTCAGTCAGGTTATTTCTTTTTTGCCGCGTCTAGTTCTTCTCACTGGACCCCTTCCTCGTCAAGGCGGTCTTGCAGTCCACGCATGTGTGTCAGATACCAGGACCTCAATATGGGGCAAGTCGTCGCTGACACCTATAACGACATTGCAAAAAGCAAGGACTCCTAGTCTCAAGATTGTAGCAAATATAGTTTCTTGTTACAGCTTCGCTGCTTTGGTAAAGCTACGCATAAGATAAATAGCGTGTTTATTTCCATTTATTATTCATTCTTTAGATAATTCTTATCTAATATACTCGGCGCCATTGGCGCTATTATACTCGATATTTTGGGACTCTTAATTGTCTGGCAATGTGGTTAGAATCTCGCATCAACCTTGGCCATGACTGAGTACCTCTTGAGTCGACTCCATAACGGGGCATCGAGGGCTCGCTCCTTTTTGAACCCTCCCCTAGACCGATTTGATCAATCCGACGAGCTTTCTCAGGGCCTCCTCTCTAATTCCGACGGTTATGAACTAGGCGAACACCAGACAAGGCGTAAATCCTGCATCAAAATTGCACATTCCTTCTCCTTTCTGAGCGTCTTCGCTCTTCTTCGTTTATTAGTTGTCGCCATCACTCCAAGCTTTATCAGCAACATCTACTATGCCTCTAAGCCACGACAGCTGCACAAAACGTCATTTCTTGACGGATTACGAGGATACGCTTCGTTTATTGTGGCGGTCTACCACCTTTTAGGCATACAGCCAAATAATGAATGGATAGAGGAAACCTGGGGCGTTAACGAACAAGAAGGAATGGGATCAAATCTATTGCAGCTTCCTTTTATACGGGTTCTCTTTCTCGGCGTTCCCATGGTTACTTGCTTCTTTTTAATCTCTGGATTCGTCTTGTCGTACCGAAGTGTTCTCCTGATTCGGTCCGGGGAGCACGAGAGACTCTCAGAGTCTCTCGTATCTTTAATCTTCCGTCGCGGATTCCGCCTCTTTCTGCCTACTATCGCCAGCATCATTTTTGAGAAGATTCTTGTTCCATGCATATACCGGAGCCCACCGCCGGTATGGACCATGATTAGCGACGTATACGCCCAAACTAGCGCAGCCATGTACTGCTGGGGTTGGGATAATCACAATGTCAGCCTCTTGCATCTCTGGACTATCCCGATTGAGTTCTGCTGCTCCATGTTGCTCTTTCTAGTTATTATAGGTGTTTCACGGCTTAGGACGTGGATGCGACTATTTGTCGTTGGCCTCCTAATAATTCACTCGAATGCAAGTGGCCACTGGGCTGTTTTCTTGTTCATGGCCGGTCTTTTTATTGCCGAGACCGAAGCCATTATCGAACAACGCAAAAGAAGCCAAAAAGGGAATGAGAGCATAGGAGAGGGGATGCAATGGATATCACGACTCCAGTCGGCATTCTGGATTACTATATTCCTCGTTGGCCTTTACCTGGCTGGATATCCGATACACCGCGTCGAAAGCTCATTTGACTTTCGTTGGGTCTACCCACACACCCCAAAGGTGTATGTAGATACCGAGGGATTTTTCCTGCCCTTGAAATTCTGGACCAGCGTCTCTTCAGTGCTAGTGATTGTGGCCCTCTTCCGGGTCCCAACCCTGCAAAAAGCCTTCACGACGCCAGTCGCTCAGTATCTGGGAGATGTGTCATACTCAGTCTACCTCGTGCATAATGCCATTCAGATCTCCATCGGAGCGGATATCAAGGCTAGGGTGCATTCTTGGTTTGGGGAAGATAATAGCCAGTGGAAGAGAACAGCGATATTAGTTCTTGACATTGTATTTATAATGGGTATTGTGATTTGGGTTGCCGATATCTTTTGGCGCTTTGTAGACAAGCCAATAGTACGATTCACCAGGTATTTAGATAAGCTGTGTCGAAAACCAAGTATTGAAGTCACGCTACAAACATGACCAAAAAGGTAACTTGGACTGTATAGCTTCTATGAAATCTTTAGCTGGGTAGATGTCAATGAATAGAATAGAGCCTTGAAGACAAGAATATACAATATACGAGAGCTAGGAATTTAGTTATAGGTACTAATAGCCCGAGCAACTTCTCCCCTTCTTGAACTCCATCGACTTAGTTAACCACGAGCAGCGTACTTGACGGTAAATCACCTGATAGTTGATTATTACCGCGAGTTTCTTGCCGGGAGAAACCCTCCAGTGCTTTTAATGCGCATAGAGATTTTTCATGATGATTTATGCTTGCGCCGGCATCCTAGCTACGCAGGCCCGTAGGTCCCGGGACTCGTCTACGTGGCCTCGGATTTGTCTGCCTTAGACACCTATGCTGCGACAAGATGTTGCATGTGTGCTCAAGTGGCCTAGGTGTCATCAAGACGGCGGTTTATAGCCTTTATGCTGTCAAAAGACTCCAAGTTTTATAGTAGCACGGTCAGGCATTGAATGGCGTGCCCACTACGACTTGGTCGTTGAACGAGGAGTCAGCCGACAATCAAATAGACCTCCTGAGCTGTAAATTTTCGTAACAAGACTTTTAATTCCTATTAGTAGCAAGACTCGAAGCTATACCCAGCACGTGCATATACCTCCACCTTGGCGCAGTACCAGACAGTATATCATGGCATGGTTTAGCATAGTAACTAGACGCTTCCGCCTCCCACTGGGAGGAGGTCCCACGGGAGCTGTGACTTACAAAAATGTCTGCGGGTCACAGCGATAGGTATACATGTACAGCTCCTATTTGGCTTGCGGTCCCACCGGCTTGTGTCGCAAGTTTATTATTTATGCTGTTTAATGCTAGACTGAGCTAGAGTGTAGGAAATATAGTAGTAGCAGGGTTTAGTGCGCATAAAACCTGCATTATTTACCTATTAAAGTTGTTTCAAATATAGAGGAAAATATATCCTCTAATTATGCTGTCGTAATTTAGCGGGGAACCTAATGCGATAATCTGCCATGTGTTAGATTGCTATTAGCGTCAAGGATTACCTAAGCGCGGGTGTTCGCCACGAACTGGTAAGTTTTACAGCGTAACTACTAGTTATCGGTCACGAGGAGAAATTATATTCCCGCTCTTAGTTTAATAAATATAGACATGATAGGGGTTAAAGACGAGGACAACAACCTCTCTCTGCACTTTCACCACACCTCAGAAACGTACTGCGTGGCCTTGTACGTAAGCTCACTATATAGCCATCCTATTTGGGCCTATTACTTTTAATGCATATCAAAGCCCTGGGTACGCATTAAAATTCTTCCAAGTATTCGGACAGTCCTGTAATTTCCCTGGTGCTACTAGTTACTCGGCAGCCATTGATGACATGACTAAGGTATTATGCAAAGATAATACCGGCGGGGCCTTCATCTAGAAGTTGAATGCTCACTCAAAGGGGGGACGTAATTTTACAAGCTAAACGCAACTATATAAGAGTACAACAAACAGCCTCAATCTGGTCTGCTCTAAATCGCTACTACTTGGTATTATTCTCACTTATAGACACTCTTTTACGGCCAACTAACCACGGCTTTCTACACTTTTTTGTATATCTTTTTTCCAATTTGAAAACAGAATACTTGGCAATGAAGGCCGTATCTGTTGCCCTCTTTCTTCTCGGGGGATCGGCCCTCGCGATGCCGGCTTCTCAGAGGCTAGAACGACGTTACGATATAACGGAGAAGCAGTGGTCCTCTCTGCAGGAAGACTGCGTCAAAGCTCAAGGTACAAACGCTGTGCAAGCCTGTCGAAGTGAAGGCAGAGGTGATTGCGAAGGCAATGACGTTCGCCGAAAGGCTGTTACGGAATGCATGGTGGACAAGTCTAAACCTAAAGTGACAGAGCAATCTCGACATGATGAATGTAAACCCTTGGCTATTCAACGCGTTGAAGACTGTGTCAAAAATAATACCGAAATCGAGGGACAGTGCCAGCGGAAGGCGGTGGAGTCCTACCTTACATGCACTTACACTGGACCCGGGAAACCCTCGACTGAGCAGGACAGAGAGTACACCCAAATCTGGGCAGACAAGTGCTCAAAGAGAACTCAAGAGGCCGACGAAGAATGCAAAAAAAAACAAGACTTTGGCGGGAAATGCCAACGTCAACGCCGTGAAGATGATATGAAATGCTTGCTCGACAATAAGAAGGGCCACTCCGACAACGACTTTATTCACAACGTATGCGTTGCCGCGGCCGAATTCGGCGCAAACGACTGTTTCATCACCAACAATACGCGCAGGATGACCCTGCCTCAATGCCAGAGGGAACAGTGGGACGCCTATCCTGCGTGCGTTAAGAAACAGGAGGCGTGGATCTCGGGGACTAAACCCGAGGAAGATATTGCGCCTAAACCCGAGGAAGACGAGTGCACCGCTGAGGAAGACCCTACGCCTAAACCCGAGGAAGACGAGTGCACCGAGGAGGAAAATACGAAGACTGAGCCCGAGGAAGACGAGTGCACCGAGGAGGAAAATACGAAGACTGAGCCCGAGGAAAATAAGAAGGCTAAACTCGAGGAAGACGAGTGCGCCTCGGAGGAAAACACAGGGATTAAGGCCGAGGAAGACAAAAAGACTATGCTCAAGGAAGATACTGCGACTAAGCAAGACGCGGTGACTGAACCTAAGGAAGTTACTATGGCTAAGCCTAAGGGAGACGGGGTGACTAAACTCGAGGAAGATACTGCGACTAAGCAAGACGCGGTGACTGGATCTAAGCAAGACGCGGTGACTGGATCTAAGCAAGACACTGCGACTAAGCAAGACGCGGTGACTGGATCTAAGCAAGACACTGCGACTAAGCAAGACGCGGTGACTGAATCTAAGGAAGTCGAGCGCACCTCGTCGGCTTTCAAGCGTTGGTTTAGTCTATGGGCATGAACAGTCATTCAAAAGCCTAACAGGTGGCTCGGCACATGTTCCTAGTCTGAGATGCGTGGCATCGAGATGGTGGATAGAGCTCTTGATTACCCTTTTCAAATAGTAACCAACTACAATACACTCGTTTTGTCTCGACCCGGAAGGGATTCTTCGTGTCATGCGTGTTCTTGCATTGTTAATGGCCAATACCCCAAAGGCTCTAAAAAGGGGCCGTATCTAACAAACTGAGAAGTCTCAAGCTGTCTTTTATAATCTTTTGATCCAGTGCCATTGGGCCCTGTCGCCACTAATACACCTTTCACGAGGGCAAGTTTACCTGTTTCATGTCGCAGGCTGCCTTCCCGAGGGAATCTGTACTTGATACCGCGAGCGAAACAACGACCGATCTTGTTTATCTTGATTCCCCATTTGCCGGTATGTGGTACCGAGCTCTTGAAATAAAATCTTGATGCGATTCAAGTTTGATGAGTTGTGATTAAGAACAATTCTGAGCAGACAAAACATTGGCCTATGTGTGTATTGTTTGGGAGGTGCGATTCTAGAATGGCCATCGTACATATAGTGTTACACCATAAATCAAGCATGGTAGAGTAGATGTATTTTTTTAAGTTATAAATTAAGTTGCATTAGTTGGAATGTATTGTCAGCAGCATCGCTAGGCCAGCGCCCTGAATCAGAATGGGCCACCTGCCCTCTTCCAAGGGTGTGCAGTGTGCACCGCTCAGTTAAATCTACCCGACTGAACATTGAATGCTCATGTCAGTTGCGCAAATGGTCAAGTTCAATAGACCGGACATCTCTGTCCACCATGGGCTGCTCCACCCAGCAATCCTCCTCCAATAGGGCACGCTTCCTCTCAACATCAATTGATCCTCTTTGGCTCATCTGCTACTGTCAATAGTACAACACAGCTAAATCGTTACAACTTCACAGCCAAGCCATTCTTGGTCTATCCGGTGCTGCTGACGGCCCAACCGGATGCGTCTCCCTGGCCGAGAGAGCAGCCGCCATGATGAACGCTAGGGAGCAGCGACGTGTGTCCCCAGCGGTGCGTCAATAGTCCTCGCCTTTGTAATAAGCAAACTGGTTCACATATAAGTGCCTCTCAAGCGCTGGCTACAGTATTTATTTGCAGTCGGCTGCCAAGACTAAGCCGCCTTGCATCTCGACGTATCCCAGCACCTGATGAAAACCAGATACATCAGGCCACCAATCGAATCCCCGAGAACACACCAATTAGCAGCCATGCTGGCATATCTACCCGCTCCTCGTGGGGTCTCGTTCCCGCGCTCTTCCAAACTATGCCCCTAGCAGAGACATGCTGAGCAAGCATACAGCTGAATTCTTCGCAAGTGTAGATACGTCGCCCGTCACCCGTCACCACCGTGATGAGTACGGGCATTCCAGCCAGGCGCCGTCTGATACCCCAGCTCGGCAATGAGTCAGACGGCCGCCGCACAAGCTCGTAAATGTCAAACTGCAACGCCGCCATTCTTTCTTTTCGGTATACTTCTGCGCCATTCTCACACTATATGTACGTATCAAGTCATTCGCCTCGACAAACTCGTCGTTATTTCACAAAAACGGAATACAAAACACACCTATTCCGTCTTGCCCCGCTCACCAGTCGAGATTCACACACCCGAGCTCGAAAGCATATCATATACAACTACACGATAATAAATAAATAAGTACAGGAAACATCTCCCCTTTCCCTCGTTCTAAAAAAAATTCACAGCCCAAGATCGAAACTCCATTCCAGATCCCAAAATTGTATCCCGCACCACGCAATCCCAACCTCAACAGTTCCTACTCCTCCCCATGTCCCTGCCCTCTGGTCGGACTACTCGACTGGCTCCGACTCTCAATAGTATCAACCATCTGCAACACCCTGGTCCTAGGCCTCTCGAACCGAATCGCCTCGGCCGTAAAAACCGCGCCAGACGACCTCCTCTCCGAGTCGCCGTCCGTCGAGTGGCTCAGCCTCGGCTCAGCAAAGTCCACATGCAGCAAGTCCGGATCCTCAACCTCAGAGTACGGCCTGTCGTCTCTCCCCCTCTCATCCCGCTCCACCGTCGACAGGGACGAGTTCTTGTCCGGGTCAACCAGCTCGGCAACCTGGGGCTCCTGCAGCTCGTCCGTCTCCTTGAACCGAGCCCCCTTCTGCCGTGTGTCGTCCGCCTCCATGTCCGTTTGCGATTCCGCGTCGCCGTTAACCACGCGCAGCCGCTCTTTCGGCACCGTAAACATGACTTGTACCAGGCGCTGCTCCACGGCCCGCTCAATGTCCCAGTCGTTTTCGGGGCGCTGCTCGCCTCCTCCAGCAACGGGGCCGGCTTCGGGGCCGTCCTCCCAGTCCGACCGGCCTTGCTTCCTCCTGAGAAGCTCGCCTGGAAGACCAGCGCGAGGCTCGTAATCGCCGCCGTACTGCTCCATTTCCGGTCTCATGGCCGAGTTTTCCGACGATGCTCTTGGCGACGAACCGCCTGATTGGGAGAACACACGGCCGAGGGACCCAAGCCAGCTTCGCCGGGGTTTTGACTTGGACGGCGACGACGGAGCGGTCAAGTCCTCGTCGTCATGGGCGTTCGCGGCGGTGTATGGTGTCGTGCGTCCCAGCAAGGCCGGCCCTTCGGCCTGCAGTGCTCCGAAGCCAGATTTTGCCGTGTTGTAGCTGCTCGAGGAGGAACTGCTGGGCTTGGGATGATCGCCGCCGAGCAGCATGCCGCCCAGGAAACTTCCTGATTTGCGGTTCGACTGCGAGCGGCGCAGACTGTCCGCCGCGCTGCGATTCGACTCTGACAAGTTGGAGCCGCTTCTGGATTCATCATCCCGCAGAGCCGCCGAGCGCGTAGAGTTCTTTCGCGTAGGCGATCTGCGACTCTGCCGGGAAGAGTTGTATCTCTCCAGCAGCGAGTCGGCGGCATCTACATCACACACCCAGTCTTGGACATCGGCATCGTACCGGCGGCGCTCTTCGGGACTAGCCGTCGTCGAGGATCGATTGCTAGGCGGAGATAGGACGGACGCCGCGGTAGCGGTAGCGGTGGGAGTCACAAACGGATCCGAGTGCTCCTCGGAAGTTGGTGTAAGCGGCTCCGTGCCATGTTGCGGCGCCTGGTGATACTCGTCCTCCTCATCCTCCAGGATGGGATGAATCGTGCCCGGCGGTGAGGCCAGCGCGTTGAAGCGCGTCTCTGCGGGCACATAGCCTCCTCTCATGCTCCGGCTCATGACTGGCTTTCTCGTAATCGCACGGCCATGCCCATCGTCGAGAGTCGCCCTCGCCCCTCGAAGAGATTCATAGCCCATCGATTTCTCCGATGCCCCTTGGTAGCCGCTGTGACCAGCCACATGCCATGAGAAGGCATCCTCACGTTCCGTCATCTCATCCGCATCGTGGGAAAAGTACCGCGCATCTTGCGCCATGACCTGGGCGGCTTCGTCCCTCCGCGAGTCTCGCCTCTTATTCAACCGCCTCCTCCACATGCAAAAGGCCAGAACAAGAAGGGCCAAAAGCAGCGCGAGACCCAAGCCAAGGCCCAAGCCAAGACCCAGCTTCCTAGATTGTACGGCGTCGCTTCCAGCCCCGGGAGCATCGTGTGATCCTGTCCCCGTGGGTATTTTGCCCGGCCTAGGGTTAGAATAGGAGTCGGACCACGACATGGACGTGACATTGAAGAAGCGCAGCGCGCCCCCAGACGAAGCTTGACGCTTGGAGCTCCCGCCAGAAGCAGACGTCTCCCATCCACCGTACACCATCATCACATTTCCGGGTAGCATGGCTGCTCCATGCCCATACACCCCCTTTCCGCCGGGCTGTTCCCGTGGAACTTTCCACTTCCAGGAGCTATACGTCTGGCCGAGCTGCAGGACAACAAGTTGGGGCTCAGCAGCGTTGCTCACGTCGCCAACCCATCCTCCCAAGATGACAATCGACGTCCCATCCTCTGTCAAGACGGCCGTGTGTCCAGATCGGCTTTCAACGTTTTCGCCTCCCGCCGAAGCATCCGGCCCCCCGACATTGATGTACGACCACGACTCCTCGGGGAGATTCCACACCGCGGCGGTGCTCATATTTATAAATGCCTTTTGCGAGTGGCCGCCCAACAGCACAAAGCCGGCCTGCTGCGTAACCGCCCCCGAGATGTTCGTCACGGAAGCCGGCAACTGCGTCAGGGTAAACCCAGCAATGGGCGTTCGAGGACCAGCCGTAGACGCCACGCCGAGGGAGTAGGTCGTGTCCGCAGCCTGCGTGCTCGGCGTCAGGCTCACCATCGCCTTTGTGTAGTTGGCATCCGACTGCCACGTCTCTGCGCTCGCCTCGGGGGCGCGACACATCCCCCCGTACGTGTAGACCGTCGGCTGGTCCATGGCGGGCGAGAGCTTCGACGAAAACGCCAAGGTGCCTCCGAGGAAATACGGGCCTCGCGGGGATCCTTGCTGCGAGCGGCCCGGGGTTGTCGTTTGCTTCGACCATGCGCCGCCCCCGTCGCCGTTGGCCTCGCGCGAGAAGCTCCAAAGCGAGCCCGCGGCTCCGTCGCACGCCCCCGAATACACAACCACCGACCCGTTGCTCGTTCTCGCGGCCCCAAAGGCCGTCGTCGCCGGCTGGTCCTTGAGGAAGGGCAGGTCCGTCGTCAGCGGCGCGGGTTGCGCGCCGGCCGTCATGTCCGCCGAGTAGTTCAGGGCGGAAAACCGCACGCGCCCGTCGTCGCCCTGGGAAAAGACGTAGGCCAGGTCGGCGCCGCTGCAGGTCGCTTCGCTCACGCACGCCGTCGGCAGGAGAATCTGCGTCGGCACGTAGGGAAATGCGTGCGCCGCCGCGGCAGCCGGTCGTAGGGCCGCCAGAGAGACGGCGAGCAAGGTGGCATTTTGCTTCCATGCGCTGGTCCTCCTCTTCTTCATCCTCGAGCCGCGAGCTGCAGATGCAGTTGCCGTGCCTGGGGAGCCCCTCTCCCGCATCGCTCGCCCCGAGATGAGCTTTGGCCGTTTTCAAATGTATCGATGCTCTGTATAGCGATATCGTTGGTTTATATGGCGGAGGCTGTGCCTAGTATAAAATCATCGTTGCGGCGAGTCTCTCAAGCGGTGTGATTGTATCGAAGCCGCCAAAGAGCACAGCCAGTAAAAAAAAGCAGTATTCAGTCCGATGACAGTCTGGTGCTTATGAGTAGAGCCGCCCTCGCCAAGAGCCGCCTCACCGACAAAGCTTTGTTTGCCTGTGCTGTGAAACAGCTGTCTAGCACAAAAGTAGCAGCCGGCACAATGATCTGCAATCACGCTTCGAGCATAGATTTCTGCCGCCGACACGTCGCATAAACACGGTCTCGCTGCTCCGTCGTTTGTGTTTCTCCAAGAAAAGAGCAGCGTGCTCGTCTCCAAAGAAGAAGAAAAATAAAGGAGGATCAATACAGCGGCGCACGTTGCGGCCGTTGTCACCGTTGGAAAGTATATACAAATAAACAGAAAACCATATGGCGTCTAGTCCGTGGTGGGAAAAAGGTAAAATGGCCACTGGATGGCATCAATGGGCCAAGAGACAAAGGCAGCGGGCGGTTGCCAATAGTGTTGAACCAACCCCGTCCATGCGCACACATCGTCCCGCCATCCTCATGCAAGGCAAAGGACGGGTGAGGGCACTGAGGGGTCCAGAAGGCTTGGAGCCTCGACCACCAGATAGAGCTGGCCCAAAATGCAACCTACCAGCGTCAATTTGGCCCGCCCGAGTCTGGGATGTACTACGGAGTGTTGGGGATGCGGTGGATATGATAGGTACATGATGAAATCTCGCCGTGCAAAACACCAATTACGGAGTGAGCAGCCAGGTTGCGGCCCAGTAGTGCGCAATGGGATGCGTGTTGCATCAGGTGAATCGTGATGGCTGTTATTGTGATGGCTGGTTGCTGCGGAAACCACGCAACACAAATCTGGTGGTTGGTCTTAAACTTTTGGCGGCGTGAGATAGGTGGGGCCCTCGGTTGAGCACGGCACCGAGGGACGGGACACCCAGGTCACAAAGCAACTTGACTTGTGTGTTTGTGTGTGTGTTTTAAATGTGTGTGGGTGCGGGTGGGTGTTCTCTCTCACAACTTTGAAATATCATTTGTGCTTGTAGTACAGAGTACTCCGTAAGGTATTATTACATGGAGCGCATGATATCGATCCCCTTCCTCCGCAACGCTGTCAGCATCCGCCGTGCATGCATGTGCTCTCCCCGTCCTGCTTCTTGCCGCATCTGCAAGTCATGTTTGCCTGCAGAAAACATGAACATGATGCCGTGCCTATAGCATGATGCATGTTCGTTTGGCGTGCGTGCGTGTGAAACGCCCTGCTTGCAAAGTGGTCGCATACAATCTCGATGACTACAGGCCCAAGCAGCCATCCAAGATTCAACCACAGCCCCATCTGCTATTGATAAAAAAAAGTGAGATGCTCGCCCCTCATTTCTATGCAAGAAACCTCCCACCCTGCGCGTCGCCATAACTACCAGATCCGCTTCTCCGCCTTGTTCCGTCCAAATGTCTAGCTCAAAAGCAAGGGTTATGCGGAAGAGTCGCCGTATCATCCCTGCAAAGTTCAGAGGATCTACCGGCGCTGCAACGTTGATGTTCTTGGTGCCGTTGCAGGTTGATGGAATCAGACTGAATGGGTAAAACGCAGTCTACTGCTGGTCGGGTGCGCAACAGGTTCTCCGTCCATCGTGGCATGTTGGTTTTCAAGTTATTCTTCTACTACGTACTACTAAAATGTCCCATCCCATGTCTATCTGTCATCGGGCACGGTTCTTCTACAGATCATAGATAGATGCACGCCAAGTCTGGAACATGCCAAGACGAGGCCAACTGGAGTTATCGCACGTCCAGTTGTTACTCGGAAGGAAACCATCAGGCCGGTGCTGCAACCGTGAACATAGAATGATAAATAAATGCGTAAAGCATCAAGGATTATAGAAGAAAAACATCATAGCAGACGGCACACACATCCGCCACTATTCAAAACGCCGATAGTTCCGTCGTACTCATTAACAACTATCCCTCTAGCCCTCCTGCACGGCCCAGTTCCCTCGAGAAAAAAAAGAGCAAATTCCCTTACCCAGCCAACTCAATACATGGCCAGTTCCCATTGTCCCAAAATCTCAAAATAGATCGGTAAAACCATCAAGTTACACAGGGGTATCGATTCAAAACAGCTCAGCTCTAATAGTAGACCTTTTCGTCGTGGATAGGAGGCAATTCTTCCTCGTTGGTCAAATCCTCAGACCAAACAACATTGTTCTTCTCGTCCAGGTAAGCGCCCTTGTCGCTGATTGGAATGACTCTGCTCGTGAGTGCAATCTCATGCTTCGACACACCAAGAGGATCGCGGGGGACCCAGAGTTGAGGAGGCTGGCTGTTCACGCTCGGTGGGAAGTAGGCGTTGCGCTCGTTTTCCTCGCCAGCCTGCTGGAGCTGGGCAAAGTTAATGCTCTGCTCCTGCGGGACAATGTGTCGCAGAGTAGCGTAGTCCGCGAACACCCAGGGCTTCAGGAAGCGAGTAAACATGTTGCCCTTCTTCTCAACCCCATAATCGTTACCACCCGACAAAATCTTCTTGGTGGACGACCCCGCCTTAGCACCATTGGTTACATCGCCTTCATTACTTGTCTCCCTATCGGCTTCTTCCGCGTCGATCTCAGTACCACGAGTCTGGAAAATGGCCTCCTCAGTCTCGAGCGAGCGGGGCAGGCCATAGAGAAGAGGGTTCAGGCTCCGCGTCATGGTGATGTGGAACAGGATTGTAAAGACCAAGAAAATAGCCATAAGAACAGCCGGTCCAGGTGACTTGACGACAGAGAACATGCCGATCATCACAATCTCGCCGAGGTAGAGGCCGGTGAAGAGTTGCTTCAAAGCTCGGGGGTAGATCAACCCTTGAGTGTCGACGGCGGTATCGGAAACGAAGAGGAGGTTATACCGATAAGCGAGATAGAACAAGAAGAGTGCCAGAGTAGACCAGAACAGGATGAGGGGCGCAATGACAGAGTAAACAATGCCTGGAGAACTTTTTGTTAACAAAAAGCTCGAAAAATAAGCAATTTCCAAACAAAGGGCAACTTACTGATGACTACAATGTTGGTGTAGACAGGCAAGAGGCTTCCCCAGAGGATGGCGCTCAGGGTAGTCCATTTGGTATACTTGGCGCGAGGAGTGCTGGCAAGGAACTTGTACAACAACCTGAAGATGAACAGACCGACAACCTGGGTCACAACCCCGATAGCAATTGTGAAGCCTTGGACGATGAAGTAAGAAATGTAAAAGTTGGATGTAGTCGGCAGAGCACTTCCCAAAATGGAGAAAACTGAGCCAGGATTCTCCGCAATCTGTACAATTGCAGTGGAGGCGGCATCAGTGATGGATCGAATGAGGAAGACTTGGAGAACCTGGAAGCAAAAGTACGCATTCTGGGTGAATAACTCGGCCTCAGTGTTGGTCTTGGCTCCGGCGACCCCGGACAAGGCACGCATGATTACGGGAACCAACGACATGAGGATAGAGAGGGCGACGGCCGGCAACAAGCCAGAGATGACTCCGAGGATTTTCTAAATTCGAGCATTAGATTTCACATTTGATCCTCTTGCAACATGATAACAGCACAGTAGAGCTCACCTCGGGAATATCATTCAGCCAGGTCAGGCCAGGAAGTTTGACGAGAGTAGAGACTTGGGAAATAATACCAACGATACCGACGGGAATTGCCCAAAAGACGATGAGAGCCACAACAATGGCGTATACGGCATAGCGGCGAAGAATGAGTTGCCACCACGGAATGGACAGGTTCTTCCAAATGACATCGACAGGTTTCACACCAATGGCCTTTGGGCTCATATGAAGAGCGTGGTGGTGGGTGATAACCTGGAAGGCCGCTTGGGCATCGGCTTGAGTGTGGAACTCAACAAACAGCGATCCTACCTTTTCAAAGTTTCCTTCTTGTTTCCATCCGAGCTGAGTCTTCTCCACCTCTGGGATGCTCTTCTCGAGCTCAGAGCGGCACCATTCAATCGTGTCGACCTTCTTGCCAACAAGGCCCAATGGGCCAAGACGATGCGAAGGTCGCTTCTTGTCAGGGACCCATCTGGAAATTATATCGGCCGTTTCCGTGTCCTGCTCACTCTCGTTGTTATTGCCGCTCTTCTTCAATGCCTTGGTTCGAGCAACATTGACGGCCTGGATCAGCTTGACCTCGGCGCCCTCCAGCTTCATAGCAGTCTTGTCGCGTTCTTCGACCTTCTCGTCCAATTCCTTGGTATTTCCGGCAATCCAGACATTGTTGACTGCATTATTGAACATTTGGCGAATCTTTGCCTCGTTGAGATATTCCTTAGGGACACAGGTAAACAAAACGGTACGGGCCGAGATGCGTTTGGCATAGTGAGGAGTCAACAGGTAGGCCTGGCGCAAGTTGATGTAGAAGATGCATTCGCGCGTTATCATGTACATGACAAAGCCGTAAACAGCCCATGCAACGAAGGCGTGGGCGAAGAAATAGTTTGGCGACTCATCGACGTTGACGTTACTATAGGACAGAATCTCCAGCTGCGACTGGCCTCCCTTACCCGTCGCATTGACAGGGAAAAGGATGGGCCAAGTGATACACAAGCTGACAAAACAGATGACGGTACAGATTTTGAGATAGCGAATAAAGAGATAGGCGTCGAGGGTTTGATGGGTGAGCGTGTAGGTATCCGGTATCTTCCAAAATGCGCCGAACCAGTTGAACCACCCACTGGGCATTTCCGGACTCCGTTCACTGGATTAGACTTATTAGCATCATTGCTGGTCGATACTCGTAGAGACGAGGCGAGGCACATGATGCGGTTCGGCAGCATCGTCCCTGTAACTATCGCCAATAAAAGGGCCGCGATAACTAGAATGCACTCACGATTTCCCGCCTATATACGTCCGCGGCGCATAGTATCTGCGTTGGGATCTTCTGAAGATCAAGAAGAAAATAAGATAAACGGCCGACACTATCAGTACAGGAATCAAAGTGTCGATCATGCCTAGAAAGCAAACAAGTCGGTTCATGTTAGTCGACTCTCTGTTGGGCGCTTCTCGAGGGCAAAACTAACCCCAGACGGACTGAGGCTTATTGGTCGAGTCGCTCTGGCCATTGCCATTGTCCTCGCCAGAGGGCACATTCTCGTTGATCCAACTGATAAAATTTCCCATGTTGGGGGTTTGGCAGCCGCCAGCGGCTCGAAGGCGTGTACAGTTACGAGTTGAAAACTAGTCGACGGCTAGGCTTGGACGAGACGTGACTTGCGACGGATAGACGCGCCGTTGCGCTGGAGGAGAATATATATGTTCGTTTCTTTGGCGGTTGGCGAGGTGGTGAACAATCTTCGATGGCTGTTTCAAGACAAAGAAAGGGAAATAGAAAAAAAAAATAACAAGATAAAGGAGAGGTCCAAGGGAGGAGGCGGGATCTCTGACAAGGGCAGACACGGCATACAAAAACCAATACACAGGCACAGGCAGTAACGAAGATGGGGACCAGCCCACTCTGCCCAGTGCCGTGTTCAACTGGCTGGCTGTTATCCGCATGTGTCTGGGATAAACAGCTGTGAGCTCACTAGTGCCAATCGGCGTATGGAGCGAAAACCCAAATCAGGGTTGGTCGACTCATGATGTCGTCCTCGGGCTGGGTGACATGGTTGCGTCCAGGTGCCGTCCGGCCTGCATGTGGTCACTTCCCTCCTCCAGACGTCCATGATTGCCGCTATGCGTGGTTACCTTGCCTGTCGCCTGGGTCGTCCGTGTTTGCCAGCTGGCTGCTATCACCAGTCGACGGAGTACTCCGTGCGTTTGTCTACTAGTACTTGCTAGTATCTTCCCAGGTTCCCACCTACGACCTCCAGATGTACCTAGGTACATACCTAAAGTACCCAGCTCCCCTCGGCGAGGCGCAATGACGACGGCAAGTTTGCTCCCAACTCCAAATGTCCTCGTCCATCAAGTCCTCAACTGATTCGCAGGTACTAACCTACGTGCTAAGTCAGTGTCTCAGCGGGGACTAGTCTATGTAGGCGAGGCGCATGGTGCGGCCGATCTTCCCACGAGCTAGGCCCACGGGCTGGCCCACGAGCAACCTCTGTCGACATTCATCTCTCGCAACCACCACACGCATGGGCCCCAAGACGAGCCAAGAACCATGCTCCCTAATACCAAATTAATTCTGTGCACATCATAGTGCGGGCCTCCAATACTATCGCAGGCGGATCCAGCATTTGCAACCAGATCGGCCCACCTCGTCTGCCTTGGTGGACGAGCTGCCTGCTGAATCGACGCAAGGATGAAGTGCGAGGAACTGTCTACATACATACCACTACCTAAGTAGGTACATACATATGTACGCCCAAGGAGTATTCCGCACAGATTATGCTTTCCATTGCGAATTCCTCAAGAGACGGATCTCCCAATCGGAGCATACCAAGCAAACTAGCGCGTTCTCCATTCATGACGCTTCCAAAAATGACGCCAACTTGGCGCTCAGAGAGTGCGTCCTGCTACTTACAATTGTACAGGGCATCTCTCTTTTCATCTCTTCCCGCTCCTTGGACTGCAATTTCTCTCCAATGGGGCATAGTGGACAGGCACTGCACCGGCGCGCTGGTCGACCGCCACTCGGCTGGCTTCAATCTACAACCCCCCTGGTTGTGGTTCCACGTCATATCCCTGTCCAGCTGGGCTCGAACTTCAGAGTTGCTGAGCTGGAAGCTGGCTGTTGTACGACCCGTGACCGCGATCGATGGAGGCACGTACCCTGGTAGTTTTCTTCAGTGATATGTTGTGGCACCTGAATCCGACGCCGCCCAAGCCAACATTCCGCAAACCGTGCTACCTGGGCTGCCTGTGATGCAACTGCTCTGGTCAGGACGGAGTACTACATACTACTACTCCCTCCCGTGTGTCGGCAAAACAAGCAAGCATGAGTCCCCTCCATCTCGGCATCCACGTACTACAACAATGTCATGGTAGAGGATGGGCTAGCCTCGACTTGTAGTTCATCGTTAGCTAACCTTCAGACTCATGGTGTCGGCACTGCAGCAGCATACATAGGGTCTCCTAGGTACGGAATCAATCCATTGGTCTTGGGGCACTCCATCGCATCGTGATGTCACACTCGTCCCCCGCTTATGCGACGAGTTATCATTGGCTGCACCAGGTAACGTGAGATCATACAAATTGGAAGACGCATCGACCTCTCACACTTTTACTGTCCAGCTGGAGAAGGCATTGGAACGAGACTGGGTGTCGAGACAAGGCATGAAGCCATGGGTATATCTCCTATGCGATTGTTTAGTCGGTCCTAAATTCATGCAATTCGTTGACATCATATTTCTAGAAGGATGGGTAACAAGAACAGTCGCATCTCATTCAAGATCTGGATGTCATCCGGTTCGGGGATAACGCCATGGAAACAGCAGGGCGCTTCCTGGTCTGTCAAAGCCAGAAGTGAAGCATGGTCGCCAAACGGCAGTCGGCCGGACGAAGCTGCAGTATCTCGTCATGACTTGCGCATCGTTGAAAGTTTTGGCCTAGGATGCAATGTGCAATACTACTACTACTCCGTAGTATTGGGCAATTTCCCGTAGCGGCCAGGGGGCGCCTTCGTTTCAACCACAATGACCGAGTATGACGGCATTGGTTCCAGGAACGGTTGCGACGCGTTCATTCCTGCAACCCTCAAAATGAAGACCCATAGACGGCGCAAACTCAAAAACAACAGCAAAAAAGTACATCGAGCACCGGCGATTATTTGCCAAACGCGCTCATATTATCTGGGGTTAGGACGCCAGAGCGAGGGCAGAAACGATGCCAATTCCAGTGCGGTGCTGTCAACGTTGTCATGCATGCGCTCCTGGTCACGCAGTCTACTATGTAAAGTCCAATGCACAGCCTGCAAGACGCAGCTGGAACGTGCAGCAATAATGCTAGGCCAGCGCAGCGCAGCATCGCCACCCTTGTCCTGTCGAGGGCGGGCCTTGATGGTGTCAAGTGGATTTCATGAGTTGGAGGGCAAGTTTTGGGTTCCTCAGCTTGTTGCCCACCACTTCACGCCAATCTCCTCCACATCCTGACGCCACACGAGTCATAACGCTAATAGATGTACCACAATGACTAGAGTCGAGATGCCAACGCATTTCATCCTGAGAGCTTCCTCGTGATGTGTGAGGTGGATGAGAAGAATGGGAGTGATTGTCGGTTGATTCTGCGCCTCACTCGCACATTGCTTGCGGCAAATAGACCACGGCGAGATGCCTTTTCCCGCTGAATTCGCGCTTTGAAACATCTAATTCTCTCTTGATATAACTACTATTCAGAAGTCCTTGTCTGGGGGGGTAGGCCTCAACTCATTCGTGAAGATTGTCTATGTAAGCCGTAGGAGATGGAAGTAATGGGGTATGGGCACGGAAAACGCACGAGCACCACTCACAATCCTTCTTAATGTAAGCACTCACTTATAAGTAGCCTCCACAGGTAGGCAGAGGAGCTTATTATCGATCAAACACGGTCGGAAGCAGCTAGGTATGAAGACTGCGTGGGGAAATCGCCGTCTACATCTTGAGAGACGCGAGGACATGTCCACGCATACTTGGCCGCAGTACGCGTATTTCACCGAATAATGCGAATAAAGACATCTCCCCGGGAATAAAAACCTGTGTTTGGTGAAGGGCGAAGATAGATCATGACATCTGGCTGTCTCAATACGACACTGAGAGCGATATCGGGTAGCCGAAAAGCCATGCCTCGATAAGAGCATATACCCCTATTAGATCCGAAATGATGCTCTAAATCGCATACCTGGTACGATCTAAAGCCATAAACTTGCAACCTGACTTCCATCTATTGTTCTGAACCAGGCAGACCAATGGCGAGCAGGTCTAGGCCACATTCAACAACGACAATAGAGTTGATGTCACGGTGGTGCGCGCCATGAATGCAAGGGTATCGAGCATATTCCGGGCCAAAAAATCACCACAACCTGCGACGAAGCTAGCACCACGGTTTCGACGTCTTCACTTGGCCCCTCCCTTTCTCCTAGATGACTATACTCCCCGATATCAGACCCTCAGCTCGCGAGATGAAGCCAAGAAGCGCTCTCTGGCCTACGCTCACCTCCGCAACTGCAATCTTTGCCCACGACTCTGCGGTGTGAATCGATATGAAAAGACTGGAATGTGTCTCATTGGAGACAAGGTCAAGGTCAATGTCATTGCACCCCATTTTGGAGAAGGTCTGATCTTTCTTGTCCGGCGAAAACGCCATGCAAAAAGCCTCGCCACACGATGCCAGTTACACCACACCACTTATTAGTCCACCCCTCGTCTTGGCTTTTTGAATCAAGCTCTAACGTTTCTATTTTTCTCTATTCAGAGCCGTGCATCCAGGGCCACAGTGGCAGTGGCGCAGTATTTATGAGCGGCTGCAATTTACGGTGTATTTTCTGCCAAAACTTTGACATTTCCCACCAGCGCAATGGCATGGATCTCACCCCCGAGGAACTGGGAGAATGGTACATCAAGTTGCAGGAGGTTGGCAACGTCCACAATATCAACATTGTCACCCCGGAGCATGTTGTGCCGCAAGTGGCGTTGAGTGTTCTTCATGCGAAGCAGTTAGGGCTGAGGGTCCCCATTGTGTACAACACCTCGAGCTTCGATTCTCTCGCCTCGCTGGAGCTAATGGATGGGCTCGTCGACATTTACTTGGCCGACTTCAAGGTGTGGGAGACGAGCTCGTCCAAGCGGCTTCTCAAGGCAGACGATTACGCCGCGACGGCAAAAGAGAGCATCAGGGCTATGCAAGCCCAGGTCGGTGATCTGTGCTTTACCGGAGACGGCATTGCCAAGAAAGGCCTGCTGATACGACATCTGGTCATGCCCGGGAAGGAGGCTGAAGGCGTTGAGATAATGAAGTGGTTGGCGTCAGACGTGTCCAAGGATTGCTTCATCAATATCATGGAGCAGTACCGACCCGACGCCCACGTGGGTAAGAAGAGGCGCAAGTCAAGCGACCAAGACAAGGAAGAAATACGCTATGCCGACTTGAATCGTGCCGTGACCGGCGAAGAGGTCTCTGTGGTGCGACAAGCCGCAAACAAGTCTGGACTTTGGAGGTTCAATGAACCACCCAAACATGATGGGTTCGCCATATAGTGGCGGCTATTACACCAACAAGAATTGGGCCGGGGGCGGTCATCTTTTTGTATCAGACAGCCTCTTGGCAACATGAATGGGCTGTTTTCATTGCGAGCAAGTTGCACTTAAAGTGTGGACGCGCCGCCGGCAGTTGGCTTCCTTGTGCCGCCGCCACATTGCCAGCCCTAAATGCAATGTGCCATGAACAATGCAATGGGTTTTGGGTGGTTTGGTGGTTCGGCTGAAGTCTGAGGAAACGGAGGCGTTGGCAATATTGACTCACGGATCTCATAAAGATGCATGTCCAGCCCGCCCCTCCTTTCCTAGGTGTTGGGTCAATATTCCTGCGCTTAGTTGCGTCTTAGCTCCTCGGCTTCCATTTTATGCTGTGGCATGTGCGCGAGAGCGACCAAGGCTGTATGAGGTCGGATCTTGCCGAGTCGATTTGCCCACATTTCAATACAGAGTACACTTACAGGAAGCAACATTGAATTTATATGTCGACGAGTTTTCAGCATTGACGCGTCTGCCGTTTCCATACATCTCCTGTTGGCATAGTTGCTATATTCGACCCACGATAGGGCCAAAATGGGATCGACAGTATCTCAAGGCGTTGATGTTCCCGTCGCGGCGGCCTCTCCCAGCGGCGAACAGCAAAAGGACGACGCTTCAACAACATCATCAAACTCATCGCCAGAGCGCCAGAGCTGCAGCGCACAGTCACCAGGCTCCGTCTCTACCGATCACAAGAGTACGCACTCCCGCAGTACCAGTAACAGGGAAAATAACCCATCTTGTTCCCGCATGCTGTTCTCTTCCCGCTCCAGGGCTATATTTCACCCCCGGTCACACGAGGAAATCTATGCTGAGCAGGCCTATCTGAGCCTCACTCTGCACGCACACATCGCCCAACATTGCGATTTGATGAACAGATATTCGCTGACCGAGGCCGAAACGTTTCAAGGAGAGTCAAGGAAGTGCAAGCGACGGGCCAGGAAAGAGCTAGGACTTTTGCGTGGCCAACTGATCCACGCCGCTGAACAAGAGCAAATTATTTTTGCGAGACTGGGTGAACTATTTGTCGAAGCAAAAAGCCGAGAGTCTCGGAATGTGGCACAGAACCAGCGTCTGCAAGGGCTTCGAGGCCTTAGACGCTATTCTCACCCTCAGAATCAACAGGAGATACGACGGTCAATGTCGAGCCTGAATGGTGCAACACCGGCATTTATTCCTCAAAAAGATCTATTCAGCCATCCAGAATACGACGAGGATGTTGCGAGCATTGCCGACACAGGCAAAGATGATAGAGAGGTGTCTGAAAATTGCCTGGGAGAGCTGCTCGAGCCCAATGACGAGCAATTCAAGGAGCAAAGACTTCTACTACGCAGAATGTCAGGAGATGATTATACTTCACTACTCAAAAAAGACAGGAGGCTTAGCTTGCCCACCAGTCTAGGGTTGACGTGAAGAACTCTACAGGACGACAGAAGTCGGATGTAATGTTGAAGGATCAAAAGTAGATAATGGCATGATTTTCATTATTTCGTGTGGCGCAATCACGTAGCTTCTGCAACTCTGCAGCATGGAACGCGGCAATATACCACTGGGGGAATCGCTCGTCCGCCATCGCACCCTGCATGATGCCCAATTGCTGTATCCAGTCCATGTGATTTGAATTTTTCCAACTCGTTCCCGGCATCTACGCAAACTCGCCATTTTCCCCGTCGTCAAATCCCCAATCTCTCAACGACTGCCTCTTCCTCTTGACGTCCTCTGCGCTCGGCGGCGGCGGTAAGGAAAATCCAGCCCCTTGCTGAGCGCTGGCCAGACCGGAACCAGCACCCGGCGGAGGCGGCAGCGCAAAGGACTGCAGCGTAGCCGGATCCGAAGAAGTGCTCGGCGGCTCGGGCTGCCTCCTCCCCCTCGACTTGCTCCCTATATTCACGGTGATGGTCTGGCCCTCCTTCAGACTATAATCCTTGTTCTCCTGTGTCGCCGCACTCGCGTCGGCGCCGGCATTCTCGAGCCCCAGCGCCCTCCGCGCCCTCTGCAAAGCGATGCCCAGATCAAACGCCTTCGACCTGTCTTCGAATCCTATACCCAGAACGGCCTTGTGCCCCTGCGGGTCGCGAACTGTCAGCGCAAAGAAACGACTGCTGTCGATGACTGGCTCCACGACAGAGCCGTTGGTATACGGTGCGGCGGCGAACAATTCTCCGGTGGAAGGGTCCTCGAGGACCAGGTCAACCTTGAGCTTGGACTGGCCCTGGCCGCCGTCGGACGCGGGCGACTCAAAGGCCGTTTCGACGACGCGCAGGCGTCCTGTGAAGATGTTTCGCGAGGGGTCGTCGGTCCATGAGATTGCGCTGTAGCCCTTCATGGAGGTTAGAGGAGGGATCTGGTAGACGTGGACGGGCCCGTCAATGAAGAGGTTGCGCTGGATGGCGTCTTCGGGGAGCGGCTGGCCAGTGGCGGGGTCGATGAGGTCCATCTTGGAGAGCTCGAGGTGTGTTGGGAGTTTGGTGATGAGTGTGTGGATCCGCTGGCTGGACGAAGCAAGTCTGGGGTTGCGTGAGGGGATATCTGGGAATATATGTGGTTCATGTAGTGGACGATTGGTAGCTGACAGTCGAGTTTGTTACGGGAAGGACATAAAAGACTGATGGCCGCGGAGGAGGAAAGAGAGAAACACGAATGCCTGCTGCGATGAAACTTGGGATACGAACGAAGAGGAGAGAGCCCGGGTGTGTGTTTGGCGGCGTTGTGAGCTCCGGGTGATAAAAGGTCTGCTTTGTACTCGGTATGGAGACTGACGATGAAGTTGATTGACAGGCTCAAGTTCCTTGTCGTGCCAGGGGTCCACTGACGTACGCAGCCGGGGCCCCATGAATTGAGACGTGCAAGAGCACAAACATTGGCCAGGCACTGGAAACAAGCAACGTAGTACAGCAAAATGCAACATTAGGAATTTATGCAAATGTGTTTTAAGCACAGGCATGTGCCGACCAACGTCAATGCAAACGCACCAGACTTGACGAACACTTGACCTCGGACGAATGCATCTCTGTTAAGTAGTTAGAACTTGACAATTTACCTTGGTACATACATATTAATTTTCAAATTATTTCGCTATAGTCACATAAAATGACAAGCATGATACAAGCACCGTGTAAGCGTAAAATCTAAAATAGTATTAGGCTGTACCAGGCCAAGGATAGTAAGAGACTACTTAAGTAGAAAAGTAGACCCAGGTCTCAGCGTAATTGGTACTGCGCCGCGGCCCGCCAGCCAAGGCCATCTCGCGATAGCCTCAGCTATCGTCATCATGGAAGTAAACCATAAACCTACGGGCTTTGCGCCTGTGACTTACGCCGAGTCACGCCAAAAACCTAAAATGCCCACGCACGTAGTATATCTGCGAGGTCTCGCCTGCATTCCAAGTGAATCCTGTTCCTCTCTTTCCAAGTCATCTGCCTCTTCTGCTATCAAGACCACAACCAATCGTGAGTCCCTGCTTCCACACACACAAACGTACTCCGTAGGGAAGGCTGCCCCGCCATTCCACCTTCTACCGCCAGCAGTCACCCACCTCTGGCCCCGTATCCGGCCAATAGCACAGCTCCGGCCCCTCCAAAGCCTGGTGGCTCCTGTCAGCGGAGTTGCTTTGACTCACCACAATTCATCGTGCGGTTCAAATTTAGTCAACATTGAGCCGCCCATCGCATCTTCAACTTGGATTAACCCATCGCCCGTCGCGGTGACAAGCGAATCGACAATGACTTCCCCTGGCGAGGCTGCCGGTACGTCTCATCACTGACCAAACCATCACTGGCCAAGCAAACCATTAATGTAAAATGCCAGCCGCCAAGGATACCGTCTCGGGAGATCTTCCTATACGCAGACCATCTATGGCATCATCGAACTTTGAGTCCGTTGCTCCAACGCATCAGTGGCATAATTGACTCGATGCTGACTGCAACTAGCATCGTTTCAACGTATCATAAATTCCTCGAGTCCGATCCCAACTTGACCAAGCCTGTTGCTGCCATCCAATCATTAATTGAGCTTCTCAACGCTGTCCCTTCCAAAACCGTGTACGAGACCCTTGATAGAATCAAAGCCCACTCCGACCGCCTCAAGGCTTCTGTCGAAAACCCTGTGCCTCTGAGCGCTGGCACCGATCTTTTTCTCCAGTATCTTGTCTCCTCGCTTAAGGAGCAGGAAGACAGCTTTGATGCCGTGAGGCAACACCTCCTCCGCAACGGTCGATTATTCGCCCAGAGAGCCGTTGATGCGCGAAATGGGGTCGCTAAGCAAGGCTGGCGTTTTGTAAGAGAAGACAAATGTGTCTTGACCCATGGTGCCTCGAGATGCGTCACTGCCCTGTTGGAGCGGGCCGCCAGGAATCTCAATGGAAAGTTCAGGGTAGTTTACGTCAGGGATGAGACCCGCGTTGCAGAGAGTGACCGTGTCGTCAGGGAGTTGCGCCAAATGGGAATCCCCGTTGCAGAGATCCCAGTGGCCGCTGTTGCCCACGTCATGGGCTTGCTGCGTCAGGTTCACATGGTCATGGTTGGTGCGGAAGCAGTGACTAATAATGGAGGCATTATTTCTAGAATCGGCACCTTTCAGATCGCCCAACTGGCCTCAAAGGTCAAGATGCCGTTCTATGTCGCCGCCGAGACGCACAAATTCACGAAGAAGCTCCCCATGGACCAGCGGGACCTTGGCCTCAGAAAGCACGGTTATTGGACGCAGCACGTGCTTGATTTTAGCACCGACTCCGCGAGCAAGCAACTCGAGAACGCGGTTGACTACACTGTGAGTATACATGCCGAATTGGAGTCAAAACATTACTAGTACTGATGCGATCGCAAGCCCCATACTTTGATTACAAACCTCATCACAGAAAACGGAATCCACTTGCCCACGTACGTATGTGAACAGCTGCTCGACATCTATGGAAACCTTCATGAATCATGAATGAAGTAAGCTGGAGAACAGACTCACGGCGCCGCGTCTTCACGGACGCAAGGATGGGTGATTACTTTGATGGCCCACGTTCAGAATGGCATGGACACAATGGGGTCTTGATGATAATACTCGTAACAAGGACCAACCTTGAGTAGTTATTACAACAAATCGTGGTGTTAGGACGCGTTTGTTAAGCGAGTGCTAAAGAGCATCCTATGACATTTATAGACGCGAAAAGAGGTTACAGCTGCAAAAATGCACAAAAAGGGTTTTAAAACCTTGAGCGGTCTGGCAAATGAGTGTATTGTTAAATAAGGAGTTTCAATAAAAAAGGATTGTCCGCGTGCAACTTGTTAGTCCTACTCCGCAATCCGCATGTCCAATTTGATACCATGGCAGGCAAAAACAATTTCATAGAATTCTCCAAGTCCCAACATGTTGTACGTTGTTCGCCTTGCGTCACCCAATCCATTTGTCACCGAGCCTACTCAACATCCCTCACCACCCGCGCTCCAACCCAAGCATAAGGATAGTTCCTCTGGTACCAGTTGACGAAGCTCTTCCGGCCCGCAATCCTGGGGTGGGTGGCCCACGAGCCGCCCAGCACAATGTTGTGCTTGTCGTCGAAGAAGTCCGCCGTGTAAAGCGGATACAGCTCCATCGGCTCGAAGCCCTCGTGTCTTCGCAGCGGAGAAGAAGTCCATTCCCACACGCCCCCCATGCCGGACTGGCCGGCCAGGGTGTTGCCCTGGGAAGTCACCGGCACGGGGTGCCAGTGTTTGAAGCCGACGTTTGCGCCGGCCAGGTCGACGAATAGCGCGGAGCTATTCTCGACCGCGGAGGGGGATGAGCAAGGCGGTGTTTCTTCCACGCCGTCGTTTGAGAGATGTCTTTTTCCCCGGCCTAGTGTTAGCAAAACCATACTGTCGTCGTCGTGCAGTTCTCGATACGAGGGTCAACTTACCCATTCACAGCGGGGACCTTTCTGGAAAGTCGGCCGCCCATGAGCAACTCACGCTGACTCTCGACAAAGGCGTAAATGCTGCGGGCCTCCTCGAATGTCGGGATCCTGCCGCCCATCCAGGATGCGCAGCCGGCGAGTTCGTCGTAGGACGCGAAGACGGGCCAGTCGAGCGCCGACTTGAGCGGCACGAGGCCGTACACGGTGCGAACGGACTTGTCGCTCAGAAAGGAGTCTGGCAAGGTTGTGGGAACGTCTTTGTAGCCGTTTGTCCCGTTTGCGCTGTTGGGTTTGTGGGTGCCGTTGGTGAGGCCGTTGGAGGACCAGGACGCGGGGATTTTGGCTGCGTTTGTCGTGTACAAGTATTGGGCGTACTTGATGTACGTTTTGTGTTAGAGACGTGACCATGGCGGATGTCAGTCGAGATGGGAGAGGACCTACTTCTTCGTTGGTGATGGGTCTGCCTCGGGCCTGGAAAGCGTGGACTTGGACCTTTCGTGCTGGTTTCTCATTGTCCCTTGATATTGTCAGGCCGTCAACACCAAACGAGGCGCTTTATGAGTGGTGAGAAAGGCTACTCACCATCCGAAATGAACATTGTCCGTGCCGCTTTCGGGATCATTCATTCCCAGAATCACTTCCTGAGCAGGCACGTCGAACCACTCATTGTCTACTCTGGCCTCAAAGGCCCTCTTTGCCATCCTCTCAAAGTCAGGGATCCCCATGTGGGGTGGCGGCAGTGTCCTGTCGCTCTGCAGCATCATGTAGAGCAGTGTCTCGATGTGCATGAGCTCATGCTCGAAACCAACCCAGATGGCTCTTGCCACCTGGCGAGGAAGCTTCTCAACCCCCTCCTCATACAGCCTGCTGAGGCGAGCACGTACTCGCCCTTGATAGGCAGTGATGTCTTCCACAGGCGGCCATTCATCTGGGATCTCTGAATGGACGTGACAATGCTCGGGGTTATCTACGTCCGGATCTATTCCACGCTCGAAAATGGTAGCATAAGACGCTGGATCCGTAGGAGGCAGTTTCGTCGTCTTTGTGAGCTGAATATCGAGAAATGTAGGGATATGGCCCAGGTAAAAGATACATGCGTTGCGTAGTTTGATGGGCTGCTCGGTGAGTTCCTGTCTGGGCAGCATTTGCTTCGTGACAATGTCCCACGTTGACCAGAGGGCTTGCCAGTCGCTTAGGGTGGGCAACGTTTGGGCAGCGTAGAGTGAGGGGGCTTTGCTGAATGGGATCTGGGCTTTTTGAAGCATATGAAGGCCTTGGGGATGGTTAGTCTCGGGCGACTTCTGCGTGACTCGGGGTATGAGAAGGTGATGAGAAGGGAGGCTGGTTACCGTATTCATCGCCACGGGTCCAGATTCCGATTTCACGGAGACCAGCGTGTTTCCACAAGTTTTCAGCACCAATTTTGGAGTACTTGAGACTCTGTTCGATTTGAATTCTTTCATTGGGTTTGATGATTGATCCAAGGACGTTGACCTCCTGGAGAGGAGACAGGAAGGCTTGGTGGCGGCCGCCCTCGTCGTCGTAGACGTATTCGCCGATGACTTTCCAGTCCGGCAAGTGGAATATTTCTTGGCCATAGATGCGATTGGCGTTTATGAGCCCATTGAGGATGAACCTGTGGGCATTGTTAGTATTCGTTGGCGACATGCCAAGACAAGATTTGACTTACTCATGAGTTATACCCTTGCTGTCTGAGGACAGTTTGTTAGCAGCCAAAACGCAGCTAGTGGCACAGTACGTTTCTTACCATTGTAAGCGTGGCTAGGCTGGTTAGATTGCAATTCTTCTTTACGATTATTCGCTTTTTGTGGTCAAGACTTACTAAATCCTGTCGGGGTTCCCACAAGAATCCAGCCCAACAACCATGCTGTCTTGGGGCTTTAGAATATCCGCATACGACTGCAAAAACTCGGCAGCCTCGTTTCTGTGGAAGTTTCCTATTGTAAGATGTGTAAGAGGAGGATTCTCATGAAAAGGAGAAGAAACACACACACACAAACACACACACACACACACACACAGAGAGAGAGAGAGAGAGAGAGAGAGAGAGCAAAATCACTGACCAATACTGGATCCCAGATGCAGAATGCACTTTGGCCTGTCCACAATAGAAGGCTGCTTCAACCAGACTGTGCCATCGTCATATGTCCCCAACAAGCCGTGGCAGCAAACGTACTTGAAATCAGGAACGTGTGATAGCGTACGCTCCAGCTCCTTCTTGGAGAGATCCAGAGCGTAGTAGTCGATGGATTTGCGGGCGTCCTCGAACGCCTGCAGGAGGAGACAGACCTTGCGGAGATTGCTGCATTGCATTAGTATCCCCATCCATCACGGGAAACAGCCCAGACGCTCTCCTATCCAAGAGCTCGGAATCACGGCGTGGGCACACAGCGTTCAATGCGTGGACATACCCGCTCCCCAACTCAATCACCATGGCTCCATCCGGGATCGTGGCGGCAATCTCGACCGAGTGCTTCTTCAGCAGCTCGATTTCGTCGTTGGTCAGATAGTACTCGTCCAGATACGTGATCTGGCGCAAGTTATAAGTTTGAGCGCGACGCAGTCCAGGAGCAGGGGGGTGAAGGATGGAGGAGAGGGGACAAGAAAGAGTCACACGGTCCATCAAGATGTGCGTGACGAAATACAGGAAATGCTCAATGTGGTTTCAGAGCCTGGGAGGAGCCATCACACGTACATCCTCAAATAGCTGCAGCCCCCTCTCATCATACAGCAGCAGCGTCGGGAGCTTGCGCGCGCGCCCGTCCTTGGGGATCACCATGCGGGCCACTTCATCCTTGAGGTTGAAGTCGACCCTGTTGCTGCGAATGTCGATAATATCAAGGTCGCCCCGGGGCCTCGAGGCAGCTTTGCCAGCGGGCTGCTTGACGGGGAATGGCGTCGTGATGGTCTGGACACACTCCATGACGGCGGGCATTTTGACGAAACGGCAGCGCGGTCAAGGGCAGAGGGAGTTGCGGAGAGACAGAGTCGAGTCGATCCAAGTCACGCCAAGCAACTCTGTGATGTATTTTTTTTCTTGTGAGGGGGGAAAGCCGTGGAGTGAAATAAGATCTGCCAGGAACACAGTCAAAGTTCAAAAGTAGAAAGGCTTCAACGCGGCGGGAGACGACGGACGGAAACGGTCAAGTATACGCCCAAGGTACCAAGCCGCATGTAGATTTGCTTCACACCACCTCGAGCCAGGTACGAAGCTTACCGAGAAGAGCTCCTCCCCGCATCTTTCCAAAGCTTCCCGAGAGCCAATGAGACGGACCAGATGGGCAAAGCTTTTCCTCACGTTCCGGCCAGGGCGGGACGCAGCTCTCGCCGCCACCAAGATGGTCCAACATTGAACGTAGCCATGATGCAAGTCACGCTTGCAGACAAGCTTGCGAGAGAGCCTCGTGCCATTTGATACGTCACCATCTTGGCCGGGGCCTATATTAATTCTGGAAGCATAACGCTCTGCCCCATCGTACCCGCCGTGCACTACGGCAGAATCTGCTCACGACGTTCCCAAAGAGCCAAACCTCTCCCACCCGATTCAACGGGCTTTGGAATCATCGCGACGTCAGTGGAGCACCTTGGTCAGCATGTGGTTCTCGACTCCCAGAGACATCGAACCACGGGCCTCCAGCGCCCCAGATTCATGCACGAGGCGAGAGCTACGGCCGATCAGGGCTATCAATCCCAACATGAAGCCAAACGCCCCACTGGCAGAAGAAACAGCGTTCCATGTTGCAGCACGAGTATCTCTCCGTGGAGAGCTGGCGCGTTGTGGCTGCTACGGTACATGCCGGGCTTGTATTCGACAAGTCGCGGCAAGCCGGGTCGTCGGGACGCTGGCGGCTTCATCGGAAGGGCGCGAATTTTTGATTCCAGATGGTATTGCAGGGGAGACGCCATCGTGAATCTCTGCGTGCCTGGACGCCTGGAGTCTGAACGGTCCAAGTGAGCCGCTGGCGGAATCGCTCTCCCTCCAACCCGCCGACGACAGGGTGGTCCCAAAGGTGGTTCCAGAATGTCGCGGGTTGCAACTACGTCGTCAGTCAAGTTCATGTGTCGGATCAGAGATCAAGGCACTGACTGCATCGCGTGGGGAGCGTGTGGCGGCTCGAGTCCATGACGACGGCAGTTCCCCAACGGGTAGCTCTCACAGTGTTGGGACTTTTCATCTTGCCAGGAACAAGAGGACGGATGGGATCAGATGGGCCGCTGATAAGCGTCAGATGTCTCGATCGGAAATCCCAACCGTGCCAGGCGCACCGTTTGTGCTCCCAGCGGAAACCTGCAAGATAATAGCGCCCGGGTTCATACCGTGGACAACGCATTACACATGCCTCATGTACCTGCAGTACGACTTGAAGCCGTCCGGTGCCACTGCATTGCGTTTGGTGGCATGTCAGGTGCTCCGGGCTAAAATGCCAGTCACGCCGCGCGGTTGATTGCAGTCCATTGCTGTCTAATTGATCGTTTGGTATCTGGATGCGCTGATACATACGGCCTAGTATTTCGTTCAGTCACGTCACCAACACGATCAAACTCCCCAAACTAACCGAGTTGACGAGTTCAAAATGGTCCCATCTATCCAAAGCAACATTTGCCATAAATAATTTGAAACCTTTCCTGTGGTATAAATAACAGCCAGCCAAACCGCGTGTGGCTCGTTGTGAAGAGCTTACACCGGTGGTGATACGACGTCGTCTAATTGAGTGCTCATAGAAGACTTGTCGAATGGGTGCTATTTTGCAACGGGGTTGAATGCCTTTGCTCTTCTGCATTGATCAAATTGATTGAAGGAGATCAGTCCCTGAGAGATCGGCTTCGGCTCAGTAGCTTCTTCTCCTGTGAGATATGATGCAGAACGTCCTAGAGTCTGTTCTGCAAAGATTGTTCTTCGATTCAACTTGACCCTGAAAGAGTTCAAGTCGGTATCTGACCATGATATCGGTTATGAAGCTAACTCCGTATCATTTCAAACCACCGTCTGCTCATAATAATAATAAGTCTAGACGATATTACTGTGCCGCCTCCCAGGATGCCATCACCATCACCACTAATACCACCCCGCGATGTGCGAAATAACAGCTACTATGGCGGCCCGTGTGCGCTACAGTCGCTGTCTATACGATGCCAAGAAATACCGGAAGCTTACTGAGCTGGCGAAGAAATATCCATCGGTCCAAGGGTCTAGCTACCTGCTGTTACGAAAAGCCGAGACAGTAAACGAGCCTGACTCTTCCACGGTACAGTTGAAGAAAAGTAGCTGGCGTCGAAAGCATTGCAGTAGTATTTGGAACGCGGGGGACTGGACTCACAGAGGTGAGAATTCTTCTCCTAATTTTTGCAAATCAACTATAACTGAAGAAAGAGAAGGATGATTTCCCCTCTCTCTTCTTTCCCTCCATTCTTTGCTCATATGCGGTTCAGATCCAAATCTTAGCATTGGCTGCTCACATCCCTGCGGAGAACCAGATCAAGGGAGCTGCTAACCGGTACAGTGTTTCCATGGACCTCAAGTATGGTCAGCGAGTCTGCGATTTCCGAAGCTTTTTCTTCGCACTTGAAGAAAAGCTGGGGTTGAAAGAAGCTCAAGGCTTGCCCTTTCTCCAAGACGAGCGTGTAGATATTCCCATAGAGACCATCATTACCGACTGGTCAGAACTTGACGAGGGCGGTTGAGCTCTTCTCATCGCTAGGATTTACATGCACGAAGTACAAAGGGAGCATTACGGATGCAGAGAGGGGCTTGCGAGTTGCGGCGCGCTTTGCGACATATCTCCTGGAACAGGATATTCGGAATCTGAAGACAAGATCTTGTATGATAGCAAAAGTCTTCTCTGAAGAGTACAGGATAGACAGTGACGAAGACAAACGCATTTTCTTCAAAGGTATTTTGCGTAGAGAATGGTGTGTGCATAAGAGTATTTCCCAATAAAGAGTTACCACTATAAGCACCATTTCGAGATGAGATTCCAGAGTGGAAGCCTAGGGCGTCAGGAATATCAGACACAGCAAAACGGACCACCCGAGTCGTTCAAAGCTGTAGAAGAAGCAGCCGATATCTTTTTACAAGTCGGCTGTCTTCAACAACCTCTCCACCGAGGATCCGGCGCTTCCCGAGAGATTGAATACGTCAATGAGCTCTGGAGGTCAGCCGGAAACATGGCATGTCATATACGACTTCAGCTATTCCGTTTCATGCCGGTCAAGGCGTAAAGTGACGAACGAGCACTCGTCGAGACATCCTCGACCATGGCGAGTGTCAAAATGTCGTTTTCACGGAATGCTGCCGCTGCATGGTCCTCCGAGCACTATCATCTAAAGCTTGGGATAAAGAACTCTCGATGGCGCGTGCAAGTGAGACAACTTTCAACAACCTAAACGGATCAGATAACGATGGCGAAACTGGACATCCGAATAGACGAGATCATCATTGTCCAGCGGCATAAGAAGGGAGCTTCTACAAGAAAGAAATAAAAATTCGAGGACATGAAGGAGGCAGAGAAAATGGGAAAGCGAAAAGAGGCGTGAGCTGCAAGCTTCGAGACACAGAGAAGGGCATGCAGATCAAGAAACTCGAGTAGTTGGAGGCCTTGAGGCGAACAAGACCATCTCCAGGGTCAATGGGACTTTCCAGCGACCAAAAAGGAGGGAAAGAAGAATGATAGAAGCGAGGAAGGACTGCGGTCAGGAATGATGCAGATACAGGCAAGAAAAAACCCGGAGTAGAGGTTGCAGATGCGGAGGATTTCGAGGACATGTGGATGCGAGCGAAGGGCTTCTTTAGCGGAGACGGTTTTGGAACAGAGCGATCAATATGCAAAAAGAAATTTCAATGTTGATTGATGTTATAATTTCAATCCCTGTAAGTCTAGCCATCAGTGACCTGACAGGGAAGTTCATGGGGGGTTATACGGGGCCCTCTCTACTAACAAGCGCATTCTCAATTTATATTAGTGGCTGTTAATTGCGATTTACAGGGGAGTAAGGGGTGACTTGTATTAGTCAGAGATTTGTATCGGCTCATCAGGTACTGGCCCCCCCACTGATAACTTCTTTCAGTTGGCTGTAAACGCCCTTGTCATGTCACACCTGGCTAAACATCCGGGGCTCAAAACTGCACATGGAAAAAGAAAAAAAAGAATCGCTACAATGAACAATTCCTCTTTGGACAAACGGGGAATCGAACCCCGGACCTCTCCCAGATAAGACAAATCCTTGTAAGGATATATGCTAAGGGAGTATTATACCATTAAACCATATGCCCCTAATGATACTGTATTCGCAGTGGTAATCGGCATTTGAACGCCGACGGTGGAGGGAAGAGGAAACAAGCCCCAGGGTCCAGGGACACAAAGAGGAGTTTGCGAGCGCCGGGCTCTTCCGCGATTGAATCAGTTGACATCAAAACCATGTTACCCGCAAGGAAGCACGGCATGGAGTCAGCTGCCGCGAGGATCGGTATAACGAGATGCGCGGCGATAATTGGTACACGCGGCGTGGACGCGACTCGAAACGAATCGGCTACTTCCACGACCAAAGGCAACCATGTCTGATGATGTCATCTGCCCAAGCGCCGGGTATCGAGGCTGCGCGAACTACAGGAGAACATTGAAAGAAAAGGGCACCGGGCGACAGGGTGAGAGAAGCCGGTAGATAAGCAGGCGGACGAAGCAAAAGCGAGGCGGCAGCTAGAATCTGAATCTGCAGAGGCCCAATTACCTTCCAAGGCGGAAGTATTCATAGGCTCCGGGCCAGGACACAGCGCGTCCCGGTAGGTCAACTCTTTGACTGAATGATCACGTCGTCTTGTTCGCGCGACACGGCTGACCCCGCCGGTGCAGGACAGCAGGAGATAGGCCCATGCCCGGACGAGGCTCAGGGTTGGGCGCGGACGGTTATCCCTTCTGGGCCGGTGGCTGCCGTGCAGAGCAATATTGGCACACTTCTAGATGGCATCTCCTCTAGTAGTGATGTCTGGTGCTGTTGAGTACCAGACCCTGAGGTGGCCGAGCCGCCTCCGCCTCGCTCTTTGAGTAAGCCATCACAGAGGTCACGTTCGGGTATGCTTTCTCACCGCCAGAGCGTCTTTTTGTTGTTGCACCGCACAGCCTAGGGCTCTGGTCCGGGTCGCGAGATCAAGTTCCGGAGATCAACAACAAGGATGCGTGGGGGCGGGCGGAAGCGGACATATCCGAAAGTGTCAGTTTTCTTCTTCATCTGTTGTCTCGGTGCTTCGCCCGGATGTAGGATTGTGCCATCGCAGGCAGGGCCATCGCAAGGCCATCGTGATGCCAAATTCTATATAAAGGCCTCACCCAACTAGAGGGCAAATGGAATGCCTGCCCAGCTGTTCTAATCTAGGACTCGATTTTCTACTTGCACAAAGCCTCGAGCTTATTGACTGCCAACATCGCCAGTCTATTTTGATAATAATAAAAAAATAAAATAATAAAATAAGACGGCATTTGAATCATCATCGGCTACTGCCGAGGTTTATGAGAGCCTCCGTCTTCATTGCAAGTATAGACAACGTCCCGCAAATGCTAGGATGGCCACTCTTACTCCGGAAGCAATCGTTGCCATTGTGGGCTTGGTGATTGCTCTGCCGCCGACTGTTGTTGTCATCATTCGCCTGCTTTGGCGCTGGAACGGCACAGGGGCTCCGGGCCAGCAGCACATGAGCAATAGCCAGGATGGTATGTCCAACATTGAAGTCCGGCGAGCTGTTTCGGCTATTTTGTCTAACTGGTAGAAAATATGATTTTAAAAAAATAGAAGAGGCAGCAATGACAGTACAGCCTCAGCAGCAACCGTATTGGTACGCCGTTGAAGGGGATCCGAGGTTGCGAGGAGATCCCTGCCCTCGACGTATTAGCACCCGCGAAGCCATGCACATCACTCGATACCAGCGAAGTGAAATTTACAACATGGACGTCGCGCCATGGTAGCGCGTAAAAGGTCCATTGGTACAGCCGACGGCAGGCTACCATGCATAATATCGCATCAACCTGACAAGTTTGCGGTTGGTGGACACAGGCAAGTCCAATACCCTTTCTGCTACGGAGTACAGACTCCAGAGTAATCAATCCCAAAACAACATCTCTCATGCTGGCACAGCGATGCACCCAGTCAACAGATCAATGCAGAGGGCAGCTTGCGTGCATACATGTTTGAGCCGTGTTCCAAGACCAAAACCGAAGCCGCATCAGCGTATTCTCCACATTCATACCGCACATGGCCATGGCTTGCTTACCCGCCTGAGCATGAAGAACGGGCACATGTCTGGTGGCAACGGGCTTGATCCCAATGACGACATTCTGGACGTCCAGGCCCAGTGAGCCCCTGTTCCAAGAGGCCTCACGCCGCACGGCGTCACACCTTTGGAGAGCTTCGGCGCTTGCTGGTCCAACCGTTGCCAAGGATGGAGAGGGAAGGGGCCTTGATGCTTAATTTGTCGCCTCGCCGTGCTCGAACGCGGGTGGCTCCATTCATTTCGTAAGTCTTGTTGATTTCCCTTTATGTGTTTCCTTTTTAGGGTTTGTCAAAGGAGGACAGGGTGTAACTTGACGCGTCTTTGAATTTCGAGAATTGCCAGCAGTGTATTGCGCTGGCTTGGAAGAAAGAGAGTCGAGAGGCCGCCCGCCTGCCAAGATCCAAGGTCGAGCTCCTCAAAGCTACGTACCTTCGTCTTGCCCCGCGATCTGCCTTTTGGACATTGGCTTTTGGACCCCGCGGCTGGACCGACGACGTTGGGACATCGTCACCATCCAAACCTTGATTTTTGCTCTACACCCCTTTTTGAAGCTAGCGCTCTTCTTTGCGACCGCTGCTCATCATGGCCTCGGGTAACAATGTAAGTCGACCACGGAGATTACTTGGGTTCCTCTCCTCCCTCCCTCACTCCCTCCCTCTCTCAACATCAACTCCAACGCCTGCTAACCACATCATACCATCTGCAATGAAGGACCCCAAGCTCCTCTACGCCGTCGATGGCATCAAAGCCTATCACATTGCCAACGGCAACGAGCATTCCCTGACCCCAAGTGGTCCCCAGACGCTATCACTGCTCATGGTTCCGACCGCCTCTGGTTTTGCAGACCCTTCTGGCATCGGCTCTGGCGAGGAGGACTTTTACCTGCATCTGCATCTGCCTCCCGAGCTGGATTTGCCCATGCCAGCCACCACTCAGATATACCACCAACCCCCGACGAGCTATCTGATTCCCCGCTGGGATCTGGGTCCCGACGCCGGCGCTTTCACGAGAATTGAATTTCCGCCCGCAGGGAGTCGTCCCGGCATCCAGGAAGATGTAGATACGTTTGAGACCATTCTTGCGCAGTGCACAGCCTTCCTGGAACGTGCGCCTCCGCCAAAGCCAAAGAGGGCCAAGACAGCCCCTGTTTTCGGGGCTTCTGCAAAGGCGAGGGAGGCAGCTGGTGAGGAACTGCCCGCCTACAATCCGGCTGATTATACCCGAGGCGAAGGCTATGTTCAGGGGAGTCTGAGTTCAAGTGGCAAAGGAGGCAGAATCGTCTTGGTGGATGAGGAGGACGGCAGTGTTATCGGCGAATTGAGCGAGGGGTTCCAAGTTGTCGAGGATACCGGCATAAAGCCGGGATCCAAAGGTATGGTTCTCCCCCTCCCGGCAAATTACGACTTCTACAGCGTCAAAGAAGCCTCGCTAACTGGCGTGTCTCGTAGATCCTGTTGAAATCGCTTTACCCACAGACGGCTCCCAGGCCATCAACATCCAACCAGCCCCAGCATACTACGAAGAAGACCGCATCCATCCTGCATACAAAAAGTCCACAATTGTCAGTATGGGCATGAGGGCATCTCGCCTTCTCATTACGACATCAGATTATGTCTCCCACACCCTCCAGGGCCAAGCCGACAATTTCACCAAGAGCACGCAGCCCGTCGCCAAACCCGTCACCTTTACGCCCACCACACACGCACATATCCGAAAGATCAACCAGTTCTCAAACAAAGCCGCTGGTATGTCCGCTGCCACTGTCGGCTCCATTGCCAAAGTGGCACAGAACTTTGGGGCCAACCTTTCCCGCCGCAAGGATGGAAAGGCCCGAGGCTTCGATAAAGATGGCAACATGATTGAGACATACAAACCGGGTATGTTAAACAAGAGTTTAATGGCGTTCAATACTGTTGTAGATGGCATGGAGCACGCCGGCCTTAGTCTACTCACGAGCACATCTTCAAGTGTCAGTAAGGTTGTCGAACATAGATGGGGCCCGGAGGCTGGTGAAGTATCCCGCAACTTGGGTGGTGGCTTCAAGAACGTGGGATTGGTGTATATCGACGTGACGGGTGTGTCTCGCCGTGCCATTTTGAAGAGTGTAGCGAAGGGCATGGTTGTTGGAACCGTCAAGGGAGGCGGTCAGGTTATTGTTGGTGGGGACGAGAAGAGCAAGACGATACCTGTGGCAGCAGGAAGTGGGAACGGAAATGGAGAGAAGGCCTCATACGGCGATTCTTCGAGTGTGTCTGGCGGCTATCAGGGCAATGGTAAGAAACCCGCCTAGGGGGTTGGGTTACGAATACATGAAACGGCAATAAGGGCACGAAACATGAACACTTATAAATCGTTCAACACTGACTTGCCTTGCGTAGCGAATGTCAATCTTTGTAAAGGAATATCAGCACCGAATCGTTGCTTTCAAAAAATAGACTACTGTTTCAATCTTGTCATCATTACTCCGTGCGTACCATGTTGCCAATTAAAGTGGTAAAAGTGGATCACGTGTCGACGTGACGTCCCTCGCGTCGCGATGGCTTCGAAACTTTGACCCCCACGTTCTCCAACCGAAACACCAGCCGGGTTCCCGAGTAACCAGCTATCTACTCAAATCCTGTAATAGGGATATAAAAACTCCAATAGTGCTCTCTCGCGGTATTTTCTCGTCGATGGCAATGGAACACGTTGCATCCGCGACAAATTCCCTGTCATAACTGGAAACTGGCCCCGCCACCTGCTTGCTCAACCCATGTGTCGATACGAGCCGTTTGGCGTCTTCATTCTTACGTTTTATGACATCTCAGACGCAATCAAACGCAAACGAGAAAAGAAACTGTACGAAACATACACTCCCCTGACCTTGATCTAGGCTAATGCTGTCTGCCAGCGCATCATGCTCCACGAAATCCTCCTCTCCCTCTCGGGCCACCCATCTCCTCTCCTTCATACACCTCCGTCGCCCGAAGCAGACGCTCTAGCAGGCATAACACCCCCCGAACGACAGCTCCTCTCCTCTGCCAGACACATCAGCGACCTGAATACCAACCTCATTGCCTACTCGACCGAAATCTCCACGACGCATTCTTCGACGATATGTCGAGCTGTCGCCACGGCTATAAGTTCCGTCCATCTGGCTGCATTCCAGCGAAAGGTCCTGCAAGTAGAGGAGAGCATACTGAGAAATGACGCTGATTGGGTGGGGGCGTATAATATCGTGCCATTGACCGCCATCATGGGCGAATTTCAGCAGTGGACGAGGCGGTTAGAGTGGCTATGGGACACGGTACAGTTCATCCTGGCTAAGAATACAGATGGGAGTTCGTGTAGGGGGTCAACATTGATTGACCGATTGAGGGACGAATTGCAGAGTGGATATCAGGACGTGGCTGCTACAGCAGAGAGTCTGGTCAAGGTCGCGGAGACGGCATGGTTGAAGCAGGTTTCCGCATGGGTGCTGTACGGGAGGTTGCCCAGTTTTGGGGCTGATGATTTCTTTGTGCAAAAGCTGCATGGTTCTCCAGAGGCATGAAGCTATCCTTTTGCGTACCTTGGGCTGCTATTACAGAGACTGACTGTCGGCAGGATTATGTTTGTGTTGAGAACTGTCTGCCGTCATTTGTCACAGGAGCAACAGCAGCATCCATGATATTCATCGGCAAATCACTCAACCATGTTCGCGCCATGAACAACACCAGCTCGTCATCAGGCGGAGTAGCACATGTATCTGCTAAGCTCCAAGAATTATCAACCCTAACGTTACCGCTAGAAAACACCGAGTTTTCCAAGGCGGTCAAGGCCATTCGCACTTCCCTGTCGCAAAACACTTTGCAAAAGATGCTTCCACTCGCCAGAGTTTCAGAAATGATCCAGCTCCTCCGGGACTTCTTCCTCCTTGGTCGGGGCGAATTTGCCATGGCCCTCACCCACGAAGCAGACGAAAGGGTTAGAAATCGCTGGCGAAGAGCAGGCAATCTCGCGTACGAAAAGGATGATGGCCTGAAAAACATCACTGTCAAGGACGGTGAAGTCGCTGCGGTTTTGAATAGGACGTGGGCTGTGCTCGTCTCCATGCAGGGCCAACACGCCGAGGAGGACGACCAGCTCGAACTTGCACGAAGCCTGATACAACTCCATCTTACAAAGTCCAAACCTCCAGCCGCACTCGTCACCGGAAGAGGCTTAGACGTCCAAGCAGCAAATGTCCTCGCCGCCTCCCCTTTCCGCAACATGCTCTTCTCCGTCCCAGCCATGCTCAGCCTCGACCTACCCTCGCCACTAGACATGGTCATCTCCCCGTCCGACCTCCAGCTCTACTCCTCTATAAACGCATACCTCCTCTCCCTTCGCCGCGCGCACATGCGCCTCACTGGCCTATGGAAAATCACCTCCCTTCGACGCCACTACCCTGCCCCTCGCGGCGCATCTGACGACGCCGTCACCCTCCGAGAGCGCTGGTCCGACCGCTCCTGGTTGCTCCGAAGCACATGGACCACCGCCAGCGCTACCATATTCTTCCTTGCCGAGACAGAAGCCTACTTCCAGACGGAAATCGTGAAAACCCTCTGGGACGACTTCCACGCCTGGCTCATCCCTTCACAGCCACAGCGCTCTGGTCACGCTACCCCCATTGACCACCATCACTCCCAACCTCCAAGCCAGCATTCTCACGATCCGCAAACCCTCGCCACCGCGCACACGCTCTATCTCCGCACCCTCACCCACCGCCTCCTCCTTACTCAAGCCTCCTTCACGGATCAATTATACGCCCTCCTCCAACACATCGACCACCTCGTCACACACATCCACCGTCTGCACTCGTTATTCACATCCCTCGACCTCGAGCACGATGCTGGCGTAGTAGATGCTTTTGTCGACCTTGAGCGCGAGCAATCACAAGTATTCAGCTCGCTGCACAATATACAACTAAAAGTAAAACAAGGAATAAACGATGTGGTTTCAACATTAAGAGACTTGGAGAGCGACGCCACATTCTTGGCGGAATGGGATGGGCAGGGACTAGTAGACGATGAAGGTGAAGACAGAGGGTATGTGCCGTGCCGTGTAGGAGGGGTTGATAGGTTGTTGATGAAGTTGGATTTTGGCAGTTGGTTGGGCGGGACGGCGTGGGAGGGCTAACGGAGGCTTGGTTTTGTCGGTGAGATTACGGGGCTTGGGGATCTGGGGGGGTGGTATTAGATTTTAGATGAATGATGAATGATTAACGCTATTATACAATATAAGATGATTGCAGCACGATTGATCGCCAAAACGTATAGTGACACATGGGAGCATGGGAAATATGTGACTATTATATATAGTAATATCATTATCAAGTGTTTTTTCTTAAAGAAAAAAACCTCTGTTATTAGGCTGGAGAGACTATAAAACTATATTTATTGCCTTGCTAGTTCTCAACCACCAGTCATGTTAGTATTTAACGTGAAGCGATGCGTTTATAGTATATTCTGCGGTTTATTACGGTTCCCGGCAAACACGTCGTGTAAGCGTTGTATAATATTATATAAGGCCACGTAATACACCGTGAGTACACACATCGCGATACGTTAAATACTAGCAAGATTAGCAATTAAAAACTTGCAAGCAAATAAATGTAATCCCTATAATTCAGCCTCGTCCTGGAGGCGTCTAGTAATATTATAATTATAGGATGTCGATAATATATTGTAAATGCCGCACGCATTATATAAGTCGCGCTAAATCTCCAAATGCAAAATTCATAGTCCCCGAAAACGCTTCAACGCCGGATTAGTTACATTGCTCATGCCTTCATGCTGTGCCTCAAATACTGTGTAATATATAACACATGAGACAAACTAAAACATTTCCCTTTCGCTAGATAGTCCTTTGCTGTAGTATTTTCAATATACAGTAATCTGCTTTCCAAATCGGAAAGGTTTGCTGGATTTCTGTCCGCGACGGCTAAACAGCCCGCGGCTAAAGGATTGTGGGAGAGTATCGGTGCCGAAGTGGGGCTCCCCGGGCCGGAGCGGGGCCGAACCGGAAATAGCTTTCTTGGATTGCCAGCGTTCACGAATGCAATCGTCCACTAAAGTGATGAGGCCTGTAGAAACAATAGCACTGGAAAAGTTAGCTTACGGTTACAAATAATCAAAGCAAAAGAGGCATAGACGTACTCAGCTACATCCGTCATGGCTTCAATGGTAGATTGGTCACTAATCCACATATAGCAAGGCGGGATCCATCCACCAGCGCTATCTTCATCGTCGATTTGGCTAGGACTTCGTATCTCCTGTGCGATATGGGCTACCGGCTCCTCCTGATCATCGCGGACGAGATGGAAAGAAAAGGTATTCAGCATCTTGTCAACGGCTCGCTTCCAAGTATACTTGTGGCCCCACCACTCAAACTCGTAGCGCCCTGAACTGCGGCGAGAAACCTCCACGCGGGCATAATTGCTGAATTCAAGCTTGATAGAATCGGTAGGAATTAAAAACTCTGATGGAGGTTTGACGGCCAGGAGGCTAGACGAATTGTCCAAAACGTCGGTGCCGGAGCCTATCGATGCCGATGACTTGGCAGTCATGGTGCTTGCTGTGGAGGGGCGCCGCGAACCCGAGGGAGCCTTGAGGGAACAGGAGGACGAGTTGGAAGCATTTGATCGGCGGAAAGGAGCCTTGACAGATCGAAGAGCCGAGGAAACAGATTGATGGAGGGCACCACGTGAAATGCCAGATGACTTGGTGTAGGCACGTTTAGAGACGCACACTTCCCTGCCAGAGTCGCGGCAATGGCGACGGAACGAAAACTCTCGATTGACTAAATCGTACATGCGGAGATGGAAGAGCTGAACAGTAACAGGTCTACGGTGAGAACCTAGAACAGAGCCTTGGCCAATGCCGATAAGTGAACCAGGCACAACTACCGTCTCCACGCGAAGATTCATGTTTCCGTCTGGGGTAGTGTCGTCGTGTCGAATAGATAGACGATTCATGGAGGGGAATAAATAGCTAAAGGTGCGAGGATCTGACGGCTTGACTGTTGGATCAGTAGGCCCCGCACGGTAAGGAGGGAGGACGGGCGGGATAGAGGCATCATCGGGCCCTTGTAGACGAACGGGCTCCGGCTCATAGTTGAATAAATCGTCGTCATGGCCGCCACACTCATGGCCCGTATCATTTTCAGAGAATCTAGTGTCATATGTATTGACAGAGAGCGTAGAATCTGAAGGCTCGGGTGGGAAGTAAGTGATGCTAGGTTGTGGCAACTCAGGCTCCTCCTCTTGTCGCATCCTCTCCTGTTGTCTGCCGTGGCGACGTGGAGGGTCAATTTCGTCGTGGTCTTCATGCCTCTGCCTTCGGTCTGCGCTGGTGGTGGTGGATTCTTGGCTATGCGTCGAGGCGGCATGGTCTGTCCTTGAAAGAACATATGAAGTTGAGAGCTCGCTGTCTCGTGAGGAAGAAGCTAATGAGCCATACGAGAGTCGTGAAGATGATGGGTCGGGCATAGTCCTAGGTGCTTCCAATGCTCTGCGATGCCCTAGGTGTTGTGATTTGGTCGTCATATAAATTGAACGAGTACACTCAGTCGAAAGTTGCAGTATCAAGAGGCGAAACAGTCGGCGTGCTGGTCGAGGTATTGTTCAAACCAAAGCTTTTACCAGCGTCGTGCAGGCGAGACGGATAGGATCCACGGTTGACCGAAAGAATAAGCAACTTTGAATTGGGTGGGATTGGAGTTGAGAAAACTGTGAATAGAAGTGGAAGTGGAATAATGTAAATGTGTTTGTCATCTATGGGATGGGTGAATACGGAATGAATGGGGATGGCTGGGGAAGGGGAGCCTCGAGATATACGTTCTACAAAACCGGGAAGTCGCGAACATGCCTGAAAGATGGACACCTCCTTCTCACATGGACATGAAAGCAGCAAGGACCCCATACTTCGTACTCTGTTCCCGCCCGGCAAAAAAAGGCAAGAACCTTGCACACCTTGGCTCCCGAGAAAAAAACACCGGCCAACCCTAGTAACAAACACCAAAGCCACTCAAACGGACAACCGCCGCGTCGTCGTCCTTGTCGGCCTTTTTTCGTCTGTCGCGGTGAGTCGACCGGGGGTGTGGCGTGAGGAATTCAGACCACGCTCCGGGGCATTGGCGTGGGCGTCGGGTGGACATGGACGGCGGTAGTGTGATCTGGGCATTTCCATGCATCAGCCTCGAAAATGCCGCCAGCACTCACAAGGATCCCGGAGTGCTCCCAATGGGGACCCTGCACTGAGTCTCCTCTGTATCCTGCTGCTACCCCTTGGATATGTCTGGTGTGTTGGCGGAGAGTCCAGTTGGGTAGTCGTCTCAGTCATCACCTGCACATTCAACACGCCTCAGTAAAGTGGGTGGCCATGAATGGATGCGTCTTGCCTCAGATTTCGTTGCAAAGAGCTGATCCTCAACAGGCATAAAGGAATCCATTCGATCGGACGTGTACACAAAAGCCCGGCATCGGCATGGTCGGGCTTGTCGGCCACCCAGCTCTTTGCCACACAATAGCTGCCGCAACTGCTCAAAGCAGTGGCTAACTCTTCAGTTCCCACGTTTCCTTAGTGGATTACTGCACAGCTTCTGCTCAGACAAACGCCGAAAGACCGACATGTATGCCCTAAATGGGGAAACAATAGCCTCAAGTGCTACGTCAAAGGGAGGCTGAGCAGGTGGGCTGCGAGGCTCACCACCAGCCCCTAGTGTTCACGACCAGAGCGCTCTGCGTTCATGTCTGGGGACATAGAAGCTCTATGTCCTCTTGGTGAATCAGCGGCAGGAACGCTAAAACAACTCCAAACGCCACCAGGCCGACCGATTGACACGGGGGCCAGAGGGGTGTTCGGTTCATCCAACAACCAGCAGTGGCAACGCGGCCTCGGGAGTAATCGATTATGCTTCGTCTAGCGAGCCTCGGGCTGAGCCGAGCCTATCATTCGCGGCTGCATTACGTGGACGCCTCATAGTGCTGGCAACTTGGCCTTCCACATGAAGGCTGACCGGTGCTACTGAAGTACTTTTGGCTCCCAACGTCGTTCCCTGCAAAGCAACATGCCACAGAAGCGTATCACCCCATCGTCGGCTGTTGGCGACGTCAGTGGCCCGAACACACCCGCGGCAGACGTGCAACTACAGACTGGTCCCTTCTGCGCGTGAAACTGTAAAGAGAAGGTCGAGATGAGGAGCAAGAATCATCCAAGCAGATGGCGATGAAAATGCCTCTGAGAGAATCAGGCGCATTGCTAGCACAGGCCGAACCTGACAAACTTGCTTGTGGGCGGGACCGTTTTGGAACAACGACTTTCACTTGCTCCATACTGACTGTCCTTGGCATTCATGAAGAGTCATCATCCCTAAAATTGTCTGCCTTGGCCAGCCACTACTCCGTACACTTGAATCGCCTCCGATACCCTCAGTCCAGGGTAATACTAACCTTGTGGTTGTCCCCTCGCAGTTTCTGCCTAGCAGCCTGGGTCTACATACACGGAGCAACCGAGCGTGACGTTCAGTCTTGGGACTCCCACAAAGCCGACAAAATGCCTCAGATCAGTATTACCGTCCAACGTGAAAAAGAAGGCCCGTATCTGGTAAGTCATGGCCAAATGTTTTTGGTGGCCCTTGAGTGTAACCACCACCGTTTTTCCTTCAGCCGACATGACGGAGAGAATTTTGGATGATCCAGCAGCCATGCGCTTTTCTACTACTAGTACCAGTACAATTCCTTGTTGGCCACGGAGAATAAGCCAAGGATCGGGCACTGTTCCAAATCTCCGCACACACCAACGAGTGTTAGCTTCAAAATAGTGCTGGGCACCTAACCAGAACTGCCCACAGCGGCCGAAAAGAAACACCAAAGTGGCCAACAGCATGCGTCAGCGGGTTCGGCGACAAAGCCATAGCGTCTCCCGTGTCAGCTTTTGCAGCAAGTTTCATGGGTGATGACTACGATGCGGTGTCAGCCTGGAGATGATTTTGCTTCCAGAGTGTTTTGTGGTGCACTGCCACCAGACGGCACTTGAACATCTGTCATGATGAACGACAACAGTTGGTTTTGGAAATACAGTCTTAGACATTTGCGAGACATGCATGTTGCAGTGGCTGTTTGGCATTTATTCGTCAATTCTAGCATTTTCCTGGAAACAAGCAATCATTTGCAGGCTCTCGCGCATCGTGTTGAAATAGGGAGAGCGAACCGGATTCAACCGCGCCACGGTGCGAAGCATGCATCATCAATCCCCTTTGTCTCGTGACATATACAGGCCGCAGATGACTTCAGCACTCGGTCAAGGTCCTTTCACACTTCAGCCATGTCATGGAATCGAGGGACGGACCTTGTTCGATGCCTTGGATCGACGGCCAGTCACAACAGGTCAATGAGTGCATACTCCAGTGAGTCTCGAGCTGATGTTCCACTGCTGCCTGCATGCGTCAAAGTCTGCATTCTATTTTGGCCTTGACTCACTTGGCACATTATTTGCACCAAACTTTGGACATAGATGAGGTTAATCCTCTTCACCCAAGAGGCTTGACAGGTGTTGTGTCATGTTGTCATGACGTTCAGCATGGCATCGACAATTAGCGGGTCAATCGCCTGGCGCAAGACTTTTGCATGCATCATCTGATGCCAGTATGTATACGCGACGTGTGACGACCAGAGGGCAGGTGTTGATCCCTCAGTACTGTCTGCTGGTTAATCTGATCGAAATGTCAGGTCGCGAGTGCGTACGGAGCAACGACGCCGTCTAACAAGACGTCTGGCCTTGGCAAAGTCAATTAAATCCTCATTTCAAATCACTTCACTCGTATTCTCTGCGTGTCCGAGCCAATGCCCTGCTTGGTGCCTTACAACCCAACACCAGACTGAATTGAACATGACGCCTCCACCTGCCCATACTCAAACGCCCACCAGTAGGCAGTATACAGGTGGTGTAATTCGTGTCGGACGCTGATTCGCTTCAATGTTCTGGTTGGCTGCTCGCCTCGTGCTCGCTTCGTTCCTCCGCGTTGCGGCGTGTCGCGGCCTATCCCATTGGGTCGCGGCGAGGTGATTCGCAGACCAATGGCAACTATGATGCTCCGGCATACTTACGCACCCCCCGTAGGGTTCCTTGTTGCAACATTGAACTTGCGTGTGAAGTCTGGTGGCACCTGGCCGGCATCTTGGTGGTCTGAAGAGGACCGATGATTGCGACCAATCGATATACCCAGGCATGCCCACGTTCATAACTCCCGCCAGCATCGTCCCTTTTATTCTCGCAAAATGGGTGGTTGGGAAATCGTCCAGGTCCTCGACTACAAAAGAGTAACTACACATGTAGCATCAAACAAGCAGCGAATCTACGTTCCCACGCCCTCGTGCGCAAGATGATATATCGCAGCCCGCCGCCTCGCGCAGAGCAAGGCTCGTCTAAATCCAGCGCATTTGTATCTATTGTCACCTTCAACTCTCACCGTGTCCCATGCCACGAAAAATGCCCTCGCTTTTTTTTTTTTTTTGTTGCAAAGCACACAATCAAACCAATTCCACGGTAAACCCCGCAGCACCTGCATGCCCAAGTACACATGTACATACGCAGCCCTCGTCACGGGACCCTCTTCCCTCACGGTGGCAATGTGCCATGCACTGTATGCGACGACGGACATGAAACGGTAGCCCGCCATCGCTCCGATAATGCAGCCTCTCCTCTCTGAGCACCGCTCTCTTCACTAATTTGAACAGGTCTTGTCCCGTCATCTCGGGTGCGTCATGCACCATCGCTCTGCCCACATGCACTCCTGGCGTGGACGTTGATGCCCAAAATGGAACATGACCAATGCGTAATCCGTGACCTCGTCATTGGTCAATTGCCGTCTTCACAGACGACGGGCCTTGATACTTCGTGTACATGAACGACAGGGCAGAGCTGAATTGCGGAATTATGTACGTACTCCGTGGCCTACGGGAAGGTCCTAAGAACTATGCTATGCGAGACAAAACGTCAGTGTTCGATACGGCTACTCGGTCAGGTTTTACCAATCAACAATACATCCTCAATTTTGTAGTATGCCAATCCCATCACCGAGTCCTCGAGTCCTCGCCCCTTAATTTGGCCGGCTGTCCGTCCAAACGTTTACCTGGACTTCGGGCAGCCATCCTAAGCGACTTGTTCTCCAGCTCCACTACGGCTGGATGTTCCAGCCAACCCACGTACGAGGGACAACTCTCCAAATCTTGACCTCACCACTCCTCAGGTCGTCCAGCTTGTAGCTCTCCATCTTGACCTTCTTGTTCTCCCGCCCTTGCTCCCACGCACGAACCTTCTTCTTTGTCCCGTCCCACTCAGCAACTACCGCAACGTGATCCGGCTTGCCAACTTCCGTCGAGTATTTGGCGTGCATGGGTCCATGTTTGCCCTGAAACTTGGCGTTGCGGAATGAAATGACATCTCCTGCTCGGATGACGTCTTGCTGTTGAGTAGATGCGTTGGCCATGTTGGCATAGACCAGCGCACCGTATGAACGTGTGCCGACAGGCGGGAGGGCACCACTCAGGGGTCGAAGTAGCTCCATGACAAACCCCTGAGGCGTGCCATCACTAACGACCGTGTCCTTTTTGGCCGTGGCAGCTTCCGAGATTTGTCTGCCATAACGTTCATAAAACTCCTCCATCTGGTCCTGACGAAGGGATCGCGGGGGTGGCTCGTGTCTTTGCTCCAGCTCTACATCTGACGCATCATATGGGTTGTATCGGACGGTAACCACAGTCTGTGAATAATCTTGGAAGAGAACAAACACATCCCGCGTGATGACTGTCTTGGAGCCCTGGTTAGTTGTAGTTGTCTCTTCGCTTTCAAAATGAATGTCTTTGCGTCCCTGGAAGACAGGCGGGACTTGATTCGCCTGTTTCCACCATCCACTTTGCACTGCAAGGTCAACGTCGTTCGCAATGAAATCTGATTCAACAGAAGGCCGGTGCATATCCATAGATCTCCTATTGCTTGTGCTTGTTCTTGGAATATCCATTGACTGTTTGTTGCTAGGCCGAGGCGGTTGTGCAGAAGGCAGTGCTCGGCGTTCAGTAGGAGATGATGGTCCAGAGAAATATACATTTTCTTCGTCAATCTTTGGTGTTTTATGGCCGTAACTGGATCCCATTGGAGGAGGTGGCGGCGGTGAAGAATAGCTATATGGATCATAATCTCCTGCGTCATGAACTGCAGTAGGAGCCGCCTCCTTCGGAGGGGGAGGTGGAGCTCCGCGAGGAACATCCACCGAGCGTCGCTTATGATCCGGAGGCGGTTGGCTAGGAATAGGAGGTGGGACAGCTCGAGGCGCTGTGGCAGATGGAATAGGAGGGGGAATATTAGGAGCGGTGTCCCGAATTGGCGACGTAAGGGTGTTATCCTCGGCGCTTGAGTCTCGAGCGTGTGACTTTAGGGCATCCTTGTGGGGGACACTGGAAGCAATATCAGTATCATAGTCGCCGTCATATTCCGTAACCTCTTCATCCTCCTCCTCACCAGCCTGTGGGGGGCGTGTTGGTGTGGGCGGAGGAATATCTGCTGTTGACTGCCGACTCAAACCACCAGGCGGCGGAGGCGGCGGAGGCCGGCTCAAAGCTGGCGGAGGTGCCGGTGCCGATCCGGGAATTGGAGGTGGTGGTCGACTACTTCGCTTGCCAGCGACAGTTGTAGGAGATTGCCCTAAAGTGTCGTCTCCGCGAGGAGACTGCGGTGGCGATCTGGGGGGGAGAGAGGTGGGTGCTGGTGGCATTGGAGGTAGACGTCTGTTTTGAGTGCTAGTCTGCTCCAAGTCCTTTTCTCTTGCTCCTCCGGAAAGCTCATCATCTGATTCAGATCCTTCTGTAGGGGATTTGATATCAGCTGGGGGTGGCGGGGGTTGTGCCCGGGCTGGAACATATTAGCACAGATGAACAAATAAGAGAAGTTTGAAAGTAGCAACACCTACACTCTGTAGGTAATGGAGGAGGTGCTGGCCGACCACCAGGAATAGGCGGAGGACCGCTTATATCTCGACGAGGAGCTGCACAATCGTTAGCTTTTACTTGCCCATCATATAGATGGTGATTCTACATACAAGACACCTCGGAAATGGGCGCCGGGGTCGTTGCCTCATCTTCTTCCTCGTCACCAGAATCTACTTCCTGTTCCCGTGAAGGGACTGGAGGAGGCATAATCCTTGATTGAACTGGAGTGGCTTCATCACCATCAGCGTCCTCCTCTTCTTCGTCAGCTGGATGGCCTCGGCTGGGAGCGACAGAGCTGCCCATGCCGGGTAGGGCCATAGGAGTCGGGACTGGTGGTGCCGGACGGGGAGCCGTCTCCTGAATATCTTCATCGGCTCCTGACGCTTCCCCAGTTTTGACGGTCTTCTTTTTAGGCGGAGCCTTAGCCATGGGTGGCATCGGAGCACCAAACATGCCATGGAAGCCCATGCCACCACTCATCTTTGCCATTCTAGCCCGCAATTCTTCTTTGCGCCTAACTTCAGGGTCGACTTCTTCTTCTTCCTCATACTCCTCCTCTCCAGCTTCCACTCCTTCTTCATTTGCTTCCCCAGTCTCGCGATGGAGTCCAGGTGCAGTCGCGGTAGATGTCGCTGGAACGCGCTGAACATGTCGTAGCACTTCCTCATTATCTTCACGCTCGGTAGTATCATCATGGCCCTCCGTTGTGTCACCAGCACCAGACATATCGGCCTCGTTGCCATCGTGCGACTCATCCGCTGTAGGACCCTTGGAAGACCTGCGTCTTGGTAGAGGTGCTCTAGCATGGGTATCATCTGTCGAAGTTCTGGTTCTGACTTCGGTTTCTCTAGATTCGACCCGTTCCAACGAAGCCGAAAGAGATCCTTCTTCGGCTTCTACATCTGCCTCACTCTGAGGGGCTTCGGGCTTCTTCTTTACTGGTTTTTTTGGTTTCTCTTTCTTAGCAGCCGCATCAGCGTGGCGCTGGGCTTGTTCCATTTGCTGCTTCTGAAGCAAAGCAATGCGTTCCTTCAAGCTAGTAGGCTTAGGCTGGTCATCCTCGGCACCGGCTTCTTGAGACTGTTCGCCTGGAACCAATCCGGCTACCTCCGCCTGACCCAGAGCCTCGGCCTGCCTCTCCTTGATCTCGGGATCTTCTTCGCGACGATAGATATTCGTGGTCGGCTTCTCTCGCGGAGGCGGTACGTATGCGTTGCGGCTAGGAGGCGGTGCGACAAAAGGCTTCTTCACAAATCCAGACGTGCCGCCACTCGCGCCTAAGCCAGTAGGCTTGAATGGAGCGACAGGTGGTGCCGCTGGTTTATTGAACGCGGCGATACGATCTTTGAATGAGTTGCTCGCCGGTTTTTCGGAAACCGGAGGAGGACCAGATTTGGGTTTTGGAGCTGAAGCTTCAGCCTGTTTTGGGCCAGCTGGTGGTGCTGTAGTAGCATCGTGAGACTTCACAAGAGCCGGTTCCGAGTGCTTGGCTGTCACTGGCACCGGGACGACGGGGACAGAGCGCTCGGCCTCAACGGGTTCAGGTCCATGTTGGAGTTCTTCTTCCTTTTCGGGCTCCGGCTCCGGCTCATGAACTGGAGCAGGCGGTACTGGTGCCGGAGCAGTAACATCCTCTGACATATGAGCTTCGGGTTCCTTCTTGGGACGTGATCTCGTCGGCCGGGGAGGGGCAGTAGGCTCGAACTTCTCAACAAAGTTGCGAGGGAAAATGCCCTCCTTTTTCACGCCATGGTCATCAACGTATTCGCCCCCATACCAATCGTCATCTTCCTCTTCGTTGACAGTGATGATTTGGCCAACATCGAAGTTGAGATCATCTTCATGTGGCGAGCTGTACTCATAGAGAGCCTTGACCCGGAACGGCACAGTCATGGCGGTGTAGGATATGTCCCGCGACACAGGCGGCCCTGTGACACGTCTGCCGCGGCTAGATGAGACCGTTGATCGATATATACGGAGCAGCGATTTCTTGTTGTCGGGTGTGGGGCGGCAATGCGATGAATGATGCGGAGAGTCGAGAGTGCTTTCGTCAGCTTTGAAGAAGCGGGGGGGTATTGCTGGGAAAGCGCTGTAAGCCCAGGCACAGACAAAGAAGGCAGTGTCGTCCAACTACCTCAGAGCAACTATGTCGAGCACGGAGCTCCGGGTGATGGTATTGCAGGATTGGGTGAAGGGGTGGCGGCTCAGAAAGAAGAGCGAGAATATGACGCTGGGTCTGGGAGGAGGCGGACGTAGGCGGAGCAGACAGAAGAGGCTGAGGCGTTGCGCAGCGTCTGTGAGAGTAGCCGGTTGCCGGTCCACGAAAGCTTGGGCGTGATGCTGATGGCGGGCGGGTGTCGACGTCAGCGGGGGACCCTCTTGCTGCTCTGACTAGGGAGTGAGATACGGAGTACAACTGCTTGAGGACATAGAATTGGATAATTCAAGCAGCTTCGAGTGATGGTGGAGTGGGGGAATCAGCCAGCGACATGGAGCCACAGCAAGCCCACCGGGTGACTTGCTTCAATGCTTGCACGGCCCTTGCTGTTGTTGAGCGTGCTGTCGTTTCGGGGTGGAGCTAGAGCTGAGCTGTCTGCCATCCAAGCTTGTGGCCGTCTCAAAGTCGTCAGACGCTGGAACGGCCGAGCTAGGACAAGGGTTTGATTTGGAGAAGCAGCGGCTAAAAAAAACTCGAGAGGTGGAAGGCATGTGAGGCACTGAGTGTCTGACCATCTCGACTGCTTCTCACGTGGAAGCTTAGACGCCCACCAGCATTACTAGAGTGTTGACTGGGGACGACGGAGGAAGGTGCGACCAGTCCTGAACCCGACTGAGGCTTCAGTGTTGCAAGAACATTGAAGATGACCACAATGCAATTATGCGCATCACCCGCAGCCTTTGCAAGATGCAAGAGACTAACCTCCAGATGGTCATGACTCATCATGCACATTTCATGTTGCTGGAAGGGGGTATATATTTAATGTCTCATGTCTCATTTTACTTCAAGTTATTCCTGTACAACTCCCCGCCGCAATCTCTCAGACGAGCCGTCGCCTGTTCAGGAGTGATATCCCTCTGCGGCTCAGCCATGAGCTCATACCCAACCAGGAATTTTTTCACCGTCGCGGAACGCAGCAGGGGCGGGTAGAAGTGCATGTGAAAGTAGGAGTTCTCAATCTCTTCCTTTGTTCCCCGGAGCGGCGCCTGGTGGATTCCGGAACTGTACGGGAAACTGCACTCAAAGAGGTTATCATACCGCCTGGTGACCTCCTGGATGGCTTCGGCAAACTGCAGCCTCTCCTCCGGCTTAAAGTCTACCAGGGAGCGGATATGCCTCTTGGGAAGGACGAGCACCTCGAATGGCCAGACCGCCCACCAGGGACATACCACTACAAACGACTTGTTTTGCCAGAGAAGGCGCTCCCCCTTGGCAAGTTCCAGCTGAACGTAATCCTCAAGCAAGTGTCGGCCGCCATTGTTGGCACGATATTTGGTCATCTGGGAGAGTTCCTTTCCAGGTTCCTCAGGCATGGTGGATGTTGTCCATACTTGGCAATGCGGGTGTGGGTTGGAACAACCCATAGCAGAGCCTTTGTTCTCGAAAATCTGCATGTATCGATACTCATCTTTGGGAATGGGTGCTTCATCCTTTGGCATGGAGATGTCCAGATTTTCAGCAAGCTTGTCCAATGGGTTTGAGGAGGACAAGTGGTTGGCATAAATTCGGGTCCAGTGCTCGATGACGGGCAAGATTTCTGGAGCAGGCATGTCTGCTAAAGTGAGGTGGTGTTTGGGCGAGAAGGTGAGGACATAGCAGACGCCTTTGACGCTCTGGGCTCTCAGGAGCATCGACTCAACATCTGCGGAGAAGTCAACAATAGTTGTATCAGACGAATTGCGCTTTGTTATACCATTGGGCTTCGTATCAGGCTCATAGTCTGGCTGCTGTTCTTTCACAGCGCTGTAATCGTTGACAAAAGCAAAAGTCTTGTCGTATTTGGGATTTGTGTCACCCGCAGCACGAGCATTTCCAGGACAAAGATAACACTGGACATGAGGTTACCTAGAGTTTTCCCCTTCATTTGATTGAATTCACATACCTTGGGATCATATTCGGGCAGAGTATTGGCAACTGCCGCCTCTTGAGCTCCCCTGCAAAACCACCTTGATCAGATCAACCCGCCATGTAACGCAGTAGGATTCATACATACTGCCATGGTCGCTTGGTCCGATGTGGCGAGACAAGTAGCCAGCTGTCGGTAAGAGGATTATATCTCCGGTGGGAGATGTCGTCGAGGATCTTGTCAGGCATGATGATGGTGGAGTAGGCAAGGCTTTTGGGTGACAGACAACAGAATACAAAAAGTAACAAAGCCCTCTAGCTCTAGGGCAAAAAACAAACAGGGAGCGAGTATGGGACTTTTAAATGTCCACTAGGCACCTATCACAACACGACAACTGCTACACAGCGAAGAGAATGATGAACCGCATGAGCGACAATGTTGAATCGCCTCGAAGGAATGGAGCAAACAGAGTTGGAACTGCCAAAGGCAGGATTGCGGTTGGCGCGCTTAATATGATGAGCGGAGATTTTAGTGCATTCCACCATGCATCAAGATTGCAACTCCAAGTTGTCAATTAGTCTGGGCCGGTGACGTCGGGGCTCTCGGCTTCTGGAGATGGGGGATCATGGGGTCCATTTCAAGATTGGAGCGACCACGGTTTTTTTTAGTGGGGGCTTCGCAACCTGTTGACCATGACCACTCAAAACTTCGCTCACCCTTTGTGTTTGCTACGGAAACAGAAGACTGCTTCTGGCACTCAAAAATGCTTCCTCGTCAGCGATAGAAAAACCCCAGTGCTGAAAGACCTACAACTACAACCGACGGACAGAGCCCCTCCCCGAGAGCTCAAGATGGACAGCATCGAACAAAAGCAGAAACAGCTGAAAAGTATCCTCAAGAACTCAATATCAGAGGCCAGCGCAGCCGCACGATCTGAAAATGAAGCAAGGGAGATTGCCATTGCACACGCCAAACTCCTGCAGCATCGCAAAGAACTCGAGGCCGAGATTTTGGACAGCGTAGTGCTTTTATCCGAGTATCCGCTAGTCAGAGCAGCGCCATATTCCGCGTCAAATCCTGCGCAGAGCGATGTGTCGGGGTTCAAGACGCACGTTCGTCTTTTCCAACCGTCGGATTATGATGATTTGATAGAGGAGCGCAATGTCAACGAACTATGCGGGTATACCCTGTGCGCAAGATCCCGACGAAAGGTCGGCACCGGCGGAGAATGGAAGCTTACTGGCAGTGGCGATATTGTGAAGCGCAAGGACCTCGAGAAGTGGTGTTCCCCGACATGTGCGAAAAGGGCACTTTTCGTCAAAGTCCAGCTGAATGAGACGGCTGCCTGGGAGAGGGCAGGCATTCCAGATATACAAATCGACCTACTAGACGAGGATAAATCTACAGAAACGCAGGCAGATAAAACAGCACGCCAACTTGGAGAGCTGAGGCTCGAGGAGCAACGCCAAGCTGTTAGGGATGCTAAAACTCTTGCTCTCGAGAGAGGCGAGCGTGGAATAGATGATGGTGCCGATAAAATCAACGTCGAGCTCAAGGAGAAGGAGACGAAAGCTCCTAAACAAGAGGATATCTCGACGCAGGCTGTCGACGACCACTTGAGAGTTGAGGGCCACAGGTTTGACCTACCGAGCAGGCCAAAGGCGTAGACTTTGACAAATGCCGCCCAAGATTTTGGAAATTACGAATGTAAAACTACGCTACGAGACGGGAAAATGGGGCATTTAAACGGGTGGCGTTGATGTAGGCTTCGATGTTCAGGTTAAGTCAATAGATGGACTTTGTACCCCTCCGAGAACGACAAGTGCATTTGTCGCAAGACAAGGGAACCAATTGTAGCCGTACCAGTCAAATGCCACACTGGCATTGACTCTAATACTGATGATGCAGCCCGGCTAGACATCACACCAGCACCTCACGCGCAAATATCAGAGACCGAAGTCTTGGCGATCAAGCATCCCACTCCGGGCATTCATGCCTAGAGGTTCAGCGACACCTTGTGGGGATCGAAGATCTTTCTTTTGAGATCTATGCACTCACTACCGTCCTTAGACGCCAAGACGCAAAAACCATGCCAAATGCCCAAGAACCCAATTGCCCACAATCATAAGAAACTTTTCTAACCCACTTAGTCGCGGCGAGGACGGTCGCCGAAACGTCGGGGGCCGCGCTCGTTGGGGTTGTTCTGAGTGACCTGGGTGACGTTGACGGGAATGGAGTCGAACTGAAAATGACATGTCAGCACTAGAATTTGGACATGTAGAGAGGAAGGAAAGAAACATACGCCAAGGTGCTTGAGGAGGTCCTTGGTCTCGGAGTCGATCTCGAGCTGGCCCGACTCGTTCTGGGTGTAGTCGAGGGCAGAGACCTCGGGGACGTACTGGTCCTTTCGCTCACGCTCCTCTTCCTGGAGCTTGAAGGAGATGCCACGGACGGGACCACGCTGAATACGCTTCATCAAGTGGGTGGTGTAGCCGGCAATCTAGTCGTCGCCAGTTAGTCATCGCCATCTTTTACAATTCTCCCATACCAGCCGTAGCTAGTCCTTCTCAACTCTCATCATCTCCTTTCGAAGGCGGAGGATATTGCGTTTGTGCTGACCTTGTTGCGGAGGCGCTTGGAAGCAATGACAGCGATCTCATCGCAGATGCGCTTGTTGGTCTCGAAGTCGAGAGTGAGCTTGGGGTAGTACCGCTCAATGATGACCTTGGCGGACTTCTTCACGGTCTTGGTACGAACGCGACCCATTTTGGCGGTATTGAATTGGCTGGAATGGTCGTTGGGCGTGGGTTGAAGAAAAGTCGGCTCCTCAAAATCTCCGATCTCAGCAATAGAAATTTGGTGGTTTAGGCTAGTGGTGGGGCACTAAGAGAATTAGGGCTCGTGAGGAACCTGTGCGTGATCCCTCACGTGATACATTATGCACTTTGGTTATGCAAGTATCCGTTGTGCTATCGATTGCTCCATCGACAGACAGTGCATACCCGAGTCATGCATGCCTGGGCTAGTAGCACTGATGACTTCGCCAATTCCTAATCAGTATGTGCATCTTCGAAACAAGTCATTTGTGTACGAATCGATTCGCAAACTGTTGGAAGCGGTTATCACATTTTATTTTGATTCTGGTAATATCATAGTTATACAAGGTTTTGTTTACATGAAAGACCTCCCGCTTGGTGTCAATATGCAGCCTAAAATCACATTTGCTGCGCCGACATCACGATCGCAAATCTCCTCGCCCTCTGAGACTAAGAATCTCGAACCTTTGAAGAATCGTCATTCAATATCTCGTCCGTAATTCTCTCAATTCGTCGGCCTGTGCTCTTGTCTCCCTGGAATTGCGTCGCCTGCTTTGCCTTGGTTTCTGCATCGTGGTAAATGTGTGACTGGCCTTTACTCTCTTTAGCAATGACTTGAGCCTCAGGATGGGTTTCGCGAAGTTGCAATACGACTTTTCCGCTCGGATCTACAGTAGCCGTTTTAGGCTCGATATAAGCCTTGGCGCCACCATATGTAGTAGTGTCAAGGTGAGCGATGCCGTTGAGCATCTTGTTGGCCTGGGTTCTACCTCGGCCGTAGCGGATATTGAATTCGTTATCCCCAATAGGAACATCTGCTACAAAGCCGCCAACACCAAGTTTGGCGGGTTTGTGCCCGGCCCTTGGGTACACCACTCTCGCCAGAACAGGTGTGCGTCGCCCTTGGGGTCCATAGACGGGGTGGTTCTCCATGTAGGAGTTGGTTCGCAGGTAGCTAATACCAGCGGAGGGATGACTAGGTGGCGGACCTGAGTTGCCGTAAAGGCTTCCAGACTCCAGTGGAGGATTCATATGCTGAAAGCTTTGGAAGAGTCCGATAGGTACAGCCAGCGGCGCTAGATCCAGAAACTCGGAGACCAAACTATACAATGTTGTGCGGTCATTGCGCAAAGTTCGCAGGTACTCCGAAAAGTGTGCCTCGGTAATGTCACGGGGTTCAACCTTGGGAGGTGCGGGCGTACCCTTCTCCAGCGCAAGCTTATTCTGGCTCGTGGTGATGTCCTCGGCAAGTTTGCGCTTCAAAAGGGCTCGAAATTGGGCACGTTTCGGGTGCACTGTTTTCCTCAAGTATCGGACGAATTCGCCTTCACCCATCCTGGCAAGCCACGGGCCTCGAAATTTCCATCGCTTGTCATCGCTCCGTCCAGATTGAGATTCGGTGGAGTCAAGTTCTTCCTCGAAGACGGACTTGGGCCACAAGGAGGCTGACCTTGCTTCACCTGGAATCTTTCCTCGCGGGACCGACATGGCAACATGCAGCTCCTGGAACTTCTCCAACGACAGTGAATGGTCCGCAGCTGACGCGAAATCGGTAACATTCTCGACAGAATCGACCTTTTTAACTCGGATCAGAGGTGTCGACGTGGTCATTGTAGATTTTAAGGGGAACGGTCTCTTGTAGCCCCAGTCACCCTTCTCGCGTGATGAGAGGGGAGTCGTGATTGACTGATGCTGAGGATATTGTCTCGTCATAGTCGCTGATTTATGATCTCCAATGTGAAGGCTGGTAGACGGAGGTTCAGGAAGGGGTTTTGGTACTGAGAACATGCGTGATGTTCTCAATAAAGCCCCTCCGGGCGAAACAGCACGAGCCCCCATCGTGCGCGTTGCTGTTGGTGCGGAGGCTCAATTCCTTGACGTTGACGTGCTTGGATGCCCAGGAGGATATGCTCGTCGGATCATCGTAGGAAAATTCGCTGGACTTGACTGCTATGACAGCTCCTAGATGTGGGGATGAGCCGGTGATGAGCCGGCCCAGTATAAAGTGTCGCTGGGCTTGCGACTGCTGAGAGCACTAAAAATTCCTGGGGACCCACCTGAAGTCCTCCAAAGGTGTCGCCAGTTCACTCAAAAGTGTCTGGTCTGGCTAACCTAGACCTCAGACTGAAATATCTGTGACAGCCTCAAGACCCCAGAAAGCGAGGAAACCCGCTTGCCGTGGAGGAATTTCTGTGTGCAGGAGAATGAGGGCCGTTTCAAAAATGGCTTCTAATATTTCCTCATCCCCAGCGCTGTCATTTGAGCTAGTGGCTCGCTGCTCGGTGCGTACCACACTTGTTTGAATACAAATTTTTGCTGTGTTGCAAACCGCCTTCACGTTGCATGATGCTCATGTTTAATAACAGACAACCCGAGCCCGAGCATCCAATTTGACATTACCGCATGGCCCTGTTCAACTCCCCATGTTCATGCCTGTAGCTACTCAAGCTTCTCTCAAGGGCATCACTCCTCAACAGCTAGAAGAGACTGGCTGCAGACTATGTCTTAACAATACATATCACCTGGGACTGAAGCCAGGCCAGGAGGTTCTTGACGCCATTGGTGGCGCACACAAATTTCAGGGCTGGAAACATAATCTGTTAACAGATAGTGGAGGGTATGTACCTTGCTATTCCTTGTCTAGTTGAGAGCGTTGCTTACGTCCGGGCAGTTTCCAGATGGTCAGTTTGTTAAAGCTGGCAAAGATCACTGAGGAAGGCGTCCGCTTTCTGAGCCCACACGATGGATCTCCTATGCTCCTCACACCGGAACACTCAATATCCCTGCAAAACACTATAGGAAGCGATATCATTATGCAGCTTGACGACGTGTTGGTCACGACTTCACCAGACAAGGTTCGGATGCGTGAAGCAATGGAACGCAGTGTACGCTGGTTGGACAGATGCATAACAGCGCACAAAAAACCTGACAGCCAGAACCTATTCTGTATCATACAAGGCGGTTTGGACCTGGAGATGCGAAGAGAATGTTGTAAGGAGATGCTGGCTCGGAATACGCCTGGTATCGCGATTGGTGGACTGAGTGGCGGAGAGGCAAAGGCTGATTATTGCCGTGTCGTCGAAGCATGCACGGCCCTCTTACCAGACCTGAAGCCTAGATATGTCATGGGGATCGGATATCCTGAGGATCTGGTTGTCAGCGTAGCTCTTGGAGCCGACATGTTTGACTGTGTTTGGCCGACTCGAACAGCCCGATTTGGCAACGCCATTACAAAGCATGGCGTCTTGAACATTCGAAATGCCAAGTATGCAAACGACTTTGGGCCGATAGAACCTGGTTGTGAATGCATGTGCTGCAGGCAAGGAGAGGGCGGCATGGGCATCACCAGAGCATATGTCCATCACAATACGTCCAAAGAGACTGTTTCGGCGCATTTGCTGACGATGCACAATGTTTGGTATCAGCTGAATTTGATGAGGGAGGTACGGCAGGCGATCATCGAAGATCGGTTTCCGGCATATATTCGACAGTTCTTCGCGGACCTGTACGAAAGCAAGACTGATTATCCCGACTGGGCGGTGGAAGCATTGAAGCAAGTGAGCGTAGATTTGACGGTAGAAGGTTAAATAGAAACCGGAACATAGAAAGCATATGCATATAATTGTTTCGTCTATGACGGCATATAAATTTTGGGTTCGGAGAGATCTGACAAGTTGTGTTATGTGCTAGTCATAAGTGATGCAGGAGGAGTTTGCAATGTAGGCACATCTGCAGGGAAAGTACTTTATGAATGGGGCGATGTAGCTTGAAAACAAGGGTGATTCACATGTTTTTTTTTTTTTTTTTTTTTTTTTGAAATATGCAGTAGCTTCCGTTGTAAGGTGACAATGCAGCTTGTTAAAATTGACAACTGTCGCGACGTTCCGAACATGGAAGTGGAGAGCACCTTCTTTGGCAGAGCAATGGGCATGGGCATGCATTGTTCCTCCTGTAAATGCATGGGCCACTGAAATTAGTGACCTAACGGCAACTGGATAAGTTAATTGACTACAGTTACTGCCGACCGGACTTGACCCCGTAAATGGGCACGTGTCAACCAGGCGGACGGAGGGGTTCAGACTGATTCTTATTGAGCTACCAGACATCATATAAGCACATGGGACAGACACAATGTCCTTCTTCGAATAACGAGTATTGCGCAATTGCTCTACTGATACAAATTCAATGCCCAGCTTTGTACGCACAATGCGACTGGATTGATTATTGGCACCTTTTTTCCGTTTATTTGTTTACTCGTACTCCGTACTCCGCAAGGCCCTACGTCACCTACACGTGACGCCGGGTCCCTGTCGCGCGCTGCCCACTTGTTGGATGCCAGACGCGGTCCCCAGCAGGCCACGGGAACGTTGACCAGGCGTTTGACGGGGATCCAGGGTCGCAATTAGCCCAGACCATCAAGTTAATAAAAACAAACAACGACTGCCTGCCAGGACGCCAAATTGCTACCCCTCGATCTCTCATTAGAATCTTCGGCCTGCGGATAGGATAGACACACTTCGATACCGCCTGTTGCCTTTTGTATAACGCTACGCTGGCTCTCTCATGCGTCGTCGATTGAGGTCAGAATGTCGCACTCGATTCATGGGTCGTTGTCTCCACGACAGGGACCAGCATCACCAGCATCCAACAGAGCAAACGATGACAACTCTGGTTTGACACAGTCGCTGAGCCAGCTTTCTTTGACGAACGAACCCCAAACCCTGAAGCCTCTTCCAAGCCCAAGAAACTCCTGGGGAACTCCCGCTAAGCCGCCACCTCGAAGATCGTCATCGGCCTCACCTCATCCTCGGACGCCTTCTCGCAGTCCTTCTAATGGACCAGGCTCCAGAAGAGCCTCCCATGCTGATACGCCGCCACTACTTCGAAAGGCTTCCATGAACTCTTTACATTCTGCGAATGGTGTCGCGCCTGGAAGACCTTTGGCCAGGCGATCGAGCTCATCGCACATTATCTCAACATCCCCAGCAAACAGGACCCCCCCTGAAGAGAAGCCCCCCCTGACAGCAAGAAGCATTGCTAGCGATTACTTTGCGGCTGAACTTGCGGAATACCATGGAGCTACTCCTACGCTACCAACAGACACTGTTGTTATTCTCAATGATGCTGTATACGGGCATCGCTTCTCCCGCCCTCGAACTTCCCGAAGTGCGTTAAGCACCATTGTGGAACGACCCGAACGTATCAAGGCTGCTGTTCTAGGTATATCTACAGCATACGTACGGTTGGGTGGTCGACACTGTCAGGGTCACTTGCCTATTCATCCCAAGAGGAACCTCCCCGACATCAACAGCATTCCCTTTCGCATTCACAAGACAACTAGACAGCTGTCACTGCTGTCTTCAGCAGTTACCAATGTACATGGCACCAAGTGGATGGAGGAATTGAAACTCATGTGCGGTTCGGCTGAGTCAATATTGGCTATGGGAGGAAAGGAGCTGCAACGGCCTGACATTTCTCGAGGACCAGAACATCCTGCACCACAGAAGCTCCACGAAGGCGATTTGTACCTGTGCGAAGAGTCTCTCAATGCCATGCAAGGTGCTTTGGGCGCAGTGTGCGAGGCAGTGGACACAGTCTTTGGCTCTGGTCCTCGCAAAGCGTTTGTCGGCGTAAGACCCCCTGGCCACCATTGTTCTGCTTCTCACCCTTCTGGCTTCTGCTGGGTGAACAATGTTCATGTGGGTATCATGCATGCTGCACTTCAGCATGGTCTCACTCATGCAGCCATAATTGACTTTGATCTTCATCACGGCGACGGCTCTCAGGCCATTACTTGGCAGCACAATGCCCGCGCTAATGCGGCGAACAAGAGCCACGCCTCTTGGAAAAGAACGTCAATAGGCTACTTTAGCTTGCACGACATTAACTCCTATCCTTGCGAGATGGGTGATGAAGACAAAGTCAAGAACGCGAGTCTATGTATCGATAGTGCGCATGGCCAGTCCATCTGGAATATCCACCTACAATCCTGGAAAACGGAACAAGAGTTCTGGACCCTGTACGAAAGTACATATGCTATTCTGCTGGAAAAGACACGAAAGTACTTGAAAAATGAGACAGCCAAGCTGCGTGCCTCAAACCAAGTCCCCAAAGCGGCAGTCTTCTTCTCTGCGGGCTTTGATGCCAGTGAGTGGGAGAGCGCGGGAATGCAACGCCACCATGTGAATGTGCCGACCGAGTTCTATGCCAGACTGTCGCAGGATGTTGTGAAACTGGCGGCAGAGGAGGGACTGGCTGTAGATGGTCGGGTGATCAGCGTCCTTGAAGGTGGATATAGCGATCGCGCCCTGTGCTCAGGAATAATGAGCCATCTGAGTGGCCTAGTTAGTGGTAGTCACGACAAGGAGCAAAGCACAATCAAGACGGACCAGGAATCTAGCGGGCTCGCGTACGAGATGGGCCAAAGGATCGGAGCTATCAACTTGAACGCGGTTCCGATAATGAAACCACCGCCGTCAATGTACGACCCAGCATGGTGGGCAACGAATGAGCTGGACCTCCTCGAAGAACCCGAGGAGCCTCTAGCAGTACCAAGAAAACCACGCAACTCTACTCCTCCGACCTACACATCGCCGACCCAGGCCTCTACTGCTAGAGTTGCTGACCCCATCAAGATGAAGAACAGTCTCTCTGGTTTGTCTACCAGCTATTCAAAAGTACCTCAGAGGCCAACATCACCCCCACCTCCTGAAGTGCCTTGGCATATAGCTGCGAAGGAACTGTGTAAAACTCTGATACCATCAGACCGTCAAACAGACAGTTGTACGGCGGAGGATCTCAATGCTGAAGCATCACGGGCCCGAAGAGATCGTCAGTCTCTGTTGCTCGGGAACCAGCCACCAACACCATCCGGATCTGAGAGATCATTATCAAGAATGTCGTTACGCGAACGTAAATCGAGGCCAATCGGTCCTATTGACGAGGAAATGAGCGAAGTGCTACCGAAGACAAGAAGAAAGCCCGCGAGCACACCAATATCATCTCCAGCAAAGGTTCGTTGCCCGTAACTAGCTTCTTGCATTTTCGACATATATACTGACATTGAGCACAGGCTGGGAGAAGTACGCCTCGGCCAGCTGGAGCGCAGTCCGCCAGAAAATCCAGCCGCCGCCTGAGCGTGGCATCTACGAATCTGTCCCCTCCCAGGGAAGAACCACCTCCGGTCCCTCCTATCCCAGCCACGGCGCCTGTTCCTAGCCGAACAGCCAGTCGACCCAACTCTAGGGCGGGTAGGACACAAAGCAGCAACAAGGTTCCCGTGAAGAAGACCCAGGCAGTGCCATCCCGAATAGACCCTGCACCCAAAGGAGGGCGAAATGCGGCAAGGGCGAGCACTCCTGCTAAAGGAGCGAAACAGTCTACAATCGCGGCTGACACGCCGACGCCGGCTACGGGACTACCGCTCAATGCTGTCGGTAACGATGCCAAGAGCGATATTGACAGTTTGACCGACGGTGTCAAGAAGATAAGAATCAACTTGATCACAAAAGCACAAAGGGACGGGAAGCAGAAGGCCAAGCCGGAACAAAGCGTGGAACCTCATCGCCAGCTTGGGCAGGATTCGAGCATAGTGAAGTCTGAGAAACCACCTACACCTGAAGGCATGTCCTCGATACCAAATGCTCCGGAGCAGCTTCCAACTCAACTGGCGCCAGCTTCTGGTCTCCCTGAAGCACCACCAACACCGTCACTAAGTGGAGGAATTTCAACTCCGGTGGAGGAAATGCACACATCTAATACATCGTCGCCTACGCCGACTCCGTCTATTCCCACGGGAAGCTCTCCGGATGTACCGCATGTTACTATTCAACCAGCTAGCGACGCCAGCGACGTCTTTATTCCCTATCAGCCAGAAGGACCTGAACCTGTCACCATGGTGCAGCACGAGCATCTGAAGTGGCTTCCGCCTAACATTCAGACGCCTTCTTCTGTAACTCCGGTTCATACACCTCTGCCTAGCGCGACGAAAACGAAAAACAACCTATTCCACTACACCTCAGGGATCCGATTCGCCCCAAGGCCGGATGCAGAGTTACAAGGACGACCTGGATCTGTGGACAAACCACGCACAGGGCATGAACAGTGACGGTAGTCTAAAGTGCAACAGCTCAGTCCGCGAAGGAGTCTTGCCAAACACGGTGACATCAAATCATGGCTCAGCAATGAGATTCATTGATGGAGGATGCTTTTCTTTTCTTTTCTTTTCTTTTTGTCTTTGAGAAAACGGAAACTACGTGTGATGTGGAAGCTGGGATAGTGGTAGCACACACTTGTCATTTTCACGCTCGGAGTTTGTCTAGCAGGCTTGTTTTTGATTGCTCTGCTCTAGATATTTGGGTTTGACGTTTGACTTGTGTGATACCCCTTTTGATTGCGCTTTTGGGAGGAGTATATGGAAAGTGGCGTTTGGGTTGTGGATTTTGCAAATGACTCTATGGAAAACTTTTGGTTCCATCTTTTCGCAGTCTATCATTTTGTACAGGTATATATCTGTTCACGATGTCAAGTGTTGCCTGAAGACGTCTATGGGAACAGCCTTGTCAGAGAGCGTTGCCTTTGTTGAGCCGGCAACACCGGGATGTGGTTGACGCTCAAAAGTCCAGAGATTCCTGACACCCAGCTGTTCTAGATAGGACAGACCACGGCCGTAGTTTGTGCCTACCTGAGCAATGCCGTGGCTGTCATCAGACATTGTGAACTCGCCCCCCATCTTGATCCATTCCTGCAAGCAATGTGTCAGTCTTTGTCTTTTGACGACCGTGGTCCTCTCGTGCGCACTCGCGCCCACGCTCCTCGAGCAACTACTCACCTCGGAAATGGCGCGGCAAGGATACGGCTCTTGCAGCCCCTTTCTCAACGCGGCCGTGTTCAGCTCCAACCACCCGCCCTGGTCCTTGACGACTTTGAGATTCCGCAACACCCTGTCCCACACGCCCTTCCACTGCCGGACGTCGCGGCCCGGATCCGCGCTCTTCAGGCGGATCAGGTCAAAGTGCCCTACGATCCGGGGCCTCAGCGCAAGAAGCATCTCGTGCTGCAGGTCGTAGTAGTCCTGGTACAGGCGCTCCTCCGACCCGCCGGCGGCCCGGACGGCCGCGGCATAGGTGGCCGCGTCGTAGTCGATCGGGACGCCGTGCACGTGGTGCACCGAGCCGATGAAGTAGTCCACGCAGGCCGGCAGGGCGAGTTGCCTGACCAGGGGCGCGAACGAGGGCCGGATGAACTCGGCCTCGAAGCCGATGAGGATGTGGATTTGGCGGGCGTACTTTGCCTGCAGGCGCTGCGCCTCGACGAGGTAGGCCTCGTGCCGGGGGGGAAGAGCCTGTAGGGATTCCCGGGGACAATCTCTCTATAGGCGATTTTTAAATTTAATTTGTATGTTCCTTTTTTTTTTAGACGCGGCAGTGTGGGCATTGGGGGAGATGGCGATGCCCCGCGAACTCACCTCCTCGGGATACAAGTCCTGCTCCTCATAGCGCGGCATGTGCTCGGACAAGCCTATCGTTTTGAAGCCCAGCGCGATGGCGTGCTGGATGATGTCCTCTAGCTGGTCGACTGCGTGGCCGGGGCAGAACTGCCCCGAGTGGGAGTGCATGGTGAAGGCCATTTGCTTTCTTTGCCGGCTACGGCTACGGCTACGGCTGTGATGCCGGTTGACTTTTTGGTTTACAGCCCGCGCGGACTTTTTTTGGGATGCGGTAAATAGTGCACGAGTCGGATGGATGGAAATACGTCCCGAGGACTGTCAATTGAGGATAGATGGCTGCGCGGGCGCAACTTTTTATATATTCTTGGGGGAGCTGTCAAGATGCAGTCAGATCTTGCACGTGGCGTCACTGCTGTCCATACGAAGAGATTATTTTTTTTTTGGCATTGGGGATGGATCCACACGGGTGCCGCGGGTGGGCTTTGGATGTGACGTCGCCGTGGGTTTAGGAGAGAACTGGAAGATTTTCTTCTTCTTTTTTTTAATTCATTTCAGTGGCATATATCATTCTTGTGGCGAGATGACATGTTTGTGATTTATTTTATTTTATTTATTTTTTTGCCGCATTTGTTTCGAGCTTGGAGTTTTACTGGTGCGTGTTGTTGGCAGGAGACGGTTTAGATCCAGAAGAGGAAAGAGCGTACGAGGAAGCCGCGGCGGCAGCTTGGGCGGTAATTTTGGCTAGCCGCGCCGTATAAGCATGGCGTGACGCATTACATTTGTGCCATGCCTTCAATGTTCAATGTTGCGGGTTCGTTGAGTTCCCCGCTGCATAGAAGGTGGAAACGGTGAAGCTGATTATTCTGCATTTTGGATTATGCAGAGCTACTGAGCTGGGCAAGAACACCGAACACCAAACACCAATGGCACTGGTAACATTATAGTCGACACCTCCTTATAGCCCAGGAGATGGGAATTCCAAGCATGCATAACAAGACGCATCACCAGTCTCTTATTGGCTCACCAACGTTCTTCAGCTGTGCCTCAGTTGCCACCAGCAAGGCCCCTTGCCGGGAATGTGAGATTGGCAAGAGTTTACAAACCGCCCTGTGTCGTGAGTAAAAGATACAAGGTGTCAAAGTCACTTGGACTTGGGGTACATCTGAGCAGATGTCGAGCAACAAACCAATCGTGCAAGTGCTACGCCAATCTAACTATGGACGTGGTGCACCCGTAGATCTGCGGCCATGGATCCGTGGGCAGTGCAACACTCCCGAGCTCGGTTGACCAAAGCCCGCGATTTCGGCGCCAGTGGCTTCAGATAAGATCGATGCTCGGGAGGGTCACTGTGTAGCTTGCCCCTCGGCTGCCATGTCCGCACGGAGAAGACTGGTCGGAAATAACATTTGCGGGATGCCGCAACAAGGCGAATTGTGACATGGCGAGCAACCCCCCTTCTTCCGTGTGTGCCCAGACAGACAGGCAGAACCATGACCATGTAGACAAAACAAGCCGGAGCAATCGCCAGATATATCCTTTGGCAGCAAGGCAACCACATGAACACTTCCTAATGTGGATGGACGCGGCCTAGACTGGTGATGGCGCCTTGCATGGGATGGTGCCAGAGCTGCATTCACCCCTGCCACGAGCACGCACTGCCAGGCGGCAGAATGCAGGCTTTACCGGCATATCGGTGAATATGCCGACGCGGGGACCCAACAAGGTGCGTGGCCCTTGGATGTTGATGCTGCGCAGTATCAAACCATGCCACCTGGTCCCCGGTGGCTTGTGTACAAGAGAACGGCCAACGGGCGTCATGCCGGGCCAGCAAAGACGGCTTCTTGACGAACAATTCACGCCGTGGCAGAAACACACATGCAGCGTCTTGACTCGCAACTTGTAGCTGAGTTCTTATAGGTGGCCGGGGGTCGCTTCGCTTCGCGCCGCTACCTGTCGTATGCTCCGTATGTGTGATTCACTCCAGCTCACCGAATCCCCAAACGAGCATGCCGCGCAGGCCCAACTTGGAAGCCGCCTCTCCGTCCCGAGGGCCTTCATGCTGGTCTGCTCACAGCTGTGGCCGGGCGCCTGTCCCGATCGACAGCCGGACGCCTCGACCGCGCCGTGGGCAGCCGTCGTGACTTGTTTCGTCACCTTGCAGGACGAAAACCCCTGTTTTCCGCCCGCCGCGAGGACGCCATGTCTCTCGTGCAAGGTCAAGATACTAGTACGTGGTACCTTGGGCGCAGGCCGAGTCAGTGGGCTGAACCATTTGATGCAAGCCTTTCTCCAAGAGTTGATCGGCTCGCGCGTCGTTTGCCCTCTTCGGCTAGAGGGAACCAATGACGACGTCATGCTGCGTATTGGCCGTTCTTGAAGGCCAGTGAGACATGAATACATGGACCTCTCCGCGGCGTCTATCACCGATGGCGAGGCGGCAAGCTTTTGGACCTGGTATATGCCCGTTTCTCGACATCGCTTGCTCCCACGCACCCCGGACGCCCGCCCCGGCCCAATCGGCATCTCAAGTCGTAAACTCTTGACATGTCCTGTTTTTTGGTCGGGCTTGATAATGTATTTGAAACTACTTGCTGTCCGAGTATGCGAGGCCCGTGGCAGGCTGAATGCTTCAACGGGAAGAGAGTGAGACCTTGTCGCTCCGCATGGCTTGTCGTTTCTGGCCATTCCAGCAAAACGGCTTTCCCTCGCGCCTCGTGCAGAATCGATAGGCAGATGATGCCCAGTCTTCTGCGTACCCTGCCCCAAACTCTCGTCACACACTGGCATTAGTACTCTCGAGGACCGCATGTCGACGTCTGGCTCAATGGGATGTTGCGCTCCGAGACCATCACTCCGGTTCGAGGCTTACAGGACCGAGAGCCTGGTCCGTAGTCCCATTTGGGATGATGCGCAAGTATTCCGTACTCCGTACTCTGTTGAAAGAAGAAAACAAAGAAAATCTGAGACTGGGGGTTTGATTAGCAGACGCCTGGTGTATGCGCCAGCCGTTGTGCGACATGATACAGACAAGCCCACGAGGGGTTGGTCTATCAGGAAGGGGTACGGAATACGGTGCTTGAATCTCTGTGCTCTCATGTCGTACAATAAGCAATAGCGTTGGAGCTCCGGTTCATCATGTGATGAACAATGTTTATGCCAACGAGTGGTTATGGATGCGAATATGGCGTTTCCAATGTCGGGCTGTTGCTACCCGAGGACAAGGCCTCGATATCAGTTGAGAAGAGCAAGCATTCCGCGTTGAGTATATATGCATCATCTGGACAGGAAACCAAGATAGGTACAATACACTGTTTTCCCGTAGCCAAATAGACGCTGAAGAGTATTTAAACAACATGCTGTTATCCATACCATTCTTTGTATTACACGGTCGCTTTATTGTGTCTAATTCTTTTCGCTTCTAAATATAGGTTGGGGTGCAGGAGGCGATGTAGCAAGCAAACGATCCTAGAACCACTCCCAGATATGCTTCTTGTACCACGGCTTCTCCTCCTCCTTATATCCTTCCTCCAAGACATCGTGTTGGCCCACAATAGTCAGGAAGACCTCATTCAGAGTCGTGGGGGTAACGCTATAATGAGCAATGCCCAGCGCATCTTTATGCTCCTCCAGCATGACTAGCATCTGTCCAATTGCACTGCCAGATGCCGAAGCGTCGTTTTGACCATCAGACTTTCCATGTGGTGTTAGAGACGAAGCAGGAATAGAGTAGCGCATCTGGCCGTGGAATGTCTCGTGCTCGATTTTGGCATCAGGGAATGTCTGAGCAGTCCAAGCCCGGATACGTTCCATTTCTTCCAACGTAGAATGCGGCGCCGTCTTGCACACAAGATGCACGTGGAGAGTGTCGCCAAACCGGTGCCGCAGGGCGTCCGTATTTCCAAGAGCGAGCATGCGCTTCGCCATGATGCCGGCGCGGTTCGCAAGGGCATCGGCTTCTTCCATGCTATGCGTGGTGAGCAGGATAGAACGGCCGGGTGTAATTGTTTCCAAAGTCCGCCACATGACTCTCTTGGCCGCGGCGTCCAGCCCCGACGACGGCTCATCGAGGAGGATGACGGACGGGTTGCCCGTCAGAGCAATGCCAAGAGAGAGTTTTCGCTTGTTGCCGCCAGACAAGGTGTGAGCCATGACCTTGGTGTAGTCGCCGAGCCCAACGGCGCGAACAACAGCGTCGACCTGTTTCTTGACGTCGAGGATCCCCCGGATGCGAGCAAAGTGCTGTAGGTGTTCTTCCACCGTCATGGAATCAATAGCATCGAATTGCGGGCAGACGCCGAGGTTCTGACGTGCCAGTGCTCTGTGCTTGGTGACGGAAGCGCCTTGGACAAATACATCACCGCCGTTACGGCTGGGGTGCAGGTCGCCGCGAATCAAGGAGATTGTGGTAGACTTTCCGGCGCCGTTGGGGCCAAGCAGAGCGAAGACTTGGCTGCGGTCAACGCCAAAAGTGACATTGTCCACGACAGTCTTCTTCTTGAATGCCTTTGTGAGATGGACAACTTGGAGACCGTTCGCACGCTGCCCTTGCCCTGCATTATCCACACGAACCAGCTCGTCTGCAATTTCGGCGTCATCAACCTCGGCAGTTGGCTTTGCTTTGCCGGTAGCGTATTTGCCAGAACCGGTCTCGAGCCAAATGACGACACCAAAAACAAGTATTGCCTGTACAGCAAGGTACAATACCGGCCCACCGTAGGCAGTCATGGCTCCTGGGTAGCTTTGCAGCTTGTCTCCGTCACATGTAGTTGAGAATGTATTGAGGCCGACGAAGAATGCCCGAATGAGAGAGCCGGTAGGGAAAATGACAGCAATGACCCAGTGCGAGATGAGAATATTCTTGTCCAGAGACGCAGCCTCAGAGTATGTAAGAATGAAGAGGAAGGAAATCACGTACACGGCAAACCCCAGACCTTGAAGAACCGCCGTTGCTGCATATGTTGCCAGTGCGCTTTTGCAGACCAATGAAAACAAGTATGACCAGAGAATTGTCACCATGCCGTAGAGCATGAAGACGGGGAACAGATACCCAGGATAGTACCAAATATCAGACGTCGTGGCAAAGATGATTGCAACGAGAGCCATGGAAACCAGAATGATGCAAGTGTCAAAGAGCAAGTGTGCCGCCCAAACGGGGATTGTCCTCGCTCCGCTCGAATATTGCAGCCCGCGGATCTGTTGGCGTTTTTCAAAATTGGGATAGAGACCAAATAAGCCTGGAAAGATGGAGCAAGCAATGCAGAAGTAAATAACCAGCTGTAAAGCGTCCAGAGTAGACGGGGCAATCGGAGAGTCAAAGTGCGTATACCTCGTCGCAATGGTCACGTTTGCTAGCATATTGTTCATCAGATTCTGTGTCAGGACAGAAGTATACATGGAAAAATTATCCGATCTCCAGGCAACTGCAGGCACTGATCCGGAATCTCCTAGCCACCATCCACCAGGGGATACGGTCCTGCGGTTAGTCTCGATATAAGATTGCATTTCAGACCGAGAAGCGACTAATTTGAGAGAGAAATCGCCAACGTCGGCAGAGCCTGGAACAATCGTTTTAGTGAGATCCCTCGCAACGCTTTCGTTGAATTTAGAAGCTGGTCCCCCGACTAAATGAGCAGAATTGTAAAATTTGGTAAAATCACCAAAGTCTGCTCTTGTGCTGGATTCCCTGGGGCTGCACCCGACAGCGGACTTATTGTTGACCAGCATCTGCGTGATGGCAGCGGCAATGATGGGGATGATGAATGCGATGGCGTAAGGAATCCAGTTTGTCTTGAGGATAGTGATTCGTTTGCGAAGGAAAACCAACATCTGGCTTGCCCAGTTCACCGGTCGGCCGGATAGGAGCTCCTGGTCGATGGCAGCTCCTTGTTTGGCGGCGTCTTCCGAGTCCGAGAGCCTCTCCTTTGTTGCCAATTGTCGAGCTTGATTGTTTTTTTGGTTTCTACCCTCGTCATCTCGTACTTCGTCAGCAAGGTTCAAGAATACGTCTTCAATAGTCGGCCCGGAAAACTGATAGGGGATATGAGCATGCTCCAAGGTGCGAATGACTTTTGCGGCGAGATTTGATGAAGGTGCAATGTAGGTGATGGTGTTTGAAAGTTCGTTTCGCTGGACTTCAGGCACCTCGGGAGCGTGTTTCATGTACTTGGCGTTGAGAACATGTACCCGATAACCAGCACCGAAGCGGTCTTTTAGCTGGGCAGATGATCCTTCAGCTCGAAGTTTGCCCTTGGAAAGGATAGCGATATTATCCGCGAGTAAGTCGGCCTCATCCAAGAAATGCGTCGTCATTACGATAGTCCGGGTTCCTCTTTCTGACAGCAGAATATCCCAAATCTTCCTTCTTGAAAGCGGATCAATACCAGACGAGACCTCATCCACGCAGCACACAGAACTACCTCCGGTTAGCATCATACCTAACTGTAGTTTGCGCTTCTGACCGCCTGAGAGAGTCTTGGACATGGCTTTTGTCTTTTGAGTCAGGCCAATAGCTTTGATTAATGCCATTGTCTCCTCCTTGGTGGCATATCGTTGCGGCGACTTGAGCTGGTTGAAGATGGTGATGTGCTCTTCGACAGTAAGGTCATCCCAGAGCACATTCTTCTGTGGTGCGATTCCGAGACCGCCCCTCGCATCAATCGAGACGTTTCCATTCGTGAAGTTGCTGATGCCAGCAATGATATCCAGCGTTGTACTTTTACCGCTCCCGTTTGCACCAAGCAAGGCCAGTATTTGGCCCCTGTTGGCCGTCAGGGTGAGATTATCAACAGCGACAACCTCGGGCCGTGGTGGAGAAACGAATGAGAAGAATCGACGCAACAAGCTTGGGCGGTATATCTTGGTCATATTCTCGACACGAATGACATGGCCGGCCTGAGCGGCAGCCTTCTCTGGCGACGATGAGCTGCGAACGCCGGTGGTTACTCCATGCAGTGCGCGCTCCAAGAATACAGCAATGAAGGGGTAGATGAGAAACTGCAAAAGCAGAAACACCCACAAGACAATGCCAGGAAGGCTCCAGGGACTGTCTTTGTGCGTTTTGGTCAGGCTCGCCCCTTGGCCGTCTTGTTCGTATCGCGCGACATACGTAATGAAGTAGACAAAATTGCACGGGGTAAATAACAAGCCGAGAATGGCAACAGTAGCTGTGCTTGGATTCGGAACAGCTTGTGCAACGATGCCCAATGCAATCCATACCACGGCCGTGACTACGCCAGACATCTGGGCCTTTCTCCAGAAACACGCGCCGAGGAGGGACATGGACGTGATTGCAAGTCCGCTGAGGACGAAAAAGATGATCATGATTCCAAAACTGGTGTTTTTCCAAATGAGGACTCGGCAGACTACGGACGCAATAACCCAGCCGGGCAAGTAGGTGATGATGAAGGCATTCTGGTGGGAGACCAGGCGCACGAATTGTCGGTGCCAGCCCCGTGTCGCAGGCATCATGGCATCGATGAGCTGGGAAATACCAGTCTCTCTCTCCGTTGCGATCAAGCCCGGCATGTGGTAGCATACCCCAATGAGAGCAATCACAAATGCGACACTCAGGTAGTTGATGAATGTCTTCTGATACTCGCGAAGGACCCGTGCTTGACGTTCATCCTCCGTCTCCTGGGTGTAGGGGTACTGTTGCACCTGGGAGGGGAATGACGAGCCAGCAATGGCAGCGTCAACGGCGTGCTGCAAGGGTAGAGTATAGACCTCGGGGTCGTTATCGTCGTGGTCATTTCTAAAGTAGAGTCCCAGCCCGGCATCTGCTCGAAGCGTGTAGTTCCAAATTCCTCCGCTGCCCTCATCAGGGGAAGAATAGAATACGACAGCACCATAACAATTAGAGGTGCCGCGAATAGTGCTTTTGCAAACATAGCCAAGGTCGTCTTGGTTGGAAATCTTGGTCGCATTCTTGCCTGCGTCACCAACAGTCTTGGAAAGGGAGCCAATAACGCGATCGATTTCTCCACCGGCATGTCCCGTGTTTACGAAAGCGACGGTATCGCGACCTCCTTGGGCCTTTGAGAGCGCCTCTCCAAGAGAGAGGATATTTTGAGGAGTTCCGATGCCGAACTGATCATTGGGGTTGTTGAATTTCTGACCGAGACCGAGATAGAGAGATGCGATGATGGGAAGAACCAAGGCGCTGTAGATGGTGCTTGTGGAGTGACGGGTAAGAATAATTTTGAGAGTCTTTTTGGTGAGAGTGTTGGTTTGACGGTATACATCCATGGTGAAGGATTCCTGCCCGCTATCCCAATCCGTGATAAGGCCGAAAAATCATGAAGTCCTATTTCTAAAGCTCTCCAGAATGCAGCCAAGGTCTACTAAAGGACTAAAAGATTTGCTCAAGGAGTGCGGGATATATAACAGACTCACAACCCATCATAATGTGTCTGGTATTGTGAGGCTGTCTTGGCTGATGCAGATGCAGCCCATCCCGTCGCCGTTTTGCCTCTTTGGGAATATTGAACCGCCGTGTGGATCCTCGCATTTCGCATTTCGCCTTGTCGCAACTTCATGGTTGTGCTTGGACTTGACGTCCTGACGCTAGGCGTAGGCGCTGGTCTTATCGCGCCAGAAGGCTAAACGTTAACGTGTGCTCCCACGCCATTGGATCATGGCATTCGTCTGCTCAAAGCTTGGAATGATCCGGAATCCATTTGTTAAATCATTGCCACTTTGAACTTCTCTCACAATAAGCTGGCTAGATCATCCCCGAGACCAGCTCTCCTTGTGATTTGTGACGGACTTTGTTTTCTTCCCTACCTAGGTAGTTATGAAGACCTGAAGCAAACTCCAATATCCTTGCTACGTCACCCGCCCAGACATCTCGTGCTTGCATGTGGACGAATAAGCTCCAGGGGCAACGCCACAGCAAATCGGCTGTCGGCACACCCCAGCAGCTGAACTCGCTTTTTGCGAAATACGCGGAATACGCGAAGTGTTGAATGGGTCCACCATGCTTGGCATCAGGAGTCGCCGTTGTGCTGGGCGAGGCAGTGTTTGTTTGTGGTGGTGCACTCCGTAGGATTCTAGGCAACCCTTTTAGGCTCACCTTCGATTGGCGCAATTAAATGTGAGTTGTCATGCGAAGTGAGCTTGAAGAAATTATGTCTTTTGCATAATCCTGGGAGAAGTTGACTGCTTGCCCGCGTAATTGCAGCAAGAGGAGGCTATGCCGCCAATAGGCCTCGTCATCCCAGGCAAGGCTGTCACTCGAGTGGCCTATAAGTAATAATATCAACTGGTGAATTCGAGCTTGGCTCATCAGCTTTCAACTGTCCGAGGACACATGTCCATAATTCTCTGTGATCCTCAGGTCGCGAAGTAGGTGCCGTAATGAAGAACCGATTAGACTATTGAGACTTGTCTGCTGTTAGATGAATGATTTCATGAAATTTCCAATCTTTGGCGCTTATATCCTATCTATTAACTTGTGGACTGTGGAACTTTGGGAATCTCAGACGTGAACAGTGATAACCCGTCACCGAAAAAGTTCCTCCAACGAGCATTACGGGTGTATAGCCCTCCCTTGAAGCCTGTGTCATGCTTATTTTGAGTTCGGTAGGATTCGGCTCTGCCAAATATTACGCCACGCCCCAGAGTCGGATTGACGAGGGAGCAGGAAAACCCGACGGAACACGTTACACCGTTTGCTGCAAAAAGGCTTCGCTCTAGAAACTTTATTACATCAGATCCACCTGTCATCATATTAGTAGAAAGCCATTAGATACAACTGGGTTCCAAACTCTCACTGGTGCTGGGCAACATTCGGGTACTTTTCCCCCTTTTCACCACACCAAAATGGTGATAGTCCCGTATCAAGCAGATGCTGAGAGAAATAAACTAGAGAAGGTGGAGAGGAGACCCAAGCGAAGCAGGGTATCGGTGCTGAAGTATTGTATAGCATTCGACCAAAATAGCGAGGCCTAGAACATGATTTCGGCTGATTATAGCCCTACTCTTAGTTCACCTCAGAATAGATAGTCAGGGTTATGAGTGAGTTGGGTTAGGGTTAGCCAGAAAATGGGAACTGGTGTCAGATGAGTAGTGCGGCGTGGGCTGTTAACATCATGTTATGAACCGAGTCTCAGAAATAGCTGAGTTCGTACCATGCCCGTGGCTTCCATGCAATAGTTTATCACAAGTTGGCGGGGAAAGATTGACTACACAGAGCGCAGCCACGACCACTTTAGTAGACTCAGCCGTCCAATGCTATCCGCGATAATTAGCCCTGAAATATCAGTACATATCTTACAGTCGACCCAGACCTTGTAGCTGTCGAACCATTGCACAAGCCATGTCTCGTGTGGAGGTTCATGGGGAAGAGTGGAGGCCTATCGTAGTCGACAAGACGGTAAACCGGCAAACTCCGGGGTCTTGCTTCCTCGGAGCTAGCTGTGAATGATGGAAACAGAACGCCAAGAGTGCCGGGTTTCTTTTTATCAACTGGGTTGCGGCTGCTACTTCGTATCTACCCATTGTCGCTGACAGGTATCAGGACCTCCTCAAGCACGTTAAGCGAAGCGATACTGCTCCTGGACAATTGGCAACCGGTAGGTAAGTTGCCTGACTTGGTAATGGTTTCAAATCGGCAGTTTGATCGGCAATTACAGACCTATAAACAATTAGCTGTTAGCGCTGTGAGGCAGGAGAGGAAAGACTCGGATGTACTTTTACATGTAATAGCCAGCCGTTCAAGTCACGGCGACAGAGCTAATCGGTAGGCTTTCCAAATATGTCGTGGCAAATCTAATATGACTTCTGCGTGCTGTATGATGAAATTTCTCGCAGGTTATTCTACTCTTGAGCAGTCTCTGATGCCATCGCACACAAGAAGTCGGTCGAAGAGAGTAGGAGATGGGGGCCAAGGGAATCAGGCCATGGCTTCAGATACCACCTGGTGTTGCATCAAAAAGTGGCCTCAACTAGCCATTAACAGAAATATGCAATGGTGCGAGAACGGGAGGGATATATCTGTTTAGACCGTCCCGCCGCTGATTCGTGGAATAGTCTTGTCAAGATCAGGATTTTCAGATGCAAAGTATTGGATTTTAACACAATGTTTCCTGCAGACATTCCGTTCTGATATGGGTACACCATGATGAGAGTACGATTCTTGCTTCAATAGCTATTCGAGTTCAGCTACAGCTGAATCATTTGACATCCAGCTCCAATCGGCTAACGGCCTAACAGCTGCAAGCGGGAATTGCATTCTTCTCGTATGAGTTGTGCAGCATCCGTAATACTGCTCGACGCCTTAAGTCTGGGGAACCAAGAATCACCTATAAATATGTTTCCAGGTAGCGCAAGCACAGCCTAAATGTTGCTTGTTGTTCTTAAATGCAACTGTTCAAATGGCGGTTTTGTAACTGGCCTACACCGTAAGCTTGCGAGCCTAGGTCGTGTAACTGGTGCAATTTTGCAACGATAGCTAGTAAGTTTAGAGGTTGGCGGCCTAATCTGAAGCTTCCGGATATATGCTCTGAACCAATAATGGTTGCTATTTTCGATTGAAAAATGATTGTACGTAGCATGTGTGGTGGCTCGAGTACGACCAATTTCGCAGGGCTTAGCTCGTGAACCATCCAATGGTGTGAGCTCCAGCCATGGCGCATTAAAGTCTTACCTGCACTCGCGCTACATAATGCCCTTGCTGAAGTAGGCAATATTAGGTTTTGACCAACCCGAATTTTTCATAAAGTGGGAGGATCAGCACTTTGGCAACGTGGGTGTGCCTGGGGACTCCTTGATGATGATGATGATGATGATGAGGCGACTGTCAGCGTGTCCCTCGCGGTTGATGCTCTTACTGTTGACCACCTCCGGTCAGCGGCTCTCGCGACAATTAGCCCATCAACGGTCGGTAGATTTAACCTGGGTTAGGCACTAAGGGAGCTTGTATGACCGGCTTGACCGGCGGGAGAGAAGTGTCAGCTCACCGCCGAATACTCTCGTTTCTTTTTGTTGTCGGGCATTTGGTCGTTCTTGACACAAAGTCGCACCCAGTGATCAAAGTGTACGGGAAACAGCTCAAATGTAAATAAAGATCGGGGAAATTGCAATGGGCAGAATTAAGTGGATAGTGAGGACTTTCGAGATTTTCGAGCACTGTCCGCCGACGATAAACGGAAAGGAAAAGAAAGATGAGGGAAGAAAACCATGCTGAGAGCCAATGCATCGGAAAAGAACCAAGCTTCACTGTACATTGGGGGGCATTGCGGGGCTGTGATTGATTGCATGTGGTCTGGTCACTGGTGTCTCCCATCGCACCTGCCAACGAAGGCAAAGCTTTGGCCTGGTGCCAGCCCCGTTATTTGTCGGGGAAGTAGGTACAGAGTATCGATGTTGATCGTAACATTGGACTGCCTCATCACTTCACCTATTCCCCATCATCTTTGTCTGGCTTTAATTTCCACAATTCCTCTTCTACGTTGGCTAGTGTAAATATTTCAACTAGTACCAACTCCTTCCAGGAAGAGTGAATAATCGCTAACACTTTCGGCGCAACTCTTCGGTCGGGCTTCCTTGAGCAACTCACGCTCAGCTTTGATTCGGCATAATCTTTACCACCCTTGGAGCACAAGGTCGAGACGTGGAGGCTTATTATCCCATGACGAATCGGTAACATGGAATTACACGTCTGTGAAGAATGAGCCTGGCGGGGGGTGAATCCACTGGAGGCTCGTCACGCAGTAAGCGCAACTGTTGATGCACCATGCTCTCAAGGAATACGGTTCAATGACACCAGAGTCACTAACCTTCGATTTTGTTGCTTATTACAGAGTCCTAAAAACAAGGACAGTCAGCGACAGCCGAATGAGTTCCGTACCCAGGCGACGATCCCCAAGGCTCGGTGAATGATGATGAGGCTCAATCCACACGTACTCCTGTGTAACTTATCATGGACAATGCCCCAGAGACCACTATACTCATCGGAATATTAAAATGCACCTTATTTTCGGCTGGCAAGCCGTGGACAGAATGCTTTGCCTTACCACAGCAATCCTCGTCAGTGTCGTCACTGTGCAGGTGGATGCGGGTCAACCGTCTGTCGACTCTGTCCCCTTTCTTCCCCATGGACGTGACCAACTCTACCAAACCATGGGAATATCAACCAAATCGATTTGACCCAATTTCATTTCAATGCTGGGCCATGTGGTTTAAGTGGGCGAGACGGGCACCATGCGTAACGCTAACGCCACGTTACCAAATTCTCTACTAGGCCACGGACGCGAGGCCGTAGCGTCCGCATTGGTGTGGTAACGATTCACTGCCCTAGTTTCGGAGAGAGCCGATATAGCTAGCAGCTGGTTACGAGCTTGAATGGCTGTGCTCCAGCTTCTGCGAATCTTTGTATTAACCGAAGGTCGCGAGTGCCAGAAACCCGGTTAGGTCAAAGCAGTGACGCAACATGACCAAATATGGCTTTCGCCGCGGCTCAATGGTACCAATGGGGTTGGATATTGTTTGAGAGGGAGAGAACTAAGAAGAAGTACCGTGTCTTTGTGACAGCCAAGAACGAGTAAATGGCTGCGATTTAGGGCTCAAGCGTCTCGGTAGTAGTCGTGAGATTACCTTTTGATAAGAGGCTCGGACATAACTTCGACATGGATTGACCATCTGACTATAAAATATAGGGAGAAAAGAGCGTTACTCTAAAAAGCACATCAACCATGAAGGCGAATTGTTTTGTGGCGCTTTGGCAAATCAAGGTGGCAGCAGCCTTGACAAATAATGATAGTACGGAGTACCAAGCCACGGACAGCCTGTAGGCCACTGGTATTAGCATCTATCCTGCTTTCGGAAGTACACATAATGCTTGACTCTGTACTCCGCGATGTGCTGGATGATGATCGTATCATTTGTTGGGCTCTCATCGATCACCTTATCATGCTGACGAGACGTGTTGCCAGTAACGAAATCGGGCTGGTGGCTATCCAGATCCTTTCATCTCGTCGGGGCAAAACCAAATCAATGTACAAGACACAATACTAGCATGGAGGTGAATATTGATACGTTGAGCTGTTGATTCAGACAGGGCCTCCAGATACTACGAGAGGGTTGGTTGGGTTGGTTCAATGTTGTCATTAATCGCATGGTACAGTAACTTGCCGCTCTATGGACACGCCCAGTCAGAAAACCACGGACAGCAACTACATTCTGAGACTCAATTTGTCTACGACTCCACTTGCATGGCTACTCTCTGTCTGAAAAGCGACAGCCGAACCCAAAATATGCCGGTATGGGCGCAATAAGACAGAAGTGAAAAATGGCAGCGCTCATTCATCGGAGAGACAAGATGGCAAGGCCGCTTGCTACACATTTAGACTGGAAGCAATGGGGACCAAACCTTGGATTGAGCGGCATGCTAGCAACAAGGAGTACTACCCTGGCCACTATCTTGTCCATTGAGATATGATCTGGACGGAGATGACAAGATCTGGGCTTTCTATTAACTCCCGAGTACGGCCGGTTAGTTAGATTGCCGACAAACCTGTTGGGAAGATCAAGAGAGACGATCCCCAGCAGGTGATTTACATATTGAGCTCTTATCTTCCACATCCTCGGTACACTATTACACTTGCCCCTGCTCTGTCAGCAACTCGTCATCCCAGCCCGTACAGAGTACTCGATACATGCAATGGCATCAAGTAGTCCGTACCTCTGGCCAGGCCTCGCTTGGTTGACAACTTGTGGCGTTTTGCGAGGTTAGTAAGCCCGATGCGCCGATGAAGACGCCAGCGATGCGGGGACGCTCGAATGCAAAAAAGCCACGATCATGTTGATTGCTTGTTTGTGCAACATATGCCGGACACTCGAAAGCAGTTGCAGAAACATGTGAGACTCTTAAGTACGGAGTCTGTCGCCATTCTCATGAGATGATGCTGCGGCGGCTACGACGTAAACATGGCGTTGCCATCAAGCCGTCCACACAATCACGGTGATTGCCATTGGAGGATATTTTCAGCTCCGGGAATGTCTGCCACCTGTGCGGGCCTACACTGTTGAGCAATTAGCTCAAAACAAGACGAATTCAGCTGAGCCGCTGATGACCAACTTCTGCCGACTTGGTCCAGTTGGCCGCCACCAGTTCACAAGGGTCGCGCAAGCCCAGGAACACATGTACAGGGAAGAGGGGTCATGCTTTTGTTGATGGTGCGGGTATGAAGTATGGGCGGGAGGGTATGCAAAGTTGTCAGCCTCCGTTTTGTATGGTGGGCTATTGACTTGATACACAGGACATACATGTATCAACTTGATGTGCGAGCAGACAACAAAGTGGTAACTTGGCCGCTTGGGGATCGCGCAGTGGAGCCTGCCGACCAGAACTGGGCCGTGGAAGTATTGTGGAAGAAATGGCCGCATGCAGTTATTTGGCAAATTCACAGTCTCAACTCTTCCGTAATCAGTGTGGTTCGAACAATACGAAGGCCAGTCACAGAACGCAAATGGTGGGTGGTGATGAAGGCGCCCATGCTAGCCCACGAGGCCGTTGCAACGCTACAACATCAATACCACAACCACCTAGGTACTTAAGTAGGCATTGCAAAGCTCTTTGACGTCCATGCCTTCATTCTCTCAACAATGAGCACGGGCCATTGCTCGAGGTCAAACTACCCTGGTCAAGTAGTAATTGATAAGATGGCAGAGATTGACTGACCTTTATCCTATTGCCAGTGCTGCGATGAGGGAGGTTGAGAATGGGCGGATCGCGGATCGCACCTGGCCACACAGCCCTTGTTCGTGGTGCCAGCAATGAGGTTGGTCCTTCTACTCCGTACTCGGTAGGATCTGGACCTAGGCCCCGAACATGATCAAGATGCCCCAGATGCTGGTTCATGCTTCACAGGCATCGGTCCAGCTCGGGGACTGGCAAGGAGACTGAACCTTGGGATGTGGCAAAGACTCGTGCCGAGAAGGGGGTCAAGAGTCAAGACAAACATTGAACCGCCCTGTGAGATGGCCAACACTTCAACTTGGCACGTTGCGCTCTCCGCTCTTGCCAAACGCCGCGGTGGGGATTCAAGTCGGATCGAGACTGGTTGTTGCGGTAGTTGTCATACATGGGCTTTTATTTTTTTGCCCGGTCTCAAGCGTCCCGTCCTCTGTTTCCGCCAGCATCTCACAAGCCAAATGCATGTCGCAAAAAGAACAGCACATTTAACTAGACGACAGGTCTGGACAGAATACCGTCCCGTTGAGAAACCTGCAGAAGTACGGAGTCAAATCAAGTCCACCCTCGCACACGTGCTCGGTTCGGGCCCGGCTGTCAATTGATGCCTCTGGGTGGACACCAAGGCGGACTCTGCATATCTCTGCATGCATGGCACGAAGTAGGGACGTCTCCCAATATGCCTGTGGGCATAGAACTGATTTTTCTCCCTCGATATACCACTGCAATTGTCTCTCTCTTCATGAAGCCCGCATTGTAAGCACGTATTTAGAAGAGATCCTAGCGAGACTCAGAGAGCGCGATCCACTGGCCGACATGGACGGTCTTGTCTGACGGCCACATGGAGCAGGCACAGAATTGGGCGTGTGATTCTGTGGTGTGACTGGAAGATTAAGGTGACAACCAGGACACCCCCTCCCTGTTCATTTAGACCAGAGACTAGCCTGGCTGCCATCCAGGAACCTGGTTGACGATGACGGGCCGGGGGTGCTCTTACAAACAAACCCCTGTTCCCGTTCGTTTTGCATGTCTCTGCGATCTGCGGAGTATTGTACACACCTAACCAGTTCTTTTGAGGTCAGTCCACTCCGCCAACAATACCCCCTCTTACAGCCCGCTGATGAGCATAGGCAATTCCTCCTAGGACAAGAGAAGAGGATGATGCCCTTTGGTGTACGGATGACTCTCCGGACCCGCCCTTATGAGAAAAGGGGGTGTGATTCGATCCAAAGAATGGAGAGAGAGGATTGCGGTTCGAGAAGTTGAAAGTCCATGTACCGAGCACACCTGGGCCATGTAAAGGAGACCTCTCAAGAGTACCGAGTACTTCCCACCATGTTCGATACCCAAGTGAGAGGTCACGGAGATACTGCTTTGTACGTACCGAGTACTTCGTACAGCGTGACCAAACAAGAAACCGGGGTAGGCTCGAGACCACTACGGCCAGCTCGGCTTTGCCTCACACCAGGGTTCTGACTGGTTTACAGATATATACATATAGCACAGTCACAAAGACATCTTCAACGAGGCGCTTTCCTTTCACCTTCACCATCCTTGAATTCCTCAGACTTGGTCTACAGGCGTGGCTTTCCTGTTATATAATACAATCAATGAGTTTGAGGCGCCGGATATCAGGAATATCCTGTTGATTGGTCCCTTGGCCTACCTGACCTCCCTCTGCGGCCTCCCACCGATCACTCACATTGTCCAATTTAAGGAGCAATGTCTGTATTGACAGAGACGTGTTGGAATTATCCAGCTGGCTCCGCAACACTGTCCGGAAACGCGGTGGCATTTACACCCATCTCTTTCCCAGCCTCGCCAAGTTCGACATCTCCTCCAGCAGCTTCACCCCCGCCACCAACTTCCTTGTCGACAACCCTTACAGGCGTGCCATATCCGCCCATCAACCGCATTCGAAATCGCCGAAATAGCTCTAGGATGCCTTCGACCTCGTCATCGTTACCCAACCCCAAGGATCTTAGTATCGAAGATGATTGGACCAGAGTCAAGGACCCAAAGGAAAAGAAGAGAATACAGAATCGGGTGGCGCAGAGGACATATCGTAAGTTGCTCATTATACATGGCTACACGACTTCGCCTTGGTAATTTCAGATACTAGAAAGTGGGCGTGGCGTAGTGTTTCTGATTAGGTGCTCCAAACGCTTCTGGTGTCTGGTATTGAAACCTTCCCAGAAGGCCAGCTCGCTAACAACCTATGATTTAGGTCATCGAATGAAGGCAAGACTTGGGGAGCTTCAAGCCAGATTAGATAGCCACGAGAGGCAGAGAATCCATGCAGTTTCCCACGGTGGGAATGAGATGGCACATGGGGTGACTGGCGTGCCCCTTGGGTATAACCCCAATGCTCTCACCACAAATAGCCATTCCAACGTCAACAGCCTCGCTAGTCTCAACTCGATCTTGGCGCCATCGCATGGTGGAGAGACGTCCCAATCGCCCTTGGGCAACGACCAGCACCCACCAGCAATACCAATGCTCCAGACCAATATATACGACCAAATTGCAGAAGAGTCAGATCCTTCGTTATTCTCGCACAATACGCAATTTCTGAGCAGCCCACCGAACTCTCACACATCTCCTCAGAATCAGAACGGATTGCCTTCTCCCCCTGGGAGACCAGATCTTGAGAAGCCAAACAAGGTATCTCAGGATTTTGTCCTTGACTGTCTCCATTTTCAGACGCGGCTCTTGAACAGACTCAATACCCTTGAACAGGACTCTGGCTGTTCGAGTCAAGGCACTTACAGTCAGACTGATGGACTTTCACATTGTATGTTCACACGTCAATCTTTTCGACACAGGGAATTTGTAAATTCCTGTGCTAATCAAATATGTGATAGATGGTATGAGCCAAGATCAAATTGCCTGCATGAGGACTTTTACCCCAACTCAGACAGAAAGCGTGGAATTTGCGTTCGAGAGTGCAAACGATGGTTGGAAAGCTGATGGCTTTCCCCACAAGCTTCGCCAACCTTCTTCAACCGGATCTATAAGCTATTCTCCAATGTTGGAGGCACCAGCGCCAGGAGTTGAAACCGAAATAGGTCAAAATACTCACCATGGTACCGGCACCCCCCAAGCACCAACCGGAAGCGGTCCGATTCCAGCGCGGAATGCAGCCACGGATGAACGCGTGGAAAGCATAATACGGCATTTGCAGTCAATTGGCTTCGAGAGCTTCGACGACCTGGCTGCGGCTTATTATAGCAGGACATTCAGTGATCTGTCACCAATGACGGCTGGACAACACATCAGCAGAGACAGGCGGCTAGCGAAAGTCATCCTTAATGTTTTGCAGGCAGCTGACAACTGGACACACTGGGAGCGCCGTGGCTTCCACGAGGAGATTCTGAGAGTTGCCGAGTCGGTGGTGACTCCAGAGATCTCAGCCACGGGCGATTCCCTCGTGTCTCAAATCAGGTCTCTTATAGAGACGCTGGATTTCCAAGATTTGAGCAAAGCAGAGTCTTTGGAGTCTATGAGGGACTTGATCCAGCACGAGGTAAGCAGGCTCAAATATGACGCTGACAAGCCATGGACGAATTGCTAAGTACTTTGGGTGTGATAGATGCCAAACAGCTGGTCCTTGAACATGACCCTTGCCAGCGGGAAGGGGTCTATGCGGCACAACAATCCGTCGAACATTGCGCTAGCAACCACACTGCTCCAGAAGTTTGCTGGGAGACTACCAAAGCACGAATTAATGCAGTTTGTTGAAGCTTGCCTGTGAGGAAAGTCTCGAGTGTGGTTGGATGCCCCCTAGTGCCTGCGTGGATTGGCATTACGACAAGAGACACACGCCAACTGCACTTTCCTTCTCTGTATCTCATTTTAGGTTTGTTCTGATTCTCGGGGAACGGCAGGGGAGTTACAAGTGGACATTGGATTACTCTTTTGTGGTGCATCTTTTGGGATATTGTCGGCCTCGGCTTTTATGGGAGTGGTGATGACAAGCCAGGGGTTTTTCTTCTTTGGCAGCGTATAGTAGGAGCTTGACTCATGTAGGATACTGACCGATGCTTCAGCAGCCGAGGCATACTTGGTGATACCTGTTACCAGGGCTTCCATTGGTGGTGCTGTTCGCTTGGTGATGGCGGCGATTGGAGTATAGCACGCGGCCGGCGTTATGGGCCCGGGACCGCCAAGCTTTTTGTTTCAAGCACAATTTATCATGTTGGGCAATTTTGAGTCGCTTGGTATTGAACTTGTGAATATGCAACATTTGGCCATGTTCAAATGGCATGTATCATGGGCGCGCACTGACATGAATCTGACTGGGGGCTGGGGAGGTGGAAAGGGTCATTCATTGTGTGCCGGGGAGAAGAAGAAGAAAATACATCGAGTTGGCAGAGCAATGCAGCGAGTTACGGAGTACTGGGAGGCTCACATGAGCAAAAGAAGATGTAAGGTGACGCGAGGAGGCTGGAGATGAAGCTTGAGCCTTACAAATTACACTTGAGTGAGTGAGACATGTTTGGCCTGGAATTGCGAGGGCGGCGGCGATGGCCAGCGGTGAATAGCATGCATGCCTGCCGCGGCCCATGTCCATGTCTATGTCCATGTCAAGCGGGGAAATTTGGAGTAGTACCACCACGAAATGGCAATGTCGATGTCGATATCGATGCCGGTGATGCCAATTTGGAAATTGGATGACGGGGGCGATGGACTGAATAAATTTAATTGGATTGTGGGGCTGGAAACAAGGCGGGCAACTTGGCAAGGAAGGAACGGAAGTGAGGGGTCGCGCAGGCGAGAACCGCAGGCCATCTTCGGGATGGCCATCGACCTTGACACCTCCGCATATGCGATATTTGTCGCTCGGCACTCGTCACTCGACCTTGGACATCTTCAAGCACTTGCACTCACATTGTCCCTTCGTGTCGTGCGTCCCGGACCACCGTTGTTGTTGGGGGCGTACGGTTTAACGCCGCTGCCGTGTGTCGGACCCCCTTTGGGACAGACACCCTTTGGCCTCCTCGCCTCTGCCTGCCGGATTTGCATCTCTGATCGCTGAGAAAAGGGACGGGCCACGGCACCCTGGTTAGCCTGATGCCTGTTTCGGCATTGTGTTGAAGCCGTCTATTGTCCTTTGCTCCACGCGACGCCGCGGCACTCGAGCCGGGGCACGCCACCGACGAACAATCGTTGCCGCGGGTATAAAGCACTGATCTCGCTGTTGGTTCCGGCGGCGGCATCTAGATCTTTCAGGACACCGAAGAGGGAACTCGGTAAACGAGAGTGCTACTGTGTATCTTGGCCTTGCATTTCTGGGCATTGGGTCCCTTCCCTCCCCCCCAGGCCTTTGTCCGCCCTCGTTTCCCGCATCGGACCCTCCGTCGCGAACTTCTTCGTTACCAGGCGTTCACCTTCACCAAGCAAGGGGCCCATCACGAACAATGTTCCCGGGTGGCCCGAACCCAACCCAAGTACAGTTCGTACCTCCTGGCAAGGCTCACAACTCGCCTCTGCCGCTCGTCTTGATTCACGATGGCGGCGGTACGACCTTTAGTTACTTTGTCCTGGGGAGCTTAGCACGCGATGTATGGGCCGTTCACAACCCCAACTACTTTGAAGGTTTGCCGTGGGAAGGAGGCATGGATGAAATGGCAAAGAAGTATCTTGATTTTATTGCGGGGGAGTTGGTTGGTCCCATAATGTTGGGAGGTGAGTCTTTTTTTTTCCCTTTCTTTGCCCGCTCCTCAATGGCCTTGCCGGAACAACTTAGTCCGGGCCACCGAAGGGGGAGTATAATTTGCGGCAAGGAAATGAGGGCTAATTCTTTTTGTCCATTGTTGGACAGGATGGTCCCTTGGGGGGTATCTGTCTCTCGCCATGGCACGAGCCATTGCCGCCAACCCAGGGGCGTATCCCATCTCAGTGGCAGGGCTTCTCATCATAGACTCGCCGTATCATATTGCCAGGAGCAAGATCACGGTGCCGACGTCCAAGCCTGAGCTGGCGGGCATACCGCCGTTGGTGCAGAAGTCATTCGACAACTGCGACGTTATGCTTCAGCATTGGGACCTGCCTTGGTGGGATGCCTCGGACAGTGACGCCAGCACGGATGTCAAGTTCACCGTCGCAGGTGAGACATTCGCCGTCCGAGAGGGGGAGGTCCTCCACAAGCCTGTCGGCTCCGATGGCAAGTGGCAGACGACTGCCGTGAAGACCTATGTCAAAGACGCACAAACCGACATATCGGGGCCCGTTGCAGGTGGCAGCCCGCCGCCAGCTGTGCTGCTACGCTGCATCAAACCTGCGAAACCGGCACCGAGCCATGTGAGCAGTGGCAAGAGTCAAGATGCCGCACCTCCTTGTTTGGTTGATCTTTTCCGGGACGAGAAACTGCTTGGTTGGGAAGCGCGGTATCCCTCATTCATCAAGGCGGTTATTGATGTCGATGCGGACCATTACAACCTCTTTGATAGGAACAATACTGTGGGGGTGGAAACGGTCACGGCGCAGTTGGTACAGGGGCTGGAAGTTTTGGATGCCTTGCATGAAGAGAGGAAGAAATGTGTGAGGGGGCTTTAGTGGTGAGTGTCCCGGGATATGGACTGCATAAGAATATAGCGTGATAGACGACGTGGTAGAGTCCTTGGCTAGAATATTGTCATTAGATGAGATGAAATGAGACCAAATTCAACACGTGCATGTCGGAGGCCGGTCTTGATGCTCCCGGACGTCTCGACACTGAAAAAGAGACACCTTGTCGACAGTTTCTCGTTCCGCGACGAATTGATTCCCGACTCAGACAACCTCGGCCAACCTCTCCATTGTGTCTGCCTAGGGATCTGCATATTGTTTGCGCGGCGCCGTCAACCGTCTGGTGGACCTCGGCGATTGTCTCATGCACACTCGGCCGAGTTGACCGCAAAGCGGAGGACGGTGTGCTGTATGTTTTGATGAAAATCTTGGCCAAGTCCTGATTGTCTGTTCAGCCAATCAAAGAGATGTATTCTCCAGCTTTCTGTTCAATGGTCTGTTTCTGTATTGAAGTGGCATTTTATTTCGCGGTTTGCTATTTTTGGAAGGTTTCACGTCGAGTAGACCACAAGATGCCGCGGGGATGTGCGCCCAAAGCAGGCTATTATTCCGTATATGAAGCTGCATCCCGTGCGCGTCCAGTGCTTGAATGGCTACAGTGAAGATGCTGGGCGTGGTTCCATGAGAAAGATGAAGGTGCCCATCGGCGACTGATGGAGACATACATACGCGACCATTCACCATTCAAGCTGACTTGGTGGGTTGGGCATATAACTTGGCATAACACGTTTATTCAAAGCCCAACTGTGCCGGCACACATTGTTCCCGAGTACTCTGCACCGAGGAATGCCGTCCAATCTCTTGAGATAACGGCACATGCAGGCATTCGCCGTCTGCCTCGCGGGTACCGGCGGGCCGAAGAAATCGAGGACCTGTTACGCCAAAGTATTCGTCAAAGACAAGTGTTTGACAATACTACTCCGTACAGAGTACATGGAGTGGAAGCAAGTCTGGCTCATTTTGGGCCATGCTCTGCCCCGTCCGGGCCTTGCAATTGCAATCCCCTCCCTCCAAAGCACGCCACTGTGACACGATGATGTATGACAGATCAGGCCGCAACAGACACCAATATCGGAGAATCCGCTCAGCCAGCTAATAGCCATGGACTACGCCCTTGAGCCCTAAACCGATCTCAGTGTAGCACGACCCCCCCCCCCTTCCATGTCCCGTGCAGACGGGCATGGCAGCAGTGCCAAAACCACCATCCAATCTTTCTACTGGAGCAGCGGCAACCATCATACGGAGTACATGGAAAGATTGGCGGCTGAAAGGCCATGTCCCCCTCCCACAAGAAATGTTAGGGACAGGGATGCCGTCGGTTGACGCCTTGCCAGGTGGCTGCAAGGCGGCCACAATCCAGGTCTTGCGCGAGGGTGTTTTTTTGGAAAATTACCACGGCCATGCTCTGTACTCTTGAAAACGCTTAGCTTTTCTCGCAGGGCACGACGGCGTACATTTGGCACAAAATATACAAACATTTTGGTGTGCAATGTCGCTCTTCTGCCTCCAGATACCGGGGGGTTTACGACCTGGCAATCACCTTGTTCTCTGAGTGACTGCGTACTGCTCCGTGCAAACGGCAGAGCCCGAGCGAGCACATTATAGTTGGGGGTGGTTTAGCCATGGCATGCACGATCATGAGCTTCGACTTGGTTTCCAGCGATCCTGGACATGAGGCGGGGAAAGTCGTTACACGGCGTCGACGCACTAGCCGCGCTGCCTGGTAATTTCCTCCCATGGCATGTGATGCCAAAGGCTCAAATCATGGGTTATATAAAGTCGAGAGCCTTTCAAAACAGCAATCCGGATGAAAAGCCGAAAGGAGAGCCGCGATTCTGAAAGCCCGTGTGCGAGACTGGACGTATGCCGATACTTTCGGGCCCAAGGGGGGCACGTCTTCTACCTTCTGTCGAAAGAAACATGGAATCTCGCTTGCAGGGAGCACACTCGAGGAAGAGGGCTCCCAATGTCCCCGGGAGGCGGTTGTCGCGCGGCCATGTCTCTGGGCATCGAGGACGGGAGGACGGCACAGGTCCCAGAAAGGGGGATTTGCCTCAGCGCGCACAAGAACGCCACTTTTGCCGCCTTTGCCTTCTCTCGATGGCAATAGTACCAGTACGGAGTGCTTATTTGGGTGAATCAGTTGCGTCCACGGGTCCGGCCTCCCGGCTTGCCATTGGTGATGCGAAATTCTCCGGTCGGGTATATGCATGTACATCACCTGCTGGGTTTCGACATATCCCCTCCGTGGCAAGGTCTCAGGGCTGGGATATCTTGGATGACGTTTTGAAAAGACTCGTCATTAGAAATGGCCTCATAGTTTCTGCATGATTCACATGGAAGCAGGGGCCAGCGGTTCGTGTAAGCCGTACAGTAGAAGACTGCATGATTCGTCATCTGGCACCGCAGGTTGGGTTTGTCTTGGTTGAATTTTCTATGTTTGAGAGCCTTGATGCGCATCTTGGTTATTTCAGGCTTCTGTGCAGGTGTAGTTTGTGCACTTGGTAGAGCATGTGTGGTTGGAAAGGGGTGGTATTCCGTCTGACTTTTGCCGACATGTTGGATACGTGTAAAGTTGTAAGTCGATGTGAAGACACCAATAGCAAATTTGATGAAGCTGGCTGGGCCGCCGTCTTTTCCAGCGTTGAATACTCGACTCTGAGACGGGTTTATTCTGTTCCGGGGAAACCCATCTTGCTGTCGTGAACCAAACAGCCGCATCTATGAGATAGTGTGCCAAAGGGATGAATGCTTCTCAAGTTCCTGTTGCGCAGAGAATTATTCCAACACCCCGCGAGAGGCTTCTCAGTCCTGACTGGTGTTTATCTCTCGTAAAGGAGTCTGTAATCAAAACCTGACGGACTAATAATAGCCATTGACAGTCTAGTTTGGGAGCCGGATTCTCGCAAGGCTCGTCCAATGGTATACCATTCACAAGACAGTTATTCTATCACCAGAGACTGTTGACCGGCCGCTGCATTAGGAAAATTGAGGAACAAAGACCGAAGCTTGTACATGTGTAGGGCAGCGTTAAGGAAACCCGTGAACAACTTTCCTTTGGGGCCGCTGAATTCTTTCCATTCTTCCCACCACTCGAGTTCCCATTGCCGGCCTTCTCCAGCTCCTTCGTCCCCACCGTTATCGCTTCCTCCAAAACTCTCCCCCGACTTGGCCGTGTAGGGGCCTGCCGTCACCAACAAATAGACCAGCAACGGCCGCCAGCACACTGATCTGCTCGCCGGCGCCAGTCTTGCCATCAGAGGTCCCTCGAGTCCACGCTCGACGAGTTTGTTCACGCCAGTCTTCCACTTGGCGTCTCCGTTTGTCTAGGAGGCTCAGCAGTCGAGTTTCCCCACGAGACGAGGCCTATTTGAGGAGAAGGATGCGTCTGCACAATCACATTGTTGTAGCTGGCGTCAGGAGGTGTAGTACCAGTAGTCGATGAGGAATTGCCACACGGTATACCGCCAACGTCGCGTACATGCCGAATCGATGCGCTGCGACTTGTTCTGCTATCGAAATGGCCGTGTGAAAAGGGAGTGTGTGGCGCATGCTGAAAGAACCTCGTTGACTGAATGTAAGTGTCCCAGAAAAAAGGGGGGGCCGTGTCTTGGGCGAGGAAGATATAAAAGACAGAGTTTGAGATTGAAGTTTATTGCTGGCACAAAACCTGCAGTTGATAATGCGTCAGGAATAAATCGACCTTGCCAGGCAAGGTAAAGGCTGGAGTGAGTGGGTTGGGTGTAAATGCAAGCTCCAGATCCCTCAGCGGCATCCTATCCATGTCATATGTCATGGTTTCTGTGCGCCATGAACGCTCAACCGCGTGAATTTTCGGCCAAAATCATGACATGTGCGTGAGCATCGAATTGAACATTTGAAAGCCAAGGTTAGTGCAGACTGCAGAAGCGCCATTCGAGATGCAGCGTACGTCGCCGCCCCACACTCTGCATCTCGCAACTCCATCTCTACCTCATCTGCATTGCCGAGTTGGCAATACCAATTCAACACACAGCCGGCCCCTATACAGACCAAGCCAGAATGTCGTCCGGAATTCGCGATAAACTGTACCTACCAGTTGTCGGCACCCAGCTCGTGGGCATGCTAAGTACGCACCCCAAGCAAAATCCAGCTACGTAGACAGGGTACTACCAACTCCAAGCTAACATCACCAGTCCTCGACCTCGTCCCCTTCTACCCCAAGTTCCTCTGGCAAAGCCCCTCGTCCCTTCTCCATCCCCTAGTCTCCCTCCGCAAATGGTGGACAATCCAATCCGGCGACCCTTATTTTGCGTCCTGCACCCACGAGCCCTGGTTCGAAGCCTTTCTTTACGTCGAGCTGCTGGTGCAGCTGCCACTGACGGCGTATCTTGCCTACAAGCTTGGCTCGATGAAGCCCACCTCTGGCGCCACTGAATTGGCCGCTTTGGCCTACGCGTGCGTGACGTTTATGGGAGCCACGGCATGTGCCTATGATATCTGGCACATGGGCGCGGACAAGGTCAGCGTCGAGCATAAACCACGGCTGTTTTGGGGCACATATCTCCCCTTTGCGGTTATTCGTAAGTTGCCATTTTATTCAGTATCTTGTCCCTGACACAGTAGACTGACCTGTCTCTCCTAGCCGCGTTGATGGCCGTGGACATGTATCTCAGGCTGCTGGCGAGGGTCCAAGATCCGCGTCCAACCAAAAAGATCTAAGACGACGCGCGTAGGAGTAGGCCTGGCCGCACCCAAATCTAATGTACGGCCCTAAACAAATAGAGGACCAACGGCTATTTGTATTTAACAAGTGAAAAAAAAAACCGTCATGGCTACAAGCCAACCGAAAATCCTCGTTAGACGTGATACAAAAATCATTCGACACCAGCCACCAGCCCAACTCCCCTATAGCAAATAACAGTCGGCCAAAGAAACGCCACGTATCCCACCCGTCATGTCATGTATGCAGAATGTACAACAACGAACAAAAACAAGAACAAGAAAAGAATGGAACCCGTCCAGCATATACACTCACTCAATCCTTCTTGGTATAACCCCAGCCGTTGCCAACACCTCCGCTGCTCAGCCCGTACCCCAAGGGCGTGGCGCCGCCCATCGACCTCCCCTTCAATCTTCTCGGCAGCACGACGCCAAGAGTATACATGCCCGCGACGACAACACCGGCGCCAAACGACACGATGCTGTAAAACACAGTGGTCGCGTAGATGTGGCCCCCGAGGCCCCTCCACTCGACACGTCCCTCGGTCTTGGGCAGCGCGGGCGTGGGGAACCACCGCACGGAGAAGGTGAGCGGCAGCGGCTCGCCGGGAATGATGCGCGCCGTCTCGGTGCCCTCCATGTGGCTCAGCGGGCTGGTGCTGTAGGCAATGGCCGAGTCGAGGACGCCGCTGTCGTGCGGCCGCTGGTGGTGCTTGGGCATGCTGTGCAGCAGGACGTTCATGTGCGTGCTGATGTGCATGTGGCTCATCTGCAGCGTGCCCGCCAGCGCAAACACCAGCGGCACGTACTCCTGCGCCGGCGGCTTCTCGCCGACGATTTCCACGTGCGCCGGCGGCCTGGCCGGGAGGCGGCACGACATGGGCGCGTCGCTGTGGATGTAGAACTCGAGCAGGTGGAAGAAGGGGTCCGAGATGAAGTCGAGCGTGCAGTTGAGCTCGCCCTCGTAGCCGTAGTGGAATTCGAGCGGCTTGCCCGTCTCGTTGCACACGGGGAACGGGATCCATTGTATCTCGTCGTTCTTCTCAATGTGCTCGCCGGTTTCTCTGCAGCATTTCCTCGTTAGCACCAAGCATATGCTGCACACTGCGCAAGTATGAGGGTGTTTTTTTGTTTTCTCGTTTCTTCCCGGCCCAACCATGTATCGCAAGACTCACGAGCTTCGGTTCATGCACTCGACCTTGATTGGCGCATTGTAATGATACGCTGGCAGTCCGTCGAGGTGCTCCTTGGTGGCGGCAACGCTGACGGCGGCGATTGCGCCGAGCAGCGCAGCTGGCAGGGCTAACATCTCGACTGTGTGCGAGGAGGTGATGTGCAAGTTTATAGTGCACGCCGCGGCTTGCTGTCGTTGAATCCGGCCGGCGTCGCGTGCGGTATGTCAACTGCAATAAGGGGTAACATGAGATAGGTTTTCTGGGCGGCATGGTGTTGAAGCCATCTTGAAATCCGTTGTCCTGGACCAATCAGGTGCGGCGGTGACGTCTCTTCAACAGGGGTCTGGTCCCATTCCAGGGGCCAGGCACATGCATTGGGCCAGATGGCTAGTGGTTTGGCAAAAGTCAAAATGGCAATTCGGCTTCTCAGGAGCAAGACAAATAAAAAATACATGTAAAAAAAATAAAAATAAAAGATATTCAATGGCAAAGATGCTACTCATCAATCAAACCAAGTACTACCCTCCAACTTCTATTGTGCCGTTTTAGACGAGAATCCGGGTCGGGATCGGGTCCTGGCAACGCGACGCTGACGCCGCACTAAGGCGCATGCGCACTGCCACAACCGCAGCTCAATCAAACCAGTCTCACAAGGGATGACTTCCTCGACAGAATTCCTTCTGGCCAAAAGCCCATCATGGGACGGCTCGTTCTCCCTGTCGGGTCGGGCTCAGGACGCCCAACGTTGATTCTGCTCACCATCTAGGTCGCCAAACACGGCCCATCCTTGGCCCAGAATCCCGTCTCATGAACCTCGACACACCGACGTCTGCGGCCACAGACACAACCCCAGCACGATGCAGTTCGGCAAGGCCATCGGGACGGCATGCAGCTCCTTCGCCATCACCAACATCGACGACATCTTCGTCCTCGTCACCTTCATGGCCGAGGCGTCCACCACCAAAGTCCTCACGCCCCTCAAAGTCACCATTGGCCAATATGTCGGCTTCACCGTCATCATCGCCGTAAGCATGATTGGCTTTGGCATCTCACTCGTGCTCCCCTCAGAGCCTATTGGATTCCTCGGCCTGCTCCCAATCCTCCTGGGGCTATGGAACGTGCTAGGTCTTTTCTTCCCCGACCATGAAGAAGAATCCGAGGGCTCGAGAATCGCGTCCATGAAGAGCATCTTCAAAGTAGCTCTGGTGACGGTCATGAATGGCGGCGATAATATCAGCACGTACATCCCCCTGTTCTCGCAAACAAAGGGGGCAGAAATCGCCGTGTATGTTGTCGTGTATTACATCCTGGTCGGAGTGTGGTGTCTCGTCGCGTTCCTAGTCATGAGGCAGAGGCATGTTTTGAGAGTCGCGGAGAAGTACGCCCATTACGTGGTGCCGTTCTTGTACGTGGGACTCGGCATATACATCATTGTCAAGTCGAATTGCTATCCGTGGACGATTCGCCGTATTGATGCCGAGAGGGAAGGGCATCCGGGGAGCATCATCATGGGCGTGGTGACGACGGGGCTGTTGCTGATGTGCATTGCGGCCATGCTTTGGGCGAGGATGCGAAAGAAGAGACGGTCGACGGCCGTGGACGAGGCAGGGACGGTGCTTGAGGAGGTGCCGGCTCCCTCGGCGCGGCAGTCAACAGAAGCACAGCAGGCCCGTGAAGCTGCTGAGGCGGCTGGAGAGAAGAAGAGTGATGCGACGCCGAATGTGCAACGGCACGATACGCCGCAAGGAACCTCGGCAACGACTTGAATGGTGTAGATTCATACAATAATCTCAATTTACTGAACACCGAGAAACGTCATAAACACGTCCATGTACACCGAACAAACTCACTTCCTCACCACCCCCGTCGTAGAAATAATCTCCCACTCAACATCCCACCCCTTGCCCTCATACCTACTCTCCACAAACTCCTCAACCCCCTTTCTTACCACATCGACCGGATGCTCCCTCCTCAACTCCTCGCTCCACCACGTATTCATAATAAACGGGATCATCATCCCGAAAAACCGCACAAACTCGGCCGCATTCTCAACATGGTACCGCCCTGAAGTCACGGTAACTTGAACATCCCCAAACCCCTCCTCTTCAAGATGCCGCCTAATCCACTCACAATCATACCACCTCCCCGAATCATGAGTCTGCATGGGCAGTTCCTCCGGAAAGGGGGCGTCAAACGGCAACGACGCAAAAGCAGCACGCATATCCGGGATCCAAAACTTGGAGCCATTCCCACGCGGAAACGTCGTCGCGCCAAAGACTCCGCCGTCTTTGAGTATTCTCCAGCAGTCTGCGCACAGAAATCCTTCAGTTATCCCACCGTACGTCAAAAGCGTCGAGGAATAGACTCTTACCCTTGAGCACTTTATCCGGCTCGGGGATCAAGTGCAGCCCCAGCGCAACAGCAACATGGCTCAGCGAACTCTCCTCCAAGCCCGTATCCTGCCCAAAACATCAGCTCAGCCGTCTCGCGCACATCCATCCATCCATCCACGGGGCAGACACGTACCCTGGCGTCCAGCACCTCGGCCTGGGTATTCACCCATGCCTCGTCTTGGATCCTGCCCGCAACCACATCCACCAACACCCGCGAGCTATCCGCACATATAAAGGTGCTCTTGTCAAGTACATCTCTGGCCAGCATACCCTGCACCTCCTGCGTCACCACGCCCGTTCCGCATGCGCTATCCAGGAATTGAACGGGGGCAGTACGAGCACGGCTCATTCCCATCTGTTTCAGAAGCGGGGCGGCAGCATGCTTCATGAGTTTTTTAGAAGCTAGAATCATGGAGGCTTGCGACGAGGGGGCTTCGGCGTGTGCAGAGAGCACGGATGCACCGCCCGAGAGGTCGACGCTCGAGTTGGTCATCTCGGCCGTTTTTTCTTTCTTTTCCCAAAAAAACAGACAAAGAAAGGGACGGTATTCCAAAAGTGCTCTTTGGTAAAAAGGAACCACACGTCGTTGTAGTTTGATTTGTCTATATGTATATATATATATATATATATTCCCAGAAAGTTTCCGAAAAGTCCCCGTTTGCCGACGCTACTCTCCTCGCTGGCCATTCTCACCCACCAAATACAGGAAATCGCGGCAAGAAAAGAGTCCGCTCGAATACTACAATCAACGTGATTCGTAGACCAGCCAATTTCAAGCATACAAAGCACACTCGCTCACTGGTCGGATGCCTCGCATTTAAAAACCTTGATGGTTCGATCGCGCCCTACAACATTGTAGTCCCGCCACTCAACCACTATATCATTCTTACCAAGGAACTAGTAATCTATCATCCCACGTAATAAAAAAATTATGCTACATTGTTGGAAAAAATTTCTTCTTGTACAACATGACCCTGTCATTTGAGCGCCCATAGCAACCATGCATTTCTTTGCTGCCCAGTGAACTATCAAGTTTGACGACACCTAAATTCCGCCTTGCGTCCCCGTCCCATTCAATCACATAAACCTCAAGCTCCCCGTGGGGACTCTCTCAATCAATCCTGAAATTTCTCTCCTCAACGCCCTCAGTACCCTTCTAATGTCTGCCAAGTCCATGCCTCCGTTGTTGTTGCCCTGTCCTGGCGGAGGGAGAGCAGATTCGCATCGGCTGACAAGGTCGGCCACGGAGGGTCCAATAGAACCACCCTTACCGGCACCGCCTCGTCGACGGACGTCCGCCACCCAATCGTTGACCACGTACGCTATGATTTCGATAATGCGGTTGCGAGCCATGCCGCTGAATCCGTAGTCCTGGGTGTCGAATATGTTCTCGAGGACTCGCACAATCATATCGTGCGATACGCCGAGGGTGAGGAATAATTGCACGGGCCAAGTAGGGTCGGCCCCAATGGTGGCGTCCTGCTGGTAGGCCACTGCATAACGACACAGCTCGGGAATAAGGGTTTGGATGGGGAACACAAAGCTGTCGAGGGAGGTGTGGTGGGCAATATTCTGGATCTTGCTGGTGACTGCTTCGTACGGTAAGGGGGGCGTCGGCATGCCTGGCTCGGGGTTCTCTTGCCTCGCCATGACTTCGTCGTGTGTCTGCTGGATCAGATTGCTCCACGTTCCAGCAATGGTGGTGGGATTACGATAGTTGGCTGTGTGATAGATTAACAAGCATAAATCGTAATAGCCTGCTTGATCCGCATAGTCATTGAACAACTAAGACTTGTTAGCACAGGAATCGACACATTCGCGACAAGACGAGTGAGAGCGTACCTCTGAGAGCCCCTGAATCTTACCGTCTAGGGCGAGTTCAATCTCGGCCTTTCGCTCGGGGTCAATTCTATCATCCGCCTTGAGCCGCTGCAGTAGGTCATCTTGAATGTTTGCTACGTCTAGGAGGTCGGTAACTTCGTGGTTGACCTGCTGCTGCTGCTGCCGGCTGACGCCAACCGTCGCAACGTTGGCATTAGCCTTGGCAAGAGACAGCAATTTGATGCGGTCCTTGATGCCAATTGGGAAATCAGAGTTGGCCAGCTGTGCTTGAACTTCTGCGGCATCGAAGAAACGACTGCGGTTCGTGTAGAAGCGGCAGAGGAGATCGGCATGCTCGACATTGGTACCCGCCAGGCGCTCCAAAAAGGTGATGACGTGAGGAGAGTCAATGGCCAAGATACGGTCAGTCCACCCTTGTTGAATGTACCACTCGTATAGATCAAAGTGGAAGACTTCATCATCTGACCCGTTCACCACATCATAGGCCTCCAGTCTCTTGGTGGCAATCAAAGTGAGCTTGCCGTCAACCATTTCTGGCTCAGTGCTCGACGCAGCATCCAAATGGCGAAGCACGTCGTGAATCATATCGTAGCATCGCTTTCGGTCATTGAACGCGTTTGCTCGAGGGTCGCCGGATGGCTTGCCGTCATTGACCCAAACAAGGGCCGTATTGCCACGATCCTTCTCGCGAGCAACAACAAGACATAGTTGAATACCCCCAGCGTAATATTTCATCTCAACATACTGTGTAACCGCAGCTTGCAAGTTGGCAAAGGTCAGACTTCCAGCAACCTTTTCGAAAAGCTTTAAACTTTCGTGTAAAAGATTTCTAAATTGGTTCGTATTCAGAGGCTGCTCTGAGGCTCGCTTGAGCTGCTCCTGGGCCTTGAAGATGACGACGTCGTCAGGGCTGCAGAAGCTGCCGCACCGTCTTCGTAGCGCGTCAGCCACAGTCTCAACGTTAGAGCCGCTCTCGATATTTCTGTTCACAATTGCCTTGACCAGGAGCTTGGCGAGATCCTTCCCATCGGCCTGTGAGAACAATTTCTCGTAGCTAAGCTCCTTCAGTTGTTGTCGCGAGACTTCATCTAGTCTGGTGAAAATATCAGCAACGCGCTCATCAAAGAGCATCAGCACAAAGGAGATGCCCTCTGAAATGCTTTCCATAATCTTCTGAAGAGCATGCAATGCTTGGTGTTCAGCCTGCAGCGCAACCTCTTCTTGCCTTGTAGACACTCTTTGGAGATCAGACGGGCCAGACATTCCCTGTATCAGACCACGGTTGGTCTCGATGAACCTCCTCAGCCTCTCCAAATTTTCTTGAGTGATGTTAAGCTTAGACAAAGGAACCGCAGAATCGACTGTGATGCCACCGGTAGGTGAAACCCCGGTTCTGATGACGGGGGACTTCCATAGCTTGCGAATGAGACGAGATAGATACAGAGCGAGGGCGTCATGTCGAGAGGAGAGCTTGACAGATTCGGTGGTTAGTGCTGTACCATCGGTCTCGGCCATAGTAGGTTGGCCACCAAAGTCAACAAACAGAGCGCGAGCTCTATCCTCTGTCGCCTGATCGATGGCACGTGCAGCACCTGGCCTTCCATCTCCGCCATGGCCACAGGCAATGGCAAGGGCTGTCGAGATGGTCTCAACCCGGCCATATAATTGAATCAACCGGCGGGTAATGCTATCCAAAACTTCATCGCCAGGAGCGTCGCGGATAGCAGCAGCAAAGGTGTCCACAAATCGGCGTCGGCGAATGACGTGAATTCCGGTATTCGTAAGAACAGCAAACTCGCTTGGGGGCTCGTCGAATTGCACCGCTAGTTCGTTGCCAAATCCGAGGGGCTGCGCGGCGGCAGCAAACGGCTTGGTGATAAGTCCAACGGCTTCCGCTCTGCTACCAATGTTAATCCAGCTCCCTTGCTCAAAGTATCGTAAAGGTGCCGTAGGTGATACGCGCTTAATTCGTCCTGTCTCCGGTCCAGAAACGAAAAGAGTATCTATGCTAGCATTGTTTCCGCTGCTCACAAAGTCCAAGAAGAAACCGGGAGCAAAGCGGATACCTTGTCGGCTTGCCGTGAGTATGGTAGATTCCAGATCGACCGCCGACTCTCCGGGCTGACCAGTCTGAGAAAACAGTCCCGACCGTCTCGAGGCCTGGCTCGGCGGGAATTTGATGAATTGTACCTGCATGCTTTGGGGTGCCAGGTTGGACTGTGATCCGTAGAGATATGATGACGCATTCGTAGCACTGAAGAACAGTCGGCAGCCGGAGTCGGTAAGAGCCATAAGGTGAAGTTTGGATGCTTCTTGCTTCGTAATCGGACTGATGGATACTATTCTCAATTTGTCGGTGAGCAGTTTGGACTGTGTAATCATGTGAGCAATGTCACGCAGACAGTGAATCTTTTCCTTCTCAATGACCTTGTTCAAGCGGTCAGGAGCATCCATGTGATATGTTCGGATAGTCGACTTGCTTGATAGTGTATAAACAAGCTTTCTTGAGTCATCGATAACAATATCAACCAAGTGTTCAGGCTCCTTGTGAGACCAGAAAGTAGACTGCAATGAGACTACTGATGCCCATCCCGGGTTGGTGTGATTGATTCTGCCGCATCGGTTTGAAAACCACTTCTCTTCAGACTGATAGTATAACTCGTTGATATCGATGTCGCTGCTGCCGCCAAAGAAGATGCGGCCATCAGCCGACCCGGAAATCACGCGGACGTCATTACCACGCAGAGGTAAGTTCATCTTGGTTTGATACAATGCGACAGACTTGGTACCAGCAGGCGTATCCGTAGCTGAAAGACCCAGCAAAATCATCTCCGATGACGTAGCGACGACAAGAATGTGCGTGATCGTCTTGACGAAAATGCCAGGTTTCGGGGGGACCAACGCGACTGCGTGGATGGTATGTGGTTGTTCTTCGAATCCGATCAGCTCGGGGTCGGCGTGAGTGTAGTCCCATAGGTACAAGGAGTTGTCGATAACAACCCAGGCGTGGTTAATCTCAGCAAACAATCCCATCAAGGTTTGAAGCTCTCCCGCATTGTAGTGATCGAATACTTGGTTCGGAATCGGATACATGTGCGTCTTGTGGAAAGGGGCCCAAGATGAATCAGACCTCGAAAGCTCATAATCGGAAGAAGCGCCCTCTAATTTCTTTGAATTAGCATGTCTTTATCCACAAGGTTGGTCCAGTGTCTTACGCCTGCAATAAGAATCCAGGTCCGGGAAACTCTCATCCATTTGCAAAAAAGCATTGATGGCCTTTGCGGCCTTGAGAACTGGAGGCACATTCTCAAGCCGCGGCGTCGGCAACGGATTGGCAGCAACCAAGCCAGCGTCACCAGTATTCACCGCCGTTAAGGCCGTTGAGGATCTGGATGAAGCCAAACCACCTCCCTGTGTCGCCGTTGTGCCCAAGCCACCAGAGGCTAAATTTCCACCAACCTGGCCGCCGGGTTGGTTATTGGAAGAAGCCGGGAAAAGCTGTCGTCGCACCGGATCAGAGCCAGACTGAAATCGCGAAGCCACCGCCGGCGTGTTCAGGAAGGCGCCTGGCACCGGCCGTAAAGGCGTGGTCTGAGGAAACGACATGTCGAGCAACAATCAACAGCTTCACCATAAGCTGGATCCTGCGCAAGACCAGCGATAAGGCTCCACCAATCGTCCAGTGTTGGTTTGGCTGGGTTGAGGAGCGATGCGAGAAAATGGGCTCGACGCGATATTATACCATTAAAAGATGTTGACGAGCTCGGTTCGCGCCAGCGTCTGGTGGGATGTCGCGTCGCACTCGCGTTCTCTTGGAATTGACAAGGTCTATCGATCGAAGGGCAAGCCCAGCAATGTCCTACGAGCGGAGTAGAGGAAGTAATGTGTGGTGGTCGGCTTAGATACGTAGTTTCGAGGAACGACGGAAGGCAGAGCTGCGGAGGCTGGCAATTGAAGCTTGGATTTTTCGCGACAAGGGTGATTGTGGCGCTAGACCCAATGAGGTCGCACGCAGCCACAGCTCCCAGGTCAACACTGCTTTCGATGCAGATGCCCAATCTCTTTTGTTCAACCAAGCGGCTAGCCGTTGGTTGCTGTACAAAAACATTGGTCTCATAAGGTCTATTAACTTCTCACCGTGAATGATACTCTTTGTTCTTCACAGATTCATAGTTCCCGCTATACCGTGTGCATTACAATGCAAAAGGCACGTAATGCAACTTCTGCATACCACGTCTATCTTTTATGTTTATCTTATTTACTTTTACTTTTCTACTTCATCACGTCCGCTAGACAAGTAATTTTTTGACTTCATCGGCCAATTCGTCCAGTGATACCAGCTTTCCATCATCCTTTTCCGCAGGCTTATCATCCCCCTTGTTCTCTCCTTGTCCCAGGAGTTTGAGTCGGACCTGGCCAGCATCGAGCTCCGTCTGACCCAAAATGACACCCAGAGGTACACCTTCGGCAGCCTTAAACTGCTGGGGCAGCTTAGGTTTGACCTTGGGGGAGAACTCTGCGCGGATTCCGGCGCTCCATAATCTCTGGGCCACTGACATGCGTTCAAGAAGGAGACCGTTGGACGACTTGTCTCCAAAAGCCATGACATACACGTCGACGTCTCGCCTTTGCTTGAGACCGTCCTTTCTGCGTCGTGCTTCCAAGATGGTGAAGATGCGGTCAACACCAAAAGAAATACCCACGCATGGGATCTGTCGCTTGCCGTACATGCCAACCAGGTTGTCGTAGCGGCCGCCAGCAGCAATGCTGCCAACTTGGCTGGCAGGATCGTCCTTCTTTGACTTCTTGCCGGAAGCCTGGCCCTCTTCAGCCTTGGGAGGCAGATTGATAACTTCGTAGATTAAGCCAGTGTAATAGTCGAGGCCTCGGGCAAGAGAGAGATCAAAGGAGATTTTGTCGGCAATGCCGAAAGCCTCAACATATGAAGCAAGCAGGGTCATGTCATCGAGACCACGCTTGACTTGCTCATTAGCGACCAGCTCTTCTCTGGACTTGAGGAGCTGTAGCGTTTCGGAGATTGTTCCCGCATGACGGACATACTCGCCAATTCGGTCAGCAACCTCGCTAGCAAGGCCCTTCTCTTCCACCATCTCCTTCTTTACATCTTCCCAGGACATCTTGTCCAACTTGTCGACAGCCGAGCTAATTGTTCTAATCTTCTCGGGGGTGACGCCTGCCACGGCGAACATGCCGTCAAGAACTTGTCTGTGGTTGAGCTTGATAGTGACCCCAAGCTCCAGAGCTTCAAACACCTCAACGATAATCCGCAGCACCTCAGCATCGGGAATCATGGGATCGTACACGCCGGCGATATCGAAATCGCACTGGTGGAACTCGCGATATCGTCCCCGGGCAATGGCGGGCTGGTCTCTTCTGTAGACCTTGGCAATGTGGTAGCGCTTTACAGCTTGGATGTTGTTCATGGCGAGCCAACGGGCAAAGGGAACTGTCAGGTCGTATCGAAGAGAGCAGAGCTCGCCGCCCTGGTCTTGCAGGTCGTAGATGAGCTTGGAATCCTCGCCATATTCTACAGATGGTTAGACATTTCCCATTGCACAACGTAGATGCTCCAGGGCAACTCACTGCCAGAAAGAATCTCTTTCAGCTCAAACACAGGAGTATCCAGAGGAGTGCCACCATGCTTCTTGAAAACATCAGTGATCATTTTGCTAAAGCGTTCGGTTAGCCACCGCGCCTTGCTCCAATTCCTGTCAGAAGAAAGCCAGGTCCTGATGACAGCACGTACAAGACTTCCTCGCGCAGCAACATATCCTGCCCGCTCCAGTCCCGCGTACCCTTAGGGGTCTTCAGCGTAACCGCCGAGGCTTTCGGCACCTTGCCGTCTGGGGTCGCCATGTCGTCTTCGTCGTGCGCAAAGGTTGCGGCAAATCGTCGACGGAGAGGGGACGCCGTAAAACTGCGAAGGAACAATGTGCCAAGTGGATGGCCCGTTCGCACAACTGGTATTCGGTATATGCGTCTGTTCAGCGCAGGTAGCATGCCGGAGCCAACACACTTGTATAAGAGTGAAAAGAGTGTCTAGTGTGCGGTTTGTGGCTCCTTGAGTCATCCATCTGCAGCCAAACGCCGCTTGAGTGGGGTGGGGAGCAGTTGGGTCGCGACAAGGAATGGATTGAGCAGTTATGGAGGGCAATGCGGGCAGCTTTTTTTTTTTTTCTCAGGCTCAGTCTGCGAAGTCGGCTCCAGGGTTAATCCGGATTCACTGTTCAGTATCACATCGCAATTCCTCACAAAAATACCGACTATTCACATGGGAGGCATTAAGACTTGATCAAAAGCGAATTGTTGATTGCGTGAACGATTAAGTTTACTATAGAAACATTCACTCGTATCTTCAGCTACCTTCCAATCCATCACCCATCCGTTTTAGCTCCATCTTGTCCATGCCCAATCCACTGTTACATGAGACCTATACTGCCCATCCATTGCAATTACTCGCCTCAATACTATTTGTGTGCATTTTCCATGCACATTCGCATCCCGTCGTGTACGCCGGAATCCCCAATGCTGGCAGGTTTACCAACTTTAAGCCCAATCATAAAGCATCTACTGCTTCTTAGCCTCGCGCGCCTGCTTGCGGAGGGCCCGTCTCCGAATATCCAAGTGCATTTTCTTGTTGTACCAGATAGTGACAGGGCTGTTGACGCCGGGAACGTTCTCAATCAACCACAGCATGAAAGAGTGGCTCCACCAAGGAGTGTAAGTGTTGGGGGCAGTCTGATAACCACCAAGGCCAATTTTGCCGAGAGCAGCCTTGACAAAATTACGGGCATTGGGAATCAGGAGGCTAGGGCGGCGGACCTTGCTCATGGCAGTAGTAACTAGGTGGCTGAGAACCAGATACACGTCCACGTGGTCATCAGCAAGTTCAGACGAAAGAGCATTGCTCCATTGCTGCAGGAAGGCCTTGCTGCCAGAGTAGGTAGCCAGGTAAGGAGTAGGTGTCCAGCCACCGAAGGAGCCCATGGTCAATATCAACCCATGCTTGCGCTGCTTGAGAATAGGGGCAACAATCTGAGTGACCTTGAGAGTACCCAGGCAATTGATTGTAACAATGTTCTGCAGCTCGTCCTTGGGTGTCTCCAGGAAAGAGACGGGCATGCTGTGGCTCTGCCCGACATTGTTTATCAGGATAGCAACGTCGAGGCCACGAACGACCTCGGCGAGCTTCTCATAATCGGCATCGTCGTCCTTGGCGAAGTCCATGGCGTGAATCTTGATATCAAGGTCCTTGCCATGGTATTTCTCTTGCAGCTCCTTGGCGAGCGACTCGAGCTTGGATTTGGTTCGGGAAACGAGGACGAGATTGAAGCCCTTGGCAGCGAGTTGGGAGGCATACTCCTTACCAAGACCATCTGAGGCACCAGTTACGACGGCCCATGATCCGGCGCGGCCATACTTGCGAAGCTGCGACAACAAAAAAACGTAAGTCAGGAGCCATGAAACTGCCAAAGCTCTACGGGCGACTTACATTGTGACCGGAGAAGACGAATGCACTCAGGACGAGCTGGAGATAGCCAAAGAGCTTGTATGTGAGCCAAAGTGCACCAACGCCAGCAAAGGCACCTAGCACAGGCTGGGGAATCGGGCCAAGCTGCTCGACGTGCGACTTGATGCCTGCCACGTAGGGATTCTCCAAAATCTTATCCATGATGATCGAATTGTCGAGGCAATGCTTGGGCGGACGGGATCGTGTCTGTGGGAAGAAGCCAACGACCTGGCTAGCAGAAGCGTAGAGATGGGTCAGCGTGCCGAGATGCGAAGGGCCGCGGTTCTCAAATATCAAGGTACCAGACGCGGGTGCTCCGTACTGTGGCGCAACGGAGCGCGACAATCGTTGACCCCTTGCGGCCCTAGCAACTGAATGTACTAGTACTACCTGGCTAGACGCCAAAAAAACAACGCCAGGGATAAATGGAAGTCCGTTTCTAGACAAGATGCACGAGACGTGATTCTGCGACTAGAATAATTCGAGCAAGGGAGAAAATTTGACATGTAGCCATCCAATCTGCTGAATTAGTACGGAGTAAGAAGGAGAAAACTATTTCAACAAGTCTGGTCTGCCCGCATCTGCCGGCAGAGGCGCCGCGTAGAGCATGTGCCACCGAATTTGTTGAGCTATCCTCCACTCAAATCATTCAATGTTTAATCAGCCAACATTGAACCTTGGCTAAACGCAATGCCAACGGGATCTAGACTTGTGGATGTGCTCCAATAGAATCCGTAGGATTTGCCTCCAGTCTGGTCTCTAAGCTCTCGACTCTTCATCCTACTCCCTACTGCAGCTATACTTATTTCTTTGTGTGATGACTTCTAGCCTGATGTCTGGATGTCAATTAGTACATCTACGTATCGAAAATTGGACCTGCGCACAATCACAAAGGGATCACCACCCCTGGTGGGGCAGCCTGACCAAGCTGCTGGGGTGTCGTCTCCTTAATTGTGCGTCGTCCCTAAATTTGACTTCCCGCACATTTACTAGCTTCTACACCTTGCCAAGATCCCCGCCGTCATCAACAATCATCTAATTCTCCTCCAAGAGTTTGCTTCGTAATGGATTTCGTCAAGTCGTTCCTCCCAGAGGGCAAGGGTGTCCTGCCCTACTACATGCTCGTCGTATGTTCCCCTCTGCGCGAATATAAGCACCTCAAAGACAAAGCCTAATAACACCCTTCATCTACAGCTCTCCGTCGTCTCTATTGGCAACTGCTTACAGACATACTCAACCCTCCACTTCACAAGACGTGTGTACAATGGGCGCTTCATCCGAAACACCAGACTGCCTCCCGAAACAGCCGTCTTCAACCCTGAGGACTCGGTCGACAAGCTCGTGTCTGCCCAGAATGATCCGAAAGCAACTGATCAGGTAACCCCGCTGGCAGGTCGACTGTTTGGCACATGGACCCTCATCACGTCTATTGTCCGCTGCTACGCCGCTTACAACTTGCACATCGGGCCCGTGTACAACATGGCCTACTGGACGTACATTGTGGCCTTTGGCCATTTCGCTAGCGAGAAGTTTATGTTTAAGAGCATGACTTTTGGCCTCCCTCAGGTGTTTCCCTTTGCGCTTGCGACTTGTGCCCTGATTTGGATGCCTCTTGTTCGTGATCACTATGTCGAGATCAACTAGATCTCATTGTGTCGGTGAGAGCTCAACAGACAAATTTGAGAATGGAATGCGATGGATTGAACAGCTGGATGCTCGATCACATTCCGACTTTACGGAGTCCGCGCAGGCAATCAAATAACTACCTAGGTAGACTAGATAACTTACGCTAGTAGAGGGAGCGATAGAGTTTTTTTAAGGAATATTACATGTATGGCGGAATTAAGGGTCAAGGTTCTATTTACGTATATGCAGGAATAATCAGGACTTGATATTATAAAAACAGATAATGAATAGTATTAGCATTTGACCCCTAGTATAAATATTTAATATCTCTTATAATTATTATACACTATTAGTAGGCCGGACGGCTTAATCCGTGGCGGACCTTCCAGCTCGGGCCAGTCTCCCGGCGTGGCCAAGACGTTTTGGTTCGGCTATCTGAGGCGTGCGTGGGTAGACTGACTGTACAACTTACTCCATGCCGTGCAGCCAATTACGACTCGCCAACACCGCAGCACCCCAATTGCCAACGTTGGACTGGATCTGCTCCACAGTGCATCAGGTGGGGCGCTGGTGATTGAGGTGGAGCCTCCGCCAGGAGTAAACTCCCCCCGCCACGACAGCGTTCTGCAGGTCATATCACGTGATGCTTACGGCTCGGACGCTGACTAACACGGTCCTTTGGTTGTTGCGTTGCTCCTGACCATCTGCAACTCAACCCATGCTCTCCCACCAAGGACTGGCCTGGCGCAATTGTAGGGATCCACGTCGCATCGCGACATCCACCCAATATCCAAACCTCACTCTCGCAGCGTGCATACGACAATTTCATCAAAGCGGCCGGGCATCGAACCAAATTTATCCAAATACACATCTTAGCAGGAAAAACGACACTTGATATCATTGATACTTTGTTTCTGGCGTCATCGGTGCTCTTCAACAACCGAAATTCGCTACGGAGTCACATCCATGGTTGCAGACGGGCACTCCGAAGAGTTTCTTGAATGCGCTATAGCTACGGTGACAAATGGGTGTCATCCGTAAGAAGACAGTCACTAGGGGAGAGGGTGGTGTGAAATATGTTTGCGACGTTTGCTCATCAGACATCACGTCAACGGTATGTAATTTCCACACCTAGTCAGCCAAGTGACATACGTCATCACGGTTTTGCGACTTCCACAATAAGATTTCCTTACTAACGCATATGCGTTTGCTTCGAATAGGTTCGCATTAGGTGTGCAGACCAATCATGCTCCGATTTCGACTTGTGCGTCTCCTGCTTCGCCAAAGGAGAGTCTCGCAATAACCACGACCCCGGGACCCACGAGTTCCGGGTAATTGAACAGAACTCGTTTCCCATTTTCGAACGCGAATGGGGGGCCGACGAAGAACTCTTGCTGTTGGAAGGCGCTGAAATATACGGTCTCGGGTCCTGGGCAGACATTGCCGACCACATCGGCGGGTTCCGCGAGAAGGACGAGGTTCGCGATCACTACCTTGAAACCTACGTCAACTCCCCGAATTTCCCTCTTCCAAAACGATGCAGACCGCATGACTGCGAGCTCGCAAATCAAGTGCCCCGAGAAGAGTTTCAGGCGCAAAAGAAGCGAAGGATCGAGGAGCGGCGTGAAAAGTCCAAGAGCGCGCCAGCTTTGCAACCCAAAACCAAGCCGACTGCCAGTGTACCCAGCTGTCACGAAATCCAGGGTTTCATGCCGGGTCGTCTTGAATTCGAAACTGAGTATGCCAACGAGGCTGAAGAGGCGGTCCAGCACATGCAGTTTGACCCTGGCGATGGCATGAACCCGCGCACCGGCGAACTCGAGCCGGAAATGGAGCTCAAGCTCACTGTCATGGATATTTACAATTGTCGGCTGACTCAACGTGTGGATCGCAAAAAGGTTATATTTGAACACGAATTATTAGAGTACAGGGAAAACACCAAGATTGAGAAGAAGCGATCAAAAGACGAGAAAGACATGTTACAAAAGGCCAAGCCTTTTGCCAGGATAATGAATCACAAAGACTTTGAAGACTTCAACCAGGGCATTATCGATGAGCAGAACCTGCGACAAGCTATCACCCAGCTACAAGAATGGCGGAGCTTGAAGATCGGGGACCTAAGGAGCGGCGAGAAGTACGAAGCAGAAAAGGCTGCCCGAATACAAAAGGCCATTCCCATGGGCTCGATGGACAGAGAGAGGCTCGCCAGTAGCCAACGATCGAAGCAACAAGCCGCGCCGGAACCACCCAGTGGCGCGTCTCTTCTCGTTGCCCCGGAACTCGCCATTCGTCCAGCCCAGACCAATGGCGAGGCCGTCAATGGCGATAGCAAGCCGCTTGTCAACGGCCAAGCTAACGGTGTGAATGGGATCAACGGAGTGAACGGTCACGCCTCGGCTAGACCAAAATACACGCCACAGCCTATTTCTGGCGTGCAACCGCTTCAACTAAATCAAGATACCGCGGCGGACCTGCACCTGCTGACGCCTGATGAAGCCAAGTTGTGTGAGATTATTCGACTACAGCCCAAGCCCTATTTAATGATCAAGGAGCAGATTCTCAAGGAGGCGCTCAAGACCAACGGAACCCTCAAGAAGAAACAAGCTAAGGAGATTTGCCGACTCGACTCACAAAAAGGGGCTAGAATATTTGACTTTTTTATCAATGCTGGATGGCTAGGGAAAGCATGAGCTATCAGGCCGGTCTTGGGCTGCATCTTGCTGTCTTTTTGGCTACATTCTCGTAGGGTTGCGAGGCGTTGTACGTTATGACATGGGTATGATGCTTGGTTAGGTGATTTGTATTATACGTGTGCATTTGTGGAGTTTGGAGGAGCGTATGATATCCATTATACAAGAAACATATATTTGGAAACTTTTTCTTCGAGTATCAAGCGCATGGGCATCTCCAGTGCCATGTGGAGGCGGGATGCTGTGACTGAGTCAACCTGCGTCTTGACACTATTCCCAGGCTGAGAAGAAGCAAAGCCTTGATGACTTGTCCTAAACTTGGCTGGACAGTGAACTATCTGAATCGCGGCAGTAGTGACACAATAGCCTATTGCGATGCTCCTAGATGTTTTCGAATGTTCCCAAATTGAACTCACTCGGAGCCCAAGTGGACCCCTGACACCCGCTGCCAATGGCCAACTCCATCTCCAAACTTCAAACTTACAACACTATCTGCATGCAACTGGCTCCTCTCACTCGACATCCCAAGCAGCAACCACATTTCTTTTGCGCCCCGTCACTGGATGATTTCTTCCAGATTCGCCATCCAGCCGCTGTGACCGTCACTGTCATTCATTCGTACCATGACCACGATTGCCAGTCTGCGGCGCATGTCCGCCAAGTCTCTCTCCGAGAAGATCCTGGCCGAGAAGGACGCTGCCAACACCTCTTTTGCCATCATTGACGTACGAGATGACGGTACGTAGGCCCCAAGCAAGACCAGATGTCTCCCTTATCGCCACCCCTAGAATGCACCATGTAGAATCATACATGTCTGGCCGGACAGACACTTGGTAGTGACACTCGTTGCAGACCACATAGGCGGCCACATCAGAGGTTCCACCAACATTCCCATCGGCCAGCTCGACGCCATGATGCCCACCCTCGTACGCAGGCTGCAGGACAAGAAGACGGTCGTTTTCCACTGCGCACTCAGTCAGCAGCGTGGCCCGAGTGCCGCCCTCAAGTATCTGCGCGAAAAGGACGGGCTGCTGAGGAGTCTTGGGAGTAGGGAGATCGCTGCAGAGCAGGAGGTGTATGTGCTGGACCGGGGGTTCGTCGGCTGGCAGCAGGTCTATGGAGATGACGAGCGGCTGACGGAAGGGTATGTGAAGGATATTTGGGAGAATTACTGATTTACCGGCGTGGTGGTTCTTGGGGGATTCTTTGTTCTCGGAGGGCCAGTCAGTTTCGGGTGGGCTGTTTCAACTTGGGGTGCGATGGAGGCCCGGGACTCAAAGGGTCATGAATGAATGACTTGTATTTCTTCGCGGGCTGTTTCAGCATGGAGATGATAGAGATTTGTCCATGTGCCAAGTCGTCACTCATGGGCGTTGAAAGCAAAAGTGACGCCGGGGCCATCGGCACAAAGCGAGGGGGGAAGACTCCAAGTGTTTGATGCCCGTGGCTCGCTGATGATGAAGTGCAACTTATAATCCTTTGCTTCTGCGGTCTTTCGTGATTCTCAAATTCACAACTAAATCCTCCGACGCCGTATCTCATCACTGCCGGGACCTTTGTCCGTCGAAACAACACAGCCCGCTATACCGCAGGTAATATCCAGCTGCCAATGGTCTTGAAGTAGGCGCTGACGGATATCATAGCATATGCACACTTGTGTGAACACGAGCCTGCGCACAATATGCCCGTCCTTGCGATATCTCGCTCCTCCACATTAAAGGGACATGTTAAACGCTCCTTTGGTTTCTCATCATTTTTGATATTTTGTGCGGTTTCGATTTCGATTTGCGGCGCGTTTTGTATCGGCCTATGGCTTTGTGTTTGGCGCAAAAAACGATCCAAATCAGCAAAGCCGGATCCGGTTCAGAGACCGTCTCGGACACAGACTTTGCCTCCGTCTTATGAAGAATCAGACCCAATGCAGAAGCATTACGGGGACGAGCACTCAAACTCGAATGGGGCGCGGCGTGCAACTGCTCAGGTGGCAAGTTTCTTGATGTCTATGTTGAACACCAAAAGAAATTATTCATGGGCAGCAGCTTTTGTGTGATTGGGACAACGAAATTCGGATTGTCTTTGTACGCTTGTTGCAGCGAAGGTTCCATGGATGCTTAAATACAAGCCTTGTTTGTTGTGAAACGAAGGTCTTCAATCACACATACCAAGATGGAGAAGGAGCTGGGACTTGAAAGAATTTCGTATTACCATGTATGTAGACGACAAAAGATTGAATCTTATATCTACCACTTCCCCCGCCACTTCTAGCGTTGATCGATCAACAAGCTTTGTACAATTTCGAATCTCATCTCTTTTCAGCCTTTTCATCTAGTTTTACCCTTATATTCAGAACCACCAGGCAAGGTCCGCATACCCAACTCCCCCTTCGTTACCAATTAACATGACATCCATCTAATGTTGAACGCATAGTCAAAGTTGCCCAGCAGCAAAATGCCCGCGGTTGCGATTCGTTCCCTCGCACAAATCGATCACGGTTTATCCACCATTTACCGACGCGAGTTGTCAGCAAATACCACGAGTTTAATTGTTGCTCTCTTGGGTGGTTTCGTCGTTTTCTTGTTTTACTGCTGCTATGCGTGCAGTAAACGACAGCTTTAAGAAGTCATACGGAAACTTTGGGTTATTATATGCAGCGGAAGACGGCTTTCAAAGTTTATCGGTGTAGGAGCTATAGTACATGTTCAAGTAGTTGTAACAACCTTGTTCCCCAACATGCGTGACTACTCGTCTGTTCCAACCTCTAATAGCCGGCACTGCGGATGGCATATAAGCCTATCCAACGTCAGGCGAAACTACTCTCTAAACACTTCTTCACGCAAGCTGAAATTTGAGCCACTTGAGCATTATTCACGGAAGCTCATCTGTCGGACTTTTCGAAATTTTTTAGCATTTTTACCCTTATTCATTGAACTGTTGAACTACATGAGTTGCGGCTACTAGGTCCCCCAACAGCCCTGATATATTTCTTTTGTGCTCTTCCTCGTAATCCTTCTGCTGTCTAGCATAAACTGCACTTCTTTATTGTGTATTTGAAAGTCTCTGCGTTTAGAAACATGTAGGTGTGTAAAAGATTATGTGGAACCTATGCATACGCAGCGCTTTTGTTGCCTTAAAACCATTCCATATAGTGAGAGCACAGAGTCAGCACGGTATAGAGGGAAGAAGTAGTGCAATAGGAACTGTAGAGTGATTCCCTGTTCAAGAAGAGGTCCGAAATGAATGGTTGCCTGACTTCAAAACATATTTCTTAGTTTCGTGTTCAATGCCTGTTCAAACTGACACCCCCAATGGAGAGTTACCTAGTTTTAAATCCTTTGTCTTGACTTTCGTATTCACTCGTCTTATCCCTCTGTCTGCTATTAAGCGCCATGTTACTCACAGCTCGCGCTGGTATTCGCAACCGATGCCAGCAGTGTTTAACGGCACTTCTTTGCGCCTTGGCAGCACGTCGTCGCCAGTGAATAAACTGCACAGAGACAGGTGTTGCAATGTACAAGGGGACATGCGGCTCTAGAAACTATAAAAACCAGCTTGATCGTCATACTCCCTCTTTTAGAGCCACCTTCAGCTCTGTATCTACTCTGCCTCAAGGCTGTGCGGTCAAAACACTCGGCGCCGAAGTCCTTCCACGATTACAATTCTCTTTACCGGACCAAATATATACAGAGTTGCAGTTCAAATCATCGATACGAACAAAAATGGCTACTCCTGACAGCGCTCATCGCTATCTGATCGATCCTGAAACGGTGTCATTCGCCTCGTTGCCAGCCGCTCAACATCAACGAATCATCCTGGCAAACGCCGCAATCTCACTTGCCAGCGCATTCGTCTTTCTGACTGCCGTGCTTTGCCTACGGTGGTGGAAAGATGGTGGCTGCGGCGAGAAAGAGGGACGTTCTTCTTCACAAGGACAATCATTAGACGCTCCGAAAGGGATCACAAAGACGCAGCTTCTAGATCTAGGTCAGAAGATCTGAGATTTGGGTCAGAAGCTTCGGGGGCAAGCTAAAGTTTTGCCTGAGGGTACCGCCTTGCCACCAGGCGAGCCTCAGCGGTCACTTTCAGCGCCCGAGATGAGCGGAGATCGGGTTGTCGGTTAGAAAGTTCCTACACAGATCAGTTACAACTTGGCGATTGCGGTAAAGTTGTGAGGCGGATATTGTGACGCTACTTTCTGTTGCACTATCAGGGCGGAGGAACCTACGGCAGAGATAGTTGTCATATGTCTTCATCCTCTACTCTTGTTCAATAGCAACTCGATGGAACGGTAGAGTCTTGGTTTGGAGACAGATTGTATTTATGAGGAATATTACCTGCGCGCTGCATCTTTCGTGACGTTTTGTGTCATGTGTTTCCGGGAACGTGCTCCATAACAAAGGTCAATAAAATTTTCTTGCAGTGTGCGATTTCGAGAAACTCCAGCCACCAAGGCTTGGAAATAGTTCAGTTGTGATGCATTCATCCAGATGTTTCGAGGTGTAGGGTAGGATCATTGTCCATGAAGAACGACTGGACCACCCACCGCCTGCCTGGGTACGGGGAGGTGGGGCAAATGATGACTCCAGCGCCTTCCGCCTGACCACTCATCACACGGACCTGACATTGGATTGACCGGCATTGGTCACTCGATTTACCAGACTCGGCAAGGATGCTGGACGGACTGCCGAAGTGTGGCGCTTTCCGGTGACCAAGCAAACATTGAATGTTTTTGTTTGGCACATGGATGAAACTTGTTTTTCTGTATATCCTTCGCTGCTGTTTCCCGTCAATTTTTTGCCGTATCGTGACATCCAGCTTGCTTCATCCGTCCAACAAACCGTTGGTATTCGACCCCGCTCACCCCTCTTCACCCACCTGATACGCCCCGCGATTCGGTTTGAAAAAAAAAAAAAAAAAAAAACAAGGTACCACCAGACGACACATCACAGCAACTGCTCGCAAAGATGGGATCGCAAGCGGATCGGAAGAATAGCGGCAAGACGGACATTTCTAGTAGGTTTTGCAGCAGACACCCAGGAGAAACAAGGCAGCTGACAAGGCTAGACCTGGGCTTTACGCCAATGGTCAAGGTCTCTGGAGAATGGGAAGTGGAAAAGGTGGTCGATGCAATTCCCGGTGATGCTCCCAAGTCGGGAGGCCAGTCTCCCCTTGCCTTTTTCCACATGATTGAACGACTCAAGACGACGAAGCGCGAAGGTTGGAGACGATTTGGCATCGAGAGGTACGGCAGCACCCAGGACCCCATCTTGACCGCGAAGCAGCGTACCTTGGGTCAGTACCTTTTTAACGCAGGCGACTGCTAACACGGCGCAGAGGCGAGTCTATCGCAGACCACATGTACCGCATGTCCATCATCTCCATGTTCGCTCCCCCGTCACTCGCCAAACGCATTGACCTCCACAAATGCATGAAGATGTGCCTTATTCACGACATGGCTGAACTCCTCGTCGGCGACATCACCCCCGTAGATGGCGTCCCCAAGCCTGAAAAGAGCCGGCGGGAGAGTCTGACCATGCACTACCTCACCAAGAATTTGCTTGGCAACAAGGACGATGCTGCGGTCGGCGAGGATATCCGGGCCATTTGGGACGAGTACGAGGATTCCAAGACGCTCGAGAGCCAATATGTCCACGACATTGACAAGATGGAGCTGCTGCTGCAAATGATGGAATACGAGAAGCGCGCCGAGGGTGCCCTCGACCTGGGCGAATTTGCATACGTATCGAGCAAGATGGTGCTGGACGAGACCAAAGCATGGGCCAAAGAGCTGATAGAAGAGAGGGAGAAGTTCTGGGGCACCAAGCAGCATGTTGACGGGGTCAAGGGTGTGGAGGGGGGAGTTACTGAGGAGAAGACCAAGATGCAGGACGAGTACTACTCGAGGGATTAATGGATTGACGGACTACCAATGGCATGACTGGGCTGGCGCACTTGATTGCGTTTATTTTATTATTTTTGTCGGTTATGGGACCACGATGGGATGCTTTGCTTTTCTTTGAGCAGAGACAGATAGATTTGCGCAAGCATACTCGGCCGGCATGGTAAGGATGCGGGCCGACTTTTATTTTTCGCTTAGTGGTTTAGATTTGTACTTGGGAATAGAAGTCGAATACTTCAGCTGTGGTTTGTGGTGAGACAAGAGGGCTACTACCAAGTACTAGTAGTAGTGTAGTGGCTGCTCTGTCTTAGCCTCGATGAAATGACACACGGCACAGGGGAAACTTTGAACTCTGTACCGGCAACGTGAAAAGCAAGGCTACAAATGGTAAACAGATGGCCGGAGAGGACAGTTTCTGGGCAGGTAAATTACAGGCAATTATACGGAGTATGGACGGAGCACTTGCTGGCGGAACAGATCATCACCCCAGGCAACAGCGACGAGACGATCAAGCCAGCGCGGAGTATCCTTGTCTTCAGCTCTCGTTCTCCGTCGGTGGAGCGAATCGTCGTTGATTTCCCCAACAAACTACTCCGTAAACTTTCTAGTTCGCACCCATGAACAAGGTACCTGGGTACATGTAGCTTTTGTGCCCCGCCAACAGAGCAAGGTCAGCCGGCCGGGTCAACCACTTGAACACTCAGTAGTTCACAGTCGCGTCTGGACACTTCATTCAGATTTGGATCACCGAGATAAAACAACCCCTATTATTTATTGCACCGTCTTTTCAACTATTCACTACTCCGTACGCAACAGAGGCCAGGCCAATGACCCAAACTCCCATCTTGGCACCAACCTTCATCTCTGCCGTCTGTCGGCCCGCTCCTGCGGCTCATCATACCAGGCTCCTTGGTGTTTGACTTGGGGTTCTTCACCGCTTAGAAAAAAGGCCAATGCCTTTGCTTGCGCTGCAGGGACACCGCTCTACGAGTTGCAGTCTTTAATCAATTCATCCTTTTTATTTAGGGGCTTTTTTCGCTGGGCATTTTCATTGTCCACCGTCCGTCGTCGCCTGCCTTGCTGGAACGAGGCAGCCATTTGGCGATACAGACCATTTCCAATCTCGTGCCTGATTTGCTCCCAGGTCACGAGCACCACGGCGCTGCATACGCACCACCGCCACTCTTGAACGAGGACGAATCTCCATCTCGGCAGGCTACGAAACCGACTGGTGCGACCGGCTGTGATTTGCTGGACATTTGTTGGACGACACACGACCGACGTGTGCCGACAAGCTTGTTTGCCCCGCGTGCAGCAAACAGAGGTCATCAAGTCGACGCCTTCACAGCTAGAGTGCTCCAGCATCCCAAGGTATTCCATCGCCGCCTTTGACCCCTGCACTGTTGAAGTCTTGGGACAGTCCTTCGCGGCAAAGAAAAACTTCCCTTCAGGCCCATGAGAATCGTTATCATGCGTGTTTGTTGCATGCTACTACACTGAAGCAAGCTCTGTCACAGACGCGACCTTGACTGGTAGCTTGGCTTACGGTCCGGCTGCTGGCTATTCTCAAATTCGACACCCCACCTGGCTGAGCATTCTCGCCCAGCTTCTCTCAGCCTTACAGAAGTTATGACCTTCTCCTCTGGCTTCCACATGCCCGGGGGCTTTCACACCGACGGAATCCACCAGGGCCTCTTCCGGCCCCCGGTGTCTCCAGCATCGAGCTCCGGATATTTAACACAGGGTCGACCTTGCGGAGAGGGGCCTACTCCCAAGCGCAAGCGCATCCGCGACGATGCTAGGCAATTTGATCATGCCCAACAACAAGAGGGCATCCACGACGATATCACCACCAACGCTAGCACTGTTCTGATAACGCCCGCGGGGAGACATGCTGCCCACAACGGCAGGGCCTACACACTTGCCGGGCAGCTCGACACACCTGCCAGCGGACCGGGGGAAAGCGGAATTTTGGGCGACAGCACCTACTCCGAGTCCGACTACCGAAAAGCCCTTGGCTCCAAGCGCTCGCGACATGATAATGATTTTACGGACCCCACTGGGCATACTCCTCTATTCAACCTCCCTACGCAGCCCTACCAATCTTCAGGATGGGGTACGCTGGCCTTTAGTACCATAGGTGGCGTCGTGGGGAAGGTATGGGAGTTTTGCAAAGCGGGTGCGTTCAAAGGATTTTATGCTGGTGGGGGAAGAGGCTTTGAGATGCAGCCCGGCGATGGCATCATCCCAGATGGATCAATACTGGACCCGGCCTGGCTGCAAAATGATGAGGACGACGAGCAACACCATCGAATACCAGGGCATTTCCCGCAAGCATATGCTTTTTGCGATCAAGAAGCCACCGAGGACACGCTCATATCCAGCGGCGCCTCAACTCCATCTGCGCCGGCTGCCAAAAGACGACAGACGGCGCCGACGGATGAGTTGGGCAGAAATTGGGTCATGATCAAGGACCATGCTAGTGGAACGGACAGCACTCCTCGGCGGACCTCTGCTGCCTATAGGCAGTCTCCAAGAAATCGCAATCAAGGCCCTTCGCTCGCTACTGGTCGTCGGATAAGTACACCACAGAATCGCCGCGTTTCCAGCAAGGTAGCCAGTCCAGCACCACCTCGAGGCACCCCCCGGAATGGCTTCAACCTCTCCCCCCCGGCCACCCTCGAGCCTGCTCGTCCTGCGTCATCCGCATCTTACGCATCAACTCGCTCCCCGTCGCCGACGAAAGTGACCAATATAGCACCCAGTATCGCGGCCTCACCCACACCGCACTCATCTCGAGGTCATGGACGGCGACGATCAGCCATTCCAGCACCCAGCCATGCGCCATTTACACACAGCCGCACACACAGCAGTGCGTCCACGGCATCCAGTCGCGGAGCTGTAGACGACCTAGACAACAGTCCGCGCCTCGACGCAGAAGCCAAGCACCTTGCTGCTCGACGACACCGCGAAGAACGCGACACAGACGTTCGCATTGCAGCGTTCAATAAACAGTTACAGGACATGATTCGCCAGGGAAAGGAAGCGCTGGGCACGACGATAGAAGTAGATGGCGAGGATGGCGGGTGGGAAGATTATTAAAATGCTTTTTCTCTCTGTCTGTCTCTTTCGGCTCTCTATTCTCTTCTGTTGCTTTGGACCAAGTTGCGGTTACGATACCCGGATAGTTGGGGGGGATTGACAAAACAGTCAAATGGACTCTGGACTCTTTAAACGGTATATTTATTATCAAGGACATGGATTCTCCTTTTACACTTCTCACTTTCTTTTGTTGGCGAGCGGCCCTGGAGTCTTGGGCTGGGGCCAAAAAATTGACCACTAGGGATGGCTTGATGAAGGCGGACGGCTGTAGATGCCCGCCATGTGTATGTACATTGGTTTGCTGGGGGGGATTAGTATGAGCGCAGATATGATGAATGAGATTGACAATGAACAGATGGTCACACGTAAATCAGCGTGGAGTGCGTCTTGTTGTGATTGTGAAGATGGATGGATGTTGTGCCTGTGTCGTTGACTCTGCTGATATGGCAGAATCACGCTATTCGACGGTTTATTGTAGGAGTATGAAGGCGCGATACAACCACCGGGGTGATAGAGTCTGAATCAGATGATATTCTTTTGGTCTATGCTTAATAAAGAACCTTGTGATACGTGGAGACGGAACCGGTGGCGCGACCTGGTGGTCTGTGATTTTGCCCAGTTTGGGACGATGCTTGGTTACACGTGCCCTGGCTTAGTTACGCAAGATATGGCATGTGGTGCAGGGGACGGTAGACTGTGGTAGCTCACTGGATAATTATGTATTTTATAAATCACCATGGCATGTTGCCCAATCTCCAGGCAGTGTGAGGCTTGTGCCAATTCAAATCGATGCCATGGAGCAGCAAATCGCACATCTACTGGCACCTCCGTATCGGAATCTCACTCTTGCTCGTGGCGGCACTCAGCCCGTCCATCATCTCGATGCTACTGCTGCTATCGTAGGCCGTCAGATTCCTTGTCGGCGCCTGCACCTCAGTGACCTCTGCGCCGGGGGCGGCTTTCCCTTCCGACTCCAGCCCCCATTCCAGGCTCGTTTCCACCAGGATCCCACCGAACCGGCCAGACGGGGTGTCGTCGGGCAGCCTGTAAAAAGCGCTGTTCCTGTCCCTCCTCCTGGTCGGCTCGGCCGTGACCCGCAGAGACTGCGGCGTGACGAAGCTAGGCAGCCCGACGACCTCGCCGCGGCTCTGGCTCTCCTTGGACGTCTTGCCGCCGGCGGTATCGGACTCCTCGCGCGACCCGTCTGCCCAGGAGCGCGTGAAGCGGGATAGCCTAAAGATGCTGGCGAGCCCGAGCCTGGCCGTGACGAGGCGGACGAGCGGCCGCATGGTGGGCAGGCAGGCGGAGATGATGCCGGCGGACATTTCAATGTCGGACCAGGCCAGCAGCGGCGCGAGCGTGTAGCTGATGTCGTGCTTGGAGTAGTTGAACAGGACCCAGGTGCGAAACGACGAGGCAAACACGGCGCTTTTTTTTTGTACACGGGTCAGCCTACCTACACATTCATGTCTTGGGATTGAAAAAACTCAAAACTCACAAGAAGCCCAGGCCAAACACCAGCGTCAGGCCAACCTTTTCCAACGTCTTGAGCTGCAGCCTCCAGACCTGCGGGATGGGCAGCAGCAAGATGACGACGTCGGAGAAGATGGTTGAGCTCGCGTTGGCCAGCCACACGCCCAGCTCGCTGACGCAGCGGCCCTCGACGGCCGGCCGCCACAGCTTCTCGACGGGCACGCAGATGAAGGTGAAGAGAAAGGACACGCACACGGCCCAGAGCACGACGAAGCCGCCCACGGCCACGACCTGCCTCTTGAACAGGGGGAACCGGAAGATGCGGTAGTACATGCACAGAAGGCCGAGCTTGGTCCAGCACAGGTTCCACACGTAGATGATTTCCGTGACGAGCAGCCACATGGAGATGTTGGCGACGGCGCGCTCGCCCACCTCGTCGGCGTGGTAGCCCACGCCCTCGATGAACATGGCGAACCCGACGCCCACGACGGCCCAGTTCCAGATCTTTTTGTACCGTCAGCACTGTACGTTTCCTTGAGGAATCATGGTTTCAAATTTTAATTTTTTTTTAAAAAAAGGGGGTGGAAGGGGGTGTTACCGTCGAAAACATGATGAGGTAGTCGTCCCACCAGAAGGGCTGGTTGCGAATGCGTCGACACCACAGGCGTGCCATGACGGCTAGGGCGGCCAGCGTCGTCATCCAGGCGACGACAAGGACGAGCCATTTCCGCTGCTCTCGGGGCTCGTACTGCGGCACGCCGGGGACGTGAGAGCCCTCAAGTTCCCCCATTCCTTAGGACATGGGGTCCGTCGTGCCATGAGCTGGGTGATGATGGGATGGGAAGAGTAAACCCGGTATCTCCCATTCGACGAGTTTTGTAAGACGAAGGGGCGGTATTTTGTGAGAAACCAAGAAAGCTACGGCCCCTTCTTTTCCCTGGCCTCTTCAACACGGCAGGGTCTGTTTCCATATGTGCATTGGTTTCCTTTCTTCAAAGCTCCGGCGGCCTTAAAAAAAACCCGGGGTGGGTTGGAGGAATTAACCTGCAAGGAGGTCATGTTGGGATGTAACCTCATTTAGCCGCATTTGACCACGGGCCGTGTTTTTTCGTCTTAGCCTGCATGCTTGACTCGCTTTAGCCGTTTGACATGTGCTCTAGTGCGGATTGGCCATGGTTTGTGGCAATTTGGTTTCGGGGGAGGTTGCTGTCAGAGTATGTATGTGTGGATGGAGGAAAATTGACAGGCGGGGAAACAAGAGACAACATTGAAGTGGCTAGTCCACTTACTAGTTGCCAACGGGTATGTCCCGTCACCTGTCACTTGCGGGTTCTTGTGGGTATGACATTGCGGGGGTGGAGAGAAAACCATCGAGTCTTCACACATCACATAAAATTTCTGAATCGCGAGTCCGTACAATCGGCTAGGTTCTCGCCTTATTCAAGCCGCATGTCTTCATCGGAACAAGCCTTCATACGGACATGATGGGTTTGCCGTAATCCGCGGCGACGTGGTACCCGGAGAGGGAGCAGCCAAAAACAGCCACAGACCTGTCATGGGTCTCCCCACGCAGGCTTCGCTTCCCAATGAGGAGGGTTGCCCCGTGCCGGGTTGCAGGTTGAACAAGACGGGACGGCTGGCCATGACGACTCGGCCATCACGGCAGGCTGGTTGGAGCAGTTGGCTTGGTTGCTGGGCTGTCCAACCCTGGACGGAAACGCCGTCTTTGGCAGAGAATTGGACGATACGACCTGATCCGGATCGGATCCCCAGGATACACCGTACGCCGTTACGACAACGTACTCCGTACAGTACCAAACAATACCAATTGTTCCTCAACAAGCCCCGGATTGGTTACAGAGAGACAGACTCATCATCTCCTTGTAGCCCGCAGCATCAAACCGTGTGTCGTATGATGTCGTCACCTCCAAATGCCTCATTCGGCGGCGTCACTGCAGGCCATGCTTAAAAACAAAAGCTCAGGACAACAGGTACGTAATGCTTGGCCGAAAGACCATGCGCCTTCAAGCCGCACCGTACAACATGTTTACTATTTTTGACCCTTTGTCATAGGCCATGGGTCGGATACAAGTTGACACGCATGTACTCCGTGTCCAGTGACCAAGCCCGCGGGAGCAGCCAGTGCGAGGGAGGGACACGAGAACTCGTCATGATTGCCAGCAGGACAAGGTCTCAGTTGGCCTCGGGGATGCCTGTGTCTGATTGAAGGAAAACCAGCCGATATCCAGAAAAGGACGCCGGGGCCCAAGAATGGCCACCAGCACAACAAGCGTGATACGTACTCCGTAGTACTATCAAATTTGACACTTTGCACAAAGACGACGCGGAGTGGAAGAAGCCAACGGCAGTTCATACCCGCGAGACATGAGCTTCTTTTTTGTTCGCGCCACCACGCCATGCTCTTTGTGTGACTCGCGTCCATGTCGAGCAGTTGGCCCTAGCACCGTGCAGCCCAGGTGAATTGTCAAATAATATCAGAAAAAATTACCCACAATACTAGTAGTACTAGTATTAAACCAGCTGGTCCATTTGCCTCAAGTGAGACATGGCCATCTCTCCCAAAATGCCCTCCACACCAGCAGAACCTTCTCTCGCAAACCGGAAAGAGAAAAAAAAAGGGCCGCCCATCTCAGACACTCGCCAAAAAAAGAACCCTACAAACATGCAGTATTGTCGTCCCTCATGTTTGCGCCCGCGGCACAAAACCCTCCGCATCCGCCTTGATTAAAACCCCCATCCAGAGACATTGACTCTCGTTCCAACTTGCCCAATTCCCGGCTCTGTTCCATCCCATCTTCCATCTCCCGCCACCAGTCCACCAAACGGCCGTCTCACCACATTTCTACCCACCATGAAGGTCCGTAGCACTATTGGAATCGCTTCCCAAGACATGGAAGGGACAAGCTTAACTAACACACCAGCGCCGCAGTTCGTGGCCTCTCTGCTCGCCCTGGCGCTCGCCGCCCTGGCCGCGCCGACGCCGACGCCCGACACCGCAGTCTCGTGGAACCAAAACTTTAGCTGCGGCGCCGATTTCCGCACCAAGTTCTGCCACGCCGTCAATTTCCATTCGCGCTGTGTGAATGGCCGCTTTTACTCTGATGCCGGGGATAGCTGTGCCAACTGCTGGTGCACATGTACGTTGCTTCCTGTCCCGTCAAAAGGGGGAGCTTGTCAAGAAGAAAAACAAGGACAAGACAAAGCGAAGGACAGAGTTACAAGTGTAAAATTCACTAACACTGGAAATATAGAGACCGAGATGAGCGAGTGAATGCCGCGACTCCCATGTGGATCGCAAATTGGGGGTAATATATCATGGCACATTCGGTACTTGAGCAACTTGCGAAATTCAAACGATGTGACTTGGATACCCAGACCTTGGGAAAGCATGCGGGCTGCAACCGGATTACAGACCAGAACACTCGTATGGAGGTGGCGCCAGCAGTTGTCGCCGCTATACATTCAACATTAGAAATATTATACGTATCTTTAAGGCCTGTAATGTATATCAGTAATGAACTTGCGCCTCAATACCATGCCTCGTGGCCCTCCGGCCGTCACATCCAAACACTCGGCTGACACACATCCAGGACGGGCGTCAATCTGTATCCTTCATCGTCGTGAAATCGTCAGGGCAACATGCAGTAAAGGGCCAAATGCGCTTTTTGTGTCGTATCTGACATCATCATTTATTATACATACACGCTATATCTATGCAAAGAGTGCTTTCTAGCACAGGTATCTTGTCTAATGCACCCAACCAAAAACTCCCATGAAAAAAAGGATCAGAGCATTATCATCATAATGTCATGCCGTGCAACCCATCTAAGCCGGTTTCAACAGCATCCCCACGTCATTTAATTGCACACTATTCGTCGTAGGTAGTGGACCACGATCTATTCTGCCCCATCCCGCTCCCCATGTAGGCAATTGTTGCTGCGGGACACTGGCATGGGTGGAAGATTCTGCGTCTGAAGAACCAGCCGTGGTTCCAGACGTTCGGTTCCGCAACGCAATCTCATTGGATCCATCACTGGCAATTCGGGCCTTTCGATTTCTTTTCCAGAATCGGGATCGCCTCTGACGCATATTTTCCGCTACCAGTTCTGGAGAGGCTATGATATCATCCCGTGGAGATCGGTGGTGCTTGCCAAAGTAGCCGCTATGGGCTCGTGGGTATGCAAATCCTGCCGGTTGTCCGCCGTGGAACGGATTCCATGCTCGTAGTCGCGGTGATCCTAGACTGATACTGCCGTTGCAGCCAGCATTATAGCTTGTCCTAGACTCGCCGGATAATTCTTCCAAAGTGAGCCCTTTCGTCTCGGGGATGAGGAGCGACACAAAGGTGCCGAGGAGCATGAAAAGAGCAAAAAGTTTCAGCAACCGGTCAAGATAGGGAGAGCAGGCATTGCCAACACATCCAGCAACCTCGCCATTCTTCAACAATGGGATGCTAATACACTGGGCGACTATAGCCCCGATTTTGCCCATTGCTGCGGAAATGCCGTGACCTGTTGATCGGTATCGCGTGGGGAAGCATTCGCCCGGTACAACAAACGTGGTTGTGTTTGGGCCGGCGTTGAAAAGAAATTGTCCTATGATATACAGAGCCAACATTGACCCTTCGCTCAAATCATGAAGCCGAAAACCCTGAACGCCGAATACAATGGTGAGCAGAAGAAACCCACAAATCTGCAGAGGCTTGCGCCCAACAGTATCAATGGTGAAGATGGCAGTCCAATATCCGGGCAAGGATCCAGCAGCAGTCAGGATGATCGTGCCCACGGCCTGATTATACAACTTGTAATACATATTGCTACCACTTCCATATCCAATAGCGTGGAGAACAACGTTTTGATTCAAGCCAAGGCCGTAAAATGCCAAGTCCTGGAAATTGTCAGTCAGCGCACACATCAATACAACACAGACATCAGACATCAGACGTACCAGAAAGAACCATGACATGGTTGTACCGACCAATACCTTGAAATTCTTCCACTCCCCAAAGTATGCAAACACATCTGCCCATGAAGCACGCGGAAGATCCAGCGAATCCTCAGATATCTTTGACCGAGAATGCCGCCTCTCATAGTCACTGTTCGATTTGCTGGATACATAGGCCTTGATATCGGCATCAGCCTTTTCAACATCGTGCTGTATATCAAAAGTGTAGCGCGGAGTCTCAGGAATGGTGATTCGATAGTAGAGCGCAAGACAGGCTGGGATGGAGCCAACCCCAACAATGATCCTCCATGCACGATCAGCAGCGATTTGACATCCCGCATCGCAGTGTGCTTCGTCGGAAATACGGATAAACGACGACTTGAAGGCTACGGTTGTAACGAGCGCAACGATGGCAGACATGAGTTGGCCGATACCTTGCATTGAAAAGACAGCAGAAATCATGGCACCTCGCCATCGAGTGGGTGCGAATCTAGCCACCAGTTAGGAAGACAACTACTGAAACAAAGGTGGTAGACACATACTCGGATGTAATGACGGACGAAAGAGGATAGTCACCTCCAATCCCAATGCCCTGACAAAAACAAATATTAGACTGGTGGTTCCCGACATGTGTATGGCAGAGTGCGCACGTACCATAAGAACCCGCCAGAATAACAATAGACCTGCTGAGCCAATGGACGGGCTGCTCGAAGCCAAGGCGCAGCTAAAGGTTCCGAAGATGATAATTGCCAATTCCACACCATACATGCGCCTGCGGCCCAGAGCACTGCACTACTCGTCAGCAACAATCTACCAATCGCCACAAAATGACCTACTCTGCTAGCCACCCAAACACAACCATGCCAATAATAATACCAGCACTGGTGGCAGCTTTCAAGGCCTGGTTAGTCGTGTCGGGTAAGACGCCATTGTTGCCGCCAAAGCCATTTACCACCTCTTCGCCGCTCCAAAAGACCATGCCCAAGAGTATAGTGATAAGGTTGATGGAGAATATGTCGTATGAGTCGAGAAGAAAGCCAACACCAGCAACCAATATAGCCCGGACATCTAACGTGAAAAGAGTTAGTTCCCAATATACTCCGTCACCGTCCACGGAATCCAATCTCGGGCAGCTGCCATTACGTACGGTACAATCCAAAAGGAACCTTGTCAATCTCGGACAATGCTAGTCGTCGACGTAAATTAGGGTCGGTTATATGAGAATAATCATTATAAAAGTTGTGAAATGCCCGATTGCCGCCATATGTGCGCTGGAGACCACTCGGGGCCATGGGAGGAGGAAGCATCTCGTCCACGGAGGCAGCCATCTTTTCGCGAGCCGAAGACGGATCAACGACGGAGGCTGCAAAATCTCAACAGAGAATACATGAGGCAACAGGCCAGAATATCTTTGGAGTAAGCGAAGTAGTAATGGCGGATCGAGGACCGGTTCTATGGGCACTGGCGCCAGGGTCGACGGGATGCGACCAAGTTGCTGCAACGCTCACTCCCCACGACCTGTGGAAGTGATGCAAAAAGAGACGCTGTTTACCCCGAAATTTTCCAAATCAATGATGGCATTGAGCGTATGGCACCGAGTTGAATCTGCTTTCTTCCCGGGGGGTTAACTGGCGAATGTCCCTATTAGCCAGCGTAGGTCAGGGCTGTCGTAATCCAAACGCGGACTTTGGTCCGTCAGAGCCGGAACTATATGTTGTGGTGTTTCTTTGACAGATGTTTATTTGAGTCCGAGGCCGTGGCTTAGAAGAATACCATGTACGTATATGCACAATACAAAGGTGGCTTGCCGACGGCAGTGAAGGAAGATGAGAAGAGAAGACGAGAGAGGGGAGCAAACCGATCGAGTGAGAAAGATGTTTCGGGTCGCCAATCCAACGGCATAGACTCCGCTTGTGGCGACGACTCCGTAGTGGAGAGAAATCTCTTAGATGGGAGCACTAGCTGTGGAAGACTCTTTGCATTGCTTGGGCGCTCGGTTGTAGATTTGTAGTAGTCATGGAGTGGGAATACCCCAGTCATTCCAGAAGCCACGCTCCGCTTCGCGACAGGCAAACGAACACACAATGAATGACTAGTAGGGCGTCCGTCGCCCGGCCCAGGCACACAATCAGACACTATGTCCCAGGCTCCCATGCAGATAGCACTTGTCGGAAACTAGTCGGCACGTTCGGGTGGCTCATGCCATGGCTGGCTTGAAGAGGTGAGGGAGCAAACAATAGACGGCTGATTCGACGCAATTTGGACGATGCACCTCGACGCAAGTCCTTATTTCGCTCCAGACCTGGTTGACTGGGAACCAAACTTGGCACCAGAACCTTCAGTGTTGCAGATACGGGGAGACGTTGGAACCCGACCGTCAGGGTTGGCCATCCACATTGTGCCCGTGATATGGCTCGGACTCGGTGCTTTGGCCGAAGAGACCTGGTGCTGGCAAGGAGCTGTTTCTTCACACTTGCCTAGTCCCAGCACAACAAAAACGGCAAGAGTTACACGCGGATGGCAAAGAGGGGAACTTGGGCAATAGGATGTCAAGGATGCTGGCAAGCTGGCAACTGGGAAGGGGTGCGCGCCCAGGGGTGGTGGGGACTGCGTATCAATTACTGGCCGGCAAGGAAGGAAGGAAGCACACGTGCAGATTCTTGGGCCGAGAGAGACACTTCCATGTCCTTGATGGAACATGTTTCGAAAGGCCCAGGCGCGGCCCTAAGGAGTCTGGTAACTACAAAACCAAGCAAGTCGGCCAGCGTCACTGGCACCTTCCGTCACATTTCCGTGCAAGGTGCAACCGTTGACGCTTTGGGCAACGGTGTAGCATGAAGCCATGTCAGGGGTGCGGACTGGCAAAGGTGAAAAAAAAGAACACCAGAAAATGATTGCACCCGACCTCACCGGTCACTTGCCGACTTTCGGGCATAATCAGACGGTGTTTGCAACTGTCGTTCAGGGGCTGTGCAACTTGGCGGTCCACGCAGCTATTCACACACATGCACACGTGGTTGTCCAAATCCACGTTGACGTTGACTATGCGTACATGCCTAGATCAGTACATATGTATGTGCTGTTGGTGCCTCAACCCCCTCCTTTGGAAGCTCGGTAGAAGACACAGAAGGCCGGCATTCCGCTTCAAGACCTGTCCAACGACCCTGCCACGCAATTCACTCCGCGGCATCTTACGGGCCTGTCGACCAACGCAGCGCGGTCGGTCTTAAGGGGTGTACGCCAGCCTTCGAGGTTTGCATTGTGGCTGACGCTGGCTTGGCACTGGGTGGGGACTGCGACAAGGGTTTTTTTTTCTCAAATGGCTTCTGTCAGCCTTCTAGAACATTGCGCGTTCTCGCATTATCCGCATCATCGGAGTCATCGAATCATGCCGTGGGGCGAAATCCATTATGAATGACTTATGAAAGGCAAGGGCAAGACGGAAATCTCGCTCCCATGCTCTGCGGGCGCACCAAACGCCGTTTGCCTCAGCTCCATCCATCTCCTGTCCGCTGTGGTTGCATCACCTTGACACCGGCATGATGTGACATGGCCATGTTCATGGCAGAATCGAGAACCGCACAGAGTACATATGGCGGCTGTTGTTGACGAAGTGCTGTTTGGCAGCTGGATTGCTTAGCTTGACGCAATCGCCATCAGCCGCCAGAATAAGCACCGCATCTTCTAATCTGGTTGGCCACGCAGGAAATAGTGACGGCGCTAATGAAGCATTCGAGCCATGCACCCAGGATTCCGCGCATTGCCCGCATACGGACGAAAGCCTCATTTGCTGGATTTGAGTGGCTGTCGCCCCAAGACTCACGCCCTATGGTCAGCACTTGTCAGTCTTCTCGGTCGCCCGTGTGGTGTGTAATTGCTATATTGGACTTTCCGCCAACAAGTACTCCGTACGGAACATGCTTTCCTTTTTCCAGCTCGTTGTCCCTCGGTCAGGCTTTTGTGATGACTGATGACAGCCAAGCGGCTTCCCTGTCAGGGATGCATTCACCTTGACCCCTTTCATTATGCCTCACCATTTACGGACAAGAGCGAATAATGTTCAACGTTGGCCTTGCCGGCTCATTTACGGAGTACCATACGATGCTTGTTTCGGCTTTGCTCTGTGCAGGGGGTCGTTTACTATGTATCATTGACGCCGATAACAGGCATGAGTCGTGTTGTGGGTGGTTACCGGTTTGAGCCACGGCGATGATTATTAGCTCGCGATAAAAAAGGCTCTTCTTCTCCACAGAGGGCTTGATTCCTGACTGGATATGGAGCAAGGACCGGCTCGGAGGACGGTGACTGACCTGTCTTGGTGAAGGCAATTGACGATGCCATTCTGATGTATCCGACAAATGCATTACTCAGTACTCCGTACGGAGTACCCAAGACTTGGTTTCACGCCCTGCACTCCGTACTCTGATGTTCTAATGGCCAAGTTGAAATGTCCCTTCGTCACAGACTCTGATGAGAACGAGCTCGCTGCCCCACGTGTCCATTCTCAATGCTGGCAATGTTAACCGGTCACTGTTTTCATTTAGAAGACAGGCGTGCATACGCTGGCGTCTCTAGCATCATTCTGTACTGCGTGATTGGGTGCCTTTCCTTTCTTTAACACATCAAATATCTCTTAGCTAGACATCATTCCATGTATCAGCGTATAAACGTAAACTGTCTGGTGTCAAAGTGTTGACCGCCGTCAAATCGTACAAGGTTTACCAGTAATTCTTCACCAAGTCACCATCCACAAACAACCCGACTCAAGAGTGTTCAAAGTGCATAGGAAACCCGGAACCCTGAACACCACGGCACATAATCATGCCAAACATTCTGCATCATGAAATTTGTGCAACCTCAGCTCGGGAATCACGCACTGCTGCTGCCAAACGCCAAACCCACCTGCTTGCCTGTGAATTCTACACGACTGAGCAACACGTAAAGTCCGAATGGCTGGGGCAGTTTAAGTTACGTGTGAAATCGCTCCTTTGGGCAAGTTGCATGCATACTGCAGTGGAGGGGGAGACGGAGTTGCAAGATGTGTGGATGCCGTCAGTTTGACGCTACATTGCTCCACAAGTTCCTCCAGCATTCTCGCGTGGAGTGTATGTACTATGTACTCCGTGCTTCGTTGGATTATCTCAGAGACCTTTATCTGCTTTTGGAGTGGCACGTGTTGTGACTGGTCGTTGCTTGAGAAGACGTGTTTCCGTGATTCGCGCTATGGTGCGGGCGAAACGCATAAAGTGCTGGATTTAGCAAAGGCCGGCAATACGGCAACGGAGGTATTTGACTCGTGCGGCCTCGGGTCTGGTGAATTTATTCATGCTACGTACGTAGGTATGTGGTGAAGGAGAAGGAAAAAAACCTTGTTGGAAGGTATCTGTATGTCTGTATGCACATCTCCAACTAAAATGTGCTCGTTGAGCCCCCTTTTCGTCACACAATGTACATGACGTTGATATGTACTGCGCCTCGCGTATCTAGACGAGTGTTTCTGTTTTTGCAAGTGTGTGGCCTACCATGCCGTAATATCTTCGACTTCCGCTTCGCCAAAGGTGCTGGACTTTGTCAGCTTGCCAACGCCGGTTTCCTCTGGCGCTTGGCCCTCTTTGCTCATGATGTCAGGCAGCACCTCTTTGAGGAAGTCCAAGATGTAGTTGTTGACCTGTTCGAACTGGAGAAGGAAGGCATCGTGGCCCTCGGGGCTCTCAATCCGTTCCAGCCGGGCATTTTTGACGTGCTCGGCAATTTCTTCTTGCTCTGCAAATGTGAAGAGCCCATCGCTTTCTATGCCAAGGACCAAAGTGGGCTGCTCAATCATGGCCAAGGCATCGCCGATGGTCTCCGCGCGACCTCTTGACACGTCGTGCGTGTCTAGCTTGCGAGTCATTGCGATGTAGCAGTTGCTATCAAAACGCTTGACGAACTTGGTGCCTTGGTACCGCAGATATGACTGCGCCGAAAAATACTGAGACTGCGGGAGAGTCTCGCCTCCGGTCAGGCTGCTCTCGCTACTGACTCCCTCGTGTTTCCGAGGCCCGTGAAACTGCGGGTCTGGGGCATCTGCTGGAGGCGTTGTTGCTTTATTACTGCCGGGTGATCCACTACCCTGAAGAGAGGTGCTCTTGCGCTTGATGTTGTGTCCGTCATTGTGAATATGAAAGTGTGCTTCCGAAGGCGTGCTAGGCCGCGGCCGCTCACGAATCGTTTGGACTTTGGATGGATCGGGAATGTTGCGGCCGAACCGAGATTCGAAGGAGTTTCGACTTCGATATGTCAATAGAGCGGCCATACGGGCGGCGCCCAGCCCGGTTGCTGGCGGGTCGTCGAATGGATAGTATCCATCATCGTATTTGGGGTCAGCATAGATACTTTGCCGTTGGGCTTCACCCCAACTGATGCCCCACGCACTGTGTCGGCTTGACGTGGCGATGGGGACAATACACCGAATATAGTCCTTGCCAAAGTACGCCCATTCCAGGACAAACATGCCACCCAAGGATCCCCCAATGACAGCAGCAACCTGGTTCACTCCCAATTCACCCAAAAGAAGTTTGTGGAGGCTAAGAACGAGTCAGCGTCCCTGATGCCTGGGTCTGTGGTCGAAGGACACCATTCCAACCTACAAGGCTGGAAGAAGTCAATGTTTGGCAAGGATGATGGTTACTGACTTGACATCGTCACGGATGGTGGTTAGCGGGAATTCTGGCCCGTAATTTCCCTGTGATACATCGCCATGTTTTGCCGTGACCGGACTGGCTGTGCCATATGGACTGCCCAGACTGTTCATGCAAACGATGAAGAATCTTGAAGTATCAAACACTCGCCCTGGACCACCGAGTAAAGGACCCCACCAGTCGCTCACGTCGGCACTACCGGTCAGAGCGTGACATATAACCATGGCATTGTCGCCAGCGTCGTTGAGCTTGCCCCGTGTTGTGTAGGCGACGGGAACATTCTGGAGAGTGATGCCAGATTCCAAGGTGAACTCGGGAACGATTGCTATCTGCTGATCTGGAATTAAGCTAGCGAATGGGTTTTCGGGTTGTGACTGCGTTCTTTCTTCCAGGTATTCAGCAACTATTCTCGTCAAGCGTAGGAGGAGGTGGGGGCAGGGCAAATGGTAGCGCAGTAACATGAACATATGCATCCGTCAACAACACATAGGGAACAGGGTTGCCAGATTGGAGACAGAAGAGAAAGATGAAAATTAAAGGTAAAACGAAGAACCAAGAACAAAAACTGACCGTATTGTTTCCGTAAGCCGCCATTGGCAGCCCTTCCTTGCTGCATCGCAGTTTAATGTCAATGAGAAACGTTTGGCAGACCTCCGACAACGGATCCCGAAGGTTCAACACCTCAGAGGTTGCGTATGAGCCGGGGCCGATTGCCGCGTCCAACAGCGTAGAGAAAGATCCTCTTGAGAGTGACTTTGTCTTGAAGAATCAAGCCGCTTGATCAACGCAGCAGTAATTCAGGGGATGGGAATTGTTTGTCGAGAGTAACACAACTTGTCAGTGGAAGAAATGTGATTCTGTGCTGAGTCAACCCGCTAATCCATTGGAGCAATTGCGCCATCCAACTACTTCATCGGGAGCAACAGCCGCTGGTGCTCAAGTAGTACTAGTACTAGCTTGTCCGAGACCGCAGTAAGGCCAATCAAGTCGCAAAGTTTGCGACCACAATGCCATCTCACCCCTCGACTAGAGCACGTGGCATCTCACGTGAAGTCGCGATCCCTTTGTTGGCTCCTGTACCCAGGTATTGCAACTCCGTGGTGGAGACCTGAGGTGTAAGGCTGTACTTTTGGCCACTGGAAGACTGCGACGTGTGCGGGAGCTCTGCATCGCCATCGTATGTCGGCATCGTGAATGCACCGTCGTTTGACGCCAACCCCTTCAGCTCCTTTCTGGACGCGCACTCGGCTAAGAGACCAAGGCGTCTTGCCGAAGGGGCAAGCATTTGCTTCTGCGTCAATTGCTGCTTCACTCCTCACAGATTGCTGCAAAGTCTCTGTTCATTTTTTCTCTTCGGGGTAGCCGAGTCGAGTATTTCTTTGTTCAAGCTCACTGCCCTTATCTCCTTTATACGCTGTCAGGTATTTAGTCGCATGGTCTTGCTCGAGCTACGGGGGTCACGTTGTCCAACGTTTACTGCCAACACACACGGGCCGTGACGCTTTTTTCCCACCGCTACACGCATCCCACCATCACGCATCTTTTTATACCCATCCCCTGCGCAAATGATCCATCGAGTGCTTCACTGCCGACGAACCAGCTAGAGCATACCTCATGCCTCCGAAGCGAAAGAGGCCCGAGCGGCCGAGCGGCGATGGAGGTCGGCCATCTCCTCACCGACCCGGGGACACAAATCTTGCCCAGCACGACGGCCCTCATGATGGTGCCTCCAGAGGACGAGGAACTCGCAGTGGCCATTTCGGACATGGCCAACGCGGGGGCGTTCATCGCCGAGACTCGTCTCAAGGCTACGGACGATCAGGAAGCAATCAGCATTATAATCAACAACACAACAACGTGCAAAATCAACAAAGAAACCAAGGCCAGGCGCAACCTCCATCGCCAGCCAGACAGCCCATTTCCTCACCGTCTGCTCTCCGACAACCCCCTGCTGGTTCCGCCCAGTCACAATCTTCAAGGCAACCCAGTTCTCCCGTCATGACGAAGCCACACTCGGAACCAACACAACGACCAGTTTCTCCCGTAAAATCAAATTATCGGTACGAGAGCCTCACGGACGATATAGTACAAGCTTGGAATGAGCGAGGTCGTCAAGAGATAGTTCAGCATGGTGTGCAAGCCCGAGAAGATGTTGATACCACTGAATTATCAATGCTCTTCCAAGAATTTATCCAAGCCGTCGTTGAGAATAGGCTTGACGCCACTGATGCTGGGGCATGTCTCAAGGAGATCTTGGGGGAGGACAATGCGGATACCATCAAGGACGCGGATGCCTTTGCTCCTCACACTCTATTCCTCGACTCTCTTGATATCATTATGGATAGTGACTCCGAACTTTATCGACCAACACTTCGGGACTTCCTGATGGCCACTGGCGTCTCGCCTGCTTTGATGCGTCGAGTCCTGAATGCCCCAATCCTTCAACAAATAGGATTGATTCGACAAAACTTTACTACACTAGGTGTTCGTCAAGCCACAAATTTTTTGTATCGGCAAGCAAACTACAACCTTCTTCGCGAAGAAACTGAAGGCTATTCAAAGCTTATCACAGAGCTCTTTGCAACCAACAGTGTGACACCCACCCCTCCCGAATTAGCCCAGCAAACCTTTGAAAGAATAAAGGGTCTTATAGGTACTTTCGACTTGGACGTTGGGCGTGTGCTTGATGTCACACTTGATGTTGCCGCCGCTGTCCTGATCAAACAATACAAGTTCTTCGTCAAACTTCTGAGAGTGAGCTCATGGTGGCCGCGATCTCATTTCAAATACGATGCTACATATAACGGAGGGTTGCCACCATGGGCAAACCCAGGGTATTCACAATGGACTGCCACCATTGAGGACGAGGAGCTGATTGCTAAACAAAAATTACTGAGAGATGTAGCCTTCTGGGACCGCGCTAGAGAAATACACCTGGGTGCCTTTTTCGAATTGGGCGGTAGACGAGTCAACGATGTGGACCTGCAACAAGCTAAAATTACCAACGGCAGAGAAACGAAAGAAGAAGCTGATTTCGAACAACAATGGATGGAAGAAACGAAAACACTACCCCCTCCAGGGAACCGTGTCGCCGCACAGCTTCTTGGTTTCAAATTACTCTTTTACAACTCGGAATTACGCGACAAGGCTGATGTCCTCCCCGCCAACCTGCTCTACCTGGCTGCCCTTCTGATCAAAGTTGGGTTTCTGTCCCTTATCGACCTTTATCCCCATCTGTCCCCATCCGACGACGATATGGAAAAAGTTCGCAAAGAGGAAGCGGGGAAACTAGAAAGGGAGGAACGTGAAGCTCGAGGTGGAGGACAGATGAACGCACTATTGATGGCGGGCGTCCTCCCACAAGGCGATGATGACAACCCTAATGCATCGAATATACCAAAAAAGGAGGCTGCAAAGAAGGTTGATACGGAGGTGAAGCAGTCGGTGAAAGAAGAAAATGACACCAAGAACAGGCTCCCAGAACCACTGGAACAGAAAGTGTCACTGTTAACGCAACTACTGACAATTGGCGCTATACCTGAGTCATTGTTCATCCTTGGTCGATTTCCTTGGATCCCAGAGGTCTTTCCTGATGTTCTCGAAAGAATACATCGTATCCTTCACGTCAGCCTTGAAAAGGTGTATAATGATACCCGGCCCATGGCAATGGCCTCAATTGACTGCCCCAACAAGCAGCTCCCAGATCTTGATCAGTCAGGGATGCCAAAAGGTAGTGTCAGACTCCAGAGGCCGGCACCGAAGAAACAATGGCGGTGGCCATACCCAGAGAAATTCGATGTCAATGAGAACCAGAACTATCGGTTCTATTGGGACGAATGGGCAGACAACATTCCAGTTTGCCAGACAGTTGATGACATCTTTACACTTTGTAATACCTTTTTGAATCTGTCTGGTGTTAACATAGGCAAGGACGAGGCCCTGCTGGCTAAACTGGCTGTTATTGGTAGTAAAAGTATCGCAGACGACAAGTCCGAGTCTAACCTTGACCGATGGTATGATCTTCTGCGACGATTGATGCTGCCAGCCTTGAGCCACACGAAGGCCAACGCGTCTGTTGTCGACGCTATATGGTCCCTTCTCAAACATTATCCCTTGACAACACGATATTCAGCGTATGCTGAGTGGTTTGAGGGGCAAATATCCAGGCTACCTGCCATGAAAACGGCCTTTGCGCGAGCTACTTCCGAAACTCGAGGCACGATGAAACGTGTTTCTTTGACGAATCTCGGGGAAATGGCTAAGCAACTCGCGAAAACTAGCTACTCATCTCCAGGCATTGTTTTCCGAGTCGCCTTTGAACAGCTGGAATCATACCCAAATCTCATCGAGGCGTTTGTCGAATGCGCCAAGTATTTTACAGATCTGTCATATGATGTGCTCATCTGGTCATTGTTGAACTCATTGGGCAAGTCACGAAGTCGAACCCAGGCTGAGCACGCTCTTACAACCAGTAAGTGGCTGCAGGCTTTGTCGAGATTTTCTGGCAAAGTCTTCCGCCGCTATCCAGCCTTGAATCCGACCCCGGTTCTACAATACGTCAACGACCAGCTCTTTCGTGGCAATGCTACCGACCTAATTATCCTCAAGGAATTTGTCTCGTCAATGGGTGGCATTGTCGATTCTGCGGACTTCAACGACTACCAAGTGCTATCAATGGCTGGGGGCGCATGGCTGAGAAGATATACCCTTATTCGGGCGCAGGATCGACGATTCGACAATGTCAAGAGCTCGAAGCGCCTCATACAAGCTCTTGTAGACTCCAAATTGGCAGCTAACCTTTTGCTAAATTTAGCCCAGTATCGGCGGGCTGCAATTTTCCGTGTCCCGGAAGATGAGGCACACATCAAGTACTTGTCTTCCGTTGTCGATGACTCTCACCAAATCCTGATTCAATATCTTGATCTTCTCTGGAGCAACCTCGACCCCAGTACTTTCGATGCCATTGTTCCGTCCATCTCTCAACTAATAACAACGTATGGTCTTGATACTAGTTTGGCTTTCCTCATTGGCAGAACAAGCCTTGGTCATCGAATCTTCCCATGGAAAGAGGGCAAAGGCAAAAAGAAGGAGCCAGTTGCGAAGCCTAGCACTGACAAGGAAGGTGATGTAGATATGGCGGAGGCTAAGCCTCAGAGTGAGGAATCCAAGGAGCCGGGAACCCAAGGAGCTATAAGCAACGAGGAGCAGGTATGCATTGCATTCCGCTGTTTTGAGGAAACCCGTGAATTCCAGCTAACTGTAGGCAGAAGTCGGAAGATGTGTCGCTCACTCGCACAACTGTGAACGCATTGCAACCAATTATCGAGTCTGTTCGATCTACCGTTCGACCTGAGATTTGGCAAAAGATTACTCCCGAACTGTACGCCACGTTCTGGGCATTGCAGTTAGGAGACATCTGTTTCCCAGAAGAGACATATGTTCGTGAACGTCAGCGAATTATGAATGATTGGCAGATGCTCTCAAGCGATAGGTCGGATATGAGCCGCAAAGCGGTTGATAGAAGGAATGAGAAGCGAAAAGAGCTCATGGACCTGCAAGGCTATCTACTGGACGAACTTAGCGAGCATGGCCTCCGCAAAGCTAAGTGGAAGTATT